TTAATGTCATTCCAATCCAGAAAGCCCAAAGCAATATCTATTAATGAAGGAAATATTATCCTGATATATCAAAGGATTATATGCTCATGTAGCAACTATTATCCCTATATACCAGACTAGTATCTTGTCATTCAACAACTATTATTCAGAAAGCCCAGAGTAATATCTATGCATGAAGCTACTATTATCCAGACAGCCCTGACTACTATCTACTTAACCTGTGCTTTCATTACAATATTCACCATCAAAAGAACTACAATCCAGAACATAAAGAACAACCATCCATTATTAAAAAAAAATGTTATTCAATTTCTTGGTCCTCATATTCCTCTAACTCATTTTCCTGTGGTTATTTGCCACGGTTAGGTCTCGAGGATTCGCCTTCTACTCGCTACCTCTTTGCAGTTCCTTTAGTTCTTGCCATTTTGATTTCCCTGCACAGAAAATATCCTGACATAAGCTAACTAATATCTGGACTTCACATTAACTATATCCATAACATTCAAAAGTAATATCAATGAAGTCATATCCACATTCGTCAAACAAAAACTCAGTCTATCATACAACTGATATCCTTAAAGATGACAACTAATATCAATGAGGTGATATCCAAATACATCAAAACAATATCCATGAAAGTATACAACTAATATCACTACTCATCAAACTAATATCAATGAATTGACATCCAAATACAACAGAAAACTATCCAGGCGAGTTTATACTAATATCCCAAATCCACAAAACAACTAGCATCCCATGCCACAGAAAACAAATCCAGAAACTCATCCAAAATAACAAAGCAAAAGAAAGAATCTAGATCCAGTGGTTTCCATGAAATTAGAAAACAAATCCATAAAAACCCATTAAAAAATCGAAGAAAAAAATCCAGATCCAGCGGTTTCCATGAAATCAGAAAAAAAATCCATAAAAACCCATTAAAAAAATTGAAGTAAAAGAAAAACCAAGATCTAGTCGAACCCATGAAACCCAAGATCAAATATATGCAATCCAACGGAAGGAGAAGGGGAAGGAGAAGACGTCTACCTCAACGGCGTCAGTCGCCTTATTTTTCTTTGTTCAGCGACTGCTACAGTAGTCGAATCCGCCTTCACCACAGTGGTGCCGTCAAAATCGTCATCGTTGCAGCCTTGAAAGTTCGCCGCTGCCGTGAAAGCCACAGTCGCCGATGCCTTGAATGTCGTCGTCGCCGTCGTCGGTATTGGGAAAGGAAGGGGGAGAGAAAGTGTTTTCGGGAGAGGAAGGGGAGAGAAAGTGTTTTTGAATTTTGGAGAGAGAGTGAAAGTGAACGGACAGAGAAATATCAAAGAGAGGAGGGAGGGGTTTAAATAGATAAAATCAATTGTGTTTTTTGAATTTGTGGACCAAGTGGACCCCACTTTTTTGTCCCAGAGTGTCTGGGCTTGGTCCAGCCGATGGACTCGGCTCTCCTCCCCTCACAAGCATGGACCAGGAAACCGGATCGTACCGGTCGGTTCAACCGGAAACCGGACAAAAAACGAAATGATAGGCTGTTAGGGGACTTTTTACTGTGTCGGCCGGTTTTTCCGGGTTAACCGGCACAAAACGAGAAACCGCCCGGTTTTGTTCTAACCGGCGGTATCCTATATCCAATAAAAACGTTGTCGTTCTTAAAAAAAAAATGGTGTCCAAACAACGAACGCCCAAAATCAAAACCCTAGCTCTAATCAAACGAGTGCATCTTTCTTCTCCAGCTCTGCTCTGCGCCGCCCCTCCTCTTCTCTTCTCTTCTCCTCTGGTGAGTGGCGACTGACGACCCGCGACCGGAGAGATCAACATGGAGACCGGCGAAAGGTCTAGCCGATCCATGCAACGCTCCACCGTGCCGCTGCGCCTCTTCTCTTCTTTGATGAACCTCTGTAGCTCTCTCACCGCTGCCGCCATTGACTGTCCGCCGCCTCCGTGAAGAGGACCGCTGTCTTATTCCTCCATCCATCATGCTTAGCACTGAAAACCACCTCCGCCCTTCTTCATCTTCCTCCCAGAACCTCTGCGCCAGCCAGCTGCCACCACCTTCATCTTCCTCTCAGACCCATTGCATGTTGAAACCTCCCACGCTTCTGGTCTTCCGTCCTCCCACACCGGCACACCCAGTCATATCCACCGTTAGTCCTATCTCCTCCTCCATCTTGTCGTATGAAGCGCGAGATGGATCGATTAGGGCCTCCCTAGCTCTAACTTCTGGGCTTCTCCTTTTCCTTCTTTGAATTTGATTTTCAATTTGATAGTTGAGAGAGAAAGAACAGAGGAGAGAAAGGGGGTTTCTGGAGAAATGGGGAAAGGTAACGAGGAATTGATGAATTATATTTTTCTTATTTTTTGTCCTCATAGTAAACAGCCACGCGGAGTGATACTGTGATAGCCGAGTGATAAAAAATAATTTCTTTTTCATTTTTGATTCACGTTTAAAAATAAACAAAAAAATAGTTCTTCTATTTATTAATTAAGAAAGGAGATATAATATTAAAGAAAAGGAAGATATTTAATATATTCTATTGTATAGGAAATGAGAATCCAATATATTGATGGACACTTTTCGTGAATAATAGTGTGGGATTGATTCAACAGAAAAAAGGTAATATTTTGTTTGTCATCGGGTATATTCCGATATATTAATTTGCTAACTACTTGTATTGATTCATTTATTATCCGGTATATTCCGATATATCCGGTATTACTCCGAGACGATACTCTGATTATGGCGGCACGGTTTTTTGACAAAAAAAAATTTATTATTACAAAAACGGTATTTACCGGTATGAAACGGTTGAACCACGGTTGTACCACAAAATACCCTACCATAAAGGAATCCGGTATGATGTCCGGTACGGTTTCCTTTACCATGATTCTAACTTAAGTGGTATAGCTACCCCAATTCGCATATTTTAGTGGTACCCGAAGTATTTTACCCTATCGAAAGGATATACAGTACCAGATTACACTATTTGGTGATGAATTTGGTGAGGATTTTGGATTCATCATGAGCTTTGTTCAAAATTCATTGTTTGCTTCATGCATTTAGGGGCAACAAATCCGTGGTCCCACAAACTTTTTAAGGGTCCAAATCTGTGGACCCCACAAATTTGAAAGTTCCACATATTTAGGTGAGAATTGATCATGGACTTTGAAGTCCATCATTTAAGACCAAACTACCCCTCACATTTCATTTCTCTTCTCGTACCAATGAGGACAATAAAAGTAAATTTCACTTCATACATACAAATCTAATTAACCAATTCCATCATGAAATCTATGAAACTAACAATGGTATTTTTCAAGTCCATGATGAACCCAAAATCCTTATATATCCATGGTTTTACAAAACCAAATTTTACCAAAACCTTCATTTTTCAAATACACGAAGCAAACGACCCCTAAAGTATAAGAATAATTTAGGGTGATTGGGAAGTAGAGAAATGATATTTAAAGTATAAGAATTGGGAAGCTATAGCATAAAAGTTAGAATATGACATCGGGTATCACTAACATTATTGAATTGTGCATCCGTTTAAAATTTCGTCTATCTACAGTTAAGAAGATATAAAATATTATCTTTTGATAAAAATGTTAAAATAATATGAAAGAAAGGGAATTTTTTTAAAAACAAAAGAAAATTCCGTTATTTCATCCTCGTTTAGGTGCAAAACATATGAGCTCCGGTTGTTGGACCGTCGGAGCGTTTCTTGACCTCCCCGAAACTGTGATTTGGAAGATAATTAGGCCGTTGTTCCGTCGCGGTAATTGAATTAATCAAAATTCTTAGTTTTAATCGGCTTCCTGATCTCACCAGCTACTCCAATTATCGGTTGCTTTTGAGATTCCATTTCATATGAAAAGCAGTTCAGGATTTGCATCGCTTTATCTCTCCGGATGATTTGTTTGTGAGACAGCCGAATTCCAAGATTCGGGAGATGAGGAGTCGCGAAGTTGGAATTACTGTCTACCAAAGATCAGCAACTATCACAACGGCGGAGCAAACCCTGATTATCTCCCAAGCCACAGCTTTAGGAAGGTCAAGAAACCAACCGGCCAGCCATCCAAACAGTTGGAGCTCAAATGTTTTTTCACATTTTGTTTTTTAGAATTTTCTTTCTCTTTTATATTATGTAACTTTTTTTATAAAAAATAATATTATATTCTTTCTTAGTGGTAGATGGACGAAATTTTAAACAGATGCACGATTCAATAACGTTACTGATACCCGACGTCCTATTCTAATTGTAAGTAAAGTAGTAAACAGCTTTGTTAATAAACTTTAACAAAGTGACTAAAACAATTAAATGACGTAAGAAATTATCATCTAAAATGATAAATAGATGTAATATAAAATATTGTTATAAAGAGTTCACACAACTTTCAAATTTTCTTTTTTTGGTTTAGTGACTATATCCTCAAATCGTAGGATCCTATAAATTCATGGAGTATTATGATTTTTGTTTGTTGATCCAACAAACCAATTTGTGAACTAAAATATATTATGTTAATCCTTCTAAAAAAACAAAGACAAAAGTTGATTATTCGAATAGAAGAAGAGACAAGGAAATTTGGGTTGAAAAAGAATATTTAACAAGCAGAAGTGGGAAATGAGAATTCGTCTGGGGATTCCAAAAGCTGTCCTTTTACGTGAATTCCAAAAACCAAATCCCAATTTTTGGAGTTGGTGAGCCGCTCAGCCAGCCACTCACAAACAATAATCAATAAAGAAGAAATCAAAGCTGTTGAATAAATAAATAAATAAATAAATCATAGGAAGACATCTTCTTCTTCCGCGCTCGATCCGAAGGAGATTCGACCGGCAATTTTTACTTACCTTCCGGTTCCGGTTGTTCCCGGGTAGATAATTTCATCGCCATAGCTACGAATTCTCTCCAGAGAAATACAGAGAAGTGAAGCCGCCGACTCTCTCGTTCTCTACCCCGCGGCGCTCTTCGCCCTCCCATTTTGTTTGATCGATCGTCATGTCGTTTTCGTTCTTCAAGCCGTCGCGGCCCAAGACGCCGCAGGAGGTGGTGAGAGCGATCAAGGATAGCCTCAACGCTCTCGATACCGAAACCGTCGTCGATGTTAAAGCCCTCGAAAAGGTTAATCAATCCTACACATCCATTTCCTTTCAATTTTAAGCTCTCCAGGACTGTCTCCAATTTCATGTCTTTTTACATTTTGTCTCCTTTAGTCTCGAGTGCGATTGCTGTTTCTAATGGTGATTATGCCGCTGATTAAGCTGTCAATTTCTGTCTAGTTCGGAGAAATTGAACTTGGTTTATGAGGTTTGTACTTGAAGAAAGAACTGTTAGTTGGGAGCCTAGAGGACGCTGCCGTTTGTCTGGGTTCGTGATGATTTGGTTCTGGCTAAGTGGTGTTACTGTACTTGGAGATTGCTAAAGGAGATTTTGAGGGGAAGGGAATTCTGGAGAACGATATGTTAGTGTGGTTGATTTCAGGAATCGGAGGCCCTTGTGGCTATCCAAACTGTGTTGGGAAAGAGGGAAAGGGGGTGGTGGGATAAGAGTGTGCCGGTGAGACTTTGCTTTGAGTCAAGGGAGCAATTTGGCGGAGATATCATGTCGATAGTCCTGTTATTTCTGTGATTAGTAGTTGTACTTGTGGATTCAGTTTGGATGTCTTTTGACACTTGACAGGCATCGGAAGAAGTCGAGAAGAATTTTGTGACTTTGAAATATATGCTCCAAGGGGATGCAGAGGTTGAACCGAACATGGAACAAGTTTCGCAGCTAGCCATTGAGATATGCAAGGAGGATGTGCTTACTCTTATGGTTCACGAGTTACTCAATTTAGGATGGGCAGTAAGTATAGGCATTCATGGTGGTTACTTCTTTTGGATGGCATTCGTCATATTGATTTCTTGTTGATTCTCACTTTGCTGATGCAGGCAAGAAAGGATTTAGTCCACTGTTGGTCAATATTGTTGAAGCATAAGGTTGAGTCGACTCATAGCTGCGTGGAGTATATTGAGAATCATTTGGAGTTATTAGATTTTCTTGTTGTAAGGTAAGCTTGTGTATCTCTTTCCATTTGATCTTGTCTTCCATATTCATGATGGGAGTTAAAAAAGAAGAGATGTTTGGACATGGTAATTCAGTGAGCCGAGGAAGAGAATGCTTTGCCACCAATGTGATTATAAGAGCATCATTTTGCAGTGGCACTATGTCCAACTGGGTTTGAAGTTTCGTGTAGGTAGGCTCCGAATGAGATGACAATGTGTTAGGATCCGTACTTGAACTGTCTAGGCATCTATACTTTATATTACCTGAAAAAACTAACTCATGTGTTCAGCTTCTTCTACTTAATATCAGTATCTTGAAATACAGTGGGATAGCCTCAATTGTTGCTCAAGATCTTTATCTTCGGGTACTTATCAAATTCAGTGTTACTACATGGGACTTATTCTTACCTCTTTTCACCAGCTATGATAGCAAAGAAATTGCCTTGAATTGTGGACAGATGTTAAGGGAATGCATCAAATTTCCAACACTTGCAAAGTAAGACATTCAAACTCGTTGTTGCTTTTGCCAGTCATTAGTATTGTTATCAGAGCCAGGCAGCCAGCAGTATTTATTTTGGTTTTTAATGCGTCTTCTAGAAAATTTCTTGCTTTAAGAACTGAAGTAACGTAATTGTATCTTTCGAAAAAAAGTTATGTTACTCTTGGTTATGGAAGGTTAAAGTTAGCTTCAGCAGGACACTAGTTCCACCCTTTGCTATTTTTTATTAATTAAGGAGAATTGTGAATATGTCTCTGCTTGTCCATATTCTTGCAAGCATAGCAACACAATTTTTGTACTGGGCAGATACAATTTGTAACATTGGGATGGTCCTTGAAAAGCAAAGCTTGTTGCTCTTTTTCTATTGTTGCTTTTGATTGTAGTCCAGTTTTAAGTTTTCACCCTGTCAAACTTTTATAGTGGTCTTTCAGATACATACTAGAGTCAGCATGCTTTGAGTTGTTCTTCAAATTTGTGGAGTTGCCTAACTTCGACGTTGCTTCTGATGCCTTCTCCACTTTCAAGGTCAGTTTTATTTTGTCTATTTACCTTTTCATTTTCTATGTTCCAGTTATACTCACTTGACATTTGCTTCCATCGCTTATCAGGATTTGCTTAGTAAACATGATACAATAGTTGCAGAATATCTTACTGCACACTATGCTGAGGTATATGTCCTGACAGCCTGTGTGATCTGATTATTATTTCCTTTTTCTGAAAGATTCTTAACCTGATATGCAGCTAAATGTTTCCACAACATAGACTAAAGATTATTGTATGCTTAGACTGCGTCTTTCAAATTTGGTACTCAGCATACTACTGTTCATAGGAGAGTGTTATACATGCCCCAGCATGTTCAAATGTGTAATATTTACCTAGACAAACATAAGAAAACGCCATCCACCCGGTGCCTTCATTTAATAGTTTTGACATTTTTGCTGTCATTCTTCCTCTTTCAGCTTGCTATATAAAACCATGTCACGGAAATGCAGCTTTCTCTTACAAGTAATGCTTGTTCTATTTGGTTGCCTGTCTAAAAGGGTTAAGTTGTTTTTTTTTTTCTTTCTATTATAGTTCTTTGATCTGTATGACAAACTTCTCACATCCCCTAATTACGTGACAAGAAGGCAATCAGTGAAGGTTAGTCTCCAAACGTAGTAGTAATTTCTTAGACTTGCCTAATTTTGTTACGTTTAAGCTAATTGTTTCTTGTTTGTGGATTTAGCTTCTCTCTGAGTTCCTTTTCGAGCCTCCAAATTCCAGCATAATGAAGCGCTTTATTCTCGAAGTTCACTACCTAAAAGTCATGATGACATTGCTTAAGGTACTATATGCTAGTCCTTTGTAGAACCTGATTCCACGTCTCTTCTCCCCCCATTTTGATTAGTCAATTGAATGTCTTAAACTGAAAACCACTAGATTCTTTAATAAAATGATTTTCTCGAGCTCATTAGAGCTGTGGACAGAAATAGAAGTGTAGGCCATTCAAGGAAACATGATTTCTATAATCTCGACTCGAGGAAACATGAGTGTAATTTGTCAGAAGGCCAGTCAAGAAAACAATTAGATGCTTTAATCTCAATTTCTCGATTACTTGAATCTGTCTTTAGGGTTACTTATGATTGGATCCAAGTTACCGGCTGTGTGTAGTGATTAGGATTTTGGCTCGACTTTTGGTGTAACATCTTGGCTTGGGTTCTCTCTTTATGGTTTCCATCTCTTTCATTCTCATTAGTTGCCTATTTGAAAGGAATACGTGCTCCTTGGATGATGGAACCCCATGCAGCATGCATCTTACCTTCCAAGTAGCTCCATAGGTTAACATATGGATAGGTAACCTATCAGGAACATTTTTCACTGTGATGTCATTGTTGCGTGAGATACAATTTGAGATTCTAGTGCTGTATTTCTTTAAGTGTGGAGTTTGATCTGTTTTAGTGGAGATAACTTGAGTTGATTATTGATGTGTGGAATTTGCTTTCAACTGAATGTTACTCTGTTTAAACCCGGCCTCTGATATTCCGCTCTTAAACTTCTACGAAGAGGCCTTGCTTTCAGTCCTTGGGTGTTTATCTTTAGCCTTTAACTCGCTCTTTAAATCCAACCTGGTCTGACTCTCGGCATCTAGTGATGTAGTAATGTGTGTGTGCTTGCTAGACCACAGTGTTTGAAGTTTATGTCCAACGCACCTACAGAAACTGGGTCATGTCGGTACATATACTAGGTCAGGCTAGCTACATTCTTCTTTATCAACTGCTTTGACTGATTTGTTATTATGTATGGACAGGACTCGAGTAAAACCATCCAGATTTATGCTTTCCACATTTTCAAGGTACAGATTCTCCTGCTCTTTCTTCCATCGTATAGAATTTCCCCTGCTTTTACAATCCTGATTTCCAACCTCCATACAAAGCACAAGGATTCCTAATTCCTCTTGTTTTTTGTTTTTTGTTTTTTTGTAAGCAGGTCTTTGTTGCTAACCCTAACAAGCCACAAGAAGTGAAAAGGATCTTGGCCAGAAATCATGAAAAGCTGGTGGAATTGCTCATAGACCTCACAGTTGGGAAAGGTAAAGAACCTGCTAAAATCTCTGTAAATCCTTCTTGGTCTAGGTGAGTAAAACATCTCTTGCGGTCTCAACAGGTTCAGAGGACGAACAGTTCGAAGAGGAAAAGGAAATGATCATCAAGGAAATTGTAAGACTATCTCGCGTGCCTAATCTTCTGAACGGTTAGGCTGTGTTTGTTCTCGCCACGATAAATGCCCTGTATCTCGTATTACTGTTACTACATGAAGATTCTCTGCAACCATCTGCATTTTGTTCGATGAAATTCAGTTGTTTCTGTATTTGAGGCTTTGGAGAAAGCCCTGGCCAACTGCATTCCTTCCTCCCTTCGCCAAGTAAATAGAAGATAAGTATACATCTGCGCATAACTAATTATTTTGAGCTTCAATTCAAGTAGCCAAACAAACCAATTATTCATTTCCCGAAACCCCACAAGAACTCTGTGTTGTCACTATTTCTCAGAGGAAAAAGCCTTTCACGGCGAGATAAATGTATGTAAATATAGAGTTTGTGTATAAATGATACACAAAAATTTCTTCGCGATCACAATGAGACGAGTCTCTCTTTCAAAAATGATGTTTCTTTCTCACCGGCTGAATGATGGAGCTGGTACTGATTTAGAGAGTGAAGGGACCAAGGTTGGGGGTGGATTTGGGGACAATCAAAGCAGCCAAATAATGGCGGTGAGCCCTGCAAGTACAGTGACGTTTCAGTCGTGTCGAGCCAGCAGTCCTTGTTGCCCGAGATAGAGGATACGAGTTGGGATGAAATTGAAGATAGTAGAGGCAATGGAGACTGCAGCAATAACAACGGAGAGAAGGCTGCAGGGGTTGGGAATACAGCAGCCGTAAGTCGAGTTGATTTGAGGAAGCGGTTGGGTTATGCCGAGGAAGAGGAGGATCTGTGCTGGGATATTGAAGATGACGATGAGGAATCTGTCAAGCATTGATCGATTGAAGCCCGATAATGGTTAGTTAGTGCCTCTGGATACAACTTGCAGACCAGCAATGAACTTGCTGCAGTGCCATCCAAGCCCTAGGAGTAGTTGCTGATAATGTTTAAACATCACAGAGAAAGCAGCAAAGAATGATGGATCATTTTCTATACTCAAAATTACAAATCAAAGATAGAATCCCAAGTATCGATCTCCATCAGTTTGTGATGGTAGAAATCAGAGACATTGCTGATTATGTTTGGAGACTGCGGAAGGTAATCTTGCAGAGAAACTCGAGAGGGTACATAATTCGTAATGACCTTTACACAAATTCCTTCGATTAGAACATCGCCGAACTCTCCAGTCTCGAGATGAAATGGGATTAGGCTGCGATCTCCCGAGTAGTCCCCATGTTCGTCGACCATATCAGTAGGAACCGTGTTGAAGAAATACTTCAAACCACTCGAAAGTCCAACGCAACTCTCAATGATCATCCCGGGAGGACTCGTAACGACGTACAGTTTCATCCAAGACTCCGACACCCAGTACTTCAACAGCACCCAGACGTCCCACGACGTGCTAAACTTTCTGTCTCCGTACTCGTCTTGGTTCTCCTCGTAGTACTCGGGGAAGACAGCCACCATCGATTCCTCGTTCAGCAAACAATTCGGAGTATCGTAAGGTTTCTCCGAATCATAATGCACCTCGACTACTTCGAACAATTCGCTCGCAATGTCGAACGAATCGAACACCAAACCCTTGCTCTGCCCCGTCGAGCGCCACCAGTACATCTTCCCCTTACGGCACTGCGGGATCCTCCAAGAGCCGAGCAGCGGGCAGCCGCCGTCAGGCAATCTCCACCAGCAATTGTTCCTCAAACTATATACCTCCGAGATATAGTGACGTCTCCCGATACCTAATTCGTCGAAGAAAAACTGTCTGACGATTCTGTAGTCGTCCCTTTCCGAATCGAAACCAAACCCCACCGCGCCGATCAAAAATTCGCGACTCGGATTGGCGACGGGGGAAGGCGGGAGGACTCTGAATTCGGAGGTCGCCGGGTTCCAGAGGATTAGATCCTCGTCCTTTCTGCCGCGGTACTCGACGATGCAGAGCAGGCCGTTGCAGCATCCTACAACGCTGAAACTTGGACAATCGCCGGCTCTACGGGGCCTGTTTTGATCGAAGGGGAGCTGAAGGGGAGAGGGAAGGAGGGGCTCCAGCGTGTCGGGAGAGATCAAGCGGTGAACGTGCCGAAAAACGTCGCCGGTGCGGTCAGTCCACTCGACCATGAATTGATGATCGGAAGCAGAGGAAGCGAGATTGTTCTTGCGGATGAAAGATGGGTCGGAGAGGAGACGGCGCCATGATTTGCAGACGCAGCGGAATCGGGCGATGGATGAGCTGACCTGAAGCTTGGATAAGATGCCAGTGATCAATTCCTCCGGAATTTCGTCGCTCATAGTAGGCGGCGATTTGGAGGGCAGTTGCCGGCCGGCGAGTATTTGCTGCGGCGCTTAATTAGGGTTTACTCAAGTTCAAAGATAGGCCGTCAGCAGAAATCAAATCAAAGGGATTGGATTCGGACCATAATTAACGCCGGTTTTCAAGGAAAAACATATTTGGTTTACTATAATGAACTAGATTAGGGTTGATGCTGTTCGCCGGAATGGGTTAGGGAATTATACTCTTTTTTATAAACTATATATATTATCCTGATACAACCATCATTGCATTTTTACACCGATATTATTGTACTTATATAACTATCACGGCACTACAACTATCATTGAATTGAAAAAAAGAAAGTAATTAATAAGGATTTTTAATTAAGACAGATTATTAAATGTAAATCAATTTTATTACCGTAAAATTAATAGGGGGTGTCATTTTTTCCAACCCTTTAAGGTATTCATGCTATCTAACCCTAGGTGACTACTAGTTTTTTGGTTGTCAGTGTGGCGGTCTACATCTACGCCTTCTATTATTTTTATAATTTCCTATTTATAAACTGACGACCAATATTGGATTAAGGATATTTTTTAAAACAGATAACTAACACATCTGATTACTACATATATATATTTATGAGTTATGACTTTCCATTTCATTCCTCTCTCCAAACTCTACGAGCAGTCGAGCACTCTCTCCGTTCTTTCCGATTGCCACACCCACACACTCCCTCTCCTCTCGTCCTCTCTCCGTTAGACTATCTTATCCTTGATACGCTCCTGTATGGTACTTATATAACCACTTCCTTACAAAGTTGTCACAAGTTTCTTGAAGAGATGTGAAAACCCATAAAGCCGATAACAAATAACATTCATATCAAGAAAATAACAGACCACACTACAACACATAAACTAGATAAAAAAAAGCTCATGGAGCAGAGCAAAATACTAATTCAAGCTTCACTGCATTGATACTGTTAAAACCTCACAGAGAATGCAAAGAAGGATTTATAATTTTATATACTCAAATGGCAAAATTAAAGATAGAATCCCTAGTAACAAACACCTGGTTGACAAGATCAAATCAAATGTGCAAAGCTAGGCTAACTGTAATGAAGCAAAATTATAAGCTAAGCTCACCATTAGAGACATTGCTGATTATGTTTGGAGACATCGGAAGGTAATCTCGAAGAGACACTCTCGAGAGGGTACATAATTCGTAATAACCTTTACGCAAGTTCCTTCAATTTGAACATCACCGAACTCTGCAGTCTCGAGATGAAATGGAATTAGGCTGCGATCTCCAAAGTACCTCCCATCATCCTTGATCATATCAGTAGGAACCGTCAGGAAGAAAAACTTCAAGTCCCTCGAAATCCCAGCGCAACAATCAATGGACATTCCACAAGGAATAGGATTCGCAACGACATACAGTTTCATCCAGGACTCCGGCACCCAATACTTCATCAGCACACACACGTCCCACGTCGTGCTCCACTTCGTGTCTTCGTATTCGTCATGGTTCTCCTCGTAGTACTCGGGGAAGACCGCCAACATCTATTCCTCGTTCAACAATTACATCGGAGCATCGTACTCTTTCTCCGAATCGAAATGCACCTCGACTACCTCGAACAATTCCCTCGCAATGTCGAACGAATCGAACACCAAACTCTTATTGCTCTGCCCCATCGAGTGCCACCAGTACAACTTCCCCTTGTGGCACTGCGGGATCTTCCAAGAGCTGAGCGGCGGGCATCTGCCATCTATTAGAGTATGTGTAGTACGAGTAGTATTATGTTATACTACGAGTACTGTTATGTAATTAGTCAGAGTTATATTCCTAATCAGAGTCGCATTAGTGTTAGGGTTATTATAGAAGTCAGTCTTTGTACTCTATATAAACCCCATGCGGTGTTAGTAATAATACACAACAGTTTGCACCGTATTCTGATTTTCCAACATGGTATCAGAGCCTGGTTCAAAAACCTAAACGAGAAAACCCTAAACTTTCTTTTCTTTTGTTCCGCCTGCCACCCTCTATGAGTCCACAGTCGCCGGGATATCATCATTGTTCCAACTAGAGGTGGCAATTAGGATCCAAATCCATGAATCCAATCCAATCCAATCCATCCACCAAATTATCCACTTAATCCAATCCATTTAAATCCAATCCATTTGATCCAAATCCAATTGGATTGGTGGATTCATGGATCAAAATGGCAAATTACGATTTGGTACCTAGATTTTTTATATTTTACATTTTGGTACCTAAAATTTATATTTTTATACGAAAAAATCATTGGAAAATTACATTTTGGTACCTAAAATTTTTCATTAAGACCTTTTAGTACCTAAACTTTTCAAAATTTATATTTTGGTCCAAACCTTGGATATCATTTGGATTCATGGATCAATCCACCAATCCATTGGATCCAATCCATTTGATCTATGGATCCACCAATCCAATCCACGAATCCACGGATCCGATCCAATTGCCACCTCTAGTTCCAACCATTGATTTGATCTCTTTTCCTAGTTTTCATTTAGTAGCTTAGTCGTTTGAAAAGAAAAGAGCAACTAAATAGCAAGAAACCCCTGCAGTCCCTTCCGTTCCTTCCCCGAGTCTTTTGTCGATTTGTTGCCGCCTCCCCCGCCGATTGAGTTTTCTGTCGACACCCGAATTTCTAAAGAGTCTCTGCTTTATCTCGTCAATGGAGTACAGTCTATGGAGTACCTACCCGAGATTGCCACTAATCACCATGGTGTTTATGAAGTCCAAATTTCAGGTTTTATTTCACCCTCGATGCTGGTACGGAGTGGAGATGATGCTAGCTATTTACGTGAATGATAAGTGGGAAGTTTGGCATTATATTTATGGATTTTGTTTGCACGAGATTGCTTTTGCTCAATGGTATTGGTAATTCAAGTCTGCAGCTGGGTTTATTTATCGATCTGGGTTTGGAATCGTTGAACTGTCCATCCAGTTCGAGTGTCATTGGTGTTCGAAATTGGAATTGGAAGCTAGATATGGTTTTTGGTTGGTTGCACGTGAGTTCAGGTTGCAGTTCGGATTGGATTGCTTCGTTATGTGGATATGAACACAAGACCTCTCGGCCACAGAAGGCTTTGATACCATGTCATGAACCAGTTGATCCCAATAACTCGAGTTGTTGGGAGAGGTTCAATCGTGGATCATATACCACAACACTAACACCATCTGGGAATCTCGACCAGGAATCGTTCCTCAAACTGTAAATCTCCGAGATAAAGTGACATCCCATAGAATAGCTTCGTCGAAGAAAAACTGCATGACGATTTTGTAGTCGTCGCTCTCCGAATCGAAACAGAACCCCACCGCGCCGATGGAAAAATCGGGAGTCCGATCCTCGGCGGGGGAAGGCGGGAGGACCTCGAATTCGGAGGTCGCCAGGTTCCTGAGGATTAGATCCTCGTCCTTCCTGCGGTACTCGACGATGCATAGCAGGCCGTTACAGCATCCTACAACACTCAAACTCGGACGAGAATTAGGGTTTCGGGGGCCGGTCAGGATTGAAGGGAAGCTGAGCAGGAGAGAGGAAATGGTGAAGTCGCCGAGATAGGCTTCTGCCGCGGTCGATACAGTGAATCCACTCAAACATGAATTGATGATCGGAAGCAGGGGAAGCGAGATTGTTCTTGCGGATGAAAGAGGGGCCAGAGAGGAGATCGCGCCATGATTTGCAGACGCAGCGGAATCGCGCGATGGACGAGCTGGTCTGAAGCCTGGACAAGATAACAGTGATCAACTTGTCTGGAATTTCGCCGCTCATGGTAGGTGGCGGTTTGGGGAGTAGATCAGGTCAGTAACTGATGGGTTACTAACCCATCAGTAACCCCTTCTCCTGTGACCTGTTCCCACGTGTCAGTCCCTTTTTTTATTTAAATTAAATGCGAAAGGGTAGTAAGGTAAAATTGCACTTACCCCTATTTATTATTGCTGACGCTGACTTTTGACCGGACCACATCATCGTCTCCTTCGCTCTACTCGAAAAACCTTTAATTTGCATTCCATTAATCTTTAACGGACGATTTCTCACTCATTTTAAGTCGGAATTTAATTTTTTTTGCATAGTTAGATCAGATTAATTGTGCTCTTCAAAATGATATCCACTTTGATATTTTTTGGACACAAATTTTTTTTCCAGTTATTAACAGTCTATACCATATGGTATTGACTGGTATTAAATAAGTGCATATGATATGAAAAAATTTGTCACATCAATATATATTTCGTTACCACCCAATACCATATGGTATAGTGTGGTAATATCAATATATATTTCGTTACCACACAATATGTGGTAATATCACACAATACCATATGGTATAGTGCGGTAATATCAATATATATTTCGTTACCACACAATACCATATGGTATAGTGTGGTAATATCAATATATATTTCGTTACCACACAATACCGTATGGTATAGTATGTTAATATCAATATATATTACCTAAAACAAAACAAAAAAACAGAAGGAGGGAGAGGAAGAAAAAAAACTCGTCTTCTATCTCGTCTCATTTTCTCCGCAATCAAGAACACCAAACGCCAAAAAAGGGAGAAAGACCGAAATTGAGGCCAGCGAGTTGATGAAGAGACAAAAAGACGCAATGAAAGAGGGTGACTGTAATTTTTCTTCGTCAATTGCTGGAGGAAAAAAATGAAAAAAGAAGAGAAGGAAGCAGATCTAGATATGAAGAAAGAGATTGGAGAGAAAAAAAAGGAAGAGAGAAAAAGAAATGATCTGAAAAGGAGATTGAGAGAGAAAAAGGAAGAGAGAAGGAAGGGAGAAAGAGAAAAGAGAGTTGGAGTGAAATTATTCTCTCTCCTCCTTTGAAAAAACAGCCATTAAAAGTGGTCTCCTTTTCTGAAAAAAGCAGTCATTAAAATCGGAATATAATAAAAATAAAAATACAAATTTATAAGGGTCTGGAGAGGAGTTGCGCCAGCGGTGAGTATTTTATGCGAGTTTGTGTTTACTGTTTAGGGTTTTATATATGTTCAAGGGTCGGCCATCAACACAAATCAGAGTAGTGGACGGACCATAATACTACCACCTGTTTTCAAGGTAAGACATATTTTGTCTACTAATTAATATTATTTGATGTTTTTTTATAAAGAATATAATATCATTAGTGAATTCCATACTTGCTGAGCATTTATATAATTTAATATTTTTTCCATTCGTGGTTAGGTATGAGGATATTTAATACTACCACTTGCTTTGAAGGTAAGACATATTTTGTCTACTAATTAATATTATTTGATGTTTTTTTATAAAGAATATAATATCATTAGTGAATTCCATACTTGCTGAGCATTTATATAATTTAATATTTTTTCCATTCGTGGTTAGGTATGAGGATATTTATAATTTTAGCGGCTTATCATGACTTTTACAATTTTTTCAACTAGATATTAAAAGTGTTTTCTTGTATTGTGAATTCACGAAAGAGATCTACATTGAGAAATTACAAGGATTTGTAGTTGCTGTAGAGGAACACAAGGTATACAAACTTCAGAAGACACAGTATAGCTTGAAACAAACAGCCAGAGGAGGCCTTTTCAATGACCTATGCTGTGTTGAAGGGATCCCGAGGTGGAGGAGAAAATACGGGGTACTATTGAATTTAGTCATACTTTCGGAAAATGGGTTTGAAAGATGTGAGATGTGAATACGAACGTATCGTTTTCTTCAACGCTTCTAGAGTTGATATATTGCGGGTCACACTCTATACTAATGATCTCATGTACACGAATAGGAGTCCAATCATGTTTGAAGAGTTCAAGCAAGCAATCCATGAAGTCCGAGTTCGAAATGACAATTTTTTGGAGGATGAAATACTTTAGGTGTTGCTGCGGTAACACAAAATGAATCTGCAATTTTCATTTGTGAAGAGAAATATGTTAGAAAAGTGTTTCATAATGCAATCCAAAGGCTAGAGATGGGTTCCAGAAAAGTGTCTCCTTAATTTTTGTATAAATATTCGACCTATCCATCTATCACAAAAAAGTTCTAACAAAACATCCAAAATATTAAACAAAAGAAATCATAATTTTTTATTAAATTCAAGTTATTAATGGGAGTGACAACTGTAATAGATCACAGAAAGTTGACAAGGAGATTGGCACATGAAGAAAAGAAAGCATAAATAAAGTTTCTGATTGAGGTTAGATGATGTTAGTTTACATTAAAAGTTTTTTTTGTTAAATACTAGTAAAATCGATGTGGTTTCTCTTGTTTCATGCCAAATCATTAGGTTCATCCCTAACCGTCCAATCAAATGAAGCGAACCACTATTTTAATTGCTACAGTGATTCTATTGGTCTAACCAGTGATTCGGTTTGATTGTTATAACAATAGTAAAAACCTAAATTTTCAAATTTTAAAGCGCGATTTTAGCTACATTCCTCCTAGTGGCGGTTGGCATTCACCTTCTTCCAATCAGTATCGCCTGAGCATCGTGAAAGAAGCGGATCTTCGTTGATGATATTCTTCTCGCTTAGGGTTAAATTTTGGCCTTGTTTGGCTGTTTGTTCCTTATCTAGTGCCTGATTTACTTTATCTATGCTTATTTAGCAGCAAACCTTCTTCAAGTTAAGAGGGTGATGAAATTTGGAGTGAGAAGGAAGAATTTCAGAAGGAGAGATTTTAATTTTGAAAAAATGTCAAATTGGAGCATTCACAGTGAAATTGCAATTTGAATTGCATGGCATTCATTTACATTTTCAATTGTATTATGTAAATGAATTGATGTAGATGAAATTGTAACTTTGCAAGCTTGCATCTAATGCAATTATGAATTGCAAGCCACGTCATTTTTTATTATTAAATTATTTATTATTTTCTTTTTTAATTGTTATATTTTTATAATAATTAAATTAAATTAGCCAATTGCAAATTAATTGTATTTATGTGAGCGCCATGAAATTAATATGAACTGGATTGCAAAAAAATTGAGGTGGCTATAAAGAGCACAAATGCAAAATTGAGGTGGCTATAAAGAGCATCCATATTGGTATTGCAAGATTACATGGTATGGGTGCTTGCAATTTGCAAAACCAATTGCATTGATCTAACTACCAATTGCATATTTGCAAGCTTACAACAAATGCAATTGCATATGCAAGTAAAAAAAACTAAAAAGTCTAAAAATGAAATTTTGTATTTTATATGACTTTTCACTTTTACTTTATTTTTTTTATAATTTAAATATAATGAAATTACAAGTTAATTGCATTGATGTAGGTGAATGAAAGTAATTTTAGGTGGATTGCAAAAAAATGAGTTGGAAACAAAGAGCATAAATGCAATTACTTTTGCAATTGCATTGATGTGGGGAGCATTCACATTAGTCTTTCACTTTCAATTGTAAGATTACATGACATGGGTATTTGAAATTGCAAAACCAATTTCATTAATGTGGCTATCAATTGCATACTTGCAAGCTTGCAACAAATACAATTGCATATGAAAGTAAAAAAGCCTAAGAGCATCTCCATTAATGCAATTGCAAAAAAAATTGCATTTGTGTATTTTATTGTCAACTCAAATTTTTTGCAATCCACATCACATTCATTTCATTCACCTACATCAATGCAATAAACTTGCAATTGCAAATGTAATTAAATATTATATTTAAATTAGAAAAAATTAAGTAAAAGAGAAAAGAAAATAATATAAAATAAAAAATCCCCATTTTTTTAGGCTTTTTTGACTTGCATATGGAATTGCATTCGTTGCAAGCTTGCAAATATGCAATTGGTAGCCACATCAATGCAATTAGTTTTGCAATTGCAAACACCTATGCCATGCCATTTTGCAATTGAGAATGCAATACCAATGTGGATGCTCTAAAAAGGAGAATTATGTATTTTATATTATTTTATTTTCTCTTTTTAATTTATTTTTTATAATTTAAAAATATTGTTTAACAACAATTGCAAGTGAATTGTATTGATGTAGATGCATTGACATTAATGTGAGTATGATTGTAAAAGAATTGAAGTGGCAATAGAAATCTCATATGGACTTGCAATTGCATTGATGTTGTTCCTCTTTTTGGCTATACAATTGCATTGACAAAACATGATGTAGTGTCCACGTGGCAAGTGGTGTCTAGTTGTCGCTGACTTGTTCTTCGATTCTAACACGGCTCAAGTTTTAAACGAAAATGACTAAATTTGTCAATTATCATCTAAAATATTACTATTTTGTGTATTTATTAAAAATAGCTAATATTCTCATAAAGTCATAGTTATGGTTATGAATTTTTGTTGTTTTTAATACCAACGCCTTAATATTGAACAACGTGATCCGTTTTTTCCGTTGAACACTTGCCTCCGGCGGGAAAATATAATTACCGAGCAAGAAAAAAATAATATGAACGAAAAGAAAAAAGAAACCAAATTCCTTGTGGGAAGAGGAAATCAGTAGACATACCTTTTCCGAGAAGTAAAAGGATTCCTAACCTTACTCGGCTAAGGATAATTCCTCCTCTCTTCTTCACACTGCTACTTATATATATACACACCTGACACCACCAACCAGTTAACTAAGCTCCATCCACAGTCTCTAAAGCTCCCGCATCCGAAAGCGAAAAGAAAAGCAAGAAAAGCAAGGAAAGCAAGCAAGCAGCGGATCGAGATCACCATCGCCATGGGGAAGCGCAAGTCATCTTCGAGCAAGAAGCTGCTCGCGAAGAAGCCCAAGCACGCCCAGAAGCTGGAGAAAGTCTTCAACTGCCCTTTCTGCGGCTACGTCGACTGCGTGGACTGTCGTCTCGACAACGAAATCTGGATAGCCACGCTGCGCTGCAATCGCTGCGGCGAGTCCTACACCACCAGGATGAATCGTCTCACCGAGCCCGTCGACGTCTTCGCCGAGTGCCAGCTCGTCAACCCCGACCCAGCAGTAACCGGCGCAACCAACCACCACCGCGGCGGCCGCATTCGTCTGTCTATACTTCTCGGCCGACCAAGATTGCAACGCACCAGCCGCCGCCGCGGCGCTCGTGCCAAGTAGTTTAGGCCTCTTCCTTATTGTCGTCTGTAAAAACTAAAAAGCCCTAATGAATGAAGAATGATTCAATTCTTGTTTCAAGCTCTCTCTCTCTCTCGTATTCGGCAAATTAGTTAATCTAAAAGGGAAAGAAACGAACATAGGAAGCTTTCCAGATGATCACGAGATTCAGTTTATTCATTCAAAGGGAAAGGTCATAGTTTGTAACACAGAATTCGAAATATAAGAAGCTATTTACTGCTGTTTGACAAGATGAATGGGGGATTGTACTTTTTACCACTGCAAAAACTTACAAAGCACCGATAGACAGAAGAGAACTAACGCACAAAATTATACGAGGGTAAGTTCTGAATGGAGAAGGGAATGTGTGCTCAGTTATGTACAAACTGCTATTCAGTTGTCTCCCTGCCTAAGCACGCGCAGGATGGTGAGGAACAGATTGAGGATGTCGAGGTAGAGAGCGACAGAGGCCAGGATGTACTGATCGTAAGTGTATCGCTTGATCAAGTTGTCGGTGTCGTAGACTATGTATCCCGAGAACACCAGAGCGCTGATCCCGCCGATGACTGCAGTCGAGGTCGAACCAAGTGGGCAGAACACCTGATAGCAGAATCACACCAACATACAAAAATGGTAAGGTAGATGAAACCCGAGATCGAGACCAGAAATCAACAACGAGAGAGGACAACGACGGACCAGGATGAAGCTGGTGAGTACGAGGATCATGAGGCTGGTGAACAAAATGGGACCCATGAAGCTGAAGTCCATGCCTCTCTTGGCGGCCCAGAAGGTGTATGCAGTCAGAGAGCAGACGACGGCTGAGGTCAGGATCAATGCTTCCAGCACGATTTTGCCTGTTTAAGAACAAACCCGAAATTGCAATCAGTCTCCGTTTTACAAGGGCTGAATCGCGACGGAATCTATAGAAGAAGCTCACCATCTGTGTTAGCACAGCTTGCGCCAACCAGGAAACTCAGAGATACGGTGAAGAGGCCGAGCACGATCAGGTTGACAGGGTGCTTCTGGTGGTATACGTGAAGAGGCCACAACACTGCAATGAGACAGCCATCATGTAAATTGAAGAACAATAGCTATGAGAACCTAGAATGGACGCAAATGTATTGATCGGAAACTCAAATTGACAAAGAACACAACATCTCCAGCAGCCATAGATCAGGGGACCAAATTGCTTATATTCTACCAAATTGCTTAGAATGGGTATTTGTATGGACGATATGGATGTTTGTCTGAGGATGAAGATAACACCGAGGAAACCATCCGGAAATGAAGTTTTTTTTTGTCATGGTAGGTCTGATATTAGTCCGTTTATGATTTCAGATATTAATTTAAGTGGCTGGATATTAGTCAGGGTGTCAATGATATTTGTTCGCCCAAGGATGGATATTATATCTGGAATGGATGGATGTTAGTCTGGGCGCCACCGATATTTGCTCGATAAAGGACATATATTTGTTTTGGGGTGAATGGGTATTTGTTCGATAGAGGACGGATATTAGTTTTTGCCCGTTATGTAACAAAATATTAGTTTTGCGTGATTATATTTTTTGTTTTCTTTATTTGGATATTAGTCTGCATGGTTGTTCCTATTAGACCTTCTGATTATATTTTTTACATCACAAAGCTAATTTTTATTTTTCACCAAAATAATTTCAAAACCCCCCAACTAATTACAACTACATTCAGTTGACCTACTTAGGGTTTAGAGTTTAGGGTTGGTGGTTTAGAACACAATGTATGGTGGTTCGATATTTTGTCTGTGTAGTGAGATATTAGTTTACGACGGTCAGATATCAGTCTGTGTATTGTGGATATTTGACTGTGATGGCGAGATATTACATTTTTAATGACTGGATATTGGTTTGAGACGGTGCGATATTAGTTTGGATGGTGTGGATATTTTTTAGGGTTTAGAGTGAGAGTTTGTTTGGTTTAGGATTTAGAAGATGATGTTGTGGAAATGTATATGAACACAATGTAGGGTGATTCGATATCTGTCTGTGGTGATAGGATATTATTATGTGATGGGATGATATTAGTTTGCTATGTGTGGGTATTTTTCTGTGTAGTGAGTATTAGTTCATGATGGTCAGATATTAGTTTGTGTGTAGTGGGTATTAGTCTGTGATGGTGATGATATTAAATATGGAATGACTGAATATTGGTAGGATATTAGTTTGCGATGTGTGGGTATTTTTCTGTGTAGTGAGTATTAATTCGCGATGGTCATGTATTAGTTTGATGTAGTGGTATTAGTCTATGATGTTGAGGATATTAATTATAGACTGACTGAATATTGATATTAGACGGTGTGATATTAGTCTGGGTGGTGTGGATATTTGTTCTGCTGAACTGATATTAGTGTGAGTGGTTTGGATATTTATTTTGTGTGAATGTTTATCTATGTTTGTTTGTGTTGATATTGAGTTTAAACAAATCCATATAAAACAAAATCGTTTTTCGACAAACCGCGATACAACTAGTATTAATGTCATTCCAATCCAGAAAGCCCAAAGCAATATCTATTAATGAAGGAAATATTATCCTGATATATCAAAGTATTATATGCTCATGTAGCAACTATTATCCCTATATACCAGACTAGTATCTTGTCATTCAACAACTATTATTCAGAAAGCCCAGAGTAATATCTATGCATGAAGCTACTATTATCCAGACAGCCCTGACTACTATCTACTTAACCTGTGCTTTCATTACAATATTCATCATCAAAAGAACTACAATCCAGAACATAAAGAACAACCATCCATTATTAAAAAAAATGTTATTCAATTTCTTGGTCCTCATATTCCTCTGACTCATTTTCCTGTGGTTGTTTGCCACGGTTAGGTCTCGAGGATTTGCCTTCTACTCGCTACCTCTTTGCAGTTCCTTTAGTTCTTGCCATTTTGATTTCCCTGCACAGAAAATATCCTGACATAAGCTAACTAATATCTGGACTTCACATTAACTATATCCATAACATTCAAAAGTAATATCAATGAAGTCATATCCACATTCGTCAAACAAAAACTCAGTCTATCATACAACTGATATCCTTAAAGATGACAACTAATATCAATGAGGTGATATCCAAATACATCAAAACAATATCCATGAAAGTATACAACTAATATCACTACTCATCAAACTAATATCAATGAATTGACATCCAAATACAACAGAAAACTATCCAGGCGAGTTTATACTAATATCCCAAATCCACAAAACAACTAGCATCCCATGCCACAGAAAACAAATCCAGAAACTCATCCAAAATAACAAAGCAAAAGAAAGAATCTAGATCCAGTGGTTTCCATGAAATTAGAAAACAAATCCATAAAATCCATAAAAACGCATTAAAAAATCGAAGAAAAAAATCCAGATCCAGCGGTTTCCATGAAATCAGAAAAAAAATCCATAAAATCCATAAAAACCCATTAAAAAATTGAAGTAAAAGAAAAACCAAGATCTAGTCGAATCCATGAAACCCAAGATCAAATATATGCAATCCAACGGAAGGAGAAGGGGAAGAAGAAGACGTCTACCTCAACGGCGTCAGTCGCCTTATTTTTCTTTGTTCAGCGACTGCTACAGTAGTCGAATCCGCCTTCACCACAGTGGTGCCGTCAAAATCGTCATCGTTGCAGCCTTGAAAGTTCGCCGCTGCCGTGAAAGCCACAGTCGCCGATGCCTTGAATGTCGTCGTCGCCGTCGTCGGTATTGGGAAAGGAAGGGGAGAGAAAGTGTTTTTGAATTTTGGAGAGAGAGTGAAAGTGAACGGACAGAGAAATATCAAAGAGAGGAGGGAGGGGTTTAAATAGATAAAATCAATTGTGTTTTTTGAATTTGTGGACCAAGTGGACCCCACTTTTTTGTCCCAGAGTGTCTGGGCTTGGTCCAGCCGATGGACTCTGCTCTCCTCCCCTCACAAGTTGACGCCAACCTTCCTCCACCGTCTGATCTCGGCTCGGCGACGTGGGTGGCCATCCGGCCCTGTGAGTATATACTCACACTATATCCTATGAGGAGGATAACTAAATTGAGCGTTGCAGGCCTTCATCGTCTTCCGGAATGCGATTGATGAGGGTCTGTACCTTAGGAATCCACTGCTTGACCTCCATCGCATCGTCTTCTTCGTCGTCGTCGTCGTCGATCTCGTCACTGCTGTCTTCCTCGTCGTCGCTTTCCTCCTCCGTGTTGCTGATGCCAACCTTTACGTCCTCTTCAAGCTTCCGTTGCTTAGGATCGGAGGAGGAGGAGGGGCCAGATGGAGGAAGCGAATCGGAGCAACTTAGCCCGGCCGACTTGTCGGAGTCGGAGCTCGGCTGAAGAGGATTGGGATCCATCCCTGACAACGATCAGATCGAGACCGAACTGAATGAATTAAAAACAAGGATGGTGGAAAACCTAGATTGAGGAGAGAAGAGGGCAGAATTGGGGATCAGTGAGTGTGTGTCGCGTCGGGCGTTACCAAAGTTTTTCTTTGCTAATCTCGGGACAAGGTTCTGTCGATTTTTATTAATTGTTACGAATTAAACGGGGTAACAAACGACTCCTTAATTGTCATACATGAAGTCAGCTCTAGAAGGGGGTGTGCTTGTGTTGCGTGATTGCTTCTATTTGAACTCGTCCATGTTCCATGGTGCAGAGTTTAGAGTTTTAATTTGTCAGTTAGAACTGCACATAGAGTGGCTCGTTAAAATCGTTTTCCTTATATTTGGCAAAGTTAAAATCTTTTGATTTGGCGCCTCGCTATTGTTGCATTAGCTGGGATAAGATCTTTCTTTGATTTATTGTTCTTTCTTGATATTTATCGGACAAAAAATACATCAATCAATAGGTCATCCATTGACCATACAACGAAGTGGTCGGCGCTAGGGTGTGAGTGGTAGGCCTGTTGACTGGCCCCATCTTAAAACCTTATCGAGCCCATGCAAATTCCATCAACTCAAGTTGTGTAGTTGATCTACCCCGAGGGAGACTGTTTAGCATCTTGATAAACGATTCATTTTTTCCCCTCTTGTTATGCCTCACATCGCAGTCAACTCCAAAGAATGCTAAATAGATCCATCACAATGAGGAGCCTCACTCAACAGATCCAACATTGTCTCTCTATCTAGAAGGACCCCTTACCGTCTGCTCGATCGTATTTTGATACTACTCGAACTTGCTAACACAAGGTTACAAATTCAATAATGAACTAGTGCAGTGGTCTCAAAACACGAAGACTTTATTCTTCAACAAAATCCAACAACTAGGTTATTTTCAAGTCTTTATCCGAAGCGAACATTTTTGGGTTGTGAGGTGCACATAACAAATGCAGGAAGAAAGGGCATTTGAAAATTTGCTCACGCAATTTACAAGGTCAACTTGGAGAGTCCTAAGCATGCCCATGACGCAAAAAATACTCATCACTCTCGCCTACATAATGTTCTTTGAACACAAGAAAAATGAACTTAAGCATACAATGACGTAATGCATGACTTATCACAATTATAGGCTAGCTAGGAACCATCAATCTATCAACACGATTACTACCACATTAGCACCTTTGAGACTACTCAATTATACATGATAATATCGTCGATTAGATAATAATAATAAGTCGCACTTAAGAGGATATATAGTTACTACCAAATTACAAAATTTAGATAATAGCTCGTTAGTAAGGAAATGCAGCGTGCAGATCATCATATGAGAGAGCTCGAGTAAGTATTCCCAATCTCTAGAAACACCTGAACTGATTCTTACGGTCCATGTTAGCTCAGCTCGTGATCACGCCTGTATAGCAATCATACTTCAAACGACATTGTTATATATATACACTCTCAAGTCGAGGTTACCATTTCACCATTTGACAGACTAAAAATACCATTAGGACTAGTAAGTAGGGAACCCACAACCACAAAGTAAAGCTGTAGATGAGCAACCTATTTGATTATTATCTCTATGAACGATCAATTGCAGTCTGCAGACTCTGTTTGGTTAAGTTACTACCTACCTGAATAAGTGGTTGTTGCTGCCGCTGCTTCTCCCGGAAAACATGAATCTTGATGTCCTTCCAGATACTGTGGTGCACCTCCGCTTGATACACTTTGTCTTCTTCCTCCTCGGCGGACAACTTCTTCTTGGCTTCAAACGTAATGTAATAGTTATAACCAGTGTCGAACCCGTAATTGACCGTCTGAATTCGAACCTTTTCCAGCTGCAGAAAGGGCACCATGCCGCAGATTAGTTTAGAGTCGTACATTACATAGTATGTAAAAGAGTGAAAATGTCAGAAGGGAAATAGAGGAGAACCCAAAAGAGAGACAGACCAGATTGCCTTGTTTCTTCTTTTCGTCGATTACATGGTTGAGGCAGCGCCAAATATTTTCGACGTGATGGGTATCTTCAGGGCAATCAAAGTCGACCTTGTAAATTGCAGTAGCAAACATTTGGTACTCCAGAAGAGGGTTCTCATCCAAATCGAAACACTAGAAGAAAAAAAACACAAGATTTATGAGCAAACATGACTAAGGACGGGGGGCTAATTAGAGAGAGAACAGGTTTAATAGCAGCAAACCTCGCTCTCTTTGATTTTCCTGATGTACCGTTGCAGGCCTTCATCGTCTTCTGGAATGCTCTTGATGAGGGTCCGTACCTTGGGAGACCACTGCTTGACTTCCATCGCATCATCGTGATCCTCGTCCTCATAATCATCGCCATCCTCAATCTCGCCACTACCATCTTCCTCGTCGTGGTTTCCCTCTTCCATGTCGCCGGAGCCGTCGCTGTCAGCGTTCTTTCTGCCTCCTTCAACCTTCTGTCGCTTAGGATCAGCTTCGTCGGAGGAGGAGGAGGAGCCAGATGGAGGAAGCGAATCAGAGCAACTAAGCTCGACCGACTTGTCGGAGTCGGAGCTCGGCGGAAGGAGATTGGGATCCATATTCCATCCCCGACAATAAACAGAGGCCAAAGCGAATAAATTAAATGGAAGAAACCCTAGATCGAGGAGAAAAGAGGGTAGAATTGGGGATTTGCGAGTCAGTCTGTCGTCGGTTCCTGATTGGGTGGCGATTTTATATATTGAATGGTAAACATCCTGAAAGGTCACTTTAAGTTTGTAACAAGTTCAACTCTTGCCATTCCAATTTATTCTCCATTCCCAAATTGAACATCACAATTTTCTTTTTTCTAATCTCACACCGCCCACTGAATTTTCTATGATTGATATCCTAAATCCTCGTAAAATTACTATATGGAGGTTCTCATACCCCATCAGCTCCAAGTTTCCAGCCTCATGCGCATAGCATGGAGGGGCCATTAGGTCATTTTCTTACTTTAATTATTATGGGTAATGGGCCATAGTAAGCATAAAAGTTTCAATTTACAATCGAGGGTTCCATATGTCATTTTTTTAAAAATTCATTTGGGCCTTAGATATCACAGAATACATTAATTAATATATGGGTAATTAACATGGGTAATGGGCCTTAGAGATCACAAACGCAGCTGGTTGCTGTTTTTGGTTCCAGAAAGTAGGATTGGAAAAATAGACCAGATCGTTTGAAAAATCGTGAATTAAATTGTTATTGGTTCAAATTTTTATGTGGTTGACTAAATAAATTATTCATTATTCGGTCATTATCGGGTGTAATTTATGCTTGAAATTTTCAACATAGGGCTTTAATAGATTCAACAAATAGTCAATAATCATTGATTAAAATGTACTGATTTAACAATATAGATCGCTTATGTATATTATTAAAAATCATTGATCGAGTGTTAAGTATTTTGATTGATAAATAAGTGCATACTCTGTCAAGGTCTCTTAAACCTATATCAAACCATTTGAAAAATCGTGGATCAAATTGTTATTAGTTCAAATTTTTGTGTGGTTGACTAAACAAATTGTTCATTATTCGGTCATTATCGGGTGTGATTTATGCTTGAAATTTTCAACATAGGCCTTTAACAGATTCAACAAATAGTCAATAATCACTGATTAAAATGTATTGATTTAACAATATAGATCGCTTATGTATATATTAAAAATCATTGATCAGAGTGTTAAGTATTTTGATTGATAAATAAGTGTATACTCTATCAAGGTCTCCTAAACCTATATCAAAGTTAGACGCAAAAGACCATGAGTATTTAACAGTAGAATATTAAAATATCGATTACAATTGACTCTGACCAATCTTTATTTGAAGGGTTATAGGCATAATATGCTCCTCTACTATAACGTTTTATCAAATATGCCATTCTACTATTTTTTATATCAAACATACCCCTGTACTTTGTAAAAATTATCAAACATGCCCTTTTGTTTAAAATTTGATCCAAAAATTGTTAACCAAGGTCGAACTTTGGTTTGAGAGGCACAAATGTCTAAAATATCCCTAATAATTTCACTTTAGAATTTTTTTTATGTTCTTTTGTATAGCCAAATAATTCAAATAATTTCACTTTGAAGAGACCCAGAGAAATAAAACGGGAGACAAAACTGACATTTTCGCTCCCATTTGCCGATGTCAGGTCGTCTAAATCTCGGTTCAACCATGATTGACGATTTTTTCAATGGAAATTTTAACAGAAGGGCATGTCTGATAATTTTTTCAAAGTACAGGGGCATGTTTGATGTAAAAAATAATAGAGGGGCATGTTTGATAAAACGTTATAGTAGAGGGGCATATTATACCTATAACCCTTATTTGAACTACAAAACAAGTTTACTAATGATATGACCATAAATAATAACTCTTATCAGTTTATAACCATTTCAATTATTTTGACTTTCGACATTATAGAATTAATTTTTTTCAAATTAAATTTTCAAAAATCGATTCACGTAAGTTAAAATTGAAGATAATTTATAAGCTATTGACAAAATTAGTAAGATCGAAACGTTTCTTTCTATCAGAAAAAATTCTAAAGAGATCAAAATAAAGCTTAACGAGACATGATTCTTTTAAACTTGCATCTTAAAATTGCATGCATTGTTTAAAATTTTAATTTGGGTCTACTATATAGTAATATCGATGAGGCAGGATGGGATGGGTACCTTAACTACCCATACCCACTCCATACTAAGCGTTGGTCAGGTTGGATAATACCCGCTCGGGTGTGGGGTGTGGCAGGTCGACCCACTCTTATATGTTATCTGAAAAAAGAACGTTGATATTTAATTCTTTGACAAGAACACATTGAAAAAACAATTCATAAATGGATGAGAAACGTAGTAGAAGGAATAATTGAGTCTCAATAGTGAAAGATAGTATAGAGAATTTCTTTGGGATATAAACATGATTTTTGAAATGTCAAAAGAGGAAAAATACATGTAGATATAGATGCAAATCAAGATAGAACGGGTAAAAAACAGGGACGGAGAGGGACAGATCGTAAGCAATACCCATGCCTCGCAACAAGCTACTGGAGGTCGGATGATATCCGCCCCAAACAAGTTGGGACAGGTCGGATCGGCGGTTCATATAAGATATTGTCATCACTACTAGTATACAATTTGGGTACATGGGTTAGTTGTGAAGGTTCCCCTATAGGGCAGGACAATATATATTATTCTCGCAAACATTGGTGACTGTCTTCTCATTTTAGTCATTACATTAAAATTGAAGAGAATTGATTAGCTATTGACAAAGTTAGTAAGAGGGAAACATGTAATTTTATAAGAAACCTATTTTCTTATAGATTTGTCTCTTAATGAAACTACAAATTTCGGAGTTTTAGAAAACCAAAATTTGGTTTCACAAGTATTGTTTTCGTGATAAAAGTGATAGAGGTGCATCACATCCTTCAGGGAGTGTACAAATTGAAATGATGAAACTCCAGTTTCAATTTAACGACTCAATAATATTAAAATGCTGTCTCTTTCTCTAATAGGTAGGATAATTCGTATTCCTTCCAATGTAATTAAGTTGTCAAAGTTAGGAACTGGTGGTGCTATGCTTAATGCTACCTATCGACCAAAAGTTGAAGAAAAATCTCTCAAGTACTTTTGTGGAAATCATACACAAAATTAAAGATGATGTCAACTAGGTAGCAATCTATCTTTAGACGTCCATTCTTCTTAACTTCATCATTCACTTTAGGAAAATCACATCGAACCCATATGAAGTTTTACCATGAGCAGATTGAATCCATTGGGCAAATATGGCAAACCCATTAAAACATAAATTATGCTAATAATAACCTTTTTTAGAAGAGGAATTACTATCCATGCTGGAAATTTGTGGTTTCAGATAGAATAAACAACAAATCATTAACAATATCATGACATGGATGTAATATATTCTACTTGAAGCGTCACATTTGCCATATCATTAAAGTTTCGCTTTTATTGAGATGTGGGAGAAGCAGAAAGAGTCGGTCTTCTAATGTTGGAGGTAGTGGATCTAATAATGGAGATGACCACATTGTTAACAAGAAGGAAGAGAATATTGATTGTAGATGTCTTCATTAATGTTTGGTTTTTTATATGTTTTTATTATAATATGAAATGTTCTCTGGCATGAGTTTGATTATTTACTTTCATCCTTACACTAGAGAATTTGCTAGAATTTAAGAAACTTTAGAATGTATGTTTATTTTTATGAACAATTACTCTTGTCGTTTATACTATTTACGTAATGTATCCGTCCAATAATGAATTTATTATAAAACTAAAATTATATATAGCCACCCAACGGGTGGGCCCAGATCTAGTAGGTAATATTAAAATAAAAGCACTACTGCTAAAAATCACTCATGGAATGCCTAAATTTGATAATAATAAAATATTGGGTTAGAGTGCTAACACTTTAATTTGTTCTATGGTTCTTACATTATCCCAGTCAATAAGAAGCTTTTCTTTTGATGATTTTCGATGTTGAAGAGATTGACCATAGTTAATGTTGATTTTTCAAGGTTATCGACTAAGACTGAATTTTAATATTTTTTTCAATTAAACTCAAACTAAATGGAGTTGCTTTGGGGGAGGGGGGAATCTTAGTCAAGGTGGTTTTTGGGTTAAAGTGGATCGAACCAGAACTATTTGATCTAGTTTTGGTTAGCCCGCTTAAAATATGGTCTGGTTTCCATGTATCTTTGCCAAGGTTTTATTTTAATATGAAGTATACGTAACATAAGTAATCAATGCTTTGTTATAATGTGTTTCATTTCACTTCAGAAGTTGTAATTGGATTAGGACATTCCTATAAAGGAAACTAGCTTTTTACCCGGCCCGTTGGCCGGAGAGTTTCATTTTATTGTTGACATTAATTCAATTTATCTATATGTTTAAACTATTTTAGACCTTCTAAATTTATTATATTTTGTATTAATAAGTGAGTATGTGGTGTGTCTATATATTGAAAATTCTCAATACTTAGTACATTCACTTATAATGTTTGAATTCTCTAATCATAAACCATGTCACAAAGTTATACCACGTCCCATGTACAATTTTTTCTATCTTATATGAATCCATGTTGTTCAGATGAGGACATCTTAGTTAGAGTTTCTTTGTACATATACTTCATTATTAGATAAATTTCTACATCCCAATTAAAAGTTGACACTTTGGATGTTCATGAAGTTTTCTGTAAGATCTTATTTGTATTTAGTCTCTTATACAATATGTATCAATTGCTAATTTTTTAAATTTAATTTGGACTAACTGAGACTCATTGTCGTTGTTTATACATTATTTTAGAATCTCAATCCAAGATACTCACATACGGATTTTGATCTTAATATGGTGCGTTAGTGTATAATTTTACAACTTGTAGAACCTTCGTTTTCTAAAATTTATTTATGTTTGGTATTAGTTTAGAAATAAAAATTTCATTATTTATACTAATATATGCATTTTTATGTATTGCCACATTTATTGTCAATATATAAGCATATATATTAAAAAGAGTTTAATTATTTTTAAGTGTAATTAATACTTGTTTTTTACTGGGACTTGTAAAATGTGAAGAAAATAAAGGGAAATATGAACAATTGTAAAAGAAAATAAGGGATGGAAGGACACATTATAAGTGAGAGAAAAGTTATTCTTACTTATTATTTTCATTTATCCAATGAGGTGATTTATTCTTGCTCCATTGAAATTTTATCAAATTATTTTATTCCGTAAATATATTATTAGTTATGCATGTGTTTTATTGCAAAAAAATGCATGTGTTTGCTAAGAAAGATCATATCTCTTACGATGATCAACTTCTCTAATCTTGCCTCATTTTCATGTGAATTTTCATGAAGTCTCCTAACGATCTTATGTTAACATATGTCTATCAAGAGACCCAAATTTAGTATATTATATAACAGAGTAAATACATTTTATTAATCAAATATTTCAAAAAAAATTCAAAATACAAAGTAAAATACAATGTTGACTCAACAACATGATGATGAGTTGGAAGAGACACATGACTGTCTATAATCCAATTTAGTATTTTAATTAAAAAAGAGTTACAAAATTATTAATGATAACAAACAAATGGTTAATATTTTGATGTGATACAAAATATTTGGCTAATCATTTATAGTTTGAAAGGTTTGGCTAATAATTTAAAAAAACTGAAAGGTTTAGCTATTTAAATGTTATTTAATCAATATGTATCAATTGCTAAGTTGTTTCCTCCCACATTTTGTCACGGCCACTACTGAAGATCTATACCAGATCTGCTCTGTCCAATCCTCACCTTTGTCCACCAATTCACGGCCCATATAGTAACATCGCCAGCTGAATTTTAAATTGTCCTCCTGCACCATTTCTCACAGACGCCACCAAATTGTGGACATTGTTAGTTTCGTCTAACCAGGTATTTCCACTCTCTATTGCATTTAACACTCGTTATTTGGTTTGCTTTCCTTCACTCAAAATTTCTTCTCCTAACGACAAATCAAAAGGTAATGGCCTAACACCTACTTAGCATATGACGTAAACTGAAAATTTACTTAATAAGATTTATTCAAATATTTTTGTTTAAACAATCGCGATACATGTCAGCCTAACATTAGTATACTGTTGCTACACATATATACTACAAAAGGTACAAATGAATTAATAAATAAAAACAAAAGAAAACATTAAATGAAGATAGAGATAGCTACATAAATTGAGCATTAACTTACTTTTGTGTTTGTAAAAAAAGTGTCAACCATGATAATTTGTAAATTCTTCAAGTGCTTATGTGGCAACAAACTATTGTTGAATTGCCATAGATAGATAGATTTTAAACCTTTATTTGATTAATGCTTAGGTCAGTGGTTGATGAACACATGATGTTTAACATACAGTTTAGTAAAGATTCATCTAACTTTCACATGTATCATTTTTTAACGTATCTCATGTCTCATCTTAAGATATGAAGTCAAGTTCATCAACAATCATACCGAAGTCATTTAAAATTTTTTTATTTATAATCCTTGAAAATTTATTACTCCAAGTCTGAAAATTAAATTCATTAACATATGACGTAAAACTTCAGTAGAGTTTGCTCAATTAACACGGTATAGAGCAAAAAATGCAAAATATTAGTAATTTGAACTTAGGATACATTGTAAATTATTGCACATATGATTCATATGTTTTCACTTTATTAGAATGAATAAGGTTTTTGTTTAAGAAATAGATTTTATTGCTTGGTCAAGTTTCTATTCAAACCTTTTTTGTTTTCTCTCTTTAATTTCCATCGTTATTTTGTCGCGATAAAATGTTATTATGTGTGTGTGTTTGTATAAATTGTGCATCAAAATGTAACATATTTGTAAATTATTGTAAAAGTGAGGTAAAAATTTACTTAGTGAGCTTTAATAAGATATTTTTTTGGTTGAGAAAAAAGTTATATGTGTGACTCAAAGACATTAGTCTATTGTTGTGTACATCGATACAATGCAAAAGTAGAAACAAAAACATAAATGAAGTATTGGAAAAGAAAAATAAATATTAAAAAAGTTAGAGATAACAAAGATAATATATGTCACTTTTCATACATTATTATTATTGTGTACATTGATATAATACAAAAAGAAAGATAAAAGGGAAATGAGATATTAATTGAAGAGAGAGATAACTTCATAAATATATCAATAACTATTTTTCTTTTTGTAAAAATATTGTCCACCTTGGCAATTTGTGAACTCTCCAAGTGCTTAGGTGGCAAACAATTACTTTTGAATTGCCATAATATTATGTATAGATAGATAGATAGATAGATAATGTGTATTAACTTGTTCTCGACGGTTCAAGGGGTACGGCAACCCCTCTCGATTAAGCTAAAATGTGTTGGGAGATGGCCAGGGCTGTGATTCTATTAGGAGTGAATTCAACCTAGGGTATGATATGATAAGGGTATCCTGCCTTGGGATAACTCAAGGGGGGCCATTTGGGCATCTGACCTTGATGACGCCTTATAGAATCATATAAAGGAAATAACACATCTTGCTTATCCTCAATGGATTAAGGAAAACAATGCGTCAGGCTTATCCTCAATAGAGTAAGCGAACGAAAGAGCTCTTTCTGGCCAAGCAAGGATACAATAGCACTCCACTAAGGAAATAACGTTTCGGGGCTTATCCAGAGTAAGCGAGCTCAAGGGCTCCTTCCAACCAAGCGAGGATACAACCCATCGAGCTTATCATCAACAGAGTAAGCGAGCTTATGGGCTTCTTCCGACCAAGCGGGGATACAACGATACTGCAGTAAGGGAAATAACGCGTCGAGCTCAAGGGCTGGTTCTAACCAAACGGGGATACAACGACGCGAAATAACTCGTCAGACTTATCCCCAACATAGTAAGCAAGAGCAAGGGCTCCTTCTGGTGACAGCTAGCATTTTCCTTTGGGCCTTTCGAACATGCTACACACTTTGCCCCTTTCTGCATACCCCTTCACTACCTTGTTAAAATATTAACATTCAATTGTTTTATGGGTATGGGAGTTATGCTACTCACAGTGCACTTTGGGTGCTTGTCTTTGTGTGGTTTGCGATCTTAAGGCCCTTGATGATTTGAGTATACATCCAAACATTTGACGTTAGTCCATTTGGCCCCATCATTATGTTACGGATGCATATGTGGTTGCCAAATGGGAATTTGTGTTTTTTGGAATTTGGAAAAGTGCCACTAATGTCGCTCCAAACGCTCTTCGGAGGACGGATCTACCCCACCATCAAGATCTAACACTCCATCAGGCTCTAGATGTGGCATTTGATTGATCCCAATTTTTCATGCACGAGGATTGGGCCATTGAAGCTATAGACTAGTGTAGCCTTCGGGCCCAAGCAACTTGGGGTCTCCTAGGTCTTAGAGGGTTGTGTTGTTACACATGTCTCCTGCTTTTACATGGTTCTTAGGTATATGGTTTTCGGTGCCTCTGCTTTTGATGCACAACATAAAAAGAGAATATGATACAAGTTCTATCTAGAAGAAATGTAGAGAGAGGTGCATAAATAGTGAATGATTTATTTATAATGAGAGAAACCATATTTATCTTATCTTAACATATATTATGACTGTTTTGTGGAAACCATCTGCCACATCAGCCTAGGCTAATCTCCCGTTAATTCTCTTTTTTCCTACTCTTTCCCATGTTTAATTGGACTAATTTTCCTTATGCTTATTTTGTTGGGCCACCAGATATATAACTAGGACATGGGCTAATTTGGATTGTCACTATTATATAGCGACTGTTGGATTTCTATATTAGTTTTTTTTTTAATTTTAGCGTCCTAACTGCCTTTTGTAATTGATGGATCACTCATCACTTATTGTCACGATGCCCATCTTTTACTTTTCATGAATTTTTCCTTATAAAAAATCAAGAATTGTAAAATCATATTGTAGGTTGTGTCAGAAAAGTAAGCGATATGTATTTTATGATGTAATCGTAGATCAACTGTTTCATAGCTCTAAATATCGCTTATCAGTTTAGCCTCCGATAAGGAATCTTATGGTCGAATCGTCGGTACAATATGGTTTTTCAATACTTGAAAAACCCACATTTGAGTTGCCATTCTTGATTCACCAGACCAACAAATGGTGAAAGATTTTCTAAATATACTTAGGGCTCGTTTGGAGAACAAGATTTGGATCATGGATTTATTGAATCAATAGATTTAGTAAAATGTTATGTTTTTTTTTGTTATTTTTTGTATCGTGGATTGTAGTTTCAAGATTTTAAATCTCTAAAATATAGAGATATCAAATCTCTCATAATTAGAGAGATTCTACATCTTGATTTTGGAGATTTTCTTTCTCCTACTATATCTCTTCTTTTTTTCATTTATCCCACTAAATACCCTCACCAATAAATTCTCAATAGTTTTCGAGCAATCTAATTATTTTAGTTAAGGATAAACATATCATTTAATAAAAAAATTGAATTTCTTTTTTCATTGGATGTTAGCAATCGTAGTTACCAAACAATGAACATTTTCAAATCTTTTTTCAACAATCCAGAGAGTTAAAATCATTGGATTGTCTAGAATCTATAGATTTAGACTCCAATTCTCCAAACGAGCCCTTAGGCTCTACAACAATAGTTGAGTTCATTTCGAGAATAGTTCCGCTGCATAACTTACATGTGTGTAACCTTGCATAACCCCCACTTACCATTTATGGAAAACAATTAACTGTTTTCTCGATTTAGTTTAACATGTTATATCTCTTTCATTTTAGGTCGTAATTGATTTTTTCCAAAGGAAAATCAAATGCATTGTGCTCTTTGAAATGACATACACTTTGACATATTTTGGAACAAAAAAAATCAAGATATTTATTACCAATATAGACCATGTGGTGATGCTTGATAGTTCATAAGATTATACCGTGTGTTATGTAAGTGCATCATGGTGGTACGAATATACAAGAGTGTAGAATGATTATATACACGATAGTAGGAATATATTAATGACCATTTAACACTTTTGATCACCGTTTACCACCAGTTATCACACTATTCCATGATGGTATATAGTGGTATATTTGGTCCTGAAATTTTATTTTCAATAAAATTGTAGATCCAATATATCACGATACATTTAATTTGTTCCTAATGGGTAAAAAATTTAAGCAATTCAAGTTTAAAATGAAGGTGGTACCAGGTGGTACTAGAGTTGTAACAAGTAGTACAGGTTGTACAAAACAAATCTTCAAAATATATTAAAAATTGATATAATTTTGTAGATCACAACCAACCTGTTTCGTATGTGCAAATTTTTTGCAATCCAAGTTAAACATAGAAGATAAAAGCTAATTAAAAAAGAAGGGAAAATAAATTAATCCTTTAATCGCACCCCTTAGATTTGGATACACTTAAAATTAAAGGGCCATATCTAATTATGCAAGGGTTATACACGCTATCTTGGACCGTTGGTTTCTTTTCATGCATTGATAGTTTCTAAATTTGGTGATTGGTGTTGTTTATCTTTTGTGTGAGTTTTAGACTAACAAATCATTAGGACAATACTCAAAAGAAAAACGTATATTCGAGTCTCTCTAAGTAATTTGTAAGTATCGTTTTTTTTTTTTGTTTAGTTGGTTTGAACTATTGCCTTCTCTGGAAAATGAGCAAACAGAAAGCTTTACCAATGATGTAGTTTCTCGCTCTTTTAGCATTAAAATATTTCCAATAAGGAAAGGGCATTGCAATGTGACTAATTGTTTGATAATGAAAACTTAAGTATTTTTTTAAAATTAACGATAAAACAATGAACCGGCCATCGGGCCGGGCACATATACTAGTACTACATAAGAGGCATTTACTGTCTTGTTAAACACCTTTGAGTCATTAGTGAGAATTTAGGTTGTCCCTTAGAGCATCTCCAATGGTACGTGCCATCTACATGCAATTTCAAGACTGGTCCCTACTGCTACTTCATCAACTTTAACAATTATCTCACTCATTTCCATACCACCTACATCAATGCAATTCACATGCAATTGCAATTGGGAGCGGATTTGGTCTAATTATGAAAGGTATGGTAACAAGAGCTCTCAAAAGAAAAGGGGAAAACAAGCTATGGCAAATCGATGGGGCAGGTTGAACCAAGCGGTATCAAAGTCCGTCGACTGCTACGAACAAATCCAACATAGAAAGGAAAGTGCTATAAACGAGGGATATAAGAAGAACAGGGAAAAGCAACTATATCTTGAGAATATAGGTAAAGATTTTGCTTTTATGCATGTTTGGGTTGTCATAAAGGATGAAGAGAAATGGAGCAGTCAAAGTGAGAGGGCTAAACCTCTAGACTGTGATGAAGATAGAGGAGGATCAAAGAGGACTAAAAATACCGCTTCTGGTCAATACACCTCATCATCGTCAAATACAACCATGCCATCCAGGGGAGAGCCAAAGACTGTGTTCTCATCCTCGTCCCCCAGGTAGAAAAGCCTCCAAGGATAAAGGTAAAAAAACATAAATCTATGTCATCTGATCATCAGAAAATATGCAGTTATTACAACGACAAGTCGATATTGAAATGAAAAAGGTAGAAGCGATGAGGAAATTTTCAACCATCATGGAGGCTGATTTGAAGTAAAAAGAACAATGTCGGAAAGATAAATTGATAGTGAAGTTGTTGGCTATGGAACCAACAACAATGACAGAAACTCAAAGGAAACAATATAAAATGCAGCTGAATGAGCTACTATGTGATACATAGTTTCTCATTGTTCTTTCGAGGGTTTGTGTTTTCCTATGTGAGTTTTCATTGTGATCTATATCTAAATGTTTAACATTTTGTATCTTTTTTAATTTATGAGTGTGTTTAATTAATTAGTTGTCTAAATGTGCTTAATATGTTTTTAATCTGTACAACACACCACGTATATTGCAAAATAATAAAATGAATGAATGATGAAAAAAGAAATGATATGATAATGTTTTTTGTTATGAAATGGATGGAAGAAACGATTGCACGTGGCCCAAAAGAAAAAGAATGGTTGGAAAAGAAGAAAGAAAAAGAAAAGGTCCCACATTTGCATGTATAATTGCACAAAGTGCAAACTTTCAACATTTGAAAGTGGTCTTCCACCAATGCAATTGCCTTTTTCAATTGCAAGTGTTTGCCATCTCAACATGCAAATGGAAATAATTACACCAATGCATATGCTCTTAGACCATCCACATCCACGAAATACAATTTTTATTTCATATGTTGCCCCTACTGCCACATCAACAACTTTTTTTTATTTCATTATATATCACTTTCATAGTGTGAGCCCAAGTGATTTTTTAATATAACTATACATTTTATCTGATCTATATTATTTTACAATTTAAGATGTATCACATATTTAAAATAATATATTGTATTCTTCTAATTATCCATAATAAATTAAATTTATTAATTCACTAAAAGATATATTATTTGTGTTTAATGACTTTTTTATTAAGTATCATTCATTTGCTATGTAATTTTTATTTGGATGCAGGTGTGACATCTTTATATTTATATAAGTGTATGTGAACTTTATTTTTGTATTACACATTAAGTATTTACAAAATTAATTAATCAAAAGGTAATGAATTTTTCTAATCTAATAAGTTTGTTATCTTAACTTGTAATTGAAAAATAAAAATTCAATATCTTCCAACCCACACACCAATGTAAATGAAAAGAGAGAAAAAAAAAACATAAAGTGGAGATGGGGCCCACAAACCATTTCATTCACTTTTCCAATGAAGTGGAATAGGAGCTGCAACCATGGAATGAGAAATGGAAGCGTCCTGTTTAGGGGTGGGCATTGGTGCGGTCCAAACCGCACCGCCCGCTCCAAATCACTTGTGCGGTCGGTCCAAACCGCACCATTAAGGTTGCGGTCTCATTTGCGATCTAATAATTAAGCGGTTTGCGATACGGATCGACCGAAACCGCGCGGTTACGGTTCAAAACCGCTAACCGCTAAATGCGTAAATCTCTAATCTAAAGGTCGCCCTCCAGTTCTCACCACATACATGACATACCCGATTTATTCTTCCCAGCGTCGGCGCCGCCGACCTTCTCACCACAAGAGGTCAAGAGCAAGCCTCGCCGGCGGCACCAGCGCCGACGATACCTCTCCCTACTAGTTCTTGTCTCCGTCCCGACTCTTGAGCTTCTCGTCCCTCTTGACGTCACGCATCACCAAGAGGCGAGAACTTCCCAGTAACGACGATGACCCTTCCCCTGGCTTCCCTCGGCGGACGAGCAGATTCTCACCTCCGCCGGCCTCCGTATCCCGGCTCGCACCGCCGTTCTGGTACTCCCTCTCTCTTCATGTCAACCTTTCCTCTCCCCGTTCCCGTTGCAGCTCCGCCAAGGCGGCGACCGACCAGGAACTCAGAAAGCTTTTTTGCATCTGCTAATAGAAAACGGCAACTTCAAGATATATGGGATTTATGGATTCGGGGGTAGTTTGCCCCTTCGAGCTCTTTGCCCCTTCGTGGGTTTTCTACTATGCATGGAATCTAGATATTAGGTATGCTTGGTGGATTGATTAGTTGAGAATGGATCAAGGGTCCGAATTGATTCGACTGCACAGGGGATTGAGACCTCGGAGATGAGCTTCGATGGTCACTCTGCTTATTTCATCTTTGTTCTTAATATACTCATGTTGTTGTGGCTGGTTGAGATGGTGGTCACTCTGTTTCCAACTATTTTCTTTCATCTGCTTTATAGGGTTGTAATGAATATGTGAAAAAGAAGATACAATTTGCAAAATGAAATCAAAAGGCTCGCAGGGTTGTAAACTTGTAATGAATCTGTGAGTTTCTTGACTATGGTTACGTTCTTAGTGTGACTGGTTTTATGGTGAGTCTGTTTGTGATGAATGAAATCAAATACATGAGAAGTGTTAGTCTATAATGCAAGGATTGATATTCTGTATCATTAGCTAGCTAGAGATAGTGTAATGAGATAAAGGGGAAAAGAGAAGGATCAAGTGGGAGTGTGGTCATCAGTATATTTGTTCTGTAGAGAGCTCCCTTCCCCTCTGTGGGTTTATAAAAGAAACCTCAGCTAGCCTTGGGATCGAAGCTAAGGCATATATAACTATACATATCTCTTAAACAATCATCACAATTCACACACCCACCACATATATAATAAGGCATCACAATTCACACACCCACCACATATATAATAGGCTGCTGTGTCTCTTAGATTTGGATAGATTGTCAATGAATGTTGCTGCCTTTTGCTTTGTGATTCTCATCATTTTCCTCTACTGGGTTTGTGAGTTTGAGCCGTAAAGCAACCTCTGTTCAATTTGTACATTCTGTTTTCCCCCTTCAATGTTGCTTTTGGTGTTGCATCGAGGGTTGTTGGTATTTGAGCTTTATTGTGTTGTTGTGTCCTAAACTTGGCCTGGTTTAATTTTCAATTTATGCTGGTGCAGGGGGTTATTTGTGTGTTTACTTGGACTTAAGCTTACTTTCTTGTTAGGTCAAATGGTTTCAGACTCCTTATGCTAGTTATAGGCACTGTATCCGAGTTGAATTGTCTAACTATTGCTTCAAGGTAAGTTCAGAAAAGAAAGGGAGAAAAGGAATAGTAGCAAGAACAACTAATGTGCCTGCTGCTAACACATAAATAGAGTTCTGTCTTTCTGTTGTTTTTTTTTTGTGTCATTATGCTTTTATGCCATGTTCTCATTTACTAGGTTGTTGTTTAGGCTGAGTGATGATGTTGGAATGGATTCAGAAGCAATTTCTACTACTATTGACAATCATATTGTCCTTGTTGGTTCAGAAGCAATTACTTTTAACTAGCATCTCACTCCATATGTGAACAATGATTTGAAATCTGTGCTTTCAGGTTGCTTGAACCTACACAGAAGCTGTCAAATGTGAAATATTTGTTTGGATCAATTGCTGACCGCGACCTTGAGAATGTGGAGACATACCCATTGGAGCTTCTAGAAGACGGTGTAGATGGGTAGTCGAAGAATGAAGTCCCTCGGTGTCTTGTATATGTAATGGTTTCGAGAGGTTCAAATTCTAGTGTTAATGGATTAGTCAACTTCTCAATTTAGCATTACTTTCTACTGGTAATTGACTTAGTTGTGCAAACAGTTGTAGCAGCTAAGGCCTAAGGGGATTGTAATACCTACTGTGAAGGAACAGAAGGGGGTTCATTCCATTATTAAGAGGCACTGATGGGATCTATTTGCCACATGAATTATTTCAAATCTCCACAGCTGCATTTTCAGCTGGGGTTCATACGTGATACGTATCACCAGTTGTGTTCTTCTTTCTGCATGAGGCATGATGATCATCATTCTTTCACTCACGACATAGCAGGGATTTGGAACAGGGGATCTTCTTTTGCATTCTTTCATTATTGATCGACGAAAAAACAATAAGAAATTTGCAGCTGTGGAAATTTGGTCTACCTTGTTTTCATCGTCGAAAACAGAGTATTCCTTTGTCAGCAAAATATTATTTGAAGTAAAGCGGGAGAGAAATTGAAAAATGAAAGCGCATAAGAACTGAAAGCAAAGCAGGAAAAGTCGGAAAGTGTAATAATCCAAAATGAATTGTGGTCAAACATGCGATGCGGTCTAAACCGCACCAAACCTCTAATTAATGCGGTTCGGTTTGACCGCACCGATTGCATTGCGGTCGAATATGCGGTGCGGTCCAATTGACATGCGGTTCGGTGCGGTTTATATAGATATGGTGCGGTGCGGGTCAATCCACACCAATGCCCACCCCTAGTCATGTTATCAAAGAAATAGCAGTAAAACAGCGGATGCAGTTGCTCTTATACTTCATTCCCTAAAATCCTTGCATTTTTTGCATGTGTCTGTCTGTCTTCTAACATTCCAACTTTATTTTTTTGTTGAATGAGCCACCTCTTGAACTTGTATCTCTAACTCTTGCTTGGACTTTTGGCCTAGTTTCTTGTGGATCCTCCATTATACACAACCAAAGACCAATGGCAAGAACATGATGACAGCAAGTCCCTACATGCGTACATATTACATTCGATAGGGAACATAATTAACTAAGTATTGACTAATGAATTTCGGGCCCCGATGAGAGATAAACAAGGAATGTCATATCGGTTTATAATTTAACGGAAAGATTAGACAAAATGGCCGAACGGTTTGCCGGCGGAGTTGCATGTGAAGAGGCCAGGCTGGCGTTTTAATTGAACGGAAAGAAGAGGCGGGTCAATTGCGTAAACACCAGCCATATTTTGGGCCATTGACAAATTGGTCATCAGAGTTTAATACGTGACAGGTTTGTCACTGGACTTTGGAAAGAACTATCATGGACCATGGTAGTCCCTCTCCTTTCGTCCATTTTCGTGAGTCCAAACGGCAGTGCAGACATCCCTTTAGGGTTTTCACCCGCCATATCCCTTTTCCCGACTTCTCATTCCTTCGCCGGACAGAAAAACCAGAAATCCGATCATCTCCCCGGGCTTTTCTTTCCAGGTACGATCATACTGTTTCAACCGGAATTCCGATCACTGCCTGGCTGCCGAGAAATCGTAGCCCGTCTGTTTCGCCTTCGATATTTGTTTTCTCCACGTCGTTTCGATTTGTCGAAGCCGTAATTCTGATGAAGCAATTTCTCTACTGTTTTCCTTTTTTATCCAGGTGATTCCCCTCCATACTCGCAAAAATGCAGAACGAAGAGGGACAGAGCGTGGATCTCTACATTCCCCGGAAATGGTAATCATCCGAATTTCAAAACCCCCCTGTAAATTTTCTGTAATTCTGGTTCATTCAATGTTTAGGGTCTAGGGTTTGTTTCGGTTTTGATGGATGTGTTGGTTGAATTGGCAGCTCGGCCACCAATAGGTTGATTACTTCCAAAGACCATGCATCTGTTCAGCTCAACATTGGCCATTTGGACGAGCATGGGCTTTACACTGGCCATTTCACCACCTTCGCTCTCTGTGGCTTCGTTCGTGCTCAGGTGAACTTTTCCCTACTGCCCCCTTTTTTTTCTTCAATGCTCATTGGTAGTGCCACTGTTATGGCTGAAACTAGAGAATCAAGCCTGAAGAGTTTATAAGTAACTGGATGTAGTAGTGAATAAGGAGTGGAATGCTTGCTGTGGATTCTGGTAAAGGAATTGAAGGGGGGAAAAATGTGAAGATAGTATCCACTGTGAAACTGTACTGGAGATTGATTCTGTGAGGAAAACCATATCGGTTTGGTCACTAATACATGATTCTACCAGTACGTTACGATATCGCAACACTGGATTCGAATAGTCATGTATGATACTTATATATGCAATGTCTGTGTTTCAACTTTGTTTACTTATTATCGTCCGAGGGATAGATAATATGGGTCATGGTTGTTAAATCTCTCATACCATGCATTATTGCTTTTTCTTACTTGCACCATTCCTCAATAGTATTGGCTGCTGTCTTCATGTGAAATGAACTTATTTAGAGAATCCCGTGGAAGTGACTTTTTGTTGTCGTCGTTGGATTCTTGAAGCTCTAACTGTCTGCATCCGGTCTTGAGTAATCATTTGCATTGCATTAAGTACTTGTTGCTGCCGCGGTTGTTACTTATGGAACAATCTGACTATAGCATAGAGGGGTGTTTTTTCTTTCTTTCACAGGGTGATGGTGACAGTGCACTGGATCGGCTCTGGCAGAAGAAGAAAGCTGAGCTCAAGCAGTAGTGAATTTCAGACGCCTAGCTCTGGCTTGCTGAAGAGTCTATTGAGGAGGATGGGTCTACGAACAGTAATTTAGAGAGAATGTCTAGAACTTAGTATATTGCTCCGAGCCATGAATTGCTATTGCAGTTAGCTCGTTGTAGCTAGTGGTGGTCTAAGTAAATAATGTAAAAACTCTTCCTGCCAGTTTTTGCTGTGCAGTTCATAAAGTACTTTAGCGCCTTCTGTTTCGAGTTTGGATCAATCGAGTTCTGGTCGTAATCAGATACGAATCAGTAAAGTTCAGATCTCTGCATTTTACGAGACGATTTGCTGCTGGTATCAATCCTTAGTCGAGGATGCTGCATTATCACTATTGTCCCTCGATCTGTCGCACTGTTTTCTTGCAAAATGTACCATTACTGACCATCAGTGCCTCGTTAAGCCTATTTAACCAAAAAGAATGCGTTAATGTTAAGGTTAGGATTAGTCTAAAGTTAATTCTAGGTTCATCTAGATTATTCCCAAGCCATATCAATGGTAACCTAGTCAACAAAAGGCACTTCCTGACCCGAAGGCCATAAAGTGAAACAATAGCCCGCCATCTGATTTTTCCTCAACCACCATTCCGTGGCCGTTCCCAAACTTCCACACTGCAACTGTTGGAAAGCAAGCACTCATCAATGGCTTCCTCCCAGGTTCCAACAAAGTTGGATTACTACGATGACATGCAGAAGCTCGAAACCAAAGCCAGAGTCCTCTCCTTCATCAAGGTATGGTTCCATCCCCCACCTACTAGTCTTACATTTGTCTTGAACCTCTGCCTTTCGTTACGCAGACCTCTGAAACGATTTTCCATTTCTTCCCAATTCTATTCTATACATTAAAGGGCGACGATGGAAAAGAGACGCTGATATTGGACGCCACGGTCTTCTATCCGCAAGGTGGCGGCCAGCCGGCGGACACAGGTTTCATCACCGCCGCGGACGTTGACTCTGCGACGACGACGACGACGACCTTCAAGTTCACTGTGCAAGATGTTCGCTCGAAGGATGGAATCGTTAGTTAATTTTTGAACCCTTTTGCTTTTCTCTGTCCTTCCCATCTGGGTTTCTCAATTTCGTACTCATGGTTGGCTAAAGGAACGAACTTCACTGAATTCCAACTTAGGTTTATCACTACGGAGTCGCAGAGGGCTGCTCTGGGGAAGATCCCAAGAAGGAAATCAAGGAAGGGACTGAGGTGTTCTTACGTGTTGATGAAACTAGGCGGAAGCTCAACTCAAGGTTTGTTTTGTTACATCCCCGCTCCATTCTTATATAGATGAACTGTTAGGATAGTTTGAATTAGAATTATAAGATACAGAATTGGTAGATTACATGAAGTTTTGAATGACAATTTCTATGATCATTTGAAAGAAAGATTTGCCTGTGTAATGGATTTGGCCCTGAAATACATGGTGCAATTCTAACACCCAATTGAACTGTATTTCAAATTCAACCAACAGAGAGATTTGAAAATCATCCCAAAACCAAATATCTGTCTTCTTTTACAACAATCAAAAGTTGAGATTTGTTGTAACAGTAGTTGGATCTGTGATTGAACAGGCTGCATTCAGCTGGACATTTGTTGGATGCTTGTCTGCCAAATGTGGGGTTGGGGCATCTCAAGCCAGGAAAAGCTTACCATTTCCCTGATGGGTAAACTTACTAAACTACTTTACTGAAGCTCTAAAGTTCGAGCATTTTCTTCTCAGAACTGCTGTGGAAACACCTGCTCCCCATTTTCTTGGGCAGGCCATGGGTTGAATATAAAGGCACAGTTCCACAGAATGAACTGCAGACAAAGCAGAAAGAGATAGAGATTGAAGCTAATGGATTGATATCTAAAGGAGGCAAAGTGAGCTCTCTTTCTCTTTTGCGTTGGGGACTTGGAATGAGAGTCTGCATTATGTTTGTGTGAAGTTTGTTTTCTTTGATTTTGTGCAGATAATTGCTGCTGAGATGTCATATGATGAAGCCTGTGAATGGTGTGGAGGTTCCCTTCCTGATTACATTTCAAAGGTTTGTGACTTTGAGGAATCTTGGAACCCCTTATTGTTGAACCATGATATTATTGGTCTTTGTTCTTGATCAGGCCATAACAGATTAGTTATTAAAGGTGGCCGGTCATAATGCGTTGCAGGTTGTAAATGAATCAGCCAATTAAAAACCAGAATTCAACAGTACAAGTAGGATTGTTATGGTTAGGCACTTAAAGTAGAGTCGTGATGGGTCACGAGTCAATACAGACTGTGTATTATTAGGTAGTGATCGGATCAACACAGGGCAATCTCACTTTCGATAGGGTGTGTTGGCAGGGCAATAGCTGGTTGTTCACATTTGGTTCATTTCGGCTCAGTAGTTATGTTTGATCTGTTTGCAGGGTAGCAATCCTCGTATTGTGAAGTTAGGGGACAACCCTGGATGCCCTTGTGGAGGTACCCATGTTCCTGATATATCAGATATCGAAAGTGTTAAGGTACGGAAAGAAATGCCACAGACGATTCTGTGTGTTTCTCAAGTTGAAGATGCTGGTCTAATATTTGTAACACATACACATGGGAAATCTCAAAGAATAATACTAATGGTTCTTTTCATGTCTTGGAATACGTTGTGAAGACTATTGCTCTGAAAACACTGGAGCATTTTTTATGATATGGCGAATTGATTGTGGCATATTTTGACCAGGTCTCTCAGATTCGTACCAAGAAAGGAGTCACCAAAGTGTCCTACACCGTTGAAGCTTGATTCATTCTGTTCCAAAAGGCTTCCTCATCATCTTTGACATTGAGATGGCCATACTTAGCTAAGACTATAGATATAGATATGGCAGCTTTGATTGATCCTTGTTGATCGAGGATTAGGCTCCACTTCAGGGCGAGTCATGTAACCTGAGTGTTAGATAACATACCATGAAACCATCTTGTGGCTATTTAATTGTTATAGACTTATAGTGGTTATATACGTTCATAGTTCATAGTTTATGATGTGATAATCACCATTGAGTAAATATAGCTCGCATCGGTGTCTTATAAATCCATGTGAATTAGGCAGACTATTTTCCTCTTATCCATGGTTCTGATGAAGTTTTTCCCTTTGAATGATGTTAATTGCAGACTACATTCAGAAACTGCGTTCATTCCGACCAACATTTTAATCAGATACTCAGCTTCTCGATGGTTATACAAATAAAATTCAACAAGTATATGGCTATTTCGATCAACTTCTTTGCCACCAACTGATAGGGCACCTTGGAAGTAAGGCTTAATATCCATCGCGATCAATGTTCTTACAATCAACGAGCTCTGACATCGATAGGCTCTGTCTGTGCCAAATACTGAGAAGGTCTAGTTTTACGACCAGGAGTCATGATGGTAGAGAACAAAATGTGGCCTAAAAAATGCAGCAGCAAGTGCCCTAAAATCACATGGTAAAACACACAACAAACAAAGATCTCTAAAGGTTTGTGGGTGTACTGAGAAATCACGTTCTTCCTCTCTTTTCCTCTGTCCCTCCACTCTCAGCTCATCGTACTGTCCCAGACATTATTGAACTGTAACAAAAGGACTTTCTGCAGAATTTCATTGATGGATTTGAGATGAACACAGAACCAAGCAAAGCAAGAAGTGGGGGTTTACTATCTCTTTCTCTCCACTGTGGTTTCATGTCCCAGCACTGGCATTCCTGTGGATCCCATTTGCTTGAAGATCCATATGGCATAATTAAGATATTTGAAAGGCCCATTCATCCAAAAGCAAAACAAAGAAGAGGGGTTTGGTCCATCCAAAAGCTTGTGACTTGTCTTCTTTCTCTTCTGCCCTTTTTTGCCCTGCCATGAATATGCCTTTGGCTTTTCAGCCCCACTTCTTTCTCTGCCCTTTTTAGTCATGTTAGCCATTTCAATCTAACTTATCATGACCTTATCACGCGCGTTGTAACAGTATCGTAACTTCAAAATATCTGATTCGATCTTTGAAAGATTTTCTATTGATTGTTGCGATATTATGTAATGCGATAAACAAATAGATATATACATGTATTGAAAGAGAGAGGATCAAAAAAGAATCCTATGGAATTGCATAGAGAGTTGGCTCTAACTGTGTTTCAAAAGGCCAAACAGCATTAGATCTTTTGTTGCAAGTTGACCCTTTTTCCAGCCGACCATCAGTTGAGTTGAGCCCCCACAAAATTTTTTATTTTGTTTTTGAAGCGCTTTTGGTCACATTTGGTCTTTGGAGCCACACAACAAGCAACACACAAAAACAAATTAGAACTAAATGCCAAATTAGGGTTTTATAAAATATTATTATTAGGGTTTTTTTCAGGTCCATTAGATTCTGATAATTGCAACCTGGCCGCCGTCGTCATCCTCCATGCAAATACAATGCCCAAGTTGGATTGACACTTGACAGATGCGCTTGAGGACAACAATTTCGCGGCAATTTGACTTCGCGCGTGTGTGTGTAATTTTGGATCCATTTTTAACTTTGGGATTGCTAGTAAATTGATCACTTTGAACTTTGAATGTTGTTAAATTGGTCATTCAGATTTGGGGGAATTCAGTGTTTTTAAGATAAAAATATTTGAGTTTTGAAGAAAGGAGACAGATACCGTATTATCCTATCACTTTTCAAAATTATTAAATATGTTAGAAACGTATACTAAATAATAAGAGAGCTAAAACATGCATTTCTTGTTAGGATATACGTAGTTCCGTCTTTTGAAACACCCTGACATGTTAGTTCTCAGCACAAGAATCTAGCTAGTTTATCAGAAAAAACAAAACACATATGAATCTAGTTGCACTTATTTAACTTAGCGACAAACCATTTGATATCAATTATTAATAGTTGACCGAATTTCGTTACAAACAATATGTCAGATCAATCTGTCGAAAGTGTATAAAGACAAAAAGAAAAAGAAATCTACAAAAGGAGAAATAAAAGTCAAGATGAAAACCCGGAGACAACACATATCTCGACCAATAGCATTATATATGTTATAACTGATATCTCTGACTCTGAATACTTCTCATGCGCCGCCAATCATATTAAAAGTTGGAAACCAGTATTCGGCCAATAGCATTATATATGTTATAGCTGATGTCTCTACCTCTGAAATCTTCTCATGCGCCGCCAATCATATTACAAGTTGGAAACCAGTATTCTGCCAATAGCATTATATTTGTTATAACTGATGTCACTGCCTCTGAAATCTTCTCCTGCACCGCCAATCATATTACAAGTTGGAAACCAGTATTCGGCCAATAGCATTATATCTATTATAACTGATGTCTCTGCCTCTGAAATCTTCTCCTGCAACACCAATCATATTGCAAGATGAAAACCGACATTCAAACAAATTTTCAGCAAATAATTTTAATTTCGTTAACGAAAACAACATATCTAACATAGGCCTTTCAAACACAACGTTAGGGCAAATTGAGCTCAGAAAAATTTCAACCAGCAACCTCTCAATTTAGCCAAGTCACTCAAGGATTTGTTTAAACATCACAATTCAGTGACTAGAATTTTAGTGGCAACAAATTTAAGACCTATAATAAATTTGCCAAAAAAATTGGTTACAAACAGAGCGTTTTATATTTAATTTCTTCCGTCGTTTTTTGCCCTTACAGATTTGATTCGTCAAAAGTGTTTGGCTGGTTGGCAGCTGAGTGAAAATCTCAAGTGAGAAATTATTAAAGAAACGGAATTTTCTTGGTTGCAAGCTAATATTGGCAGAGACCCTTCTCCACCATCCAATCGTCTCTGCGTAAAAGGAAGGAAGAAGAAGAAGAAAAGAACACACTTCTTTTTTCCGGGGTTCTATTTCTCATATAGATTCTCCACTTCTTGCTGCGAAACGGACTCTCAAGTCTCAACAGAAACAGAAGAAAAAGAAAAAGAAATCTGTTCTTCGTCCGTTTTCCTCTGCTTTTGCTTTCTGATTTTGTTCTGGGGCTAACTTCTTTCTTGTTGGTTTTCCTGGAACGAAAGCTTCACACTTTCCCTCGCTCTGTAGCGAACCCATATCGCCATTTTCCCCTGCTTCAGCTTTTCCTTCGTCTCCCAAGTCACATTCGCCTATTTCGGTTCTGGGTTTCATCGACCGGCTCAGTATTGGTTTGTCAACTCTCTATCTCTAGCTTACATTTAACTTGAATTCCAAATCGTGTAGCGATGTAAATTTGTTCTTGTTTTCTGTCCTGAATTGAAGTGAATTCATCGGCTTGGCAGAAAATAGTTGAGCTCAGGCTGGAAAATAATTGGCCCTGTTTCATTCCAACTGTACATTGCATACGTTGTATTTGAGTGATTCCTGAACTGGGTTTTCGCCAGAAACTCCGATTCGTGTGTAATTGGAAACCATTGAGATGGTGATATTATCAATGAAGGTTTCTATTTGCCAGTGATAATGCCTTATCTTATCGTTGTCTTATCTTATCCTTTCTTTGGAACCTGAGAACTCAGATATATGGCTACATCAATGAATAGTTGGAATTTGCATCAGGAAGTAGTGGGTTGATTAATCTATCTAAGATTTGCATTTTTCCTTCTTCCTTGTCTGCATATTTGAGATCTGTTTTAGTTTACCTTATTGAACTTCTGATCACTGCATATTGTTCATGAGGTCAATGCTATTCTGAGAGAGAGAGATCCCAGTTTCCAATCACTTTCTTAGGCTTAATATGGCAATCGCTGGCTGATCTGTATGGAGAACTATATCTGAGAGTTTTTTTTTTACTCCTTTTGGGTCATTCTTCTCCTGCAGACTTCAATGGACCAAGGCATAGTGTTACAATATCATCATTCCCTATATACTGCTTAAATTACTTGATATGATTATAATTCGTGATAAAATTTTCTTTTAACTTACTTCTGCATTTCTTCTCCAACTGCAGTCTTGAATAATGCGAGGATCAAGCGGTTTACAGACTGAAGGAGAACTGAAGGTAAGTTTTGGCTACCAATGCAATGGCAGTGGTTGTGAAACCCATAATCCAGAACCTATCCTCCAAAGGAACAGCAGCTTCTCTTGTTTATCAGGTGCTGCCTTGAGTGCTAATGCCACATTGGCCAACACAAACATGTGCAACGGTCTCATAGGTGCAGAAATTCTCCCCAGTTGGGACTCCCCCAAATCCTTCCGGAGGATCCCCTCATCTTCATCATTTTCCAAGCTCGACATACTCTCGTCTTCTCTCCAAAGCACCGGGTCATACTTGAGCTGCAGCCCATCTTCTCCAAGCCCACTTGACTATGAATCCATGAGTGCACCCTCAAAATCTGAAGGCTTTCTGAACGCCATGGAAGTTCAAGTGGCTGGTGGAGCTGCTGGTGAAGACAGAGTTCAAGCTGTTTGCTCTGAAGAAAATGGATGGCTGTTCTGTGCTATCTATGATGGATTCAACGGAAGGGATGCTGCTGATTTTCTAGCTGGAACATTGTATGAAACTATCATATTTCATACTAACTTGCTGGACTGGGATTCAAATCAGGATGTTGTCAAGGCTTCGAATGTATGCCCTGATGCCTTCCTTCGATGTGCCCTTGAAGAAGGGAATGATGCTTCTCTTGGGACTCGGGATAACCATGATTCTGGAGATTCCTTCAGAGACAAGGTACTTGATAGCCTACAACGTGCAGTTGCCAAGGCTGAGAATGATTTCCTGTACATGGTAGAGCATGAAATGGAGGATAGACCAGATCTTGTCTCGGTGGGGTCTTGTGTGTTGGTTGTTCTTCTTCATGGGATGGATTTGTATACCTTGAACTTAGGTGATAGCAGAGCTGTATTGGCAACATATGATGAAGACCATAATAAGCGGTTAAAGGCTGTCCAGCTAAGTGATTGCCACACCGTTGATAATGACCTTGAGAGAGCTAGGGTTATTAGTGAGCATCCTGATGATCCTGCTACTATAGTTGGAGGCAAAGTAAAGGGGAAATTGAAGGTCACTAGAGCTTTCGGAGTTGGTTACCTGAAATCGGTTTGTGCTTTCAATTCCAATACCAATTTGTTTTTTGGTTTTGTTTGTAACAATGCTCTAAAGGATTAACATATTGGTTAACTTTTGCTTTCCTCTCAATTTTGCAGAAGAAGCTGAATGATGCTCTGATGGGTATCCTCCGTGTCAGAAACCTAGTAAGCCCACCGTATGTCTCCACTGAACCATCTTTGAATGTGCACAGAATATCGAAATCGGATCACTTTGTTATAGTAGCAAGCGATGGCCTTTTCGATTTCTTCACCAATGAGGAGGCAGTGGAGCTTGTCCATTCCTTTATGGATAGCAACCCTTCTGGCGATCCAGCAAAGTTTGTCTTGGAACAGCTTGTCAAGAGAGCTGCTGCTTGTGCAGGTAATAAGAATTTCCACTATACGTCTTTCCACAAGTCCCATTTTTCTTTTTCCCATTTCGGTTTAACAATTCGATCTATTTCCCCTCTTCAGGTTTTAGCATGGAGGAATTGATGAACATCCCGGCTGGCAGGAGGAGGAAATACCATGACGATGTCACTGTAATTGTCGTCATTCTTGGAACAAACCAGAGAACCTTGAAGGCATCAACGTTTGTATGAGGGGCTTCTGTTGTCACTCTATGATGTGCTGTACATTTTGTCAAGGTGTTGACAATGAAAAGCCTCCTAAGATTAGTCTTCTGTAAATAAGTAGGGGAACATTTTTGCAGGGTTTTAATGGTTTCTTTCTCTATGAATGTTTCTTTGGAATAAAAGACATACAGGAAACCATTTTTGATCTTTTTGGAAGGGAAGAAGCTTTAGGGGTCGTTTGGATGAGGAATTCTAATGGATCAATCTGACACAATTGTCTCGTTTTGAGTCAATTGTGCTAGATTGATCCGTTTGGCAGCAGAAAATTTGGATGAAGCAATTTGGGCTGGGGAATTCTGAATTGACTCATTTTGAGCCAATTACAATTGTCTGGGGTGGGGGCAGGTAATCTGAATTGACTCGTTTTAAATGACTCGTTTTGTAAAATGAAACAATTGGTCAAATTGTCTCGTTTTACAATTGATCCATCCAAACGACCCCTTAGAGAATTCCCACCATGTGCAATGTTGGAAGCCTAGAAGGCTATTGCTTTTCTGGCCTTTTGATTTGGCTGATCTTTCTATTTGACTGGTTTTCCATTAGCTCTAAGCAACACCAGGAAAAGCCACCTTTTTAGAATCTTTTCCCCTATCATCCATGACCAGCCATTGTGGGAACCTAAAACTATCTGCAGCCCTTGTTTGAATTAGGACATTGCCAGAAAGTATGTTCATTGTGTTCTCTTCTTCAGCTAGCCATTGTCAATGCATTCTGCTTAGATACTTTTTGGTAGAAAGACAGGATGCCTAATTCATTGATCACAATTTGCAGAGGGGCAGGTGATATCTCTTTTTAGCTATACAATCTGGTTAAAGTTTCTTTTTTTCCTGTTCACAAGTGATTCCTACTTTCCATGATTTCTTTCATTACCGCATGGAAATTGGCTTCTTTCTTAAGTTTAGTTTAATGTTATAATTTTCTATCATATGTTGAATGGAAGCTTAGTTGTTCAGTAATGCTTTTACCTTTTGCTTCAGTTATGTAACTTTGTTGGTATTATGGGTGGATTAGACAAGGTGTCAATTAAAGAACAATATAGGAGTTTGGAATTACATGACGGGTTATGGGAGTGACATTATCCTCATCCTTATCCTTTTTACTATCCTTAAAAAGGTTTCATCTGAAAAACAAAAGGATGAAGTTGGGGATAAACCCTGCAAATATAGCAAGAAACACAAGGATAAATGGAAAAAAAAAGTCTAAAACAAGAGAAAGAACTTCATTATGGAAGTAAACACACAAACATTTAAAGAATTGGTGTCGATAATTCGAATTGTTAGAAGATATTAAAATGTGAATTTTATATTATTTGTTAATTTTCTAAACGAAATCATTATATATGGATTTGAAATTTGCACAAATATGAATGCTACGTACTTACCAAATAAGAGATACATAAATTCGATAAAAATATTTCGAAATCAACTAGCTCAATCCAAATTTCCCTGCATGTTGCACGCAGTGGCAGATCCAGGGGGTGGCAACCCCGGGCCAGGGCCCCAGCCCTTTGGATCCGGAGATAGTATAGTTCTTATGAGTTTGTTGATTTTAGTCATCCGGTCCAGTGTTATTTTATAATAGATATGTGTGTGTAATTAGGAAAATAGGTAAAATGAACATATTCAAATTACAACTCTAAATTTAGCCTAAAAATTCTAGCTCCAATGATTCTCGTCTAAAGAAAAACAAACAATGAAACCTAAAATTCTAAAAGTCCAAAATGTAAAAGACTAAAAGAATTATGAGGTTTGTTGACTTGAAAAATGACTATAGCAACCAGTGAAAATAGGAATGGACACACAATACAATTTGATTAGTTGATTGATTTGTTTGGTGTTGACATTGCCCGTTTCAACAACTACTACGGAGAGAACCCTTTCAACAATGGAACAGGTGAAAATTGTTTTGCGCAACAAAATGAGCAATGAATTTCTCGATGATTGGTTAACTATTTTATTTGGAAATAGAGTAGTATGTTATTGGTATGAATGTAGACTCCATTATTGATGAATTCGCTATATTAAAAAATCAACCTGTATAATTAATATCGTAAAAAAAAGAATTTTTTTAAAGATATCTAATTTTCTAATGAAATACGGCCCAATACTCGACTATGTTCTGGATCCGCGACTGGTTGCACCTACACCAAACGATACATCTCATATCTCATGGAGAAGAAGAAGAACAAAGGGAAAAAGCATCATCAAACACGTAGAAGAACTGAGCTGGATATGAGCACTTCTACTATGCTATATAGTATTGGTGCTTTAATGTACAACTTAAAGTTGTACCATAACATTAAATGTATAAGTTTAGGGTGTACCATAAAGTAATTTGTACCATTATGTTATGGTACAACTTTACAACTTGAAGTTGTACCATCACATAAATGTACAAGTTCAAATTGTACCATAAAAGAATTTGTACAAAAAGTATAGGTACTATCTAAAGTTGTACCATAACGTAAATGTACAATTTTAAGTTGTACCATAAAAGCAAGACCCTATATCACCAATACTATGGAATGGGTTAGGGTGATTACTTGTTTTTTTATTAATTAATCTTACAGTCAAGATTCTTTTAGGGTAATTTTGGAAATTAAAAAGTGGCCACACCTGATTATTCTATATAATCTACCTAAACCCTATTCTTCTCCAGCCGCTCCAAGGCTCTGTTCACAACCTCAATCATGGAGCTCAACCCTTTCTCATTGCAGAAATCCAACATCTCCTATGTTTCCTTCATGCTCTCTCTCGCTGCTCTCTTGAAAACCTAGATCTAGTAATTTTTTTTATTTATTCAATGTGCAGTAGTATAGATTGTTTATATTGGTAGTTTTCGTGTAATGGTATAGATTTATTTCTGCAATGGTATTGATTGTTTATGGTCTAGATTGTTTATATTGATAGTTTTCGTGTAATGGTATATATTTATTTCTACAATGGTATTGATTGTTTATATTGGTAGTTTTCGTGTAATGGTATAGATTTATTTCTACAAGGGCTAATACCAATAGGAAACCCGAACTATTAACTTTGTGTCATTTGTGTCTTAAAGTATTCGATACGACATTTGTGTCCCAAACTATTTTTCCGTTATGGTTGACTGGCGTTGACCGTTAGTTTTAAATAGAAAATCTAATCAGCGCTGATGTGGCATCTAACGTGGAAATTAAAAAGAAAAAATAACAAAAAATGGAAATTAAAAGAAAAAATAAACAAAAAGTAGAAAATTCGTTCACTTTCCCAAATTGGCTTTTCCGCTCCCTGTACTCCTCTCCCCGATTCGTCTCCAAGCTCCACTTCCATGGCGGATCTAACGAAGCTAAGGGATGCAATGATTCTGCCACTTCTCGTTCACTTTCCTCTTCCGCCTCTACATCATCCTCCGCTATTAACGCTTCCTCCTCTCCATTTTACCTTTACTTTTCACCTTTCCTCTCCTCTGCTCCGGCCACCAACACAAAATGATGAAACCATGACCACGCAGCTCCAGCCCTTACGTCATCGCCGACTTCGACGGCTAGCGGAAGCGCACCTCCACCAAGTACCGCGACCTCAACCCGGTATGGAACGAGCCGCTCGAGTTCCTCGTCTCCGATCCGAACAACATGGACCACGAGGAGCTCGACATCGAGGTCTTCAACGACAAGCGCTTCGGCAACGGCAGCGGACGCAAGAACCACTTCCTCGGCCGGGTGAAGCTTACGGCTCTCAGTTCGCCAGGCGCGGCGACGAGGGGCTCGTCTACTTCGCGCTCGAGAAGAAGAGCGTCTTCAGCTGGATCCGCGGCGAGATCGGGTTGCGGATCTGTTACTACGACGAGATCCGAATCAAAGGCCAATTAGGTTTCCAATCGGTCAGATCCCGGCGCGGCTCGATGAACAACCACAGCGCGTCGTTTCAGTGGAACGAGGACATCATTTTCGTCACCGGCGAGCCGCTGGAGGACTCGCTCGTCTTGCTGGTGGAGGACCGTACGAAGAAGATGAAGAAGAAGGGATTATTTTTTATTTTAATTATTAATTATTAATTTTAATTTAAAAATAACAATCTGATGTGGCAGCTGACGTGGCGCATATGTGGCTGCCACATATGTGCCATGTAACCAAAAGTCAACATTTTATGGTTGACTGTTTGGTCAACCGTTATCTATAACAGTCAACAAAATTGTCATGACGTAAATGACACACAACTATCATACGTCAGGACACAAATGTCGTATCGAATACTTTAGGACACAAATAGCACAAAGTTAATAGTTCAGGTTTCCCAGTGGTATTAGCCCTTTCTACAATGATATTGATGTTTTTCAAAGTGGTAGTGTTTGTCTAATGGATTAGTACTTATTTCGTTTTTATTTTTTTTTGCTGAAAGATTGAGAAAAATATGGAAAGGAAATCTGGCCGGAGATTACGGAAGTGAGAGCAAGAGAACATTTTAATTAATAGATTTTTGTAATTACCTAAAATATAATTTATTAAAAAATTAATTAATATAATTTATTTTTCCATATCCAATTTACCTTAGTAACCACGGTTGTAGTAATCACCGTAACATGTCCCCCAATACTGACAAATCTGTGCGTCTTTGTCCCTTATCCAAATGGACGCCAAAAACACGGTCTCGATTCTAACCATAATAGCGAATCATCATTCCATCCTCTCTCTCTCTAACTCAACTCCAATTCTCCATCCCACCCTACCAAAACAAAAAAAAATTCATGGGAAACAATTCCGACCACCACTCAGTCAACTCGTCCCTTCCCCCGCCGCCGCCGACGCCGCCGATCATCGTCGCGATGAAGGGCCACCCCGGCACCGGCAAGACGACGCTGGCCCGCTCCCTCGCCTCCGCCCTCAGAATCCCTCTCATCGACAAGGACGACGTCCGCGACTCCGCCGTCCCCAACGACCTCTCATACGACGTCGTTTGGCGGGTCGCGTCGACTCAGCTCCAGCTCGGGCTCAGCGTCGTCGTCGACTCGCCGCTCTCACGCAGGGCCCACCTCGACCGTTTGATCCACGTGGCGGGATCTGCTGCTGGCGCCCGGCTGCTGATCGTGGAGTGCAGGCCGTCGGATGAAGCCGTGTGGAGAGAGCGGCTCGAGCAACGTGGCAGTGAAGAGGGCGCCAGCTCGCACAAGCCGTCCACGTGGCGTGATCTCCGGAAGCTGATCGAAGGGTACCGCGCCTGCCACGAGTACGACGCGGGCGGTGTGCCGAAGCTGGTGGTCGATACGACGTCGTGTACGGTGGAGGAGCTCGTGGAGGAGGTGATGGACTTCATTCAGCTTCATGCTCCCGGAATTGTCAAAAACATATAAGTAACCTGTAATTAGCTTGTGATTATGATTACTAGTTAGATTAATTCAGTGACATATCTGTGAATTTTAATGAAATTATATAAGTTGATGTATAGCTTCGGTTATTATTAGAGTAAAACAGAGTGTAGTTGGGTGAATAATTTGTAATAGGTAGAAAAACAAGAATTGAGATTTTTTTAGTTATCTTCAAAGTTGATAGCTTGACTAACTAAAACACACAAATAATAGGTATAGTTTTGAATTAGTGATGATGGTAGGACAAAATGTTTGAACGTGGAGTGTGATGGATGTTATCATTATCGTATCACTGTCCGAGACCATATAAGTACATCATTTATAGACGAAACAATATAGTTTATCCGATAAATGTTGTAGTTGCACGAACTTATAGTGCATCCTTATTCGTAAAGATCAATCTGATTATAAATTGGACGATTGTGATGTTTGCGAGACGGTGAGCCCATAGCATTAAAATATGTTATTTACTATAAAGCCTTACTATATCTCTTCTCCAGTGAAGTCATGGGCAATCTTGAACCAATGAACCATAAACAACATTGAAAACTCAAAATCATCAAACAAGTTGCAATTGGGCAAATTGGGTTTGCAATTTTGACCATCATAGTAGCACAAAAGTTTGCCATCTTGACCAAGAACGCACCCACAAAATCTCAAAAGCTAACACATCTAAACCCTGAAGAGTTACATCTCCTCCACCCACCCCCAAAATCCTAATTGGCCACGGATTACAGAACTACATTACATAACAGAGCATCCATTGACATTCTCGTCACTAAAAATCTGCAGAGAAGAGTCCATCCCCATGGACGGCGGCGGCGGAGGCAGCTGGCTCTGATACCCAAATGGATTCGCTTGCTGCTGAGCGTAGAGATAGAAAGGATTCGGAGCGGCATTCACAGCAGCAGGGAAGTAGAAATACTGCTGTGGCGGATACGGATATGGCGACGGAATAACCTGATTCGTCGTCATTTGTTGATACCTATTGTAACCAGAAGAAAACGGAGGAACAGAGCTACTACTAGCAGAGTTAGGATCGACATTAACTTGATCCCCCTCCTTCTCTGCTTTATTTTGACCCTCTCTCCGCTTCTTTTCGCCGCTGGAGAGGTTACCCGGGGTGTATTTAACGACGGTTTGTTTTTGTGACAACGAGTTTTCGTCTGGAATGGTTGCCATTGCCTTTGATGCTTCTTCTTCATGGGCTCCCCTGTTTTCACTCTGTTTCTGCTTCTTCTTGTTCTTCTTCTTCTGACTGTTGTTCTCTTCTTCTTGATTCCCTTCGTGGTTTGATTTACGATTCTTGGGTTCGTTGTTACAAATCGAAGCCATTTTCCCTTTGTTTGAGCGTTTCCTGATCAATGTCTCTGCTTCAACGTTTCCAGTCACAGTGACTCTCTGTTTCTTCATATCTACAGCTACCGTGTAAACACCTGCTCAAACAAAATAAAAATAAAAAAACAGTCACTAAAGGTAAGAAAAAAACTGCCGTGGTTGAAAAAAGGAGGGAAACGGAATTGAAAAGTTACCGTGGATGGCTAAGAGGATTTTGCTGACTTTCCTCTTGCAACCTTGGCAGTGGATGGAGACTCTCAGCACCCACGTCTGTGAAAATGTTAAAAAAAAAAAAGAAAAACAATGTTGAGGGTTTCTTTCAATCATCAACGACGAAATTGAGGGAAGAAAGGAAAGAGTAAGGTTAGTGAGTTACTTTGCAATGGAGGCCATGCGTTGGAGCTTCTTCTTGTACAGAGGATGTGTTCTTTTCCATTACAAGAAACACAGAAGAACCCTTCTCTCTCTAGAAAATAGTTGTGTTTCTAACACTCTGTTTGGGAGAAGGGGGAAGTGGAGGAGGGTGCATATTTTGAGGGGTAATGAAGGATCCCAATGCAAATGCACATATTTGGATCTTTAGCAATAGTAGCTGGGGGTGCATTGGAGGGGTAATTTTACTATTTTCCTTCACCCCAAAATGGGGTGCAAGAAAAGAAGAAGGAAGGGTGGAAGGTGGGGTAGGCGTGGGATGTGTGGAATGAAGAGGAAGGTGGGACCGAGGGAGGGAAAGATTAGAGAGAGGTGGTAGGGTTCTTTTAGTTTTGGTTTTTATTTTTCTATTATAATAATAATTATTATATTAAAATTGTTATTTTACACCTCATTTTGCACCCTCCTACTTTTTCACCCAAACAACAATTTGCACCTTAATTTGCACCCTCCTATAATTTGCACCCCCTCGTTGACAAACGGAGCGTAAGAGAAAATAAGAAGGTTGTGAAGTTAATATAGATAGGGTAAACACTACTCTGGTCATGAGTCTGGTTTAAATTCCCTGCGAATCTTTTTTCTGCATTCAGTTGTCCACCATTCTTTTTATATATAATTAGTAGGTACGCTTTTTGCTCGCTACTATTTCATTTTTTGGCGTTTAGTGAAAGGGAGTTAATATTTATCGCCCTAAATTTTTAAAAAAATCGCCCTAAACCATCATGAAAATACACTTATACCCTTGTCGACAACCGCCCTGCTCCTCCTTCCTCCTCAACGACGATTACCTTCTTATTCCTCCGCCGAGCTCGGTAGCAGCATAGGTGGGCAGCGGCGGAGCAAACCCAACAGCAAGAGAGCGACGGGGCGCGGGACTGGCCTCCACCATCAACATCGACGAGCATCCTTCTTCTTCCTCCATCTCGGGAGCGGCAGAGGTGCGCGGCGGCAGGCGATGACAAAACCCAGAATTAGCAGGTGGTCGGCGGCTTCTTTCTGCTTCTTCCTCCTACGGTTTGGTAGCTTCAGCGGCGGAAACAACAGGAGGAGACTGTCTGTTCGTTTCTTCTACACACTAGACGGGTGGTCAACCCACTTCTCTCGCTGCCGGACGGGTCGCTTCACCTCTTCTCCCCTTGTTAGACGGAGCCCGCCCCAACCTTCGTCAGACGTGAAATAGAGGTGGCGGCAGGCGGCAGCGACATTGGGCGGTGCAGAATCAAAAGTGGCGGCGGGGACGAGCATCTACATCTTCTTCGTCCTCGAGCGGCGTCGCGGCATCAGAGGTGGCATGCGGGGCGGATTAGGGCGAAACATTGATTAGGGATTAGAATAAATTGGGGGCAAATTTGTCTGTACAGTAAGATTAGGGCGTTATATTTTAAAAAGTGAGGGACGTTAAATAGGAATTCAGTTAGTGAAAGAGTTCCCACTTCCTCAATCCCACTACAAGTCTACAACTACAAGAACTAAAAATTGAAAAAAGAGAAAAACATAGTCTGTCCCCTCTCTTTCTGCCAAATCCTTCTCCATACTCTTTCCTCTCCAATCACATCACTCACTCCCAATTTTCATACAGTCAACAATCATCTCTCTCCATCTCTCAAGTCTGCTGAAACAGAACAGCTCCCTTGCCTCTCACCCTTTCTTATCTATTCCCTACAAAAATCAAGCGGCCACATCCAATTCTCGCTTCCTCTTCCGGTTTGAGATGCTGAGGAAGAGCACGTCGGCGACGCTTTGGCGATGATGACGACATTCAATTGGGAAAAGCTGTGCCGGCAGCAAAAGGAGAAGCTCTAGCTTCAATGTGCTTTGGCCATTGGTAGACAAGCCACCAAGAATACCGTCTACGAGGAAGCGCCTCTACCGGCCGTCATTACTCAATCAGAACTGCAGGTCAGTTGGTCGTCAGCCCTAATTACGGCGAGGGGAGATAAAGAGAGGTACGTCGGTCAAAAAATCGGGTGCAATACCCAGCTAGCTTGATCAATCTTTTGTCTCAACTGGATAAACTTTTCCAACACGGTGGTTGCCGGTTCCATTTTGCAGTGCGACAAGGATGAAAGCATAAAAAATGAGCTTTTGACTACTTGAGCAGGGCCTTTATGAAGCGGGAATCAGATGAGGAGCTCAGAATCCCATGAACAGGCATGCTTTGGTCTTTCTCTGCTTTCGTTCTTGGTTCCTTTATGGTTCTCGGTTCTATTGCCTTCCATCTCCAACGACTGCTTTGTACCTTGACATGCCAATGTTCTTGCATTGTTGTTCCTTCATGGGTTTTCTACCAAACAAACTTCCTACTCCAAACCCATCACGATGAGGAGGAAGAAGGTCACCATCATCAGCCTCCAAATTCTCTCAAACCAATTCTCCATTCCTGCACTGCAGGGCTTCTACGGTAATGAAGCTTTATCTCTAGCTCCTTTATGGTAATTCTGAAGTGGGTTGGTTGATTGATTTGTTAAATTTTAGGGATGACATTATTCCTAGGGAAGAGATCCATGACATGTTCAGGGATTGTTAGAAAATGGTTATAATGGTGGGGATCAGGTTGATGGGCTGTCAGATGATGGGTCACAGGTAGGGAAGAAGAGGAGGCTGAACATGGAACAAGTGAAGACATCTGAGAAGAACTATGAGTTGGGGAACAAGCTTGAACCAGAGGGGGAAATGCAGTTGGTTGGAGCTCTTGAGCTGCAGCCTAGGCAAATTGCTATTTGGTTCCAGAACAGGGGAGCCTGGTGGGAGACCAAGCAGGTTATAACATTTTTTAAAAGATCAGTAGAGCTATGAAGTTTGGATTTTAAATTTGTGAGTTTGTTTATTTGCTGTTTTTAGTTTATACTCAATTTTAATAAACCAAACTGCCTTTTGTCAGCAATCATTAACGCCCCCCATATTATATCACTCTCACAAATCACCCTCACCCTCAAAACATCAAGAAATTACACAACACATGATAGGTCGTTGACAATCTCTTCTACATTCATTTCTTACTAGCATTGGGCCCGGCCCGTTGGCCGGGGTTCTTTTTGGAATTTGAAGAACACAAGGATGATTAAAAAGAATAATTTGCAACTAATGGTTCAACTTAATCGAAGTTTCAGCTTATGAGATTCTATTTCAAAATTAAAAAAACTCAAATTGCAGCTATATAAAAGCACTATCAGCTGATAAAAACATACATTTTACTTGTCACTGATAAAAAATTCACTATAATAAAGAAATTGATCAAAAAGTTGCTTAGAAATGATTAAATTATAACAAAATCCATTTTTGCAAATTGGAAGCATTAATGAACGAATACAAAAAAAGGGCAATAAGCACAGATACACTTGCTAGAGTGAAGAAAACAGCATAGTTTAAACTGACACAAAAAGATTGCAGGCAAAGAACTTGAGTTGTCAGTGAATTAGTGGTAGGAAGTAATAAATCAAATCCAATCTGGAATCAATAGAATCTTATTTTGCTCATCTCTTGTCTGTAAGTACTTCTACAATTTTTCTATGACAGGCAAAGAACTTGCATATTGTCCTCAATACAAACTGACACAAAAGAGGAAGATCCATAAGAAAAACTGAGTTTCAATAGGAATCTGAATAAAAAAAATTAACTAAACATCTCATAGATAAAACCATAATACTAAACAGAATCTCATATGGTGGCCCTCAACCAAAGTTTTAAGCAATACAACTTCTCCTCGTCAGGGTCACAATCGAGAGCATGTTTCCTTTTTAGCCAGGTCAAGGTTGCCCCTCCAAGGTCCTGAGGACTTGGAGTCTTGATGAGTTGTTGCAATCAAATTTTAGCTATAATGGAGATTTAAACTATGTAATTAAATTCTAGACACCACTCTAAAAAAGCCTGTTGTCCTACTCATACCCATCCCACTCATGTAGGCGCACATCACAAAACCTAGAACTAATGATACTAAATTTCATGACAACCATAGATAAGCAAGAGGCAAAGAGTGAAATACTTGAGACTGAAACAAAACGCATTCGATAGTCGTACCACCAAAATAAACTTCCTTCTCCTCCTAGCTAAAGTAGCAAATGCAAGTGAGGCAAGCTTGGAACTTGCTAATAACTATTAATAAGAAGCAAAACAGGTAAAAATAACTGCAAATTCATATCAATTACATGCAATATTCAACTTTACTTACCATCCTCAAGATGCACCCTTTTCGCATCGACTTCAGCAAGGGTTGGACCTTCAGGGAGGCACAAATTGCCCTTCATTTCCCTATCAAAAATAAAATGAAACACATAAATGAAATAAGTTTTCACTACAGAACGTATATAACTTTAATATCTGAAAAACATATTACTAAGAACTAAATGAGTATAGTTAATGAATATATATTACATCGAGAAGGAGCAGAGTTAGAATTCAATGGAGGATTATTTGGGCCAGAAGAAGAGTCATCGCGACGACGTTTCGGCCGCATTGCCAAGCGTTGCACACACCAGAGGAAAACCAACAGAGAAATTGAGCCTCAATCCCCCAAGACCAGTTGGACTGAATTGATGGCGGGTTTTATGCTGAATGGAATTCGCCAACGACTGAAGCAGCTGACTCGAAGTGATTAGTTAGCAATTCCATAAATTGATCATTGCAAATGAACTAAATAGAGAGCACATCGCACATACAGGCTCTACAAAGCCAAAATAGAAAATTATATAAGGAAGGGACCTTACACAGAAGAATGCAGGTTACGAAGGGGGCGAAGTTGATTGTTCAGTCTACTGCAATGCGCGACGGGATGCGAGAGCGACAAAGACATGAAGGGCTTTTCTTCTGGGGAGGGTTTGGTAGAGAGACGCCGAGAGAGACGAAAAGCGTCGAGAGACAGCCGGAAAGCGCGAGAGCAGAGGGGAATTTTCCGAGGGAATTGCAACACAGAGCATGACAATAAAGACAACAACGCTCAGCCAGATAGAGTAGCGAAAAAGATTTCGATTTATTGATTCAGCGCAGCAAAAATGACGTCGTGAAATATTGATTAAGTACCGGATTGAGGTTGGGATGAATCAGCGAAAGAGAGATGGAGGTTGAGAAGAGATGGCCAAAGCTAGATGTTCGCCGTACGGTAGTAGGAGTTTGGAAGACAAAACCCAAAAAATTCCGAACTGACAATAATAACCCTCCGCACTGTGCGGCTATTCTAGTAGAGACTGATGTGGCAAACGCTGTTTTTTGACATTGGCTTATAGTATTTTGTAGATGTGATTAGCAGTTTTGCTAGGCTTTCATCTTAAGAGCAACAACTACTGGAGTGAAAAGAGGTAACGTACCAAGTCGTGATACGATGTATTCGACTAATAAGTGTACATGTCTAGGTGACTAGGTCGTAAGCATAAATCACATCAGTTTTAGAGATAAATAGATCTTTTGTTTCACAATATATAATTAACTTACGAAAGTTCATTGATGATATGTTTTTAGCCTTAGCAATGAGGAAACTTGTATAGCCATCACCTTATCTGCCTCAAACAAGCTAAACATACCCACTAGTAATCGATCAATCTAGTAAACACTAGAGAACCTCAATTAACACAAAGATGTGAAAAAGACGTATAATATTTTGTTACATGCTCACGAGGCAAAACCCCCAATTGACGACCCGAAACTTTGACACCGTCTATGCGTCCCCGCAATAGTCGATTATGCGCACAAACCTTTGCATCGTCAGTCCTGTCTTTCTTCATCCTCTTCGACTCAAGGATTATGTTCTCGCAGTCGCTTTCATCTACAAAATCGGAAAGGTAGAAGGTAAATGATTTGATCAACACTGTGATAGTTATCAGAAACCAATCAATGTCAGGCGACCATGCGAGATTAAAACATGACTAAGATACGAATCACGAAAATAATAAAATTTAGATGTAAAATGAGGGTCGTAATTGCTAAAAGGGCTTTTCATCTCCCCCTCAAATATTGTTGTAGACTTGTAGCATACATAGTATAATAGTATATGGTGCCAAATGCCAATTTTGCCGTCAAATGACAAAATGTTACTTTTAACGCCATGCATGAGGTTGGGAGGGAGCAAAGTCTATTAATTTAAGCAACTAAGTGCACCAATATATATTCATATTGTTATTGTCGAAATTCCACCTATTGAGATAAGAAATTGCTCTTTATTCATTAGTGGCAATCATTTTCTCATGGTTGTATTTTTGTCGATACTCGATGATTGATCATTGATAGCTCTTATGATTGGCAAAAGGGCCAAATGGTTTTGATTTGTACAAGAACGAACTAGCCGCTTGGGAAGAACGATGATGATAATAATAATAACTACTTTTTTATGGGAGGAAGAATGATGATAATCATAAGCAATAATTATAATTATAGTAAACCACATTAATTAAACAAAACAAACGCGTCCTATGGAAAATTCCTATCTTGTTGATTTTGATGTCTCCCAACGAAGCAAAAATGAATGCGCGCACAAACATACATTTCCCATGTTTGTTTGGTGGATTGGACGTATCATTGTAGGCATAGGGACTAAGCATTTTGGATCTATTGTCTATCTTTATCTTTAATAGGAGAAAGATTGTTAAAGAAAACTGAATTCAATTCATTCGAACTATGAGAGTAATTATAAGTCGTTAAGTAGAGGTTACGAAAAATGCATTCGATTGAGTTCGTTTGGAGTTTGGACATGTGAGACATTGTCAAGTTCATCATTTGACTATAAGAAATAAAGTGACATCGAATTTTCAGACATCGCAAATTTGAAAAACTCAACTTAACGGATAGAATCTGCCAAATCCAACATTCAAAATGACCTTACCATTTTCCTAGCTCTTACTGTTCATATGTTATGATATGAATATATCATACCAATTCGTTATGTATGAATGATGAGATTCCATTGATACACAGCCAATTCCAATAGACTTATTGGAGGGTCCCATTGGCGTGCATCCAGTAGGAATTGAACCTACGAATTCGCCAATTATGAGTTGTTATTACAAGTCATTATGCACAACTTACAACATACCATATCATAATCACGAACAAGGGCTTTGGTGTAATGGGTATTAATACCACTGGTAATTAAGATTTAATTTCTACTTAATTTTTTTTTTTTTGCATCAAAGGGAGCCAAAGGCCAAGAACGAGAAATTACAAGGGGGGATTAGGTGGGGGAAGAGGAGCTTGCCACAACTTGGCGCTCAAAGGTGACACCTCTAACATCATCCTGCAATATATGGGTAATACCCGTAGGGGGGTCAGCCAACTCATACTTCCCGTAGGGATAGACGAGACTGTGCTTCGAGAGCCAGTCCGCGGCTCTATTCCCTTCCCGGTACGTATGAGACAAGCTGACCAACCAATCTTGCCCAATCTTTCTTCGAATAAGACTCAGAAGAGTGGCATAAGGGTGGATGGGATCATGTCTCTCCTGAATCAACTGCAGAGCCAGCTTGGAATCTGAAGCCACCTTAACTGCTCGGAAACCGAGGTTCCAAACCAAATCCAGACCATAGCAAACGGCCCATAACTCTGCTAACGCCGCCGTCGCAGTTTCGAGATTGGCGACCACGCCTCCCAGCCATCTGCCCATCGAGTCACGCACCAGCCCTCCAACTCCGGCTGGCCCCGGATTACCATTCGACGCTCCATCAGTATTAAGCATGACCCAGCCCTCCAATGTCGGGGTCCAACCAACTGCTGTCGCAATACGCACCACCGGCTTCCTCTTCTGGTTTAAGAACAGCTCCGGGGCATGCCAAGAGTCATCCCAAAGCTTGGTCTTCGTCACAATCGAGTGCGTTAAAGAAGAAGCTGAAAGAGTTGCACTCAACCCTTTAAAGGAGGCCGTGGTACGATTTTTCCATAGCATCCACGAGGTCATGCTAAAGAACCCCGGCCACTCAATTCCTGTGCTGCTGACCTCCTTGCATGTGATATTCTTGCGGAACCAGTCTTCATGGCTATCACAGAAAAACTCATGCTGTTTTGGCTGGGGTACATGACGGCACCAGAAATATGTTGCGGGGGCACAATCTCGAAGAATGTGGAGCACAGTCTCCGGATGATCAGTGCACCTCTGGCAGCAAGGTGACTCAGCTGCCTTCCTCTGGAACCGCATCACATTCGTGGCTAGCTTACCCTGGATCGCCAGCCAAATAAAACATCTTACACGTTCAGGCACTGGTAACCGCCAAATCTCCTTCCAAACCCCGTCAGTGCCCTGCTGGCCTTGATCCGTGAGAAGAGCATAGGCCGATCTAGTGGAGAACCGGCCATCAGCAGCTGGGGCCCAGAACAGAGAGTCCTCCTCTTGAGAAATAGTGTCCACCGCTGTACTCATAATTTTGTTGACGATGTCATGAGGAAGGCGCCCTGAGAGGAGCTCAGTACGCCAACTACCGTCTGCACGAACAAAGTCCGCAACCCTCGCCTCATCCGCATCCTCCGGCATGTCTCCTATCACCAAATCCTTCAGAGGCACCTGCAAAATCCACGGATCAGACCAAAATTTAGTTCTTCTCCCATTCTTAATATTCCACGCGCAGCCTTGCTTAAGAAGGTCAGCAGCTTTAGAAAAGCTACTCCAGGTGAAGGAACTTCCCTGAATATTCCTCAGGACATCAAGATCGGCTCTCTGACCCCCATACTTCGAAAGGAGGAGTTCCCGCCAGATACACTCTTTGTCCTTTAGAAGCCGCCACCCTCCCTTGGCAAGCATGGCCAGATTCGCCTGCCGAGTCGGCCGAATCCCCACTCCCCCTTGCGCTTTGGGCCTCGTCAATCTATCCCAAGCCACCAGATGAAACTTGGAATGATTTTCCTCATCTCCCCAGATAAAATCTCTACTGATCTTATCAATGCTCCTGCAAACACCACTAGGAATTAGCTCTGTATGCATAGTATAAACAGGTAACGAAGCAGCTACCGATCTAGCAACAGTAAGGCGAGCGGCAAAAGACAGCCGTTTCGCCTTCCAAGGCGCCATCTTCCTCTGGATTCGCAAAATAAGAGACTGATATCTCCCTTTCGTGACCCTCTCCTGGATAGCCTGAATGCCCAGATATCTTCCTAAGGCTGCTTTCAACGGAATCCCTGCATACGCACTGAGCGCTTCCGCTTTGTGCCTTGAAATGTTCGGGGAGACATAGATGATGGATTTGTTGAAATTCACTCGCTGCCCCGAACTATGACAAAAATCTTCCAAGCACTTCTTGATGACCCCAATCTGTCTCCTTCCCGCTTCTGCAAAGAGTAACAAGTCATCTGCAAAAAAAAGATGAGTTAGTGGCGGCCCAGACCTGGTAAGCCTCACAGCCTTCCACAGTCCATCGTTTACCGCCTCATCTATCTTATGAGAAAGTCGCTCCATGCAGAGAACAAAAAGATAGGGAGAAAGAGAATCTCCCTGACGAACTCCTCGAGAAGGCGTGATCGGTTGAGATAACTCCCCATTCCACCGGATCCTCATGGTGTTATGCTCCACGCAGTACATGATGCATCTAATCCAGCTGCTCGGTAATCCAACCTCCTTCAAAGTGTCCCTCAGAAAATCCCACCGCAGCATGTCATATGCTTTTTCCAAGTCAATCTTGAATACCATGCCTCCTTTCTTTCCTCGTCTTTTCCTGAAGGAGTGTAAAACTTCCTGGACTACAATGATGTTGTCCGTCGTTTGCCTCCCTGGGATGAAGCTACTCTGTCTCGGGGAAACCCACTAACGCATCATTGGCTTTAGTCTCGAGGTCATGGCCTTCGTGATACTCTTGAGGCAGACGTTGTTGAGAGATATGGGATGAAGCTGGGTAACTCTCTCTGGCGAGTCCACCTTAGGGATGAGGACTAACGTAGACTCCGTCGCCGCTTCCGGTAAAGTACCTGTCATAAAGAAAGAAAGGGCCATGTCGGAGAGAGACTTCCCTATCACCTGCCAGAACTGCTGATAGAACACCGCTTGAAAACCATCCGGCCCAGGGGCCTGAAACGGCTTCATGTCAAAAATCGCCTTGTGAATATCCTGAATACTAAACGGTCTGAACAGAGCTGTTGCTTCTGTGTGGCTTATCCGAGGAAAAGCACCCTTGGGCATCCTATCCTCATACGGGGAATTCTCCTGCAGGTAGATATTAGTAAAAAAATTAAAAACCAGAAGAGCAAGAGAATGAGGATCCGTCACCCATTCATCGTTGTCATCAAGGAGAGACTCAATCTTGTTGAACCGCCGCCTGATATTGACCAGTTGATGAAAATACGCCGTGTTCCTCTCCCCATACTTGACCCAATTGTCTCTGGAGCGCTGAAACCAAATAAGCTCTTCTTGCTCGAGCACTTTGTCCAACTCTCCCGACAATTTGGAGTGAAGCTTGGCCAAACCAGGGAGGAAACCCCCTGCCAGTCTCACTTCAATCCCCTTAAGTCTCGCCAGAAGCCTTCTTTTCCTTTGCTTAATATCTCCAAACACCTCATCATTCCAATGGACAAGCTTCACGGCCAGCGATTGAAGCGCCGCAGGAAGAGCTACATTCCCATCCCAGGCACTCGAAATCAGATTCGGCAGGCTGTTGTTCGTCATCCAGGCAGCTTCAAACCTGAATTGCTTCGCGGGATGGGGCTGATTCGGCTGCAGTATCACATTGGTGAGAATAGGATTGTGATCAGACTGGTAGCGTGGAAGATGAGTTACCGACGAGTTGGGAAAGGTCGCATTCCATCTAAGGTTACATAGACTCCTGTCCAATCTGCTCGCCTTGAATGTATGATCATGATCTCCTCTGGACCAAGTAAACTTTGGTCCCGAGAAACCCAGATCAACTAACTCGGCCGAGTTAATTCTCTCCGTAAAGAGTTGGCATCTTCTCATCGTGTTCCTCGCCGGCAGTCCCGATTTCTCCTCTGGTTTGCTAATGGCATTGAAGTCCCCCGTCAGCAACCAGGAAATCTCAATGCAAGGTTAATTATAAGGACTTAAAACAAGGTTAAAAAAGAAAGAGTTTTCACAATTATTATTAAAGACAGTGGCATTCTTGTTATTTCTCTTCAAAACGATGGCAATTTTGTACTCACCTCCACTTAAAACCTCAGTGCGTAGCCACATTTCATTATTTCACTCTCTCTTCACTCCTCGACCACCGCACCCCACAAATTGAATCCCAACAAGAAAAAAAAACCAGAGAGGCGAAGAAAGAGAGAAGAAGAAGAAGAAAGAAGATCGAAGAAAAAAAAAATTAAGAACCCCCCGAAGAAATGGGAAGCAGCAGCAGCTTGCGGCGGAGCGGATTCCTCCTGATCTGCGCAATCCTGACGGCACACCTCGCCGCCTCCACATCGACGGCCATCGACTTCCTCCCGGCCGTGAACTCCCCCGGCGCCGGATGCAACGGATCCATCGCCGAGTGTATGGCGGCGGCCGCGGCCAGCGAGGGAGCCGACAACGAGGAGTTCGCCATGGAGTCGGAGTCGGCCCGCCGGATTCTGGCGGCCGGCAGGTACATCAGCTACGGCGCCCTGAAGCGGAACAGCGTCCCTTGCTCGAGGCGCGGCGCGTCGTACTACAATTGCCACGCCGGAGCTCAGGCCAACCCTTACCACCGCGGCTGCAGCCACATTACTCGCTGCCGCTACTGAATTTTCCCCTCTCTCCCCCTCTCTTTTTTTTTCTTTCTTCTTCTTTTCCACATAGATATATCTATCTCTATGTATACTTACTAATAACTATGATTGATTCGATTTTGTGTCTGATGTAATACACGGCGAGATTTGTTCCGAGATTGGGATTCAAACTGAGTTCAGTTTGGTGTTTTGTGATATCGTAGTTGTATCGGTTAAACGACGTATTAGGAGGTGATCAAGCCGTCGTACGCAATGAATTCGAAACGATTTCGTTACGGTATTATTAGTTTCGTCGAATTGTATCTTATGGTTTGATCACATTGCGTACACCTATATTGTTCGATTACTCTCCAATCAACAAGTCTGTAGTGAGACATAAACCGCTCGCTCGTTTTCTTCGATTAAGTGATGCTAACGATATCAGCTCGTGCTGTACCACGCTGCAATTGGTCCGGCTTAATTCGCGGTCGAGATGCTTTACATCCATTAATTCTGGGAATCCCGCAGAAGAAAGAAAAGGTTTCATGGTCCAGTAAGTGATTTGAGAATCAAAGCATCTTTTCTTTACCTTGCAATTGAAAGCTTGAAGGACACGCGTAAAACTGAACCTACATCAAACACAACTGGACCGCTCTAATGGAAGGCCGGCGGGGGGCCATGATAATAAAAATCTCGAAAAATCAATGCTGTTATCACCAATCAGCAGCTGGCAAGTGCCCTTTTAGGTGTTCGTGTGTGGCACCAGCTAGCCACCATTTTGGTGATTTCCAGCAACATTTAACCGAATCAAAGAAGCTTCCCAATCACTTCACTTCCACACCTTTTCCCTGCTTAGTTGGATGTTGGCTGGAGATGCTAATTGCTAAGTATAGAGACGGTGACCCAGGTTCGGTCACTCGGTTCAACGAATCGACATTCGAACCCCAGACCACATCGGTGCATGATTCATACACCAACCAATCTGATCGAGCAGTTCTGGACAGAAGAGGGATGTCAACATCTAACCACACGCTGAATTAATGAGTTACAGGCAACATATATATGGCAAAACAACGAACATAGACACCTTAGAGATGGTGTCAACATCACTCTCTATTCAATGGGTTTGCTGATCAGAAGAGGAAAAGCAGAAAAGGTGGTAGAAATGGAAGATGGGGTGGGGAGGGTTCACATCAAAGATTCCAGGAAAAACTCGCAGGCCAATAAAAGCAAACAGACAGAAGGGCACTCATTGCTGAACAGCAGTTTCGGTTCCAACGTTGTGGCGACCTTCTTACTTGGTATTTTTGTCTCAGGCTGTGTCGTCGCCTGGCTTGGATTCGTCCTTCGCCTTGGGTGTCGAAGGAGATGGCGAACCTTCCACGCCCATCTCGGCTCTCAGATCGTTGATGCTCCTCTCTAGCTCATCTATCCTGCCTCCCATGTCATCGAGTGCATTGCGGTCAAGGATAATCAAAGAATAAATATCCACAGATTTGATGATAACTGGACTTTCTCATGTTGTATATCTTCCTAACTTAAAAGAAATGAGCATGGGTTTTGCTATGTAGGAAAGACTACCAGGGGTGTGAAAAAGCGGAAAAGACTAGCCAAGAAACATCATTCGATTTTTCATGCAGTTAAAAAGTATATATTTTCGATCATAGTTCATCCAGAATTGAGAAAATAAGAATGAGAAATGGAAATTAGGTAAGGATATTCTTTGTAATGATGGAGTCAGACATTGTCTGGAATCTGGATTGCTGCAAAAATAAAACAGCACCAGTGAGTAAGTGCTTCGATTTTGTCAATTAGTTCTGAAATCTCAAAAGCCTTGGCATTGCAAAACCAACCATCTGCTGAAGCAAATTTTGCACCTGCAGTAAAACAGAAAACACGACTCAGTAAGTGACGACAGCGTTGGAGAGTAGGAACATTCTCATAGATGTGTTTATGAGAACTCACAAAAGCAGTCATATCGGCAGTGCTCTGTTTAGGATCATCACCATCATGTCCGTCCTGCCATGAAACATGTATAGTTCATAATTAGATACAAAGAACAAGCTATCGTAGGAGCTGGTCACAATGTGCAAAACAATTTTAAAAAAGTGAAGTGGCTGTCAGATTACGAACTTAGAAGTTATTCTAAGTGGTAAGAAAAAAAGTACCCAGAGATTACGAACTGTAATCAGAGTCTCATGTTCCACCCATTCATAGACATCACATACTAATACCAAGAAAGGAACGGCTGAGTTATTAAGATAGGAGATGACTGCTCTCTTTTGCTATGGCTCTCGGCATATGGATACACAAGTCTGCTAAAATCCTACATTGTAAGAACTATGGACCTATAGCAATCCAATGCATGTTAGGCAAGAACAGCTAGCCAGACTTATAGTTGCACATAACAATGCACCTAGAATCGCCACGCTTGGAGCATTTCCTCCCAGTTATCAGAACTATGCATTTCAGTTTTCATCTCCTAAACTTACTATCAAACACACTCAATTTCCTATCGAACTTCATCAAATTAGGATACAACTGCATAGATCATCCTCCCCGCCGCCGAGAAAGCCGCACATAGGGACCCTATGCAAAGAGAAAGCAAAGAAGAACGAAAAACAATTTTGCCATAACGTCCTAACCACAATCCCACATAAACCTACACAAACAGATCTTAAAGAAGCTCAACTGAACAGATTCACACTTTTCTTTCCACCATGAACAAACACGGATCGGACATTTCCATCGCTCGTCAACACTTAATCCACCCGATTCAAAATCTAAGCTCACCAACACTTCAATTCCAAGATTCTATCGCAACATTCTGTTTCTACCCCGTCTCCCGACCACAAACCCGAAACCCTAGCTCGCTTTCATCGCATTCCCAACGAAATGGAAAATTAAAAACAAAAGATCGGAAATGAAAAGGCTGAAACTATGGATTTTTCTTTTTGATGATGGAGATTCCTTACCATGTTCGCCTGGATTATTCTTTCTTCGAGTTGCCGCCGGGAAAAATTCTCCGATCTCCGCTGAGAGCTGGGGAAGCAGAGTGAAATTCCTCTTTGGAAGTGAGAGGAGGGAACGAGCAGGCAACTGTACTACATAAGCTTAGCCCACCGAATTTACGAGTCTACCCCTGTCTAGTCTCTTCCTTTTCTTACGCTTGCTCGCAAGTGGAAAAGGGGTATTTCAGTATTTACAATTGAGAACGGAGGGTACGCTACGCTCCCTGAGCCGCGCTCTTCAATGTCTCTCGATTGAATTCTTATGGACCCTAGTGGCCGAAATTTGAAGATTTTGCACCGGCGAAGAGATGGCTGGCTCTGTTGATATGGTCGGTGGCGGAGGCCGTTCGGAAAAGGTGAAGGTTGCCGCGACCTGTTTGCTTCTCGCGGCGGTGGGAATATCGCTGTGGGGACTGTATTTCGGCGACGGAGAAGCGAAGCAATGGCGGGGGATGTTGAGAAGGAAGAAGAAGAAGGCAATCAGGGTTTACATGGACGGCTGCTTCGACATGATGCACTACGGGCACTGCAACGCCCTCCGCCAGGCGAGGGCTCTCGGCGACGAGCTGGTGGTCGGGGTGGTGAGCGACGCGGAGATCATTGCGAATAAAGGTCCGCCTGTGACTCCTCACCATGAGAGGATGGTGATGGTGAAGGCGGTGAAGTGGGTTGATGAAGTTATTGCAGACGCTCCTTATGCAATCACGGAGGAATTCATGAAAAAGCTGTTTGAAGAACACAGCATCGACTATATTATCCATGGTGACGACCCATGTGTTCTTCCCGATGGGACAGATGCCTATGCCCTTGCCAAGAAGGCTGGCCGTTACAAACAGATCAAGCGCACTGAAGGGGTGTCGACAACTGACATAGTTGGTAATGTTCTGCATCCGCCATTGATTGATTCTTGGTTTCTCCTTTTCTAATGGTGTGGATGAGATTAGGGTTCCTCCTTTTCGTTTCTCTTCAGTTTATGTTGCTGCTTTATTTCTCTCTTCTTAAATTTCAAATTGAACCCAATAGGACGGATGCTGCTGTGTACGCGAGAAAGATCCGTTTCTGAGACCCGCCAAAGTCATTCATCCCTGCAAAGACAATTTAGCCACGGTCACAGTCAGAAATTTGAAGAAGGTGGAACTGGCAGTGGCACTCGCGTTTCTCATTTCCTCCCTACTTCTCGTAGAATTGTTCAATTTTCCAACGGAAAGGTAACTCCTCGTCTTTCTTCCCCTGGTAGAGCGTTGTTCTTGTTTACCTAGTTTAGCAGTGCATTAGAAATCCGACTTGGTGATCTTACCCCAAAGAGTTGTGTACAAATTCAGTTCATGAGTTCACTGCTCCTGTCTGTTAAATCGCTGCCTGCTTTCTCTGTTGTGGTTGAAGGGCCCTGGTCCGCATGCTCGTATAGTTTACATCGACGGCGCATTTGACCTTTTTCATGCTGGACACGTTGAGGTATGATGAGATAGTCTGTTTCTCAGTAACTTTTAGGCTTTTAGCTCCTAGTTCCATACCCTATTCCTGCTAGTGGTTCTCCTAGTGACCGGAGTTTCTTTCCACTGTTTCATCATCTGCTTCCATTAGATTTTTTCCTTTTTCAGCTTCAATTGTTATTGATGGTACTACTGCTAGTACGTAATCCCATTTGCACATAGATTAGTTTGACTTCTATCATATAGAAAGGTTAGATGCTATTTGTTCCGACTATTTAGCAATGAGACGTTCTGCTGCTGTGAATTTGTTGTACTGTTGGTTCATATTGAGCTTACCGTGCTCTAGTGCTGGACCTTATCATCCCTTTCAACTGGTTTTTTCTCGTGGATACAACTGTTTTCTGCTTGCTACTTTGTTCCTTATCAACTCTGGCATTCTCATTTCTCACATGCTTGAAGAACGGGGATCTATAGTTTTCTTGTTGCCGTTTTGTCTTGTTATGATTGAATTTGTGATGTTATTTCATCTTTTCCCCCCATCCCTCATCAACTCTAGTCCTTTCCGGCATTTTGCACCATTTGTTACTGCAGAACTAATTTGACACCCTTCTAGAAGTAGGCCAGTGTTGCTGGTCTGCCTACCCAAATTTTCTCTTCTAAGTTTTAGTGTCCTGCCAATTTTCCATGGATGAGTGCAATTTATAGACAATAAGGGAAATGGAAGCTACAATGTTCTGGTGTGTACATATGATTGATTTGTTTGTGAATATGAAACCTCAGTACCTCACATAATCAAAGTAGGAATGATATTGCTCATGCTTCATCATTGGAAAAAGATATTATTGTTCCTGTTTTACCAAGAATCCATGTTGTTTCAGATTCTTAGGATTGCTCGAGGGCTTGGAGATTTTCTTCTTGTTGGGATTCATAATGACCAGACTGTCAGGTAGCTTTCAGATTGCTTTTTAGGTCCTTTTTTAATCGTGTGCAATCTTCTTGTGCCTCTCTGACTGTAAGTAGGACCTATAACTGTTAGATACTGTAGATTTGTACATGTCTTCAGTAGAGAACGTTCACACTTTCTTCTCCGAATTAAGTTTAATGTGAAAATAGATTGGCAGCATGTGCCGACCATGATTTTGGTAGTTGGATCCAGATCCTTCTTTTATCATTTTGGGCAAAATTTCATGATCTCTGTTGGTGCTTGGCCGGTGATTTTTATCATTTAGTTAAATTGGCAAAAGTCTGATGTTTTTTAGAATTGAAAGGGAGGATTTGGGAAAGAATATCTCATAACCTGCATGTACTGACCTGTATATTCTATCTTCACAATCTTCCTGCATCCACAATCCTTTTAACCAGAAACAATAAACATTTGTCTCAATCAGCTTAAACAGGGTTGTAAGTGCAATATTATTTCTGCAGTGACATTTGTGTTATGCCATGTACCTACAGGCTACCACACCTATGATTTTTGCTTTTCATACTTCTCCCCCGAGTCATCTGATTTTTTCCTTTTTCTTCGTGGATTGATTCTGTAGAGCTAGTCATCTGATACTGATATCTTCCTTTTTTTCTACATGGATTGATTATGTAGTGCCAAAAGGGGAACACATCGTCCGATCATGAATCTGCATGAAAGAAGCCTAAGTGTGTTGGCTTGTCGTTATGTAGATGAAGTGATCATTGGTGCTCCTTGGGAAATTTCTAAAGACATGGTAAAGAATTTTATTTTAAGTTAATTCTGTCGTTTTTTGCATATGTTACAGCATGCTGGATGGATGTGTTTACAGAGCATTAAAATCCATTTTCGGCATGAAAGACATTTAGCAGTCCAATACCTTTTTCTAACTTCTTTGAAAGAATTTTCCCTCGTGACTTGATTTGGTGTAAATTGCTAATGACCGCAGATCACAACATTCAATATATCTTCTGTTGTTCATGGTACCGTGGCGGAGAACAACGACTTTGAAAAGGTACAATGTGGTGTATTGACTGATCAATTGACTATTTGCAATATGTGGTGGAAATGCTGCACGGGGTGTTTTTAACTCGGGGCATATACTGAATCACAGGAAGAAAGCAACCCTTATGCTGTTCCAATCAGTATGGGCATCTTTAAAGTGCTGGATAGCCCTCTCGATATTACAACGACCACAATAATTAAGAGGATCGTATCCAATAATGAAGCATACCAGGTTTGTTTAGTGCAAACTGTTGGGATGTTTCAGTTTATGGTCGTGCATTCATTGGCATTGGCAAGTCTGATCTAAAGAATTGAGTCCCTAAACCAAAACTTCTTAGAGATGTGGTATTCTAAAATCTAAAGAGTGTTCCCTTATGTATTCGGCTTAAAAGGATACCGAGCTCTCTGTTTGATCACTTCTCACGCTGCCTGATTCACTGTTTGGGTCTTTTATCCTGTGTGCAGAAACGCAACGAAAAGAAGTCACAGAGTGAACGAAGGTATTACGAGGATAAGACTCATGTATCCGGCGACTGAACCATAATTGATGCACATTTCCTTTGCCTTGCTAGGGTCTTCTAATCTGCAAGTGAGTCTGATACAGGTGTTTTTGTCCCACGGGAGGTATTTGTTTGTAGAACTCCTTGTTGAGTGCATTTATAGAGAAAATGCTGTTAGGGTAAGTACTGTGGAGGCAAAATGGAAGTAGAACTTAAACCTAATTATGTAGTTGCTGTTATTATTACAAGCAAGTTGGTTCCTCATATTTCTTGTTCTATAATCTCTCTTACTCCCAAGGTGTTTATTCCATGGTTTACTAAATCGTACAATGACACACAATGATGCATTGCATTACATGTTGCGCGTGATGAACAATGCATAAAAACCTATGAAAAGCAAATATTTGAAATCAATTAATAATAATCCCTCAATCTTCTTTATCAATAACATATCTCATTTGTTCGAACTCGTAACTAAAAAATCTGCATAGAAATTATATTAACGAGGATATACACAATGACTGTGCTTGTGTCCTCGTTTCTTTCCCTCAAACTTTCCAAAAACCAAGTTCTTTTTTTTTTTTTTTTGCGAAACCACACATTTTCACAATTTTCTTAATTTGGACTTTTGAGTACAAATTACCATTCTTTCCAAAACCTATACATATTAATCAAGAAGAAAATTAATTTATAAAATTATAAACCTTGTCATTTCTCAAAATCCATTCACTATTTCATTATAAAAACAAATTGTTGGGCCTAGTATTGACATACGTGGGCCTGAGGCCCATGGTTACAAAGCCCATAAAAAATTAAGCAAGACCAGAGCGGCCTAGCCCATGCCCATCATGGTGACCGCCCGACACTGACGTCAATTGCACGTCAGTAAACCGCCCGACAGAAAGACTGAGGCTCTGCCAGATAGAGAAAGTCAGACATTCGTACTGACACAACATTTAATGAGTCAAGAGGCGTCCCAGACCGCCCGACACAACGTAAATCCCTCAGCCCCAAGACCAAGCTAGTATAAATAGCCCCAAAGGGGCAGCATTTATGGTAACTCCGATCAACTGAATTCTCTCTCTTATTTACATTCACCCACTTCTCTCTCTAACTTAGGCATCGGAGGAGGTCCCAGGTTACCCCTGAGGACATTTCTTGCAGGATCCTGGAGACCGCCTTTCATCTACTGAAGCCGCCAGAGGTCGTGGAGTCTCACACACCCACCTGGGACGATCCAGGCGCAAGCACAAACTATTCATCATCACATCACTATATTTTCTATTAATAATAAAAAAAAAACCCATTTTACATAGCATCAACTTTACTTTGTACAAACTACAAACACTTAAACATGTTTTTCCTCCAACTTCGTTCATTTTGGTACCACCCACCTTGCGTCCTTACCTACGGCTACAACTGCATTGTTTGTTCGCTAGTCACTATCCAGTCTCCCACAAAATTATTCTTTAGGAAATACATTTATTAACCTTTCTTGTATCCCCTGCTGACGAACTCGCTCTGTTACTTCACTTACCATATCTGTGACCAAATTGCATTAACGTTACATACCCTTGCTCTCATGTGACTTACCATTTTTGGGATTACATATCAATGTGGGCCACATAAATTTCCAGGAACCAATCAAAATCGAAATCCTCAAACCAATACAAGAAGATCTCACTTCTCCAACCCACAATCTCTGTAATCGGGCATTCCTCAAAAAATGGCGAATCGGTCGTCAGGCAGGAGAAATCCCCGGCGAGCAACGTGGCCGCCGTGGGCAATCACGTGCATCCCTCTCCTGCTAAACGCCGCCGCCATCTACATCTTCGGTTCGAGCAGGAAATTCGAGTCGCTGCCCAAACCGGACTGGTTTCCTCCGCTGTGGGTGATTTATTTGGGCTCGATCGGGTCGAGTTTGGTAATGGGCCTGGCGGCGGCGATGGTTTGGGCTGGCGGCGGGTTCGGCGGCGGGGGCGCGGCCGTGCATCTGTACGTTTGTGAGGTGTCGTTGAGCGTTGTGTGGCCGCCGCTCGTGGTCCGGATCGGAGCCGGGTTGGTGGGAGCGGTTTACTCCTGCGCGCATTTTGGGGCGGTTTTGGGGTGCTACTGGGCTTTCGGGAGGAGGAGCCCGAAGGCGAGGAAGCTCGTTGGGCCGTGTTTGGGCTGGGCCGGGTTTGTGACGGTTTGCACGTTCAAGCTGGTTCGTGATTCCCAGGTTTCTACTTTGTTGGAGTTGGTTGATTTGTTTGTAGGGTTTCTGGTTGGGTGATTTGGCTGGATTAGGATGGGAGTGTTTAGAGCTTTACTGTCTGTGTAGTGTGTAGTTTGTTAGTGGTTAGCCTGGGAGGTGTGAAGGCTTGTTCTGGATAAATGGAAGTATTTGATTCGAGATTGAGAAATGTTATTTTGTTTTTTATTAAGTATGTTTAATTTCAAGTGATTCCGGTTCTCGATTAATTGTTTTATTGTGAGCGTTGAATGAACACTTGACATATTGTTTACAAAATTTTAACCACGTAGGTCCAATAATCATGAGGTGCCCAATACCCGATCGGACAGACTAGGAATGCAATAAGTGCCGTAACTAGGGATGATAATTTCGACCTGACCCGTTTTACCCTATCTGTTTGGTCGGTTTTGTGGCGGGTCCGCCCCGCCCCGCCTGGGCGGGCATGGGTACTCTCATCGACCCAACCTGCCTTGACCCGGCCCGTTCTTGCCTAAATTACATGTAATCTTAGTCAAATTACTTTGAATTTTTCTTTTATTACATCATAATTTAGCTATAATAAAGTTGTAAATTAGTGAAAACCTCAATTTCTCTAATAGTTTAACTACATTTATCATAATGTTGTTTGTTTTCTTTGTCTTATAATAAAAATAACGAATATTTATAATGTTTTTTTGATATAAATAGCATACCCACTGAGTCGACCTACCCCGACCTGCGACCCATGATAAATTACCCGACCTGTCACGGGGTGGGTCTGAGTACCAAGAAACCCGCCTCGTATCTGCCCATTGTCATTCCTAGCCCTAACCGAATTGCTCAATGATTCGTATCAAAAGCGGAGCTGAATTTTTGGGCCAGAGCCCATCACCAACTTTTCATCCGTCCGCCCAAGGCCCAAACCCTTCAAAAGCCCGGGAAAGTGGAGGCCGAAACACCACTGTTTTGTCTTTGTGCTGGGAAGAATCACACGTGTCACGTGTTCTTCAAACTTCAGTTACCAACGTTTGGGACAGCCGGACAGGGGAGACGTCAAAATATGATATTTTCCATGCACAAACTACAGGCTGTGGAATTGTTCGGCAGCCAGTTGCCGTTCGGTGGATGTGGAGAAGAAGAAGAAGTTTCGCATAAGACAGGGAACTGTGACGAATTATCGTCCTTTTCGCAAAAGTCAGATGGGCTGCCGGCAGCCGCGTGTAATCCTTTTTCGACTACTAGAGGGAAGTTGCTTGCGTCAGGATTACTAATTCTGCACCGGCGGGAGAACGACAGAACCGACAATATATTTGGGCACCGCGTAACTTTGTGCTAACCTCTCTTTCCAGCTATCACTTACGCCCCAAATGGTCAAATCAAACAATTTATCCCGGAAAATCCACAACCCTACACAACTTGCTCCATTTCTACACATTAATTAATTAATTTTATTTTCTCTTGTTTTTATGACGTTTAATTAATTTTAACTTAGTTGCATTTTATTAATTATTTAATTATCCATGTGAAGAGAATCAATATGAGAGAGAGAGACCCCCCAGTTGGCGCCGATCCTCTAATCAATCCCGCTATCAACTGCACATGTGCTGTTTCTTTCATCTTCCAGCGTCCCCTCACCGTTGATTTCATGATCTGGATCTTGATCCAACGGCCTTGATCCGGTCAGCCCCATCTCACAAACCGCACTGGATCATTCCCCTCATCCATTTTACTTCCGATCCGCGTAATATTCCAGAGACGACGTGCTTACGTGCAAATGGCACGCAGAATTATTCCTCCAACTGGCTTGGTCAGCCATCCGGCTACGTACCGGACCGAAACAGACCAAGTCAATCACTCGGCTTTCCAACTAAATTGAACCGGTACTTAATGACAAATGACAATTCGCAACTTGAAAAAAAGGATGCATAACTGGTTCGATTCAATCGTGTCGTATCAAACCGGACATCGAGTCAGCGACCATCCCTGGGTTCCATAAGCTAACAGAATCGGTTCGGTTCAAAACCAATCCAGGCCAGTTCAACGTGAATTATTTTCCCATTTATTAATGACTCCAATTTAAATATTTAAATTTTTTATGTGGTCTCTTCTTCTATCATTCATCTCTTCTCTGAGGAGTCTCCAGCTCTCGCTCACACCTCGCTACTGTCTCGCCACCGACTGCCACGAATCTCAAATCACACCCTCGATTTCCCATTTATTTACGATCCCGCCACTCTTCCAAATTCCTTCTCGCCTTCCTCTCTCCCAGCTCCGGCGCCCGGCAGGTAGCGCCATTATCAAATCCCACGGTCTTCATTTTCCCGGTGAGTCGTCCGGCGATTTCTTCTTTTCCCCGGCCTGGTGGTGGTGACTCGGGGAAACGACGAGTCAATATGCTGGAAAAGTGCATCGGCCAGCAGCGGGTCCGCCGGATCCAGCGCGCGGCGCGGCAGGCGAAAATCACATTCCTCTGCCTCTTCATGACCGTCGTCGTCATGCGCGGGATGCTCGGCGCCGGCAAGTTCGGTACTCCGGCGCAGGACCTCGACGACCTGACGACTCACTTCTACGCGGCCAGGAAGCACGGTGAGCCCCACCGCGTGCTCGTCGAGGCGCAGCCGGAGAACGAGAACGGGAGCGAGAACGATCCGAAGAACTACGCGACGTTCGACTTCAACAAGATCTTGAAAGACGAAGGAGGCGAGGAAGAGAAGCCAGATCCGAACAAGCCGTACACGCTGGGGCCGAAGATTTCCGATTGGGACGAACAGCGAGGCGAGTGGCTGAAGAGAAACCCTAATTTCCCCAATTTCATCAGGGAGAACAAGCCGCGGGTGCTGCTGGTGACCGGATCTTCCCCCAAGCCATGTGAGAATCCGGTCGGCGACCATTACCTCCTGAAATCGATTAAGAACAAGATCGATTACTGCCGGCTCCACGGGATCGAGATCTTCTACAACATGGCCCTGCTCGATGCGGAAATGGCTGGGTTTTGGGCCAAGCTGCCGTTGATTAGGAAGCTGCTGCTGTCGCATCCGGAGGTTGAGTTTCTATGGTGGATGGACAGTGATGCGATGTTCACCGACATGGCGTTCGAGCTGCCGTGGGAGAGGTACAAGGATGTGAATCTAGTGATGCACGGTTGGAACGAGATGGTTTACGATCAGAAGAACTGGATTGGGTTGAACACAGGTAGCTTCCTGCTGAGAAATAATCAGTGGGCGTTGGATCTTCTCGACGCCTGGGCGCCCATGGGGCCTAAAGGGAAGATTAGGGACGAAGCTGGGAAAATCCTTACACGGGAGCTGAAAGGAAGACCTGTTTTCGAAGCCGATGATCAGTCTGCCATGGTTTATCTGCTTGCCACGCAGAGGGATACTTGGGGGAACAAGGTATATTTAGAGAGTGGGTACTATTTGCACGGTTACTGGGGGATTTTGGTTGATAAGTACGAGGAAATGATCGAGAACTACCACCCGGGATTCGGCGATCATCGATGGCCATTGGTGACCCATTTCGTGGGTTGCAAGCCTTGTGGGAAATTCGGGGACTACCCGGTGGAGAAATGCTTGAAGCAAATGGATCGTGCCTTCAATTTCGGTGATAATCAGGTTCTTCAGATATATGGGTTCACCCACAAATCTCTGGCCAGTAGGAGAGTGAAGCGGGTTCGTAACGAGACGGGCAATCCTCTCGAAGCGAAGGACGATCTCGGGTTGATGCACCCTGCTTTTAAAGCTGTGAAGGTATCAACATCATCTTGAGTAGAAGAAAAATGGGGGGAGGTCTTCTTTTTGTTTAGGTAATGTAATGTATGTGCTGCAGACTCGATGTTCTTTTTTGCTTCTAATTTATTGAAACTGATACAGGTCGATGATTCTACAATGTAATTGCTTCTGTTTCTTCAGCTTGTGGTGGTAGTGGGATGGCAAGGCAACAGATCAAAAAGTTTATTGTATTCCCTTGTTTACACCTTTTGTGATTCTTGTTTTGTTAATTTAGTTCCATATCTTTTTTTGGGCCTTCCTCAAGGAGATGTACCAAATTTTTGGAAAAGAAACAGTGGTGGGGAAAGTGAAAAGAACAGAGATTTGCCAATCTTACTGTTTGTTAGAAAGAGCTATAGTGTATGTGGATGAGATTGTTCCTCTCTGGTGTGTTGGAAATTTGGATTGTAGCTGTCTGCATTTGGCTTAGAAAGGTTTGCTTTACCCTCAGTAGCTATCAGATCAGATTAGTGCTTGGCCTAGAGAGCTATATCTCTTACTTGGTGTGCTGCTGATGTGCAATTATGTTGTTAGGCTGAATGTCTTATGAGAGTGGTTCTGTAGAGTATGGAATACGAGTTCGGTTTTTCGGGTTGTTAAGTTCAGTCAGTTACTGAAGGGCAGTTATTGTTGTTTGAGCTAGTTTAGGAAGGATGATCTGGTTGAAGGTCTGACTCTCCTGAGCTGGAGTTTCTTTTGTGTGAACTGGAGCTTGTTAGTCTGGGAGCATTGGTCTCCGAAACCGTCTTTGTAATATACCAGTCTACGAGCCTCGCTGGGAAATGCAGCCCTCAGCCATGGCCTTCGAGTTTCATCGTCATCATTTTCTGGCTGTTGGCCGAACTTCCATACAAAGGAGAGCAAGTAGATGCAAAGTCTGGTGGAAGGGTTGTTGATTAGCTTGTTCTGCTCTTCGTATTTGCAGGCAAAGCGCCTTCCTATGTTCTTTCAAGCTGGAGTGTTGATTGCATAAAGAGTTTGGACTGGGAACCAAACAGTTCCTTGAGCTTTACTCCTCTAGCTCAGCTGTAAACGCTATCTAGATGTACGTCACTGTTGAAGAAGGTTTGTCGGATTTTGTGATGATGAAAATAGGACTTGATTCTCATTGATAATCCTATCAGCTAATATACATGGCCAGACGAGGGAAAGTAGCAACAGAAAGATAACAGAAAGCTTGGTAAAATACCTCGATTATTTTTATTTCTAGAAAATACTTCAGATAACACTAAATTATCAGAATTGTGAGAGCTATAATACTTAATTAATAATTCCCGTGTTATTGAACTCTATTATATGTGTATTCGGTACCACTTAAATTTATTGTTAAGTGTATTTTATTAAAAATGATAGAATATTTTTAGAAATTTCGTTTTCTAAATTTAAGATTTAGTGCTTCTACTTTTTTATTGTAAATAATATTTTGGATTTATGAAAAATATCTTTTTTATTATTTAGTTGGAATCCTCTTTTGAAAACTCTATACCAAACCAATTTTTGAATAGTAAATTTAGAATCAATTATCATTATAAGTATTTTAAATTATCATTTTGTTTTGACAAAAAATAATCATATTGATTTAGAAGAGATCACAAGATACATCCTGGAACCAACCCAGACACGAGGCCGGAGACAAATACAGGGCCTTTTGAGCCACAGAATGGGCTACCCTATTGCTATTTCGACCTACGAACCTAACCTGGAAACCACTAAGCAGAGTCAAAATACTCGAAATCTCCTGGATAATGGTCCCAACACGTCCATCCCGAGCATCGTTGGCATTAATCTTATCAATGAGCACCTTAGCATCACCCTCAAACATCACTTGGGGGAAGCCAAGAGCATTACACCACTGGATTGCTTCACGTAACACAAGAGCCTCCACCACTAGAGGGTTCAGGATGCATGGAAAAGACAGTAAGACACTCCTTTAACCAAGAGCACATTTCCACCACCATCCTTCACCACCAAACCTCCCGCTGAATGTGAGCCAGCACTTACCGTACATCCCACATATAGAGGATAGGAGGCAAGACCCCCTCCCTTCCATTAAGACTCGGTGGTACCCACCCCCGAACCGGCGTATCCACTGGCAAAGAGACACATTCATGAAGTATTTTTTTTGACAAGACATTCATGAAGTTGTTGCTGATACTGACGCATTAAAAGAATAACCGTGAACTGTTTACCCTCAAAGGCTGCCCAGTTACGAGATTTCCAAATACGCCATAAGAGGGCAACCAGAACCATGATCTGAGTCGGCTGGTCCATCCTAAGCAAGCATTGCTTGAGGAAAAAAGGAAAAGTCTATCTCGACAAATCATGACCCAAGTGCTCCAAGCCCGAAGATGCCCAAAGAGCTGCAGCGACCGGGCACTCCCAGAAAAGGTGTTCCATTGTTTCAGATTCCGCACAGCACATCGGACACCTGGGCAGTACCAGGACCCATTTTTCAATGAGTGCCTCGGTCGTAGGCAAGATACGATGAAGGATTTGCCATACGAACAGCTTAAGCTTTGGAGGAATCTGGAGGGCCCACATCCGCATCCAGCTCGTCCTATCCATCCAACCGACCACTGGACGCCAAGTACCCTCCTGTCTATCAACCAACACCGCCAGGTGATACGTTGATTTAACAGAGAACACACCATCGTTATGTGCTCTAATAATTGAATTATTCCTTAAAGAAACTAGCTTTATGCCCGCCCGTTGGGCGGCAAATTTTGATTGGTTATTATAATTTTCGTCCTAGTATTATAATTTTATTTATGATTCATTATGTTAAACTATTATACATTGAATTGTTAATCTCACTTACCAAATTTCATATTTTGTTTCACATTTTTACATATTTCATTTATTTATGAAAATTTAATTTTATTAGATGAGCTCTCTCTAGTACTTTCTTTATTGATTTATAATTATGTATCGAATCCACCATTTAAGATATAAACTAAGAGATTATTAATTTTGTAGCACACAAAGTGACAAAGAAGTTAACATTTCGAAGGACACAAAAGAAAAAGTTAAAATTTGCAAAAATATTTCAATTAATAAAAACAAGTGAAGAGCTTTCATTATCTCACCCTTCTCGTACGTTGGTATATGATAATAGAGAATATCGCGATCTAGATCCCACAATTATCGTGCAATATCAGTTACTCGTGTAATTTTGGAAGAATGAGAAACCACATTGGCATCCACATCATCAATCTTCCGCTTCTTCCTTTAACCCCCTGCTACATACTATTTACTTGATCAGATCATCGTCATATAGCTAGCTAGTAGCATGTCACTCATGAACATAATAAACATAATGAACAACTCTCACAACTCTACTTTCCATTTTAATATCCAAGGAATCGAGTTGCAATATGCCTCCAAGGAAAACGATCAATTATTCAACCAAAGGAGAGATGCTCCAAGTCCAAGCAACAAACCTTTTGAATTATATGTTACATGTTTACATCAAAGTATACAGGATAACAGAGAACCATAAAACAACTACCAGAATAACGAAGAAGAAATACAACCATTGAATCGAAAAGGGAAATTTACTATCCAGCCGCCGTAATCTGGAAGAAATTAAGAAAAGAATGGGAAGATGACTATAACTCGACCAGTCAACCGCTAGCAGTCAGATATCTCCGAGGAAGAAAAATCAATTGCCCGCTGCGGATAAAAAAGGAAGAGGGAGAAATGATAGGTTGGACTTTTCTTCGTCAATAGGCAAAAATATGTTAGAGTTGTTCAATTCTTTCCCAACAAATCATTACATCATGTAACTCCCGCCTCCTATTCTCCTACAAAGAGGAAAAAAACTCAATATGCCTTACCATTTCCTTTCCTATATCTATATAAAAAAATGCAGAGAAGACAAATTCTAGAAACTCAAAATTTAAGCAAATAAGAAGAGAGCTTTATTTTTTTTTTGTGGGGCTTGATCTAGTTTCTTTATTATCAATGTTGTGTTTTATTTTCAATGTTGTATGGGAAAAGGAATAGGAACAAACCAGAATGTTGCATTCATTTTTATTAACTTAATTTACTTTTTATTGATAATGATGACAATTTAAAGAGTAAGAAAAAAGCACATCAATTAGACCTTGTCCAACGTCGAAGGGCGAGAGCTAACCATGTACAGATGTGGCACTAAATTAGTTTTAGACTCCTACAATATTAAGTAATGATTATTTATGATTTCTTGGAATTTTTTTTTATAAAAATGTAATAACTCGTAGAAACATGGTGACATTTTACATACATTTGAATTTTTGAATGTATTGTAGACATATCTATTAATATCTAAGAATATGTATAACGATTTTATTTTAATTTTTAACCCTGATTAATACCTTTGAACTCGGCTCATCGGCTGAAATATGGAAACGAAATTTTGTGGCTAGGATAATTCGATCTAAATACAAATTGCTTACTGTTACCAACCAAAAGATTTCCATTTTGAGACTTCGATATTGAAAAAGTTTTTGTCATTGCCAAAATTTGGTATGGAGTCACAGACTCACAACCATATAGCTGGGATTGTTTGCTTGATGAATTTGGAGCTACCGTGAACTTTGTTCAACCATTGCTTGCGTCATGTATCTAGATTTTAGAGGCAACAAATATATGGGTCTCATGTATTTTTAAGTTTTTGATCATGGACTTTGAAGTCTATTATTTTTGACCAACCTACCCCTCATATTTCATTTCCCTTCTCATACCAATGAGAGTAATATATGTCATTTTCACTTCCAACATACAAATTCAATTAACCAAATGCATCATGAAATCTATGAAACAAAATATGGTATTTTCAAATCCATAATGAACCAAAAACCCTCATATATCTATGCTTTTACAAAATCCAAGTTTTATTAAAACTTTCAGTTTTCAAATCCACGAAGCAAACGACCCCAATGTTTTATTACACTTGCCTTACTAAACTCATCCTTATTAAAGATTATTTATTTTAACACAATACCTCAATTTAGATTCTTGTAGCTACAAAAGTTTTTTATTTAGATATCTCAACTAACACACTTATGTTTATTTATTGCCTCAATCCTCGAATTTAGATTTGTCTACCAAGACATCAAATATTAAATAAATTTTTTCAACCCTTATTTGATCAATGTTAAGGTTAGTGGCTGATGAAATGTGATGTTTATCGTATATCCTCAACGAAGATTTTCTTAACCTTCACACCTGTTGTTTTTTAAGTGATGTTGTGTCTCATCTTAGGTATGAAGTCAAAACTCGTCAAAAATCATACTTAAATCATTTTGAAAACTTTGATGTAATAATGTTCGACAATAACTCCAAATCTGAAAAGAAATTACTTAGTATTCGACTTATGACCTCAATAGAGATCGTTCAATTAATATGATCTAGAGTGAATATTTTAATATAAACCCTATGACAAATTATAAATTATTGCATACTTGATTCCTCTTAATTTGAGAAACTGAAGGTAGAACATGAATATATGTTTTCACTTAATCATGATGAATAAGAAGTTTTTTAAAGAAGTAACTATTATTGCTTAGTCAGTTTATATTCAGACCTTTTGCTATATAAGACTTGTTTTATTTGATAGAAATATATATTAGAAATAATTCGACGAAAAAAATACATTAGAAATAAGAGAGTTGTTAATAAAAAAAATCTAAATTCATATATTTCATTTTCAAAGTCGATGGATAAAAATATTATTATATATGTGTGAAATTTTTTAATCATTTGTTTTCAATGTTTCTATTGTAATATTTTGTTTAACTAATACAAATATTATTATATATGTGTACTTTTTAATCATTTGTTTTCAATGTTTCTATTTAATATTTTGTTTAATTGATACAAATATTAATATATATGTGTACTTTTTTAAATTTTTGTCAAAATGTAATTTATTATTAAGTTTTGGTGAAAATGAGTAAGAAAATTTACTTGATAAGATTTAATCATATACTTTTTATTTAAACAAATTCGATATAGTCACTCTCTATTTCCATCTTTATATTTTTTAATTGACAAAACTATTATACTTTTGTGTGTTTGTTTACATTCTCATAAAAAGGTAATTTATTATTAATTTTTAGTAAAAATGAGTAGAAATATTAAAAGAAGAGAGAGATAGCTCCATAAATAGATCAATAATGAATTTTTTGTTTGCAAAAAAAATTGTCCACCTTTGCAACTTGTGAATTCTCCAAGTGCTTATGTGGCAAGAAGTTATTTTTGAATTGCCATAATATATAGTATAGATAGATAGATAGATAAATAGATATAGATATAGATATATCCTATGAATTCTATCTTGATTCCCATCTTAGAAAAAAAAAAGTTCTTTCTCGATGTAAATAAATTTGAGAATATTATATTTAGTTCTCTTACTGTTGTCTAGTTTTTTCCTAGATTTATTACTTTTTTTTTGTTTCAATTACTAGACGTACTACGTTGAATTATTCCTAATTGTGTTTCGTTTATCTTATTTTGATCCTAATGTATTGACATTCGATTAGGTTCTACTTTTAACTGTTTTCTAGCGATGTTTCTAATTGGACTTGGGGTTTTAATATATCTTCTAATATTGATTTTATATATTTATCATTAGTACTTATTTTATTATTATTATTATTATTATGTTATAATAATACTATAAAGCGGCTGTTGTGGTACTTAATATTCCTTCTCTCATAGATAGTGGAGATTGGAGAATAATAAAAGAAACGATAAAAGAATTAAAAATTGATTCATCTCTAATCACTGTTTCATAAAGCGGCTGGATAGGCTGATGAGTTCTTACAACAGACTGCCTACTTTGTTTACCGTCTATTACAATCATTTTCCTTCGCAAATTGCTCCGACAGTACTTCTGATCATGGGGAAGGTCGTGGCTGTCGCTCTAGTCCTTCTGTTCGTGATCACGCCCACCGTGAGAAGTAGCAGCAGTGAACATGTTCTCCGCTCCGCCGCCTCGACTAACGATGACAGTGGTCCCTGCAGTACTATGGCTGTCGCCGGCGACGGATGTTGTTGCAGCGGGTCAGATGAACTAGGGTTCTCGTCCACGTGTACCCGCGACTGTAACGGATGCAGCTTGACAGCCGACGGTGGCGCTGTAAACGTGACGGTCGTCGTGGAAAGTCTGGTGGCTGCAGCAGGCAGTGGCACTCGTTGGGAATGTGAAGGTAAAGTTTCCAGTTCCACTTCTTCCCTGTCCCTTGGTTTGTGGGCCAGTCCATGGGCTTCAAGTGATTATCTGACCGCGTCGGGCTCGAATGTTTTGGATAGTTTCTGGCCCATATTCCTTTTTGTGGGCTTATGTTTATCTAAGTTTTAACACCATCACACTATTGTGGTAAACAATAAAACTTGATCCTAGTAATATATATATACTAATGTACTAGACCATTGTTTATGAACAGAACAATGAAGATAGTGAATGTATGATCAAGCCATTTTTCCTAGTTTTACCATCTCATATTCCGAGTTTGGTTTGTACTTTTTTGTTAAAACAACTTATCACGATGTGAATTTTATCGATGGGTAATCTTATCTTTATTTAAATTAAATTCATTACTTGATGTAAGTCTAACATATACCGTTATGCTAATTAATTGACGAATCAAGCTCTATTTCTAAATGGTTAAGCTGTTAATACAAATTCCTTTTGGTTTGATCAAGTAACCCGAATCTAACCATCGTTCATGTAGATAAACCGATCTATGTTATTTTGAGTTGAAAAATGTGAAGTTCGAGAATTGCATGTTGTCAGTGGTTAAAGACTAATCGATCTTCTTAGCATCGATCACACTTCTTAATCCGATTTTAATTTGTTAAATGAAAAAAGAAAATCGGCCTCATTTGATTTAATAAGACAGAAACTGAAAAATCAATGTATAGCGTGCGCACACTTGTTACAGTGAACTGTCCTTTTATCTTTGGCGGCCACTCTCTCAGCAAAGATTTCGTCCCTCCCTCCGTTTCATTTCATTTCTCTCCAACACCTTCGCCTCCACCCGCTACAGAAACCCTAGATATTCTCCACTTCCTCCGTATTCCCCGCTCTCGGTTCACATAGTTCTCGAATCTCGAGCTTCTTGATACGATTCCTATCTCCATCTCCGAGCGCGGAGGTCGCCCGACGATGGAGGTTTCACTGACGAGAACCGCCGCCGCCGCCGCCGCCTCGACCAAGCAAGTAGAACAGCAGCAGCAGTTCGCTTTGGCGTCCCTGACTGACCTTACTTCTTGCTGTTCTTCTTCTTCTTATGTAGCTTCTGCGGCCTCGTCTTCGCCGGCAGTTGCGACCTTTTCCGCCGATGACGGGGTCGCCGAGCTGCGGTTCCGCCGAGAGTCCGATTCCGACGGCGGCGGCGTTGTCAATGTTGATCTCACTACAGCTCAGGTCAGTCTTTCTTTGCCCCTGCCGAAGTGGGAATGGTAGAATGTTGTTGTTGTTGTTGTTTACTTGTTCTAGTGGCGAAAGGTGGAGAATCTTGAATTGGAATGACACCCATAATTTCCCTGTATGACCTATTCGTTTGCTTTTCTTTTCGCCCATGCACAGTTATGGAAGCTGGGTCCGACGCAGACGGTTTGCATATTCGGTGGTTCGGATCGTGATTCCATTGAAGAGGTAAGCGAGTATTGCGATTGCTTACTTGTGTTTATGGATTTCGTGGCTGTCTGCCTCAAATTTGCCTGGAAGTGGGGAATTCCAAGAGAGTACGGGGTTGCGAAAGCTATATTCTTGATTATATATAGATTGTTCAAGAACATCATGCATGGCGTGAATTATATATAATTGTTGAACTGTTGTGGAGATGTTCGTGAGTTAACGTCATTACTTTTTACCAGAAATATTCCAAGGGAGTCACTGTTCAGTTTAGAAATGAGGAGGAAAGCAGGATCTTCCATTGTGCATTTGAGCAATGGAAGAAGAAAGGAATCATTACTCAAGGTGCTACGCTCTGGATAAATATCCTGGTTCATATAGTTAGTAACCCTGTCTGCACTCTTCTGGGCTTGGATTTTGAGGAATTTCTCATGACATATTTTTTTTGTCCTGCTTTTTTTGACTCTTTCCTAGTGTTCTGCTTTTGAATTATCGTGGCATTCGGTTTGTCACTTCTTTTCTGTTGGAAGTTCGGTTTAAATATTTCATAAAATCAAGCTGATGTTTAAATGGAAGTATGGTATAGAATCAATTGTCACTGGTTAATAGAGTACCTGGCAGTCTGCACTCTAAGCTACTGTCCTACGGAAACATGCACATTGAAAAATGGATTATGTAGTGCTTTATGTATTTCTGTTGGAACTTATAGAATAGTGCTTGAGATTTCGCATTTATGGGGATTGTTTAGTAGAATTCTTGTCGTACTGACACAGTTTTAGTGCATAACATGAGTCTAGTTCTTCTGTTACTGTACTGTTTATTGTTTTATAAATTGTTCTGTAAGTCAGCTGGATCATGATGACCTAGAGGTTTAACTTTTTTCCCTTACCAAAACCTTTTTGATTAAGCGATTCTTCATATATGTGTTCAATTGTTGTACTCAATGCAAGAAGCCTGAATAACTTGCTTATCCTAACTGGTTTCCACACCCATATTTGCAACAATTTTTTTCTGTTAACCTCCTTGTGAGGTTATTCTAAGGTGACCCATCTTATTCTCTTGATGCTTGCCAACATGGATGGTCTCATTTTTTTATTTATTTGTGTCTCCTTCTTTGTCTCCCAGGAGAATCTTTGCCTAATGGAACATTGAGTAGTAAAAGCAAGTTTGATGACAAGATAGAGCCTTCATCAGCCAAAATGTATTTCCATTATTATGGCCAGTTACTACACCAGCAAAATATGCTCCAGGACTATGTCAGGACAGGTATGTGACACTGAATATCGCTGCCTATTATCGTTCTATGATGCGGTTGAGTTCTTTGTTATTACTTGTCATGTTCTATGGCAGTATTCAAAAGTTAGAATGTTAATTAGCTTTGATTTGCTAGAGCTTGTTAGAATCTTCAGATAGGCATTGCCTTGATGGTCAAACGCTTGTTTCAGGAACCTATTATGCTGCAGTCATGGAGAATCGTGCAGATTTTTTTGGTCGTGTGGTGGTGGATGTTGGCGCTGGTAGTGGTATCTTGTCATTATTTGCAGCTCAGGTATATTCTGTCGGTTCTTTCATTGTTTCATTCATGATTCTTTAAGATAGGGGTACACTTACTGCTGCCATTCTATTTGCTCATATCATTCTGCTTTTGATCCAGGCTGGGGCAAAGCATGTCTATGCTATTGAAGCATCTGAGATGGCAGACTACGCCACAAAGCTTATTGCTGGCAATCCAGCACTAGGTGAAAGGATCACGGTGAGTTTTTAAGTTCATTGTACATACATGTTAAAAAAGAAAACTCTACAGAAGCCACTTTTTCCTCTCTGATTGTCTTGGTCTATTACCAAATTGTAGGTAATAAAGGGTAAAGTTGAGGAAGTTGAGTTGCCAGAGAAAGCTGATATTTTGATCTCTGAACCAATGGGTACTTGTCATCCACTTTGGCCGTTCTTTCTAATCATGAATATTTCTCTACAGTTGTACTTTCATAAATTCACTGATATGTATTGAATATATTTACCTATCCATTGCTCTTATACTTGTCATTATCATGAATTCCTTTCCTTTTGGAGGTAGGAAAAGGTACTTGCTGGTTAAAAGGATGAATGCCTAGGATTATGCGACAAAATTAATATTTCTGAAGGTTTGCTGATTATTTATTGCCGTACATGTTCTGCATTTTCTTTAATTTTGTGGATATGGCATGTAGGAACCCTGCTGGTGAATGAAAGAATGTTGGAGTCCTATGTAATTGCAAGAGATCGGTTTCTTGCTCCCACTGGAAAAATGTTTCCATCTGTTGGAAGGTAAAGATTACAATTGAAATCTGGAATTTGAACACCGCCTATATATTAGGATATCAAACTGTGTAGAGTTTAGTAAAAATCGGATACTCACCTAACACAAGGCATATTTGGAATCTTAAGGACTGAGCAATTTGGGTTCTACTTCTGCTTCTGATCTACTGAATATAGACCTTATGTTCGCTCTAGGTTTTTTAATTAAAGTACTAAATTTGGCAGGATACATATGGCTCCTTTCAGCGATGAGTATTTGTTTGTTGAAGTTGCTAATAAGGTCTGTACAATGTTACTTTCATGCCTTGTCCTGGTTCAGAGGTGAAACAATTAGTGAATTTCATCGCAATTCGCCTTTTCCTTGTTCATCTGCAGGCCCTTTTTTGGCAGCAGAAGAACTACTTTGGTGTTGATTTAACATCACTGCACGGATCCGCATTCCAGGGTTACTTTACTCAGGTGTTTGTTGAATCTCTCCTCAAACTTTTGTTATCTTTAAGAGCTCAGATCAATTCCTTAGCAGAAAAAGTTCTTCGCTATTTTCAACGGAGATGCATTCTTAAGTGATCATTGAATCTTGATGTTTTTAGCAATTATGACATTCTGTTTTTGCAGCAAGCTGCAAGTTACATGTTTACTAATTATTACAATCTTGATTCCAGCCTGTTGTAGATGCTTTTGATCCAAGGCTATTAGTAGCTCCCGCAACATATCATGTACTAGACTTCACTAAGATGAAGGTACGTGCGACCGTTGTAATCTGTTCTTTTTTCTCAAACATGCTTAAGGAAACGGAGATTAATTTTTTCATGCCTCTCGGACTCAGTCCCCCTGTATTAACCAATTAATGTTATTGATAAGGTTGCTAGGCACTCAAACTTTCTTAGATTGGCTTGGGAATTTATTTCTCTCTTTTTCTTCTGATTTCATCCTCCAGGAAGAGGATTTGTACGAATTAGATATCCCCTTGAAATTCACAGCCTCTGTTGGCACTAGAGTGCATGGACTGGCTTGTTGGTTTGATGTATTATTTAATGGAAGGTATGTCTTCTATTTGGTTTACGTTTTTTCTGATATGCTATAGCATAAAGGCTTAATTTCTTTTATTATCTATGATATTTATCTGGAGCTGCCTTACTGGACAGTACCGTGCAAAGGTGGCTTACAACTGCCCCTGGTGCTCCGACGACCCACTGGTATCAGCTACGCTGCGTCCTGTCTCAGCCACTCTATGTGATGGCAGGGCAAGAGATTACCGGCAGTCTTAGGTTAGTTGCACACAGTGCTCAGAGTTACACCATCCACCTCACATTGTCAGGTAGGTCTTTTTCCCCATCGTTGGAGTCTACTCCCATCATTTTGATGACTCTGTAATAGTACATGAGGGACTGACTTGCTTGTGAACAGCAAAAATGTGGGGGGTAGGTGCCGAACAAGGTGGAATACTGCAGACCTCGTCATGCAAACTTGATCTGAAAGAACCATACTACAGAATGTCCCAACCATACGCCATGCCACAGGATCAACAACCTCACCAATTGGTACCTACACAGGTATAAGAAAGAAGCCCGTTGTTTTGCTCTTTACCGAATGCACAAGCGACCCGAATAAATGTGTTAGATTGGAGTGAGTAAATGTAATTTGTTGGGTTTATGGTCGTTGTTTGCAGGATGTACACATTCAAGCAGATGACTTAGATGATACAGATTTGATACAGCCGTTGCAAAATTTGGAAGCTCAGCTCCCGTAATAGGCTCGGCTCTGTGTGACAATAACGTAGATTGTGTTCTTCTGTAACATAGAATTGTAACCTACTGGCTCTGGAAGGCCAATGTTTCCCCTCCTCAGAGTAATTCATTTACTACCCTTTTCTCCAAAATATTTATGAGGTGATTCGCTTTGTTGTGTTTCCAGTTGGTATGTAGAATAATGGAATCCTGTTTTGCCCTAAGTTTTGGTTCTTGAACCGCATTTGGTGAAAGTAAGAAAAAATTGTGAGAATGCATCTGTATTGGTGAATAGAGTCCTAGTGTTAGTTGGTGACATGATTCCATATTCAACTTTTATCCATGTCCAATCTGTCACAAGACGAGTATCAGTAGTTTGTACAATTTTCTCTAAACACTACAAATCATCACAATCCTGCTCCTTCTCGATACTCATAGTTCTCATATCACTTCACAATCAACACTTCCAATGGAAGAACCCATCATCATTGAAGCAAGTATCCGAAAACGGTAAGGAGGGAGATGACTATGAAAAATCTTTTCTCTCGTAGAAATGAACACATGAACCTTAGTGTCACCACCGACTTGCGACTTCACGCAAACTCATTTTCATTTTGGTAAGGTGTCCAGTTGTCATTGTCATTCCTAAAATTTATACTATACAAGTCAATTACTCATTTTTGGTATGGTAAGGTTATTGGTAATAGTAACACACCATTTTGTTGTTAAAAGAAAAGAGGATGAGATGAGGAGATCTCCACTAATAACACTCTCCAAATCGAAATTCTAGAAAAAAAACACTAGGCGTATCCAAGAATATGCAGCTTGAATTCAATATCACATTGCTTTGAATAAGACTAGTAATAACTGTTCCCAACTTATAACTTACACAGTCGAATTTCTCACTCGAAAAAAAAAATGAGCTTATGTTCGAGAAAACTCTGCCCCTGTTTTACATATCAAACTGACTAATCTAAAGCAACTACAATCCTGATTCCAACTCTCGCTAGCTAAACAGGAAAGAAAGACGAGCGATCATTTAAGAAACCGCTATGCTGCCGCTGCCGGCGTGCATCTTGAAAAACCTCGACGGCGTGGGCCGGAAATTCACCCGCCGCGTTTCGTCTCGACTCGGCGGCTTAATAATCTGCCCCAGATACGCCCTCAACGTGAACGCCTTCGCCTGCCGCGCCGGCGCCGCCAATTCCCTGCCGTTCCCCTGGTTCTTGTGGAGGCTGCAACGGTACGACCACGGATTGTTCGTCGGCGAGCAGGCGCACGCCGTGGTACCCTGAGTCTTGACGACGGAATTCGCTGAAGAAGAAACAGAGCAACTTCCAGCCGCCACCGACGTGCGCGCCGGATACTTCTTCTTGTGGAGGCTGCAGCGGTACGCCAATGGATGGTTCGACGGCGAGCAGAGGCACGTAATAGTAGTACTACTCTGAGTCTTGACGGAGTTCAATGAAGAAGACGGAGAACTTCGATTCGCCGACTGGTTCTTGTGGCGGCTGCAACGGAACGAGCCCGGGTGGTTCGACGGCGAGCAGAGACATGGAGTAGTGCTCTGGGTCTTGACGGAGTTCACTGAAGAAGAAACAGAGGGACTTCCGGCCGCCGTCGACGTGGGCGGCGAATACTGGTTCTTGTGGCGGCTGCAACGGAACGAGCCCGGGTGGTTCGTCGGCGAGCAGAGGCACGGAGTCTTGGAGGAATTCGCTGCCATGGTTGAGACTTGATTTGTGTGATGGGCTGGGACTGAGGAAATCTCTTGTTTCCGGTTTCTTTTTATAATCCTTCTTTTCCGTTTCCTGATCGTAATCGGAAACAGAGGAAAGCCAGCCGGACTCTGTTTTGCTTTCGGATTTCCGGTGGGCTTTTTTTTTTTTTTTTTTTGCCCCGTATGTCCATTCTTCGCGTTGACCCCACATGGTGATTGGATATTAAGGACTTCAGGCACGTATGGATTTAATAGAGCATAAGATAACAAAGTATTTTGGAGTGCATTAAGGATGTAAACATTTAGCTCGGTAGATTATACGTGTTTTCAATAGAGAAAGTAAATTTACGATCTATTAGACATTTTATACTTGGAATAGAAGGTTCAACTTCTAACTTTGTTGAGTTATATATTCATCAAATAGTAAAAAAAAAAAAGTTATAAATTGACTATATTCGATCATTACATATGCCAATCTGAATTAAGTTGAGGGAAATGTTCGACACTTGGTGTATTTGGGCAAAACATTTTGGTGTGCCAAACAAAAAATTTATGGGGCATCGTGTACAATAACTCATGAAGTTGAAAACTGTTGGCCAATTGAAGATAAGACGGTCGTGAATATGATCTTTCAGCTGGTGATGAGCTAATAACTTTTATTATTTTACATAATTTTTAATCAAAGCCAATTTCACACGAAATTTAGTAGGCTTGCAATCATACGAAGTTTGGATAATAGATAGACATGATAAAAATAAATATAAAAGAAGTAGAAATTCAACACAAATTAATAAAAAGAGAAATATAAACAAATTAAACATGCCACCCATCAACAAACGCAAAACTAGTTGATTCCTATTGATGTTATGTTAGCGCTATAATAACACTTTAAATGTGTTCTTATACTATTTTTTCCTTGTCTTGTCTTGTATCAACATAATCCTAGTATTCCATTAATGACTTGATTCGATGTTAAACGTTCATTTGTCGAATCTAATACAGGAGGAGTATTTAACTTCGTAATTTATAGAATATTTCTAAACTCTACAAATCATCATGATCCAGCTCTTCTAGATACTCATAATTCTCAATCACTTCACAATCACCACTCTCAATGAAAGAAAACTATCAATCATTGAAGCCAACGTGGATCATATACCACAACACTAACACGCCATCTCAAACGAAAGCCACTAACAAGGGCTTGAAGTTTGCACAGGTCTGAAGATAAGAATATCATGTGCTTAACAAATGGGGGTCAACGGGAATCGAACACAAGACCTCTCGATCACAAAAGGCTCTGATACCATATCGAGAACCAGTTGATCCCAATAACTCGAGTTGTTGGAAAAGGTTCAATCGTGGATCATATACCACAACATTAACACCTACCAAGGCAAAATCTTGCAAATTTGATGCCTACGAGAGAGCCAGAAGGTCGAGAAAAGAAGTAGGATGATTTTGTAGAGTAATTACAGCACTTTTCATAGGTTATAAGAAAGAAGGAAACATCTAACAGAAACATATAAATATGTGTTAGCCTTCTGATTCATATACACTGTCAAACAAAGAAGAGGAACTACCAGATGAACATGGTAAAGTTTGGTGACATGGTTCCTTCCTCAGTTTCTCATGCTGCCACCATAACAAACCCTTCCCAAGACGGCCATCACAACTGGAACAATCTCCATTATAGCAAACTGCAGCTCCAAGCTACTGCTCTTCACACTAATCCTCCCTCTCTTCTTATCATTCATCCAGACACTCAAACCGACTTTCGAACCTCTCCTAAACTCCATCTCACTCTGCAAGCTACCAATCAGACTCAAACCCTCCTTCCATTTCACAGCAGAAAGGCTCGATCTTGACTCGTCGTCATGTTTCATCCCCATGGCCAGTATAGCTATGGACATGCCGAAAGCTGTCTTGTTCACCTTAAAGTTCCCAACTTTGGTCTCGCCCTGGATGTCGAAACCAGCCATTGTGGTTGATCTGTCTAGTGCTGAGGAATCCAGGCGGAGATTGAAGTGGTTCTTGTCCTTGGTGAGCTGGAGGGATAATGCAGATGGGAACTGATTGCCAATGGAGAGGTTGTTTCTTTCAATGGTGACTCCATCATGTCCGCAATAACCATTCATATCAAAAGCTGGCTTCATGAGGGTAAGTGGTGTTGGCTCCAGAGGTTGATACCTGAATGAAGGTGGCAGGAGAAGCTCGGGCAGTGAATCTGAGTCCATACTGTCTACGGATTTCTTCCTCATTGCTTCCACATACGAGTCAACAAAATCTCCACCACTTTCATTAGAAAGTCTCTGACGAGGAATCTTGGAGATTCCACTCGCTTCTGATAGAATCTTCACTGAGCAACACATAAGCAACAACTGGGCAGTCCAGTTCTTCTCTTTCTGATTGTCAGCAAGGGCCACTGGCTTCCGATTTCCAGGATGCACAAGAAGCTGGTCACCAACTGCTAGGCTGATTGCGTGTTGGATCCCATAGCACCTCCGAGCAACAAAACCCTCGAAGCTCAATGGTCCATCTTCTTCAGGAGGAAGAGAAGAAGGAGAAGAAGCATGAGTGAGAACGACAATGGCATTGTCCCATATGGATGGTGTTAGAAACTTAGTGATTTCTCTCAGCAATGTAACATCAGCAGTTTCATCTATCGTGAGATCGTCCAGCCTGTCAACATAGAGGACAACATCTGGAGGGAACTTCTTCATGAATTTCTTTACAGAAGAAAGTATCTTTCTGTTGGTGGATGTATCCTTGAAGGAAGATCTCAATCCTGGCGTGTCGAGGATTCTGATTCGGATTCCATTCACTGTACCAGAAACTTCATTGACAATGTTGGTTGCCGGCTCGAATGCATTGATTGAAACTTTCTTCTCCCCAAATATGGAATTAATGGTGGAACTCTTCCCCGCTCCAGTTTTCCCTATAACCAATATGTTCAAACTGAAGTCTAGGTTGTCAGTCCCCTCTGTTTCACCCTCCATTGCCAATCTCTCAGAGGACTCAAAGTTAAGTTCTTGGCTCCCATACCCTCCTGCTAAGTTATACATCACTTGAGCAGCAATTGGGTCTTGAGAAGAGCATCCTAGTATATTGATAAGCCTCAATAATTTAACGATAAGATGCTGATTCATCTGAAACACATTCTTCTTCTCATCTTCAATTAACCTTACCTTTGCTGAATGCACAGGAAGAGGGCTAAGGCCACCAAATGAAGAACCTGTATCAGCAGACCACTCAGAAGAAATTTCTCTGGACACATCACTGAAGCACGTGGTGAAGCTGCTGCTCCTGCTGCCATCGGATTCAAACACTTGCTTCTCTTTTACCTCAATTCCTGTCTCAATTTTCAAGTCAGCAATCTGACCATTATTGGTCTGCAAATCACTGCAGTCCTCAAAACCCTCCTCGATAACTACATCTAAAGGTAATGACTTTTTACTTTCTACTTCCTCTTCAAAACTTTCAGTTTTACCATTATCAGGCAACTGGAAGCTTTGATTTGGGCTGGTGCCGAGTTCCATGTCAGCATTCCTGCCACTCATCGTGTGGGAATCACTGCTGCAATCCTCAAAGGTCAAGTCTTTGACATCTGGGCCAGACAGTACAGTGATTTCACCTGCTTCTTCAAAAGGTACAGTTCCTCCATTTCCAGGCAACTCCGAGCTCTGATTGAGCCCAGCAGGATCAACTTCCAAGTCAGGAATCTGGCTGCTCGTCGTATGGGAATCACTGCTGCAGTCCTCAAAGGTCAAGTCTTTACTAACAGCTGGATCAGAAAGCAAAAACGTTTTACCTTCTTCCAATTCCTCCTCTTCAAAACTTCTAATTCCTCCATTTTCAGCTAGCTCCAAGCTCTGGTAATTTGGCCTGGTGGCACTCCCAGCATCAGCAGCAACAACAATGACTTCCTCGTCTTCAACTGCTTTTCCACTATCCTTCTCATTCTGATCACACTCCGTATTCTCACCTGAACTCTCAGCTACCATCTCTTGAACCTCTGGCTCAGCAGTAGTCACAAAATGTTCGACTTTTACCACATCTTCCTCGTCAGATGTCAAAATCTTCTCCTCAGAAACCTGTTCTTTCACCATGGAAGCATCAGAGGCCTGAACTTCTGGTACATCCTTTTGAACATCAGACGATTCATCAACAACAGCTGAGCCAGAATCATTATCCAAACTGCTTCCAAATTCAGCAACACCAGAACCCGAAGTCGCATTCGGAGCTCCAATAACAGTTCCAGAATCCGACAGCTCATCTATCTCCTCAGAAACCTGTTCTTTCACCATGGAAGCCTCAGCGGCCTGAACTTCTACTATATTATTTCGAACTTCTGACGATTCATCAACAACAACTGGACTAGAATCTTTTTCCAAACTGCTTCCCAATTCAGCAACATTAGCAGAATCCGAATTCTCAATCGGAGCTCCAATAACAGTTCCAGAATCCGACAACTCATCTATCTCCCTACCTTCATCTTCCTCTTCCTTAATTTCCAGAAACTGAACTCTCACTCTAGCCTTGGTCTCCAAGCCGGGAACTCTAGCAACAACTGTCGGCACGGCACCGTTTTCCCCGTCACTAACATCGGAGAAGTCGACCTCCTCTTCGTCCTCATACAGTGACAGCTGAGCGACAGGCTTTCCTACTACCACCTTCGCCACAACCGGCCTAAAGGCCTCGCCTTTAACGTCCGTCGATTCACCTTCTTCGATAACAGAGTCCTCTGTTTCGAACCCTCCGTCACCATCCTCGTCGGCGACGCTACTCCCGTCGGAGAAGTCGCTGACGTTGGAGTCGAAATCGGAGGAGTCGGAATCCGCAGTAACCGGAGCCCTGATGCGGAAAGAGCCAGCATTCTCCAACAGCAAAGAAGATGGACCAGCACCAGCAGCAGAGGTCCCCTGTTTTGCTGGGGAAAGGGGAACAGCAGCACTGCTACTAGGCCTGCTAGTGGAAGCCGCCGCCATTGCGCCCCTGGTAGTGGGTGGATAGAGCTCTCAATCAATCCGCAAAAGGGTGGAAATGGCTAGAGAAAAACGTGTAAAGCAGAGCAGATTCCTGATTTTGTTAGCCTGGGGATGGAATTCGAGCATTTGGGATTTGGTTTTGTCAGTATTTGGTTTGTGGGTAATTGCCAATTTGGGGGGATAAGGAGGGGGGGAAGCTCGATTGGTTTGTGTTTGGCGGTGAGGGAATTGGGTCCCGGCGGCGGCGTGTGGTGGTGGTGGGAGCTTGGAGATGGGATGGCGATGGCGAAGAGGGGGGAGATTTAGGTTTTGTTTTGCTTGGGCTCTCTTTTTGTTGGCTGGTGGCGATGATTCCTTCTTTCTTGTTGCTCCTCAGTTTTGCTGCTGCGGCTGCTGGGGCCTCTTCGTGTTCTTTTCTGATTCCCCTTTTCCCCTCTCGACCTATTTCGTGGCGCTGACCAAAGCAATTTAAATTTTAAATCACAGCAGCCAAAGCAACGAGTAGTATATCTGAAATACTTTCTATCTTGAGTTCCGAGCTGCATTTTGGGCACCAAGTAGGGCTGAGATATTGGGCAATATTTCTCACTTCTTAATCGGAAAATTAATAAGAAGCGAGAAATATTAGGCCAGAAATGTATGGAGTTTGATTACGATTAGTTAATCAACCGAACCAACATGCCTAGCACCAAATCACCAACCAAATGGGTTGGTATTTGGTAGTGCAATCAGCACTAATCACTCTTATTTATGCAATAGAAGACTGCCTTCTATTGCCCAAACAATAACTCATAGTTTCGGGTTGTTGTATTGCTCCATCAAGTATAATTAGGGGTATACAATTGAACAAATATGTAATTTTTCGTGATTTTTTTGTTGAAGACATTTTAGATGAAAAATACAGTGATGATATTGAGGTTCAATCAAACTCAATGAAGGAATTCAACAAATAAACTACTTTAGACTTTAATTGAATTTTTTTTTGTTAATTTAAATAAATGAAATTCTAGACATTTCAATTATCTCCTCTTGGTTGTCCTCCAATAAAACAAGTCTCATAACTCGATAAGTAACCATGCTTCGACATTTCTTCCCTAAATTTACATATTCAAACAAAAACTTAATGATTTCATTAATAAAATTTCATGGATTTGAATTTTACTTATTTCAAGATGTCACTCTATTTCGAAATTCGTTTTTCGAGACAAATGCTATGATGGGCATAATCAACAAGTGTCAACCAAACATATAGAATCTCAAAGGCATAGGTAAGAGGCAATCCCATATGCACAATTGCACATGTGTTTACATTTTAAGCTACATGAATGATGATTTGGTTAAAACTCTTACTAAAACATAGTAGGAGTTAGACAACTAATTCAGCTCGACCACTTGAATGTCAATATGTAATGTATTTTGTGTAGCTTATAATGATCGATCGTGTTGCTGCTCATCCAATCGATTAGTTTCAAGGAGAGATGTCTACGACAATAGAAATTGATAGCTCTATATTTAATATAACAAATGCAAGTTAGTCAGAGAATCAAGCCGTCGACAAGTTTAACTTTTGTTGCACCACTTTTTCATTTCTAATTTCTATAGATCATTGTTTAAACAAATTTTTTTTTTTTTTTTTACTCGAACTTACGTATAAATCATGTGATCCAATGGTTATGGTGTTGTACATTTTAGAGTACGGGCTGGCGTGGCAACCCAACTACCAACTGTTGTATTTTATGGTCTCAATTGGCCCATCAAACCATCCAAATTGGCTGTATCTCGTAACAACGGTAAATACCACAAATTCCCATCTCCGGACCATTTAACGACACGTCTCTTTCTTTCTCTGGGCAACCATTAAGCTACTGGGCCGGCCCAACGAGTAAACCCAATAACTCAATTTAGATTCGAAGGCCCAAAACCCGCCATATTAGGCCCAGCTTCAAGACGGGCGCCTTAAAACCCGAAATACGAACTCCGTCCGCCTCCAATGGCGGGGACTTCTCGCGCCAGCCTCTCCTTCGCCTCACCGCCGGCCGTAACCACCGTCGCTTCCACCTCTGGCGGCAGATTCCGGCTCCGCCCAATCCTCGTCGCTTCCTCGTGCCCTTCATTTCCTTCGAGGTCGCTACGGAGGAAAAACTACCTGCGTCCTAAAATCCTCAAAACCCTAACTAAACCCTCGCCAACTGCTCCTCATCTTCCGGAGATTGCTGCACCAGCTGAAGAATTGGAACTCCCCGTCGCTCCTCCGCCTCGATTGGAGCAGGTTGACGATGCTTTCTTGGATGAATCCCAGAAGGAGGAGGTTTTGCCCGCGGGAGGGATGGAAGAAGTTGAGAGCTATCGAGCATCGGAGACAGTTGATAATGCTGGAAATCTTGGGGGATTAGTTGGTAAGCTACCTGTGAATTCTGTTTTGAAGTTTGCTGTCTTCTTGCTGGGCTGCTTCGTACTCGAGACGGCAGTTGTTGTGCTGTTTTTTGGAACGCCGGAGAAGGATGAGAGGTTGAGAAGTTTGGATAAGAGAAGGAATTTAGGGTCTCAGTTTGGGAATGGGGATGACATTGGTGATGGTGGTGAATTTGATGAGAAGGTCAATGAGATTAGGGCCATGGCGAGGGAGGCGAGAAAGAGTGAGAGAAGGCAGGTGGTGGAAGGTGAGCAAGAGATTGGGATTGAGAAGGAAGTGAGTGAACGGTTGGTGAAGCTGCAGAAGAAACTGGATTACAAGAGGGATAAGTTGCCTGGACCGATTGTCGATTCTCTGGGGCTGTCGGCAAATCACGAAGACGATGTAGTTGGAGAAGATGAATCTGTGCCATTGATGTTCAAGAAAAAACCTAGATTTAGAAGCCCGTCAGTCAATCCCAGGGGCACTCCAAAGGGATTCTCGGGTTCGGTAAGAGGAAAAGACCTGAATGGTGCATCTAGACAGGGTGGTTTCGGGGTTAGTAAAAATAATAAGAGCATGAAAGCTGGGAGTTCTGGAACGAGTTCATTGAGAAATGCCGGGAATTCAAGAAAGGAAAGTGATTCTGGTAAGTTAGTTACTATCATTTACTAAGGCTCGTATTTTAGTACGGTTTCAACTCCCAAGTTGTGCACCAATCTAGTTTCCTATGTGAGTTTTTCAGTGAGTTCTTAGTTGGATATCATCCATATTTACAGGTGCTCACCAGGAGTCTACTGAAGGTGTACCTACAGGTGAAGTCACTAAATCTCAGAGGAGTGTTATTGAGAACTTAAACATTGGGAGTGTAACGAGAGACAAACAGGAAACCAACATTAACCCCAACAGCGTAGATTCTTTGAGTAGAGGTGGTGGAGTAGATGGCACACAGAAACCCGTGAAGAGTAATTTGAAGGATAAAAAGGCAGATCTAGGGACAAATATCTGGTGGTCAAAGCTTTCTTATGTTATGGTATGGAATCACAACTCATGAACCTCCCTCTTACTGCTGTTTTATCATGAACCTTATTCTCAAACTTAGTAGTGCTCTTAATGAGAAAAACATGCTAGTTTGTTATTGTCTTAATAGTACTGGTCCCCCCTGTGTTACTGTAGGCTATCCTTATGCGCAGAGGGGTGGAAGATGAAGGAGAAGAGGGGCTTTTTGTTGTACGACGAAGTTCTGAGGCATCCAACCAAGGAAACTCTTACACTCTTGCATTTCAAGACCGCTCGGATGCAAATAACTTTTGCTTTCTACTTGAATCTTTTTTCGAGGGGTTAGGTGACTTCAGTGCTGATATTGTTCCGCTGTCAGTACGAGTAAGAATTCCATTATCAATAACTTATTTGCCTATAAATTTTCACAAAGTAGAAAATTGATGGAGATGATGAACTTTTTGCAGGAACTTAGCGAGGCGATGAAATCAGATTCCAAGAAAGTTATTGTTGTGAAGAAGGGCCAACTTAAGCTTTATGCCGGTCAACCATTCAATGAAGTTGAGAGCGCTTTACAGTCTCTGATCGAAGAGAATCAAAGCGAATAACTGTCAGGTGGTCAGTTTTAAGGCTCTTTGTGTTTCTTTGTAGTCTGATGACGAGCTTCTCCTTATGGATTCACTCGATTCACCGTGTTTTGTCGACTATAGAAATGAGGAAAGTTTCCTTATCTCTTGAGACATTCACCGAGTTTTGTCGACTATAGAAACGAGGAAAGTTTGCTTTTCTTTTGAGACATCATCGTAAACCATATGTTAGACTGGCAGCTTATAGTCAGTTATTGAGAAGTTTAATATCGATAGACTAGCGAGAACCTCTAGTGAACTGTGGCTTGTGTTGATATTCAACATGAAACTGCAACCGAACATAGTCCACGCGAATTTTATCATTCAAAATCATGTAAAAGAGTATTACATGAGACTGAGAATTCTGAAAACATCATCTCTATATGTAGAAAATTCCAAAAGCTTTTACTATCATCTACTGCAAACAATGAAAATCCTGTGCAGTCATCTCTTGTACCAGCAGTGATTTTGGTGAACCAGCAGTGATCTTGATGAGAGACTGAGCATGCACAGGAGCTAAATACGACTCGCAGAAGCTCTGCCATATCTCCTGCTTCTGCTCTTCATCTCTTGTATACACTTCATAGACAGAAACGACGATGTTCCTCGCAGCTTCTCTCGCTTCAGGTAGTTTATCATTCAGCAACCTTATAGCCATTTCAGCCAATGGTACAAACCCGAATTCCTTCATCTCTTCCATCCCCTACACAAAAGAACGAAAACTTGAACCCGACCCAGTTCAACTACATCTTCAGAAACAGAATAAGAAACGGAAACTTGTACCATCTTGGAGACTGCAATGGAGATGGAAACAGCAGCTTTAGCCCTGACTCTAAGGTTATGATGACTGCCATATCCCTTCAGCTTCTGCAGCAGCGGCAATGGAGTTATGGACTTCACCATGGAACCCAATGCTCTGTCAGCTTCTTCGCATACGAACTTCTTGTCCTGAGAAGCTTTCAGCAGGAGCTGGAGAAGCTGGTGCAAAATAAAAAAGACAACTTGTTAGCACGAGAAAAAGCTTACCCAAAAACTGGCCAAAAAGATTGGGAACTGAAGTTCATACCAAGCTGTCAAATGCATCTGTTGTTGAATCAAGCAGCTTGTCGCCATAGGCAGAGAATATATCAGAGGAAGCCATGATTGAAGTCTTGATCAGAGCACTTCTAGGGTTCTTCATCGCCTTGACCACCACTGACATAGCCTTTTCCCTGAACGCGAAAATCCATATCAATTAACCAGAATTAAAAATCACTTTCTTGGAATTTGCTTGCGAAAAATTCTCTATCAATGACATGTACAAAAGAAATCTATTTACTTACAAGTTTGGAAGCAAGAGCTCAGAGTGGAAGATTGCGAATTGCCTGGCCTTGTTCAGCGACGCGCACAGCGCCATCCAGTCTTTTGAATCTAAACCCTCAACCATTCCCTGGAAACCCAATCAAAATGAAGACGGAATCTGGGTTATGCTCAGAGAGCCGAAAACAGAGTAACCCAGAATTAGAAAATAGAGAAAGGAACAAACTTGAATCTCAGAGTCCGGATCATCAATGGCGACAAGTTGCTCGGAAGGTACGTAATCAATCGAAGCTTCTCCAGCCGGCGGCTGCTGCTGCAGTGGAGCCATGTTTTCGTCGTTGGCTTTTGATTCAGGCTGTTTCTGGGCGGCTGGGGCAGAAACTTTGAGTTGCTTCATTGGCCTCTCCGGTGGCGGCACAGGCAGGGCATTGTCGATGGGCCTTAATGCCATTGTCGTTGTTCTCGAGTGATTGATCGGCTGAAGAGAAGATTTTCGAATGGCAGTAAAAAAGTTCTGATCTTTAAGGGCGAAAAGGGGCTGCGATGATGGGAATTTTAACGGTGGGCGACAACAGAAAAGGAAACTTGGATTCGAATTTTGAAAGAGAGACGTTGTTGGGCTGCTTTTTTTTCGTAACGGTCAAATATAAATCTTACTGGGATACAGGAATGATCCTCTGTAGTCGGGGTAACATGCACCTGCTTTGTCAAGTGCAATTTGGTAAAAAGGAGTACAAGAAAATATGGCGGAATCAAGCAAATAATCATCCAGTTATTCTCTTCTGCCAAAGGGAAGCTACTAGTTCTGAGTTTTGATTGTAACCCTGTTAGCTTATGATCTAACCGAACTCTTTCATTCTCTTTTCTGTAAAGCTACAACAAGTAACTAATGGCACAAAAAATATAAGGATCAAAACTTCTCTACACAATGGGATAATCTGTCTTCAAAGCGTCCTAGGCAGAATCTGCAGAAGATTCCAGAGGGTATCCATCTAATCCATTTGGCGTGTCCAAATGCGGGTTGGTCTGAGGAATTTGAAGACCTGCATTTCATTCCGCGAGCTGAACAAAGTATATCAGCTTGTAAAGGATATGTCAGCACTACTAGTTGCCGAAAGCAGATGCCTGCAGTTTCTGGCACTTTATGGTTCTTGGACTAGTGAATGTATTGCATCTTCTCAGAGTTATGAACCTGGTTTATAATCCAAACACATGTAGCTCAAATAATCGACCATGAGAGCAAGCTGAGATTTTCCGGAAATGAGATTATGGTGTCGAAAGAGATACCTTGTCCTGGAAGTAAACGAGGCCATCTGAGATGCAGATAAGTTCTTTTGCTCCGAGTTTACCAATGTTTCGCAGCATGTTGAGATTTTGCTGTCTCTCGCAGGACAGCCCCAACGATGGCAGCCTGCTCTAGACATTCTGCCTTGTGCAGAGCATCCAAAAGGGCAACACAGGTCTTGGTATGGATGTTGAAACCTTTCATCCTGGTTTCCTCGAATATCCCATATGCATCCACAGCTCTATTTCCAATGCTTAACCCTTCTATTATAGCATTGTAACTAGCAGAATCTGGTACCCCTCCATTTGCCTTGAACCTCTCGAAGAGGTTCTTCGCCTCCAAAATATTCCCAGCCTTTGCTAGCCCCGAGATCATGGTAGTGTAAGTGATGGTATTTGGTTTCAATCCTTGCTTCTGCATCTCTTGCCAGTATACAAATGCCTTGTTGAATTTCCTAATTTTGCAGAGACCGTTAATAAGGATGCTATAAGTTATATGGTTGGGAGTGCATTTGAGCTCCTTCATGTTCCGAAAGCAAACCACTGCCTCATCGATTTCCTCGGATTTCACAAGTGCATCAAGCAAGGAGTTCCAGGTGTAAACAGTTGGTGCCAAGCCTTTCTGCATCATCTCTTCCATGATTAGATATGCCTCATCAATTCTACCCACTTTCCCGAATCCATCAATAAGGCTACTATAAATAACAACATTCAAGACTATGCCAATTGACCTTGCTTCTTCAAACAGCATGTACGCTTCATCGAGCCTGTCAATTTTGCAAAGGCCATCGATGACAGAACCATAGGTGACAACGGTTGGGTGGTGACCTTTCGACTTCATCTCATCAAGTAGCTGGTAAGCTTTATTCACTTTACCTGACTTGCAAAAACCGTCAATGACAGTGTTGTAGGCACGGGTGTCCAAGATACAACCTTGGTCTTTCATTGCATAGAACAATTCATAGGTTTCACGTGCAAAACCGGCTTTGATAAGGCCATGAATAAGGATAGAGTAGCTTCTCACATCTGGAACAAGCCCTCTAGCCTTGATCTCCTCAAATAGAGCTCTTCCCTTTTCAGTTTCACATGCTTTGAAAGCACAATCCATGTAGGTATTGAGAAGCACAAGGTCAGGAGAACAACCTCTTTCTAGCATCTCTTTGTATATCTTGTGACCATCCTCTTTCCTCCCACACTCAAAGAAGTTCCTTATGAGTGACGTGTATACAATAGCAGTTGGCATTTCATAGGAATCCAGCATCTGTTCATAAAGCCTGTATGCATCATCTACTCTCCCTTGCTTTCCCAAACCATCTATAAGTGAACAAAAGGTAATCTCATCCGGAGTACAAACTTTGTGGTCCATCCCTTTGAATATCAAATAAGCTTGATCGACTCTTCGCGCTTTACATAATCTATCGATCATTATGTTCACAGTCCTCACATTCGGGAACATGCCAGCTTCTTCCATGGCGTCCCGAACCTTGAAAGCATCCTCGACTTTCCCTGCTTTACATAGTCTGTCGATCAGAATGTTATAGGTTGCAGCATTGGGAACTGCGTCTCTCTTCATCTCTTCAAAAGTCCGAAACGCTTCATCGAGCTGTCCACTCTGACCAAGACATGTAATAATGCAATTATAAGCAATTACACTGGGAATGCACCCCTTCTCCTTCTGTCTCTCAATCAAATTGAATGCTTCATTGAATTTTCCAGCTGATCCGTATCCCATAATCATGGTATTGTAAGCATAGACGCAAGGGACTTTCCTGTTCTGATCCATGTGCTCAAATATCTCCACTGCTTCATCTAATCTATTGGCTTTACACAAAACACCTATCATGCTAGTATACGTTACATCGTCAGGCACCAAACCATGTGCACTCATTTCATGGAAGAATTTCCAAGCCATATCCACCTTACCCACCTTACCAAAGGAATCTATGCAGACATTGTACAACACAATGTCAGCTTCAAGAGAATTGCTCTTCATCTCATCTAATAGTGATAGAGCAGCATCAACACGACCCTCCCTAGCAAACACTCGAATGAGAGTAGTGAACAAGTGCACGCTGACTTCATAACCCAGCTCTTGCATCTGTTGAAAAAGAGCGAGCATGGGACCAGATTCTTGAATAGCAGCAAGCGCACCAATCAGAGTGGTATAAGCAGAAAATGCAGGGCGGAATTTGAACTTCCGCATAGTTTGTATGATATCAAAAGCCTCTCTCAGCTTCTGGACTCTGACAAAGCTCAGAACTAACTCAACGCTACAGCTATTACTCGGACCAAACCCTGCAATGCTCATCTCTCCAAGAATCTGCTCCAGGCAATAAGTGTTCTTAGCTTTGGCCATAACCATCAGAAGTGAATTGTAAGCTTCCGGACAAAGTGGGTGGTCACTTTTACCTTCCGCCCAACGAAAAAAGTTCAGTGCTTGATTCACATCCCTCAGCCTCCTCAGCACTCCAATCACTAATTCTGGTTGAGGCTTTTCGTCGAACATGTTCAGTGCATTCTCAATCTCCGGTCCCCATCGACCACCTTCCACAATTCGGCATGCCTCCTCAACATTCTGCCGAAACCCATCATACTTACTGAAGTGCTCTTGATTGAACGTGTAGTTAGCCGCCGCCGGTAAACTACCGCCGTGCTCCGGAGAGGACCCATCAGATGACAAGGACGTGAAGCTCCTGGCACTGATCAGAACCCGAGAGCAGCTCACGCTTCGCAAAATGACTGCTCCTGAAACCGTGAAAACAACGAAGTAAGGAAGAAAAAAGTTGAGAGCTTCCAACAATGAGATGTCAAAGGAAGAAGAACCATAAAACGGGAATGAAAAGGTTGAAGCAAGAAAATAAAATCAACTTCTAAAAGTAACCTGCTTTCCTCGCCAACATTGAGGCAAGCGCATCTCCGAACTGCCGCCTAGCCACTTCGTTCACTTCTGGAAATATCGCCGCCGCCGAGAAACACCGTCGGAGAGTCGAAGGCCGTCTGGAGAAGGAAGAAAACATGGAGAAGGTCAGAAGAATGAAGCGAAGATGAAACGGTGACGTCGGATCAGACAACCTAGCGAACCGCAGGTCCGTTCAAAAACGGTGTCGTTTAAGGGTATGAGTAGTCTCCCGCGACCTTTTCTTTTCTTTATTCTGGATTTCTGGTCTTTTGTCCACCAGTTGACTTGGAGTTTGACTAACCGTGTAAAAAGCTTCGAGCCTTCGACCTGCTTTTTCCGGCACTTGGCGACTACAAATTAATGGAAGAACCGCCACACAGGACTTTGAAGATCAAGAACAGAGAAGGATATCAGAAGCAGCAGCAAAATAATGGAGCCGCAATACCCTCCTCCTCGCTCGTTGTGGCCGCACTACCGATTGGAAGAGACGATCCACCCATCGCCGGCGGTGGGACAGTACTCCGACGATGGCACGACGAGCGGCGAGCTCCGGGCACTGGATTGTAACCTCAGTTTCCACTCCGATAATTTTGAGATGGAGGGCTTCAGTGCCGGCAACTTCTCCGAGGTTATGGGCTCCACCTATCGCCTTATCCTCTCTCGTAACTCTTACTTCAGGTTTTGCTGCTCTCCCCTTCACCTTCGCCACAAATTTCAATTGTTTGTTTCAATTGGCTTCCTTTGATGACTGCGATGGCCCGTGGGTGGAATTCGGAAGTTCGATTTAGTGATTCAGTGGATGCCATGAGTTATATAGTTTGTAGTTCTAGAATTGTTGTACCCTTTTGTGTTTTGAGTGTTGTGGGTTACCGAGAATTGATTTGGCGCGGCTTGCTTGTCCTGATTTAAGATATGTTGATACCCTTTTGTTGTTATGCTCCTCCTGGCAGGAACATGCTACTTATTAGGGGATCTGTAAATGGCCTTTCCCAGAAGACAAAACATCTAGGGAGCCAAGCATCTTCTGGAATCAATGTAATTTATCTCTTTCGTCGTCTCTCATATGTCTTCTACTTCTTCTACTGTAGAGGGTATAGTTTATTCAGAACAACCATAATCTAGCATGGCCAGACCATTTCATTTGCAGGGATCAAATGCAATGTTACTTCTGCTGGTGGTGGTACTGCTGATAACCAGGGTAGCTGATGGGCAACAAGCCTATGTTGACAACCACCAGCTTGATTGCTATAACCAGAGGTTCAATGAAACAACCCTAGGCTACGTCTGCAATGGACTCAACACTTCCTGCCAATCCTACCTCACCTTCCGGACATCTCCACTTTACAACACGCCTGTCTACATTGGATATCTCCTAGCTGCTACTGCCCCTGAAATTGCCTCCCTCAACAATCTCTCCTCCGAGTTCTCCTCCATCCCAGCTGACACTCTTGTCGTCGTCCCTGTCAACTGCTCCTGCTCTGGCCGTCGCTACTACCAGCATGAAGCCACCTACAAACTCAAGTCCCACGATGAGACCTATTTCACTGTGGCCAACAATACTTACCAGGGACTCACCACTTGCCAGTCCTTGATGTCTCAAAATCCCTTCAATGACCGCCAACTCGCTGTCAATGAGACCCTCCGCGTCCCACTTCGCTGTGCTTGCCCCACCGCCAACCAGACCAGGACAACTTCAGCTGCCGCCACCACGACGAGGTACTTGCTCACTTACATTGTCACTTGGGGAGATTCCATCTCTTACATTGCCGAGCTCTTCGGGGTCGATCAACAGTCTATCCTTGATGCCAACCAGCTCTCTTCAGAAAGTGTCATTTTCCCCTTCACTCCGCTTTTGGTGCCTTTGTCTAGCGAACCGAACACCTCATTTCTTCTTCGCCCTCCCCCTGCTGCGCCTCCTCCTGTGCCACCCCTGACGCCCACTGATCAGACTGGCCACTTCCCTTCGGCCGGTGGATCCAGCCGCAAGAAATGGGTGTTTGTAGGTGTGGGAACAACACTAGCTCTCTTATTACTTATTGCAACCCTCCTGGCTGTGAAATTTGTCCGTCGGAAGAAGCAATCTCCGCCTATACATTCCTCCACCACTGCAATGGAAGAAGAAACAAAGGCTAATAAGGGTACCCCACCACCACAGTGGGAGACGGAGTCCGGTTCAGCTTGGTCATTGTCTCAAGGGATCAAAAACTCTGTTGAGGCATTGACATTGTACAAGTTCCATGATCTAGAGTTGGCCACCGATTACTTCAGCGAATCTAACAGGATTAAAGGCACAGTCTACAAGGGATCCATTAATGGAGATGCTGCAGCGGTGAAGGTGATGAAAGGCGATCTCTCTGCATCTCCCGAGATTAACATTCTGAAGACAATTAGTCACTCCAACATCATCCGCCTCTCTGGGTTTTGCGTCAATGATGGCACCACCTATCTTGTTTATGAGTATGCCGAGAATGGTGCTCTCTCCGACTGGATTTTTCTTGGCCCTAGTAAGACAAAGCAGCAGCAGCACCTGCTGCTACAACGAGAAACACTCACCTGGAAACAGAGGGTTCAGATAGCGAACGACGTTGCAGAAGCCATCAACTACCTCCACAGCTACGCTGACCCTCCTTACATCCACAAGAACTTGAAGACGAGCAACATCCTCTTGGACGCTGACTTGCGAGGCAAGGTAACAAACTTTGGATTGGCCAGAGCCGCGGCATTTGAGGAGAATGAGAATGGAGACGGAGGAGCATCACCATTAACAAGGCACGTTGTCGGGACATATGGGTATATGGCTCCGGAGTACGTAGAGAACGGACTCATTACTCCGAAACTCGACGTTTTCGCATTTGGTGTCGTCCTACTGGAGCTTTTGTCAGGGAAGGAAGCTGCTTCGAGGGACGAATTACTCTTCACAATGATAAACACGGTTCTTGAAGGTGACAACGTAAGGGAAAAGTTGCGAGCTTTCATCGACCCTTCGTTAGCTGACAACAACGAGTACCCCTTGGATCTTGCCTTCTCCATGGCTCAGCTCGCCAAAGGATGCGTGTCCGTCGACCTCAACGCTCGGCCATCAATGCCTCAGGTTTTCATGATTCTGTCCAAGATACTCTCCTCGTCATTGGACTGGGATCCTTCCCACGAGCTCCACCAGTCTTCCTCTGTTTCTGGATCTATCAGAAGCGGGCGATAAAATGTACACTACCCTACTACCTGTAGCCGTCCGCACCATATCCTCCGCCACTTGTGCTACAGTGCATATGGGGGAAGTTGCAAGCTTTCTTTTTTCAATCAATTCGATTTAGAGATTGGAAGAATATATAAATAGGGGACAGAGATAAAATAAGGAGAGAGCAGATGGAGGTCTGTAGGGAGGCCGGAAAACGACGCGAACTCTGCGGCTTGATGCTTCGCCTCCTCCTAGCTGTACTGTCTGTCGCTGTCTTAAAATATTGTATGGATGTATGTACGTCTTTGTCTTTGTCTTGTTATAATATGGAGCAAGCAACCCAACTACTACTCTACTCTTGTCCTCTGTTTTTTTGCAACAAACAATTCCTCCTGAGACCCTGATTCCTATTCCTCTCCCGGCTGCTGCGGCGCTCGGGGCCACCAATTATTACCGTGTTGTTGCTGGGTAGCTCGATTCGCCGATCTGGTGAAAAAGAACAGAGCTTTACTCTGCGGCGGCGGCCGGACCCGGCAATTATGGACAGAGCAGCATTTGGCGGCGGCGGGATGTATCCGTACGAGAATGGAGTGGTAATGACAAGAGACCCGAAGCCGCGGCTGAGGTGGACGGCGGATCTTCACGATCGTTTCGTTGATGCTGTTACCAAGCTGGGTGGCCCTGAGAGTAAACCCAACTGCTACTTTCTTCTTCCATCTTTTTCTATCTGTTCTTGGCTCAGCATTGACTTAGTTTGGAAGTTTTTGGGTTTTCTTTTGTTCATTACAGAGGCGACGCCCAAGTCAGTTTTGAGATTGATGGGGCTGAAAGGTTTGACATTGTACCACTTGAAGAGTCATTTACAGGTGATCACTGATTTTCATTGAGAATGATTGGTTGATTGAATAAATCTCTTCTGGGTATTTAGGCAATAACTTCAATGCTATGAATTGTGTGTGCAGAAGTACAGGCTGGGACAACATGCGAAGAAACACTGCGACAGCCCGGAACAGAGCACCAGAGAGATTCATACTCATAATGGTTTGTATACGCCTGCCCGCTTCTCTTTTAATTTCTCAGGACTAGTGGTCTAGTACCCTTCTCAATCCTGATTCGTTTAGGAAATAGCGAAATGAATTCCTTTGTCATCTCAAAGAAAGTTCTTTCCTTTTTCTTCGTTGTGGTTGATTTGTCTGTAGGATCTTCTCCATACATACATTTCAGCAACCATTCCTCCGGTGGTGGAGCAGCGAGTACCGCTTCTTCCATTTCGTCCAGAGATGCTACTGAACCAGGGTATGTCAGTATGTTAATCATCCTTGCATTATTAGTTGGGTCCTTTCTTCTTTTGTTCTCCTCATGGGAAATGGAAGTAGTAGTAGTCTACAAAATCTAGTTGCACACGGCAAAAAATACCCCGAAGCAATTGTAGAAATTGAGAGAGAAGGAAAGATGTGGGGTTGCTGAATTAAGGAAATAGATTCCCTTTAGATCTATGAATATTGGCAATGGTTGATGGAAGGAAGGAACTTTAGCTTAGTCTAGATGCACTTAATGTACAGAAACATGTGTTGACTTTGTCCAGATCCAGCCCATGTTCTCATTTCCCTTCTACCAGGGGCAACTGATGATTGAATGTTTTTCAATGTTTTTGGGAGCAGAGAGCTCCAGATCACGGATGCATTGAAATCCCAGATAGAGGTACAGAAAAGACTACAAGAACAGCTTGAGGTAGGAAGAAAAAACTGTTGTATGCTTGTTCTGGTTCCCACAGGGAGGAAAAATGGAAGATTGGTGATTCAGCTCAAAGCTATTTTTCCCCGAAAACTATTGCAGGTGCAACAGAAGCTGCAGGTGAGAATAGAGGCACAAGGGAAGTACTTGCAAGGGATACTGGAGAAAGCACAGAAAAGCTTAACCATGGCGATGACAACGGGCAGTGGCGGCAATGTGGACGTGGCGAGGGCCCAATTAACCGACTTCAATCTGGCCCTATCCACCTTGATTCACAACTTGAACTCGCCATCATCAGAAGTGGAAAGGAAACACCACGACTTACAGCAGCAGCAAGAAGAGGAAGTTGATGGTATGAAACATCTGTACATTAACACGAAGCCGCATCATCATCACATGAGTTTGGAAAGTAGCTTCCACGTGGACAGATCATCTGGGGCACTTGAAGATGAGGAGAATGATCTCAAGTTGGATATGGAAGATGGAGTCGGCGGAGTGCATTTCGACTTGAATGCCAATGATGGTGGTGGCGGCATTAGTGGCTATTCTAGCAGAAACACTCTTGTTTCTGCTAATACCAACAGTATTATTAGTAGTCATGGGTCTGAGTTGGAACTAAGGATGCTGCCTTATGGGTTATAATATTCAAAAATTTATGAAGATTGGATGGAGAATTGCAGGGAAAGTAGAGATAATTTATATTCCAAGAGCCATCTAATGCTAATTGCATAGTCCAACGTTCATTCATATATACTTTGAAGCAATGCAGAGGTCAGACAGTGAATCCGAGCTCTTACTCCTTCCTTCTAAGTTCTAACCCTCTTTTATATCAATGTATCTTACAGAACGAACCCTCTCTACATGTAATGTGTATTCTTCCAGTAATATTTCATAGTCTTATTCATTTGGGGAAAATTCTGCTAAAACATACATTCACAATAGGCGACACGAATTCCTTGATTCAGCTGGTGAGAATCCATTTCGATGAACTTGAAGGCGAGACAAGAGAGAGTTTGGTCGGCTGTGCACTTCTTCACATCTGCAACAGCTAGAGCAGAATTGATAGCCGATCAGGTAGTGTTCAGGATAATCAACTTTTCAGTGTCAATTTTACCGTTAGATTTTTGGGGTCATGAACAGATTGGTTACTCAAACTTTGAATCTTTTACGATTTTGCCATACGAGTTTGGATTAATTGACAAAACAGTTACTTTGTCGTCCTATCACCTTCAAGTTTTTCGTCTATTGCCCTGAATAGTGTGTCAACACACCCAAATTAATAATGAAAAGGGTCACATAGCTCTCAGAGTGTCTATTATGTTAGCTATTTCATACTTTAATCTCCATGTTTGTATCCCATTTATTTAATTGACTCAGTGTTATAGAAAGAGGTATCAGACAGATTACCTTTACTGTTTCATACAAGCTGAACTACGGCACCTATTCTTAAGGCCCCATTTTGCAGAAGCTCAGCGAGTTCATCGAAGAACAAAGCTGTCCTCCAACCCCATCCCTTGGGAGCCTTCGGGAGGAGGGTGCCTCTTTGTTTGAAGCTTCCAAACAACATGATTTCTCTCTTTGATGGACAGATCAACTGAAACAAAAAGGGAAATGGAGCCACAGCAGCAGGTAGAATTAAGAAATTTTCAATCAGCAGTTTTCCTTGGCAGAGATGGTTAAAAATTGTCCATGGAGAGTTACCTGATAACGGGCAGTAACTTTTTCGCGTGTATCAACATACATATGAACCTGAAACCAGTGTGGATTCAATGCATAAAAAAAAGGATCACAAACTTGAACCATCATAATGACAGTTTTCGAAATGCTTTCAAACTTGATGACTAATCAGTTGTGTTCAGCTGCAATAACTCGCAAATTTAATCAGTTTTGCTAACCTTCCTAAGTGAATCAGAGATCTCTGCCTTTCGCCGATGAAGAAATAATCCTGAAATGTAATGCAATTAGCAAATACGGAAGAGATAGTAACATGTACTTTTCACAATTGAACTATGACATGGCCCAGGCATATTACCAAGAGTTCGGCGCCCTTGAGGATCTTCATCATTGAAAGCTTGAACACTAATCTGTGTAAAACAACAGAAAGCTTACAAACTTCAGCAACTAAGAAACACAAAGAAGCCAAAAAAAACAAGGAATTTACAAGCATTCAGACGGTATGTATCTTATTACCTTCCACAGAGAACCTGCATAAAAGAATTCAGGAGAGTGCTTCACTTGACCGTCAGTTAGACGAAGCACATCTGGAAACTCAACCCTGGGGAAAGCGGTGAACCATATCTATTATTCATTTTTTCATGTTCATAAAACTAAATCCCAACCGTGGGAAGTGGCATACATCATAAGCAAAGGACTAAATGGTCTCACCCGAACCGGAATGGAGGGAAATGACTCAAAGGTGTGTTCATATCCAACGATATGGAGGAATCATTAGCATTCGCCCATTCAATTCCAATGGCATGTTCAGGTGAATCTAGCACCTGAAAAGCTATACCACTGCCACCTGGTGCAGAAGTAGATATCCTGTCTTGCATATCTGTCTCATATACTCTCTCAGTCTGTTGACTGTGAATGTTAGAACTGCTGCTCCCTCCCTGGGTCAACCCAACCAGAGCGGTCAACCCATCACCAGAGAGGTCCCCATTGTGGTTGGTTCTACTCTCCGAATCGACATTTGGAAGAGACTGCTGGCAATTTCTATTGCCGACACCGAAGGGCACACGAGAAAAGACGAAACGGGTAGGAGGCCATGCGGTTGCCGGCACAACTGTAGTTCCACGCCCAATGCCCGCAAGTCCATCATTAGGTCCCCGAACATGAACACGAACTGGTCTAAAGACACTGCTGCCCCCAACCTGAGAAGAATCAGTGACATACACATTCCCCATATTGACAGGAGAATTGTTGTGTTCATGCTCTTGCATGTAGTAACCTGTGGTAGTTACACCACGTGAAAATCCATATTGCTGTCTGCAAGTGCATGACATGCTGGTAAAGCAGCACATTTTACATGTATCAGCACCAATTTCCTGCACTCTCTGGCTTAAAAGCATCTGCAAGGGAGCCATCGTTTATAAGAAAGCGATAAATTAGAGATACACTCATAGCACATTGTAATGAAAGAAAGCAAATGGTAACATTTATTGATCATGCCCTCAACTTAAAATGCAAGAGGTAAGAATAACTACGAAGGCAGTTAGCCGAAAAATGGATAAAGTTAAAAAAAATCCATTTTAATATCTTTAAATCAAACTATTCCAGTAACAAACCTGCAGCCAAAGGGCATCGTTGACTGCTTTGCATGGAAAGCCTAACTCCTCAAGCTGCTTTCTTACGCTCAAAAGTGCCTCAAACGACATATTGCAATACAGAAGAGAGCCACCTTCAAATATGTTAACAAATGTATCATAGTCCTCCCCATGAACACCACAATTCCCTTTAGCATAACTCTTGACTGGCCTTTTACCCACAACTCTTCCACCCCATGAAAGGGAAGTCATGCCACATCGTCCCCAATCGTTAACCATAAGCCCGCTACAAGAAGGATCCACTGAAGGGACATTCCCAGATTGGTCACTTCCAAGCCAATTGTTGTTATTCAACTGGTACGACCCGTCCCCAGAAGGACCCTCTGTAGAAAATTCACTTGCCCCAACACCCATGGGCATCTCAAGGAAAGAGCATGAGGTTGTATTTCCATTTATTTCTGAAAAGGAGTTGCCCACGGGAGATGATTGTGAGATGCTGCAAGACGGTATAGATCCCATTCCCATGTTAGCTTGTGAAAATGAAACCCGTGGCCCTAGTTTGGATTCAGCAAGCCTTGCCTGAAAGTCGACCTCACACTCAACAAGATCTACCAGAAGATTGTGTGCCATATTTTGAACTTCTAGGTCATCTTTCAAACTCAAGCGTCCAAGTCCTGGTTCCAAACTCTTAGTGCTGCTATCAATCGATTCTTTTCCCTTCAATTTGGATGAATCAGTGTGCATACCCATACGCATTTCGGTACTTGATCTGCCTTGGTCTGAAGTTTCCGTCTGACTAAAAGTACCTTTTGCCAGAAGTGTGTACAGTGCTAGTTCATACCTTTGAACAAGAAAGAAACAAGTTAGCCAACTAAACACGCTACAAGATATGAAAAGGAACTTATTCTGTTACTAATATCCCTTACCGTTTCTCTTCACTGACTACCCACAGTTCATCAGATGTCAACAAGGCATGCAGAGTTTGAGGGGAAAGTTTTGGAAGCACCTAAAAAGAATGCATAGGAAACAAATTAGAATTGCCTCATTAAAATAAGGAATTACTGCTAGCGTCCTGCTTTGTTCCCTTGCCCTATTGCCCTTTTCATCACTCTTTTTACAAACAACACCACAAGTCAACGACTTGCTTGAGGGCCTCAAACCCAAAAGGCTCGTGCCCTAGACATTTTAGTATTTTACCTCTTTCAGTTCCACGGCTCCACTTTGACAAAGATATCCCCAGCAAGCATTCCTTACTTTTTCTCCATATGATCCATAATCTTGGCTCTCAGCAAATACCTGAAGCGCATGAACATGTGTCTCCATATCTAGAAGGAAAAAAATGAAGAATGGGAATGTGTAATACAATGTGAGAGCATTTGAACCTGATATGCCAAGAAGTTTGAACTCCAAAGTTCAGAGATGATGAAGTCTGTACAAATTGCACACAAATCCTGCACATAAATCATGATTCGTTACACATCCAAAGTAAGACCAACAGAGATCACAAACCCAAAGAAGTTCACAACAGGACACTTATGGTGTGTATGTTTGTACTTTTTCTTCTATTCAGGAACTTTTTCTGAAGTTGGGTTGTTAGGGAAATGTGAGATCTAGCTTGCCCTCTATAACACATTAATTAATACCTGGAGGTCAAGAAATGAAGCAGCTGCCAGGACACGAAACGCATTGCTGTCGTTAAGCTTTGGATGATGCCCGTACAAATAAGCCAAGGCAGCGGCAATTGCATCAGCATTTACATTCTTATCATCTACATTCAAGTTCACAACAGGAGAACTCGCTTCTTTCCAAGGACCATGTAGCATGTTCCTGCCAGTAGCATCACAATCAAAAGTTATATAAACTTCATACCAAGAGTAACAACATGCATTTCTATCCAATCAGGAACGAAGCTACAAAATCAGCCCTTAATTCGTATAACTAAGAAAATGGATATACAACATTCAGTTCTCCATACTTGACTACTTGCACTCCAGCTTTGCACTACATTCAAACAACCGGGTAGTATCCAGAAGACAAGTTCGAAACTTCTGGCATCCCAAGCATCCTTTAACTGAATTCCTGGTCATATACGCAGGAGTACCAGTTCAAATAAATTCCCATTTCCCCCTAATCGGAACTTCTCACGTTTCCACCCACTGTTCCACAGACCATGACAGCTACAAACATAACCCAATTGAGACAAACGGTTGAGAGAGCAGTGGGGAGCAAAACCTGAAGTAGGAGCTGCGAGAGAGGATAAGCCGGTGGAGGTGATATGTGGACCCCATAGCATGAACGACGACATCTGAAAAGGCGCCGGAATTGAAACCCTCCATCTGAATGTGATCACAGAGGGAATTGAGGTTACAATCCAGCGCCCGGAGTTCCCCGCTCGTCCGGGCATCGTCGGAATGCTGCACCGCCGCCGGCGATGGCTGAAGCGTCACTTTCACTTGGTGGTGGTGCCCGAACGAGCGTGGATTCCCGTTGTTAGGGCATTGCGGTTCCATTGCTGCCACTGCTTCCAAGGTTTTACCTTACCGCTGTTCTTCAGCTTCAACTACTTTTAATGAAGATCAACAAATGGAGAAGAAAGCGGCCAAATTTGCCGATGACCATTTGATCAATTTTTCTGTCTCCATATGGCAGGGGGAAAAAATCGGGCTTTGTTTATCAATCAGTCAAAATCAAATCCACTGTTTGATCGGAGGAGCAGATTTGCGAGAGCCGAAAGACGAACGAGAGTTGCCTAACGACGCCGTTTCCCGAGCGTTCTGCGGCGCTATTTTCATAAGTGAAAGGAAAATCAAAATGACGCTAGTTTTTTTTTTTTTTCCCAAGGCAAGCCCAAAGAGCATGGGACAAAGACTCGACACCATTACAAGGAACGAGTTAAATTGGATATTTCTATTTAAATGGGTTTAGAAAATTCAGAAACACATTTTTATTTTTTTAGTTTTCTTAATTTGTTTTTATCTTCTTGGTTCTAACTTGAATTCAATTTTTTTCAAAGATTGAACAAGTACGTTGTGTTTTATAAAATGAGATCAATTTTCAATATTTTTTTGAGGAATTTTTTTCATGCCTTTCGTTACCAACTCCATATCATATGGTATCTCCTTAGTTTTTAAGTCTTTTTTTAAAATATTTGAATAGAAGGAACGAGTTCATCAAAATCTATTGTATCTACAATATTATGGGTGAAAAAAATACACGACAAAAAAATATCATATTATACCACCCTGGTATGTGGGGTGGTAACTTGTGGTACGCAATGATGAAAGTCGTAAATGACATTTAATATACTCCTACTGTTATGTATTTAACCATCCTAGAATCTTCAATATTCATACCACCATGGTACGCTTTCATATCATATAGTATGCTCTTATTTAATACCTGCCAATACCATATGGTACAGACTCATAAAATATGTCTCGGTTTTTTATTTGTTCTATAAATATATCAAAGTGATATCATTTTGAAGAGCATGATTAATCTGATCTATGTGTGCAAAAAAAAATTAATTTGAACTTAAGATGAGAGAGAAATCGTTCGTTGAAGATTAAAAGGAAAAAGATTAAAAACTTTCCATATGAGAAAGGATGTTGATGTCATGCTGATGTGGACGAGTTACTCACCATTACTGACCACAAGGTTACTGACCGGATCGAGACCCTATGTCTGGGCAAGGTTTGTGGAAATGGATTCTACCGTTGGGTTTGACAAGTAAAATGGTATGATTGATAGTACAATCAGTTTATTTCAGTGTAAATAGAGTATATGAGAAAACTAGAAATAATTCATATCAAATAGGTTACTTAGAAAGAAAGAAGCAATTAAAGAGTTATTTACACACAAAAAAAAGAATATAATTAAAAATTGGTAATTAATAGTAAACAATTGGATACTTAAAAAATAAAAATATATAAAATAAATTTTATTAATATTTGCAATGATTTATGTAAAATATAACATTAGCTATATAATATATAAGATTAATATGTATAATGAAGTTTCTTGTATCCTATTGGTGTATAAAGCAAACTATTAAACATGAGGTATTTGGTTCAATCTCATAATGGGAGTTTATTTTTGCACGAAATGTGTGAAAATATATAAGACCAGTTTCTCGTCTAACCAAACGATATTTTAGGTCTTGTTAGAATTTTATCGAGAATGAATAAGTCGGTAAATGGTAAGTCGACTATCACTCTGTACCGATTGGCGGCTGCCATTTGGGATGTCTCGATATATCTATAATCGGTTTCCGGTTAAACAAACTGCTTACCACCTGTATATCGTATTAGCACACTATTAATTTTTAATAGTTATTTATATTTTGTAAACATACACTCCTTACTCAGTAGCAAAAACGTCGAACTCCAACGCATAAAACATGATTGTCATGTCGATTACATGTCTGCCAGTAGAACCAGATTCAACTAGTACCAGTTATAAAATCGGATGGAATGACTATGGTTTGACCGAAATGATCAATTTTCAATGTTTAAACAAAATGACACCGTTTTAGTGAATTTAATTGATAAAAAGGTATTTTGATTTGTTTCTTGAATTAAAAGTTAAATGATGATGTTATTTTTTGGATTCAAGTATGAATGTTTAGATGTTTATGTTATTTGTTGTATTCAATTATAAATTTTTGGATATTTATGTTAAATATTGAGAATTTTTCATTGGGTTTAGAATGTTGTATTTTTATTTAAATATAAATTTATTTTATAGAAATTATTTTCAAATATGTATATATATTTAAAGTCAATAAACATAAATCGATAGTACTACCGATTAAATCATACCGGGATGGGATTAGGTGCTAACCCTTGTAGGGGTTAGCACCGTGATAACTAGCAAAAAACGCTACTAAAAATAACGAAATCACTACGAAATCTAAACTAAATCACTACTAATTCAAACTAGTAGTAGTTTTCCCCTTGATTAGGACGGTGCTAACTATTGTACAATTAGCACCGTAACTCTTCCCGATCATACCGCTTACCACACCGAGGAAATAGTATGAACTATGAACTCGTTTGTTTGAGTCTTTGAGACAACCCTGCATAAAATGATAAAAAACGCTTTCGAATCCGGTCCAGGAAAAAATGGGGGAAAACCGAAAAAGGAAACCAAAGTATATCCCAATTAAAAACAGAGAGACTCGCGACGTATTGACGTAAGCTTTGCTTGTGGCCGGAGGAGAAGAAAACGCCGAAAGCCGAAAACGAAAACCTAAAAAAGGAGGCAGCTTTCGCCATTGTTCCTCCCTTCCTTCATTTGCTTCAGATCAATAGCGGTGGCCGGCGGATGAGGTATTCGTCTAATCTTTGATTTCCCACGGAAACCTAGCAAAGTTCCGAACTTGGTGTGAATCTCGCTCTCGCTCTCCGTAGGGTTTGGGCTGCTTTCTCTTCTTCTCGGGTTTCCGGGGGGAACCCTAGCTGTAATGTTTTCCCCCGGGAAATGAATTTATGTAGATGGGATTTTGAGATTCCGAGGGCTTTTATGATATTGGGATGCCAACAATGGGCTACGTGAGTGGCGGTGATAGGAAGCGGGATTTGTACTCTTCCTTCGCGCCGTCGTTCTCCCCGGATTCTTTTCCGACATCGAAGAGACCCAGAATTTCGCCCACGCGTCACGCCCCAGGACGGGCAACGGTGACTTTCAATAGTACCGTCGACAAACTTTTCCGGTACCCTGAGAGGACGACGAAGCTGCCCCGGGAAGTCCACGCCCCTTGTAGGAATTTGAAATACGGGTTGGGCGCTCCTCGGGGTAAATCTGGTGGTGTGGGGAAGGTCGAGATGTTGTCTTCCGTGTTCGATTATGCGAGGAGAGCGGCAGTTGGAGCTCTTAGGTTTATTGGGGTAGACAAGGAACTACCTAAAGTGGATGAGCAACCTGTGAAGCCGAGTAGCCATGTCTTGCTGTCTGATGATTCAAGTATGGAAGAAGTTCAGGTCACTGATTACAATGATGAAAATGGTGTTAGGTCTATGGTTTTGGATGAGCCAGTGAATGAGCAGGAGAATGATGATGTTAGGATTGTGGAAGAGCGGTATGTGGTTACTCCAGAACGAAATTTGTCGGTGGAGAAGACTAGGGAGATGGTGGATTCTTTGGCTTTGGACCGAAGTGGTTTGTCCGTTGAGGTGTATAAGAAACTCTTGGATGGTGCCCAGAGGAGAGACCCAAATGTGTTGCAGCCTCAGATTGAATACTATGAGAAGAAGAGGGCTTCATTGCAGGTATTACGGTCTATGAGGAAGCCGTTGGAAAAACCTGTTCAGGTCAGTTTGTCAATCTTTTGCCATGATGATTGTTTTTCGGGTCTTCAGAGTGCTGCTCGTGAAATACTTGAACTCTGTTCTTCTTTCAGAGAGAGCCTGTAAATGCTTGCCGAATCTTACTGCAAATGTTGCTTATGTTGTTTAAGTAACATTTTTGCCATTTCAGGAGACACCTCGTGAACCTTTTATACCCCTTACGAAGGAGGAAGAAACTGAAGTGAAGCGTGCACTCTTACCTAACAACAGGTACCCTATTGATCTTTTGTTCCTTTTGATATTTCATGATCTGGGGGGTGCCCTAACTTCGTTTCCATTTTTTTATGATAGGAGGAAGCTCTTAGTTGCTCACACTAATTCAGGCATCGACATCACAGGAGAGGTATTGCAGTGCCTCTCACCAGGTGCCTGGTTAAATGATGAGGTATGATTTAATCCTTATCAGGTAGTTTGTTGTTGTGTTCTTAGGAGGCTTATATACATTATATCAACTTTCTCTTTTGCAGGTCATCAACGTCTACCTGGAGTTGTTGAAAGAAAGGGAGAAGCGAGAGCCACCAAAATTTCTGAAATGTCATTTCTGCAACACCTTTTTCTACAAAAAGGTTTGTGCTTTAGATCCTTGTACTCGATTAGCAGAACATGGGGAGAATGTCTTTCTACTAGGGGGAAAACAGCATATAGGCTGCACAAAGCACTATCTTGTGGTTAAATGATCAGGCATTTGCCGTCTTCTTTTCCCCTTATTGGCATCATTTTGAAGCAACTGGATCTGTCCCAAGTTACTTACTAGTATCAGAATCACCTAAACTTCTGCTATTCAATGCCTGATAAACATTTATATTGTCTTGTCTCCACATGTACTAGTAGTATTATTACACATAGGTTTCGACTCCTCAATGCTTAATTATACCTTATGTTCGTTTTATCCATTGTTTCACGATATTCAACCATTCAACATTTCCTTTGCTTACATTGCTTCTTCTGGTTGTAGTAAATTTAGTGTATATTATCAGTTATCACTTATGCAGGTTCTGTCTTCTTTTGTTTGTGGAATGTGCATCATGTCCAGTTATTAGGTGGTGATAAGAAAGTGTATGACTATAGAGCTGTGAAAAGGTGGACTACAGAACGGAAATTGGGTTACATGCTGGTCGACTGTGAAAAAGTAAGTTTTCTACAGAACTCAACTCTCTATTTTGCTTTGCATGGTCTCATGTGCTCCGATAGCACTTAATTAGTTACCTTTCGCTTGGGTTGATTTTTCTAATTGACAGATATTTATCCCCATTCATCGAGAAATTCACTGGTGCTTGGCCATTATTAATAAAAGGGACCGGAAATTTCAGTATCTAGATTCACTCAAAGGGAGGGACTTGCACGTGCTGAAAAATCTGGTAGGTTAGGATAATTTCCAGCAAACTCTTTGTGTACACTTTGCGAGAATAGACTGACATTTATGACCTTGTGCAGGCTAGATATTATGTTGATGAAGTGAAGGACAAGAGCAAAGTAGACATCGACTTAAGTGAATGGGAATACGAGTTCCCTGAAGACCTGCCGGAACAGCTAAACGGGTATTTATATCTCAGAATCTCATTGGCACCCGAAAATCTGGTCTCTAAACTGGTCTAAGATCCCTTTCTTTCTCTTGCGACAAACAGGTACGACTGTGGAATGTTCATGATAAAATATGCCGATTTTTATAGCAGAGGCTTAGGCCTTTGTTTTTCCCAGGTAATAAAGAGACTGTCTCAGCATATTATGAATACGATCAACCTGCCCCTTTTGTAGCATCTCCAAGCTTATCTTCTGTTACTTCTTCCCAGGAAAATATGCCGTACTTCCGGCTGAGGACTGCCAAGGAGATCCTTAGACTGAAGGCCGACTGATGAGGGCAGCAAACACGAGCGACAGCCAATGAGAATGCGATAGGCGGCATCATAACTTAAGAGACGTGTTTTATCGCAAAGTGTGCAAATAGTAGGTCTTCCATGCACTTTCAGGTATCAACGGAAGTGCCCTAGGTACCAGCGTGTGAATACACCCCCGGTCAACAACCTTGTTTGGTTACACAGATTATCGTCGCCCAAATGGTTAGTAGTGATCTAGTTCGGATTCGTATTCCGGTGCAGGTCAAGTTATGGTTGCAAACCTTTTGTGAGAAGTGGTGATGCTGTTTTGTGGTGCCTATTAAATCCCTGCCAAACGCTAGAGTAGTACTTAGTTCTATAAACTCTTTCCCCCCCTCTTTTGAATCTTTTTTGGGGCGTCTATATGATATGCAGATTCTTTTTTGTTTCTTCCTTCTGTTGATTGTTTTGATTTAAAACTTTCAATGGTAATTTTTGGGGAGCTGTCAATCCCATTTGCCCGTCATTGGTTTGTAATTTTGATCAAGAAAAAATGGATCATCGATGGAGTTGACGTGTTTGTAAAACGATACCATATCGATTCGACGTTGTAATAGGAAAAATACCATCTTGGAGTTCAACCAGGGTCCAGGTAGACGATTTGGCGAGCTGATTGAATCTCAAATAATCACTGGTTTAGCGCAAAAATTTCCCAACTTTTCCGGAATTCTGGGTATAATTTTGCAGTTCATGGTTCAAATTGGATGTCGAGTAAGGAAGGAAAAAAATGCACAAGGTGAGAATTGAAGGTAAGATATATTATGAACAAATGCAAGTTTACTTTCAAGTAAAAGTGTATATCACCTATTGAGCAATTTTCTTTTCCTTTTTCATTTCACTTTGCCTACACAAGAATCCACTGTTTCTGTGTTTTCCACCCTTCTTTCGTTCCCCTTTTCATTCACCCTTCAAACATCCCAAGACGACGAAACCCAGAAAAACAAAAAACCAACTTAGCAACAACGCCAGCATCCAGCCTATTCTGAATGATACATTTTCAACCACAACCATCCCACCAACAAAAGGAACACCACGCCATTCCTGCTGCCCGCGCGCTAGATTACCCGAGTAAGCACCGCAAGCAATGCTCCGAGTCCGCTCCTGCAAAATTGAAGTGTTGATTAAGCCAAAAAGAGAATGTGGGGGGAATAAAGAAAGTGGTGTTGGAGCTCGGGATTGTATATGTACTTGATGGAACTTACAAGAGCCAAGAATTAAGATCACACACCAAACAGGGTACTGCGTCTCTAGCGAGGAACTCGTTTGCGACTGAGGATCTCCTGCTCCTTCAGCCGATGCTGGAACCTAGCGAGGCGAGCTTGGAGGCTAACCAGGCCGGCGGCCTTACGCGAGAGAACGAAGCTCAGCTGAGTTACGTAATTGTCTATGAGGCTGCCTGGCTGGTCAACTTCTGCCAAAAGCTTCATTTCCTAAGTAGTAGTATCCCAAGCAGGTGAATGAGACAGGAGTGGAACAATAAGGTGTTTGTTTTGAGGGAAAAAACCTTAAAACAAGATTTCTCTGTATCGTTCCAATTTTATCGGATGTCCCCGAAGAGACCTTAGAACAAGATTTGACATGAAGGTTAACACACATTTTCTTCACTTCTACTTTACTTTACTTTACTTTACTTTACGAAGTTGCTTCTTTTTAGCAAAAGCCGAGTGAAAAAACACGCCCCAACTCCCTAAGCAAAGAAAAGGCTGCATGATGGCATATGACAAATCATCACTTACCTCACGCACGATCTCCATTGTATCCTCAATCTCTTTCCTATGTGCAGCAATTAGAGCCTCTTCTTCCTAAAACAGGCCAAATGTAAGAATTGAGAACTAGAAGATGAAGACGCTAAGCAAAAATGCAAGTAAACAAAAACCAGGAATTCATCTGCTCACCTCGAGTATAGCATTGATACTCCCATCTGAAGAAGGATCAGATTCTCGATGTCTTCGTCCAATTGTGGGGAGGTTTGCTGTACTACTGCTATCTTTCTTGGAATTTACAGTGGTAGGTACAACATCAGATGTACCACCGCTATCTTTCTTCCCCCAATTTGTAGACTTGTCGGCCTTCTCCTCCCTCGAGGGTCCTTTTCTACGAGGCGGTGATACCTTCTGCACTTTTTCTTCAGGTTCGGCTGGGGGCTGGGAGTATGATGTATAGCTTTTTGCATTTGGTTGACCGCCGGAGGAATTGTTAAATTCAATCCTCTCCCGGTCAGTTAAGCTGGAAGTTGATCCACTTTCTTGCTGTCGGCCATTGAAGTTATAACTTGAAGGGAAACTCGACGGCTGCCTATCATGATCTTCTTTCTCTATGTGTCTTCTCAACATATCCACCGGTTTTGCCTCTTCTCTTTGTTCAAACATGTCGTCTGTGTCTGTGGGAACAGCCAAAGATGATGCTGATGGCATGTCCTTGTTAGTCGATGAATTTACAGGTTGATCCTTTTTCGTATTGCCACTTTTGGAAAGGCTTTTGACCCTGTTCATTCAATGACATTAGTATTAGACCATTCAATTGAGATTATTATATCTTACTTCGCTCAAGCAATAAAGAGTTTTCACTTACCTATCAGCATATCTCAGTGTATTCAACGTGTGTTCACAGGAACCAGCATTTGGAGAAATACACGAGATCATAACTGTCCTCGAGTTACCAACAAAGGAATCGCGAAGTACTTCCGTGAGCTTGCTCCCACGGAAAGGTATATGGATCTGTTCATTGTCGAGTGCACGAATGCACTCTTTAAGAGCCAGAAGGCTCTTGTTAATTTCTGCACCTTCAATCCTGCAATTTAATCAAACATTATTATAAGTTAACCAGGATGAAACATACGAAACCAAAGCAAGATGAAAAGGTGAAGCAAGAACAGAATAGTACCGTGTCTGTCTGTCATTATCTGTGGTGTCTGCTCCTCGTTCACTACCAGCAAGATCGATAAACGAGATTTTGCCAACCAACTTTCCATTTTTTGGATCATTAACATCAATGTTGTTGTTGGTGTTCCTTCTAGTTTCTTTTACCTCTTTATGCTTCTTGATAGCAAGTTGCAATATAGCATGTGATCTTGAAGATTCCTCATTGGCACCTGTCGATCCTGTGCTTCTTGAAGCATTTCCCTTCTCAATGTACTCCTTGACTATTTGCACATCCAAGACCTCGAATTCTTGTAGACCAACAATGCAAACCTGTTGTCTGCCATCTTCTCTCATACAGAGCTTCCTATTTGGCAACGAGGGAAACCACAAGCATTATGTAAGCAGTTCAAGATACATATACATAATAGAACAAATTAGTATGAACATCACAACCCTTCTCATCTGGTCGCGTGATTTAAAGGCCATTTCAATTATATTTCTATATGGCATTAAGGTGAATATGAGAATGGGATTACACCTCCAAGAAATACTCACTTTCTTTCAGAAAGAAGATCATAGAGCTTCCCTCCATAAATTTCAAAATAACTGAGCCACAATTTGAACCTCTGGGACCGGTAAACTGGCTGATACAGTAATCTAACCATGTCTTGAGCAGCTCTAAGAGGCAAAGGTTGCATCGTGTAAGTCTTTCCACTACCTGATAAGATTGTTATCCATATGATGTTATATATGACGCAATTTGAACTACAAACGTTTGTAAGAAAAGAAAACTATAATATAATACAACCTAAGCTTAACAGATCCTAAAGTGAAAGTCTCAGCAAGTTTAGAGACGACTCTCTTATAGAAATGACATTGCTCCTAACACCAGCTTTTGCCCCATCTATGTATATATATGAACCAAATATATTATCCTAGATCAACTATAAAGATACATATGATGCAGTTTGTGTCCAAAAAGACATATACTAATAAAAAACAGTACCTGTTTGGCCATATGCAAAACAAGTAGCTTTCGTCTTCTCGAATATTGTGGGAATTATGGGCTCGACGGTTTCCCGGTACACCTGTAAAACACATTTGACCTCTGGATCATAAATACTAAAAGATTGATTTGATAACAAATTTGTCAAGCTATTGTGCCTTAATCACAACACCATGCTCTTTAGTTCACTAGTAACTAGCATTTTCTTAATAACCTCAATGAATACAGTTCTTGCAAGTAAATTGAGACACTGGAACCAAAAACATCGACGTCTATCTCTAAGAGAAGAGTCATTACCTTATCATTGTTAACATCCTCATCAAGAACAGCATCAAAACAGAATTCATGCTTCTCCACATATGCTGTCAAGTCCACCTTCAAATCAAAATAGATGGTCAAGTCTTTTAGCTGAAAGATAAAGTGCAATCTGAAAGATGAAATACAACGCTACTACCATTGCAATCTTCCCCCTTCAGAGCAAAAGAATCTGAAGTGGTTTGGAAAACAATATTAGCCGAGGGGAAAACCTTTAGTTTGGGTTCGTGGACAGTCAAGGAATTGTCTGCAACAGACACAACGTCATCCTCTTTCTTAGCAAGCTCCTTTTTGTTTAGTGGTCTTTTACGCACCTGCCGAACAGTAATCAGAACAATGTCATGAGCTTCATAACAGAATCATAACTTGTCAGCAAACAAACGTTATCAAGGGAAAAAAAGAATAAAAAACATGCACCAATTCAGTTCACATTTGGCATAACTCAATGCCACTGAAAATGTAAGAAACGGAAAGCAAAGTTCAGCTGGTGAACATGATTCTTCACATATCCTTCAAAGTCTTTACCGCACAATGAACATGAGAGTATCATAGAGAGGCTTCCAAGTCTCTTATTCAAGATGTTAATGGTGAAGCAAATGACAAATTCAAAAAAGAGAGGATGTAAACTATTGATTTGTTCGAACTCTACATGATCAACAAGGAGGCATAACAAAACAACACAGTAAGGATGGATCGAATGTTTGTCTAGGTGTGTGTAAGTCTAGGAAGAGATAGAGAGAGACTAAGAGAAGGGACTACTGATAAGTCAAACTCACCACAACTTTAATCTTAGCCACGTTACTTTCCCTCCCACTGTTTTCTTTTTCACTGACAGGGAGTGATACTGATGGTTCTGCATCAGTTTGCTCACTTTGATACCTACGACTAGCCATGTTGAGTTCATTCTCGAACCCTTGGCCAATATCAGGCATGATTGGTGATGTGTCAAAAGGTTCTGTCATAACATGCTGCAACAAAGATAAGAACCACACAATAACAATTCATTATGAAAAGTAAACAAATAGAAACAATCGAAGATTACCCCATTCAATAACAAATGGTACCTCAGACAGAAGCTCAGTATCATCCATTGCGTGAAGGTCCAAAAGGCCAGCTCCAAAATCCCCCCTGAAGTCAGGGGAATAAAACCCATCTGATGCTGTAGCAGTTGAAGCTTGTGCAGTCGGTGTGTAAGGATCAGAGCCAGATTCTCCATTGAAATTAAGATTTCTCATTAGCTTAAAAAGCCTCTGCTTCTCTTCGGCAGATTGAGCTCCATAACCCTTTAGCAATGGCATAGAGTATCTCAGCAATTAATCCAAATATACAAGCAAGTGCAAAATAATCAAAATATCAGAAACCAGAAAGCAGGTTATGATATTCCAACAGCGTATCAACTAGACCAAATCCCGGCTAAACTCGATAAGTACAGGTACAGCTCAACGATCCAATTACAAAATGAAATGTTCAGATTCCTTCCCCTAACTTTGAAACGCTGACCTAGCATAGACCTCGACCAAGTCATCACGTTAACAAAACATAGAAGTGTAAGCGGCGGCGAGCAAACAGAAACGGTTGATGAAGCTACCTGCATTAGGAGATTAGGCAGCGCGCGTTGATCGATGCCGGAGGAAGCCAAGGGAGATGCCAGATGCTGCAGGCCGGCCGACTGCAGCCACCGCGCCATGACAGCATCGCCGGCATCGTTTGTACCGGCCGCATTCTGCAGAGCCCCGCCGCCGCCGTGATCGTAGAACGCCGTAGCCGCTGCAGCATTGGTCTGCTGCATATGGCCACCCATGTGGCGCTGCGATCGCTTTTGCGGAGCCAACTTTCAAGATCTGTTTATCACCGCTTCGCGAACAGAAAAACCGGAAACACGAAAATCAGAAAACCAGAAGAGACAAACAGCAAACAGAAAAAGAAATCGCCGACCAAAAATAAAAAGCACTCACAAGGAGGAGAAAATTCGAATCCAAACACGAACATAGAAAGAAAAAAAATTCCCCTCCTGGAATCCGATTCCTCGCTAGGAAAGAAAGCAGAGTATATTCCTGCAATCCAAACAGAACAAACGCACACAAAAGCAAAATTGACCTCCAGAATCCATATCGTTCTCACCCAAGCCAAACACAATGCGGCAAAGAAGCAGACCGAGAGTAAAGTTACCGGAGCGGGAGAGATCGAGATCTGCGCCGGCGGCGAGCGGGGGAATTCGGGAAGAGCGGGGTTGGCGATCAGATCTAGAAACGCGAGGAAGAATGATGATCGAATGCAAAAACCTAGAGGAATAGCTTGGATTTGCGGACGGAAATCACAGAAATCAAAGCAAAGCAAAAGAGAAGAAGAGGCAGAGCGGGGGCGCTAAAAGGCAAATGTGTGCATTTGGTTTTGGTTTCGCTGGATGTGTTGCGCAATGCGCAGAAAGGAAGGAACTGCGAATTGGAAGAGGGAAATGAGATTTTTTTTTTCTTTCTTTTTTTTCTTTAGGGTGATAGAGAAGGAATGTACGTAGAGTCGTAGACGGTGTGATTAATTTTTCGCTCTATATAATCAGCAGGCTTAAAATTAATTAATACGAAGAGATTAATATGACATTATTTTTTTTTTTTTTTTTTGATTGATTGGAGGCAAACGCCAAACAAACACAGCAGGGGTTAACCCACTAAACAAACACAGCTAAAGCTAACACATTTGCCCAAAACATATCCAGAAAACACAAACAGAGAACAAATCGAGATATGCACCAAAGAAAAGCCCACCATCAGTTCTCATCTGCTGGTGTCTGCCTCACCAAACGGGGATGACTAACCCCTATGATATCATCCTGACAAATCCTCTTCAGATCGGTAGGGGGTTCATCTAATTCATAAGTACCGAATGGATAGACGAGACTGTGCTTCGAGAGCCAGTCCGCGGCTCTATTCCCTTCGCGATACGTATGAACCAAACGAACCACCCATTCTTGAGCTAGAAGCCGACGAATATTACCTAGAATTGTGGCATACGGGTGAACACTGTCAGTCCTCTTCTCAATTAGATTAAGAGCTAGCTGAGAATCAGATTCTAAGATAAGAAATCGGATCCCTTTACGCCAAGCCAACTCCAGTCCACTGTAGATCCCCCACAGTTCCGCCATTAAAGCTGTGCCGGTTCCCAACTTACTGCAGAAACCTCCCAACCATTCCCCCTGACTGTTCCGCAAAACCCCTCCTGCTGTCGCCATTCCCGGGTTGCATTGGGCTGCCCCATCAGTATTCATCTTGGTCCATCCAGCAGGAGGCTTCATCCAACCAACAAGAACTTCTTCACGAGGAGGTTTTTCTTTAAGGTCAAACCTCCGCTTAGCCGAATCCCAAGCTTTGACCCATTCCGCGGCTTTGGCTGTTATGTACTTGTGGAGAGTAGAAGTTGTCAGTTTGATTCCCTTAAAGATGCCATCATTTCTACATCGCCAAATGTACCAGAGGACCAGGCTGAAGTAGCTTCCCCATTGACCTGGCCAGTTTCCTGTTGCATCGTTCTTAAGATTGTCGTTGAGCCATGTATCGTAACTGCAACTGAAGAAGGATGCGGCCTGCTGATTGTCAATGATTTTGGACCAGACTGCACTCGCCTTCAAGCAGTCTCGCAGGCAGTGAACATTTGTTTCCGACACGCCACTGCAATCCGGACATGAGTCATTATCGGTCAGGTGTCTGTGTTTTCTTACGCTGTTCGTGGATAATTTCCCCTTCACTGCCATCCAAATGAAGACTCTAACCCTCTCCGGCACCTGCAACTTCCAAATGCTTTTCCAAATTGCATCTGGTTGGTAATTTGAAGTGCCCTGTGCAACTTTATATGCTGATGCAACTGAAAAATGACCATTTGAGGTTGGGCTCCAAAAGATCTGGTCATTGTCTGCAGCCAAAGGGTCCACTATTGTTGCTCTGATGTTGTTGACGATATTGATCGGGAGTAATTCTTCAAATTCTTGAACTTTCCACCCATGATCAGGATCCCACAGCTCAGCCACCGACTGCTTCTTCTTCTCCTCTGGTATTTCCGTTAAGGCTAGGTTGATAAGAGGTTCCTGCATAATCCACGGGTCATACCAAAATTTAGTGTGTCGGCCATTTCTAATATTAAAAGCAAGTCCTTTCTTAAGCAAATTGGCCGTTGAGACAAAGCTTCTCCAGGCGAGAGAACTTCCCTTTGATTTTCTAAGGATGCCAAGTCCCTCCCTGTTGCGCCCATATTTGTCTTTCAGAACCCGAGTCCACAACGTATTCTCCTGAGTGACTAGCTTCCAACCACTTTTCGCCAACATCGCTTGATTAGCCAATTTAGTAGGTCTGATACCAACTCCTCCTTGACTTCTTGGCAGAGTTAATTGGTCCCAGGCAATAGGGTGAAATTTGGTTTTTCCATCCTCTTCACCCCACACGAATTGCCTATTGATTTTGTCCAAGTCCCTGCAAACAGAAGCTGGAAGTGATTCTGTAAACATAGGGTAAACTGTCATGGAGGAAGATATCGATCTCACCAGGGTTATCCGACCAGCCAACGACAGATGTCTTGTTTTCCATGTGGCCAACTTCTTTTGAATCCTCAGACCAAGATCTTTGTATCTGGCTTTGGTAATTCACCCGTTGATCACATGAATGCCCAAGTACTTGCCCAAGTCAGCTGTGAGAGGAATATTAGCTTTGTTGCTGAGACGGTGGGCCTTATCTCGAGGTATATTTGCCGAGACCAACATTGCTGATTTGGCGAGATTGACCTTCTGTCCTGAACTCGCACAGAACTCATCTAGGCATTGACGAATCACTTCAATCTGTCCACTCCCTGCTTCTGCAAACAAAATTAGATCATCTGCAAAGAAAAGGTGAGATAACTTAGGTCCATTAGGAGTAAGCGAAAACGGTTTCCACTGTTTGTTGGCCACAGCTTGCTCGATTCTGTGTGCTAGCCTTTCCATACAAAGAACGAACAAGTATGGCGACAAAGGATTAATATGACATAATAATATAACCTGTACTGTATTTGTGTCGTCTTGGACTAAAACTTAATTAGGAAAAAGACAATAATACAATTAATTAGGGTAAATTACGTATGTTGTTAGTGGGAGGGGTGACTACATTAATGTGTTTTTGTGGGGTGCACATAGTTTTGAACGTCGTTTGGATTGAAGTTTTGTGTCAAATTGTGTTATACATGGTGGATTTTTAATTATTTGGATTTGATGATGGTCATTGTTACGTGTTAATGGTATTAACCTACTTTCATACTAATTCCTTACACGCTCATTCTAGTCATGTATCACGAGAATGGTGTAGCATTCGACATGGACTAGAACTCCTCTCCCACGGTTTTCATTTAACAAGTTAAGGCCGGTGCATGTTTAGACGACCATTGGCTTCTCACTTCAATGTTTTTGGCGCACGTCACCTTTTCCCTCTTTTCGGCGGGCAAATTTATCATAGATATGTTGCTCCACACTGGTTAGCTTGCAATTCCTCAAAACCAACATCATCAAAGTTGTCTTACCAATCTTTGTATCCACAAGACGTGTTAGTCGTTATGACATCAATATAGTCATCCAGGACTAAGAAGGTAATATGTAGAATTGTTGATCCGCATGTTGCTTTAGTTTGTTCGCTAGTTGCGTGTAAGTTATGACACTCTCCTCTCTAGTTGGTAATTTAGTTTAACTTTGGTGATATTCTCGAAGGTGACTCATTAATGGTCATTTCATTAATTTCCAGAGAGATATTGAGATTTCGGTCATTTCTAAAAATGAAATTAGAAATTGCTAATCTTTGATCAGAAACCCTAAAATCCATTTGCATACTTGGCATCCATACAATTTTCTTCGTCTAGCGGTGCAAGATCTCAATTTGTTCACTAGAGAAAAGAATTTAACCTAACCAGTATTTTCTGGCCGCGTCATCCGGCGTTTTTTATTGGTAGGGCGGCAATTTTTCAAGGAAAAAAAAAAGAGAGAGGAGCAAATTCGAGTGTGATTAATTAATTATTAATACGATTATGTTGCTTTTGGCGAGACGTAATTGTTGGGTTTAGGTGAAGCCATTAGCCAAATAAATCCCCCATATGTCTGTTTTCCAATTCCCGGCTTGAGATCAAAGAGTTAAATTAATTTAAATTAGTATTATTAATGGCCGATGACTTTCATTTTTGTTTCACCAAATTGCGTATTTTAGCTTTCATCGGCTCCATAGTCCATAGGACTTACTCTTGTGATAATGTAGCTTTTAAACCTAAAGTGTTTGCGGACGAGGCTGTGGTTGAGTGGTAGTCCCGCTAGTTTTTAGCCTGGAGGTCTCAGGAATGACGCTCATTTCCCCATTCCCCCACTCTTCTAGTAGCATCGGCACCGGTACCACACTCCTTTTTAAAAAAGTCTAAAGTGCTTGCTCAACGTTTAAATTAATAAGAAATGTAATATGCGATATACCAATTCTGAGTTTTACTTTCCAGCCTATCTTTCCGAGTTTTTTTTTTAGAAAACCCCATTCTCTATGAGTTATCTTAGATTTTTTACGATTCAAGAGGGAAAATGACTGTATACTCATTACGATAAATTTGGTAGAACGATTTATGTAAGCACGAAAAAATGGCGAGTTTGTATAATTAAACTCCTAGTTCAATTAGTGAAATTCATGCAAGTATGTTTTTTTTCAAGCTTGGTGGTTAAGCGTACTAAAAAAAAACATATCGATCGATACCTCCCCGCAAGCTAAACATGTTGAAAAACACACACGAATCTGTTTTTGAAAGCATGCCGAGAGCCCTCACATTTCGTTCATATAAGATTTACTCAAATTCTCCAAAAACAAGTAACCTCGTAATTTCAACACCACGAGCGTGGCTCTTTTTGACGACAGATCGCAAATTAGAACGCCGTCGATCCCACGATTTCCTCTGCTTGAAAAGATTATTATTTAGACGAAGGAAACAAGTTTGATGCACACAACAAGTCAGAAGTTATAGGGTGAAACGCTATGCATTAGCAGTAATGCAATTAGGAAGGGTAATTAATGCCCACACGAGGCATTGGATTCTCGAATTTGGAATATAGTTTATATAGGAACTGAGATATTTGGGGAAGAAGACCAAATTACTACTTCATGTGATGATGGGGCAATGGGCGCTGTGCTGGGCAGAGATATAAGAAGAGGCCACCTGTTTATTCATGTCGAGCTTGCTGCCGCTGCCTCTGCCTCTGCCTCTGCCTCTGCCTCTGCTCTACAAAATTGTTTGTTGTTTTCTTTCTCTCTCTGGTAGATGCTGACGAAGGCTCTGAACATGTAGAGAGAGGGAGAGAGAGAGAGACAGCACTGCAGTAGTGAAATTGTTCGGTCAGAATTGCCCCTCGATACGTTAAGCTGCAAGATTTTGCAACAATTGAAGATTGAAGAATACAGCGGATTTGGTCCTCCCCTCCGACGTTCCATGGCTTTGACATATGGGACCGGTATGAGGCGCCATTGTCCTCCCCACCAAAGAAGGAATCTTTCTAACTGTCTCTCCAATGGATTTCCATAAGTGAAATTTTCACCCCAAGTAGGGTTGTTATTATTTGTTAACGAACCAAGCAGAGATTATGAACGGGCTCGGAATCCGATTCGAGAAAAACTTGTTTCAAGACTCGATTCGTCTTAATCGAGCCGCGGCTCGCAAACAGGTTCATTAACTAAACGAGTCGAACTCGAGTCATACCATGTTCAGCTCGAAAACTCGCAAACAAGCTCATTTAATTAACGGTTTGGCATTAGAAAGGATTGGGATTTCATAGATTTTAATGTATTGAAATCGAGATCAATATTGTGTTTTGTTTTTTGCTAGACTTTGCTGCAGGTTTGAATGTAATTTTATGCTCGGTGCTAGCTCGAGCTATAATGAACATGGTATGCGTTGAACTCGATTTTGGGCTCGTTAAGCTTATTTGGTGAGTCGAGCTCGAGCTTTCATTTTCATAAACGAGCCGAGCTTGCATATTAAAGCTCGTGACGAAGCCGAGCGGAGCTCGAGCCTGGAAATATATTAACGAGCTGAGCCCGAGCTATGACAAAGTTGGGTTAGGCTCGGCTCGGCTCATTAACAGCCTTACCCCCAAGTCACTGATTGGCGGACGGGTCAAATTTCGACGATTGGTGGGTCATGGTTAATAACGGGTCGGTTTAATTAATTTGTTTCTGATGGTAGATGTGAATTATGTGAACAATAGAAAAAAGTGTGAAAATTTTACAAATCGATTAATCCGGTCATACGATCGTTACGAGTAAATATGAATAAGATTGTTTCAAATATTATTTGATCGCGTTACAGACAGTCACTTTTAAACGTGTCGGGTTTAGATCAAGTTGATACGACAGAAAAAGTTATGTCATTTATATTTGGACATCTGAATAGATAAATGATTGTCCTTATAATGGATAAATAAGAGGAATAGTTAATTAGTGCCTGGTTTTCATGACAAGTACTTAATGTGTTCATGTTCTAGCTAGCTAGGTAGGTGGTCCTTGGCTTGAGTTGTCATGTGCATTATCTTTAAGAGGAAAGGGTTATGTGACCCTCAAACAAAAATAAAGGGTAAGTGGTCTCCTCTTGATGGCAACCCAACCCAACATATATTTCCATGCCTAAACAATGGAGAAATTATCATAATTAAATTGAAAAATGGTGATTAAGATTTAAGATTAAGAGAGGGGGTGAGTTGTTATGGTCATAATTGGGAGGGACATACATTGAGATAGAGAGATGAGGAGGAAAATGATGATAGGATATGGTGGTAGGGATCTCCAAGTCCAAGCTAACCAATCATACCTTGGAATACACTTCTTCTTTTTTGTTTGGAATAAATAAGGTTTTTGCTTTAAGTTAAAGTTATGTTTTGAGTTTTAGAAGATTGGGAGATCCAGCGATTAGTTGAATGAAAGTTTGGGAAAATATAATATTTTGAATTTTAAAGGTCTAATCATTTCTTCAACATGGAACTATCTAGCTAGCTAGTCAATCTATAATCATATTTTATTAAAGTATCAAATATTTGAACTAGACTAATGACCCCTCTAATCTTTTTCCTCGGGCTCGTGCATCCACAGTTCCACACCACCTTTCTCACATTTTTGCTAATTGGAATCTCATCCTTTTCAATTAGTACTATATCGATTTGTTAGTCTATTAAATTTATAGTCAATCGGTACCCGTGACGGATCTAGGAATTCTAGTTAGGGGTGTCCTCTATAAAAAATTAAATTCAATAATTATTAAAAACACAATAACAAATGAGTTGTAGCGTAATTGAAAATATATTAACTAATAGTGGCAGTGTCCCAAATTTAAATCACACAAACTACTACTAAATATTATTTATACCAATACGCAAACTACTACTGGAGATTGGATAATCATTTTCCCAAATTTTAAAGGTGTCCCACTACCACTTAAACATTTTTTTTCTCATACGAAAATTACTATCGTAGGTTGAATAATCGTGTTTCCAAATTTTAGGGGTGTCCCGGGACACCCCTAACCATGCATGTATCCGCCACTGATCGGTACAATGTCATAGTCGTATAATACCGCAATATTCGGTTCAAGTATGAATAAACTTCTGAGTTTCTCATACATCTTACCGTAATTGTAGCACTAGGAATACTTAATCATCTATCAGAAAAAAGGTTTTGATTAAACTAAAAGAAAAGTCTCAAACCATACAACCACTTCTTATTGCAAAAATTGGCTAATGGAGTCGAAGAAACTAAGAAAGTGATGCGGATCGAGTTCATTTATGATTGTCCTGTGTAGTTTGGATTTGGCTGGGCCTCTCATGGGTGATCGAGACAAGCCCGTTGGGCTCCCAAAGTTCCGGCAAAAGGCTTTGGAATTTCCAAATCTAACCTCCACGTGGTCCCCCTAGTGTGGTTGGAAGTAATCACAAATTCACAATCATATTTTTTGGTTAGTGATTTAATTACTGGATTCCTATTTAACGCCCTAACTTTTTATAATTGTCGCCCTAAATTAATCAAACAGACAATATTACCCCCGCCCATCGCCCTAATCCCTTGCCGGTGGAAGAAAAATCCGGCTGATGAAATTCACTAGCGGCTGAAGAATCGCGCCCTGCTGCTCTGCTGTTCGGTTGACGGAAACCTTCATAGCTGCTCTACTGCTTGGTTGAAGAAAAACAAATCGACTGCTCTGCTTTCAGGGCTGCTCGCTCCGCCCCATCTCCGCCGCCAGGACTGTCGCTCCATCGATGAGAGAAACACATCCTGCCCCACCGGCCGTCTCTGCTACTGATGGATTCTGAATTGTCGGGTTCAACCGTCTGCCGATCGATGGTTTTCGTAGCAGGAAGAAGGAATCCGCCGCGCCGAGGTTCTTCGCGGTCGAGGAAGGAGGAGGAAGAAGACGGATCGTCGCGGTTGAGGAGGGAGAGTGAAGCCTGATCGTCGACACTCCTTCATCGACCTTCCGTCGACTGTCAGTAGGGCTTCACTTCTTCAACCCCTGCCATTGCCTCGCCGGAATTCTCTCCACCCGGATCAAGTCCCTCAACGTTCGTATCGAAACCAAAACAAAGGGTCAACGAGCCACCGCGAGAAATCCTTAGGTCGATGATAGCAGCACTCGGCGACGACGAAGATTACCAGCAGCACTCCCAGCCGCTTCGAGGAATCCCTAGGTCAATTTTGACGTTTTTTATTCATAGGATTAGCACTCGCAGCAGCCGAAGACTTCCAGAAGCCCTCCCAGACGACGGCGACGGGTGTTAATCCTGGGCGAAAATTTGTTAGGAAATTTTTTGGGGGCAAAAACGTCAGATTAACTAGTTAGGGCGACAAAATTTAAAAAATCTAGAGCGTTAATTAGTACGTCCCTTTAATTATAGTTAGCTAAACCATTTTTATTAGTGATTTAATTATGGTTAGCAAAATCATGAATTTTATGATTAGTAATTAACCACTAACCATGAAAGTTAAAAACCAAAAACCACAACTATCTATCAACATATTACATGTTAGTGCTTAAAGTTAATATTAACTTATATGCATATAAACTTTTGGGGACTTTCTTTAGGACTTAGTATTTTACTAATTTATTTGTCATGTTGTGGAATCAGTCATGTAATATTTCTACTTATATGGAATGTTGAATTATTAAGGGTAATAACTATTTATTAATTAAACATATTTTTTATTATTTTTTATTAGCCAGACCTATCAAAATATTAAGAATTAGCTAAATGTTAACTTCCAGTTAGTAATTTTGTTAGGTTTGGATGATATAAAAGAATTTGAAAAAATGTTTAAATAAAAAATAGACATTACCCAATTATTAAAGCCACAACAACTAAAATCGATTCCCCGTTTCCCCAAAAAGAAAAGCGAATCGCGAGCCGCGTTAGGGTTTTAACTTTCATGGCGGCGGCAACGCCGGCGAGGACGCCGGACACGATGGGCAAGCCACCGGACAACACTAGTGGCGTCCGGCGCCCTTCAGAAGTCTCCTCTTCCCCGAACACAAAGAATGAAAAGGAGGATACCCAACCAAAAAAGAAAGTTTGACCCCTAAACTTTAACCAACAAGAAGGAGTAGTTGAAGATGTTACAACTGATGAGATGGAAGCGGAGGAAAGCCCACAGCCGGCGGAAAACAGAGAAGACAAGAGAGGCTCTCCGGTTTGGCAGGAAAGAACGCGTAGGCTCTTCAGGGATGTAGTCCAACCGGACACCTGGTATGTTGCTGAGTCCGACACGGAAGATGTTGTGCAGGCTGAGAAGGAGGAGGATGAACCTTTCGATGATATGGAAAGTGACCCGTTGTGCCCAACAACTCCCTTTACAGCAGCTGAGAAGATCAGATGGAGGAGAGAGTGGCGGTCGGCGCTGGTTGTGAAGGGCCTTGGAAGAAAAGTACCGTACATGGCGCTCTCCCGGCGTCTTAACTTCTTATGGGCAAAGCATGGTGATCTACAGATCTCGGATATTAAGAACGGTTGCTTCCTTGTTCGATTCAGAAAGAAGGAGGACTATGAAATCGCCACCAGTGGAGGGCCGTGGCTATTGGGAGAGAGTTACATAACAGTGATGCGATGGTACAAGGGGTTTAACCCATGGAAGTCGGAAGTGTCATCAACGTTGATATGGGTACAACTCCCAGAGCTACCGATCGAGTTTATCAATAAAGAGGCAGCTATGAAGATTGGGTCACTGATCGGGAATCCCTTACGAGTTGATAGAGCCACGGAGGAGGGGGCTCGAGGAAACTTTGCACGAGTATGTGTAGAGGTGGATTTGAGGAAGCCACTGTTGTCCAAATACAAAGTTGAGGGCATCGAGTACCTAATCCAGTATGAAGATCTTGATCATATCTGTACGGACTGCGGCAAATATGATCAACCTACTGATCGATACCGGTGTAAGGTTATTGATGAGGTTGTGCATGAGTCGGTTGAGATTGTCCCAGAAACCCAAGATGCTGAACAAGGTCCAGGGAAGGGACCAACCTACGGCGAGTGGATGATGGTGAAACGGAAAGAGCGTTGCCCGATCAGGAGAGACAATAATGCAGCAGAGAGAAAGGAATATAAGCAGAGGGGGAGTAACGTGCCCAAAGCACAAAATCGGTTTGGGTAGGTAGGGGATGATTTGCACTCTGACAAACCAAGTGAGGCCATGTCGCTATCGAGAAAGACATAGGCAAGGGCAAGGAAACTATAGCTCAATACCAAGAGGAGCCGAGGGCAACCAAGGGGGATACCCTACCTAAGGGTCAAGCCAAACAAGTGCATGCAAAAGAAACGGCTAGGAATAATATGAACAGTGGTGAGGCGCATAAATGACGGATATGGCTCCAGGCCAGGGGACAAAGAATAATAATGTGCTGATGGAGAGAGATATTGGCCTTGCAACCAAGCAAAACCATGAAAAAGTACCTCCGCCCAAGCAAACCTCATCAAAGATTGGGGGGGGGGGGGGGGGAGGGGGAAAAGGGGAAGGAAACTAACACCGGGAAAAGTCTAAAGAAGGCGATGATGGTCGCAACTCCGATACACAACGTAAAGGCGCGGGGAGCCCATCCCCTTCTGGTCATAGATGTGAATACTTAGTTACAACTGCCGCGACCTGGATAGTAAGCGAGCAGTAAAGTCACTAAAGTCGCTTTTGTGACTCACCTCCCCAGATTTGGTTTTTCTTATGGAAACGAAACAAACTGAGGATGAGAATGGAGTAACACGAATAGAGATGGGATTTGAGCATGGAAAGAGCCAATCAACAGATAGATCGAGAGGCGGGAGAGCAGGGGGTGTCATTCTTTGGTGGCATGAGGGTACAAAAGTCGAGGTGGTCACCTGATCACTTCACCATATAGACGCAAAAATAACCAATGATCAATTTCTTTGGAGGTTCACAAGACTGTATGGCTGGCCAGAGGAGGGGGAGAAGTACCTTACTTGGGAGCTGATTACACACCTGTCACAACAGTGGGATGGGCCTTGGCTCTGTGGAGGAGATTTCAACGAAATACAGTGTAGCGAAGAGAAGAAAGGGGGTCGACCGGAGAGTGCTGCTGGTATGGCGACTTTCAATGACTGCCTACAGGCGGTGAGGCTCCAAGATTTGGGTTTCCAAGGCCATAAATTCACGTGGGTTAATGATAGGACCACCGGTGGGTTCAACGTTTGGACAAGTTTTTGGCGTCGATGGAATGGAGTGATCTGTTCCCAAGGGTTAAGGTGCGGCATCTTGAAAAATTCAAGTCGGACCACTGCCCGATTGTATGTGATACCGAGGGAGACGAAGATATCGAACCAAAATGGGGCTGGATGTTCCGGTTTGAGGCGCATTGGGCTAAGCATGCTCAATGCCCAGCGGTCATCGAGGAGGCTTGGTGGAGGGGAAACTGTGGTGATGCACTAACAAAACTTGATTTTTGCAGGAATGAGCTTGACGGGTGGAGCAGAGTCACTTTTCCTCAATTTGGCAAGCATAAGGAAAGAATCAGGAAGGCGCTCCGTGCTTTGGACCGAGCAAAGAAGGAACCACACATTGTAGAGCAGATTAAACAACTCGAAATAGAGATGATGGAGTTGCAAGACAGTGAAGAGTTATACTGGCAGCATCGTTCGCGCTCAGACTAGCTACAGGCAGGAGACAATAATACAAATTTTTTTCACATGAGAGCATCGGCCAGGAAAAGGAGAAATACCATTCGAAAACTGCAAGACGGCGGCGCGGCATGGTGGGTGGGCACCGACCAAGTATCTCAATGCTTGGTGTCCTATTACTTGTCCCTTTTCCATGCAGGAGAAGTCCCAACCACCACCTCTGTCCTCGATGCGATTGAACAGACGATCACAGAACAACAAAATGCACTACTGACGCGGCCATGGGAAAGAGAGGAAATCGTGCGAGCGCTGAAGCAGATGGGTAAGCGCAAAGCTCCGGGAGCCGATGGTATGACTGTACTGTTTTTTCGCAGGTATTGGGGCAGTATTGGAGATGACATCGTGGATGCAGTGATAAGGATTTTGGAGACGGGAGTAATGCCAGAAAAGCTGAACCACACGTTGATAGCTCTTATTCCAAAGACAAAGAAGCCTGTGACACAGCAAGAGTTTCGTCCAATAAGCCTCCGTAATGTCCTGTATAAACTGGTGGCGAAGGTGCTAGCAAATCGATTGAAAGGGATTTTAGATGGCGTCATCTCCCAAGAACAGAGTGCTTTTGTCCCCGGAAGGTTTATATCGGATAATATAATGGCGGCTTTTGAGTGTTTTCATACAATGAAAAAGAAGACGAGCAACAAGGGTCCCGGTTTCTTTGCTGCAAAGATTGATATGGCTAAGGCCTACGATCGGGTTGAGTGGTGGTTCCTAGAGCGGGTAATGCAGAGAATGGGGTTTGCTACCAGTTGGATAGAGCGGATAATGATGTGTGTTCGAACGGTAACTTATTCAGTACCATTGAATGGACATCAATCACAGACATTTACGCCGGAAAGAGGTTTAAGACAGGGTGATCCTATTTATCCCTACCTTTTCCTGCTGTGTGCAGAGGGCTTGTCAGCCTATACAAAGAAAGCGGTACAGGAAGGGAAAATCTATGGAGTTCAGCCAGCTAGAGGAGCTCCTATTGTATCACACTTGTTCTTTGCAGATGATAGCATCTTTTTTGGCAGGGCCACGGAAAGTGAAGCATGCACTTTGAAGAAAATTTTACAAGACTATGAATGTGAGTCAGGCAGCATGTCAATTTCCAGAAGTCCACCGTTTCTTTCAGTGGAAATGTCCGAACTCATCAACGCTTGATGACTAGTGGAGCTTTAGGGATGGTGGTGGTTGAAAAACATGAAAAATATTTGGGTCTCCCAATGGTAGTTGGCAAGTCAAAAAAAGAGATTTTTCAGGGCATTACTGACAGGGTCGGGAAAAAGTTAAAATCCTGGAAGGAGCGAGTTTTGTCAGTGGCGGGACGAGAAGTGCTTATAAAGTCTGTGGCGCAAGCTCAGTTTACTTACGCTATGTCGGTGTTTCGGGTTCCTGATGCTGTCCTTGATGAAGTACAAAGCCTCATAGCGAATTTCTACTGGGGGCAAAAAGGGACAGAGAGAAGGTTTCACTGGCTTCGACGAGAAGAATTGGTGTGCGCTAAAGAAGAAGGGGGGCTCGGCATGCGTGACCTGCATGGGTTCAATACGGCGGTGCTAGCAAAGCAGCTCTGGAGGATTTATCTTCGCTCGGATTCTTCAATTGCACGTATCTTAAAGGAAAAATACCACAAACATTGCTTGGTGTTGGATGCGTCGTTGGGTTATCGGCCAAGTTTTATTTGGCGTAGCTTGCTGAGTGCCCAAGAGTTCTTGAACAATGGGCTACGTTGGCGGGTTGGGAACGGAGCTATGATAAGAATTTGGGGCGATCCATGGCTGCCGACCTCTGATTTGGCGTACGTCGACTCTGCTCCAGTGGGGCTCCCTATCGACGCTGCGGTACGAGAACTCATATTGCCAGAGACCAATGGGACGAAGTGATGCTCGAAGCTTGCTTCCCTTCGGAAATTGCAAGCACCATTCGCTCCATCCCTCTCCGTGACTTGAGGGAGCAGGACAGGCTGATTTGGAAAGGAACCCCATTGGGGAATACACTGTAAGGGACGGGTACCGATGTTGGCTTGAGGAGTTTAAGAACCGAGAGCAGATAGTGATGGAAGGTGAAGCCCAAGTATGGAAGAGAATCTGGAATATGAGCTCCCCGCCAAAAGTAAGGCATTTCCTCTGGCGATTTGCCCGAAATATCCTCCCAACCGGAGACCATATCAGTGTCAAAAGCAAGCGATGGGGAGATAAGTGCCCGTTCTGCGATGCAAGGGAGACCCAAATCCATAGATTTGGGGAGTGTGAGTGGTCGTCTCGCCTATGGCGCAAGTCAGCGCTTGTGGATTGCTTCCTCTTCCGCAATTCGGATAACTGTTATAATTGGCTGAAGACAGTAATGGACTCCAAGTCTGAGACAGAATTTGAAGACTGGGCGGTGCTTCTTTGGTTCTTGTGGAAGGAACGTAACGCCCATCTCTTTAATGGAACAAAATTGGCGGATTGCGGATTATAGAGCAAACCAAGCGAAAGAAGCAGGGGAGGAAGAAAGAACAATGGTGAAGCATTGGCTACGGCCGCAAAGAGGCCAATGGAAAATAAACACTGATGCAGGTATCTTGCCGACTGGGGGGATCGGTTTGGGGGTTGTGATTCGTAATGATGAAGGGTTCCTTCTAGCGGCAGCAAAGAACATCCCGGGAAGTTGGGAACCTGAGATGGCGGAAGCTGTGGTTGCTGAGTTCGGTGTACAATTGGCTCATCAGTCAAACTTAACGAACCTGGTTCTTGAAACATACTGCCTATCGCTCACACATAAGCTGGCAGCGACGGATTCCATACACACAGAGTTGGGTATAATATGTCGTAACATCACCCGGTTACTTCGAGAGACAGGGAATGGAGCATGGTAGTATGCGCCCAGAGAAGGAAACATGGCAGCTCATCTTATATCTCATGTCAAGACCCGTTGGAACGAGAGGGGAGTTTGGTATGATAGGCCTCCGTTGATTATGGTTGATCAGATTGAGTTGGACGATGTAGCCGCAACATCTGGTTAATAAAGCATTATAGATTTGATAAAAAAAAAGCCACAACAACTAAGGATGACGTAGAACGGTTGCTAATATTGACTCCCTACATGAAACATAGTTTATCCAAATCTGTGGGTCGTTTATGTATTCCTTTGTATTTCTCTTATGTTCTTTCTCATTTTCGACCAATAATATGTTACAAATGCATATGAAATTTTTTCGGGTAAATGTCATATTTGGTCATTGTGATTACTAAATCGTGTCATGTTTAGTCATTAGAAAAAGTTAATATCAAGTTTTGGTCACTCGAATTACTGAAACAGGTCACATTTAATCACTCTTCGTTACTCTCCGAACAACTCCCTTATGTGCTGATATAGCTAACAAGAGTGCCTAATCAACGTCGTTTTAGGCCGGAAATGGTCAAACCTGACCCGCCACATCACTAAAGCCATCATGTCATACCCTCAACCCAACCCGACTCACATAACAAAACAAATCCGCCATCTCTCTCCTCCACCTTCATCTCCCAATTCCCTTCCTCAACAAGCTCGAGCTTCATCAATGCCGAAATAGTCAAACCCTTCCCCACAAAACCCAACCCCTCTCATCCTCTCGCGCCACTTCTCCTCTCTCCAGGTAAACCCCAACCCTCCACCGCTTACTCTGCTCTCCAGGCCTGTAAATCCGCTCCACTGGCCCTACCGCCGTCCTCACCACCTGGGTCGACCATAATGTGTGCTCCTACAAGGGAATCTTCTGCAAACAACAATCCCCCTCTTCTTCTTCCACCCCCACATTCACTAGAATAGATCTCAACTGTGCTAATCTCCAAGGAAGAGCTTTCCCTCTTCACCGATTTTGACTCTCCACCTCAATTCCAACAGATTCCACGGCGTCGTCCCGGAGACATTCTGTGACTTAATTTACCTCTAGGAATTAGACCTCAACAACAACCAATTCCCCGATGAGTTCCCTCCTCCGTCCTCTACATCCCCAATCTCGTCTACCTGGACCTTCGGTTCAACTCCTTCTCGGGTTCAATCTCTGATGCCCTCTTCGACAAACGCCTCGACGCCATCTTCCTCAACAACAACCAATTCGATGGTGAAATCCCGGACAATCTCGGCAAGTCCCCGGACTCCGTCATCAATTTGGGCTACAACAAGTTCACCGGACAAATCCCTTAAGCATGTGGTTCATGAACTCGAGACTCAAAGAGATTCTCTTCCTCATCAATCAGCTCACGGGGTACGTCCCCGAAGGAATCAGGCTCTTCTCCCATATGCACATTTCGACGTGAGCTTCAATACGCTGATGGGTCATATGCCCGAGATCGAAGTTCTGAACTTGGCACATAATGAGCTCTCTGGGCCGGTCCCGAAGCGGGTTTGCTCGATGCGGAGTTGGTGAACTTGGCGGTGGCGTACAATTTCTCTTATGAGTTTAGTCAGGACTCAGGAGGGATATGTAGCGGCCGCAACCGGAGTGCTCGTTGGTGCCCGACGGTGAGTTGAGTTGTTTGAGGATTCTGGCGGCCCAGCCGTTGGTTTGTGGATTTGGGGAAAGTAGGAGGTGGGAGGAAGGAGGAGAAGGGTCGGGTCAAAGGGTTTGGATTGGTTCAAGGGTTGGGTTAGGTTGATTATAATGACATGGTGGGTTTTAATGACGTGTCAGGCCGGATTTTATTTTCGTTGAGTTAGATCTGGCTGACTAAGCGATTCCGTTTGCCACGTTAGCACTTAACGGACTTCACAAACGGAGTTTGACGGAGACTAACGGAGAGTGATCTAACATGACATGTTTTACCAAACTTAGTGACAATTATTGATATTAATTTTTTCCAATGACTAAACAGACACTTTTTAGTGACGGAACTTGGAATTCACCCAATATTTTTTGTTGAATTAAAGTTTTTATTACTTGTAATTTGTGGTACACCACAACTAATGATCAAACACCATGCAAAATGGTGCAATATGTGATTAGCAATATTTTATGATTTCTTGTCGCGATTAACCAAAAAATGTGGTACGATGAACCACAATCGCACCAACCTCTGTAACTTTTTGTATCTCAGCCAGGCTAAGGGTCAGGCCGATCGGGCCACCCTAGTAGAACCCCTTTCATTACTCCTCTGTAAGCAGGTGCAAAATTGAGAGTTAATGTCCAAAATGTGGTATGAACTTCTGACACAAATTTAAGCAGCAAGAGACGCATTTACAGTATCAATTACAAAGAAAACCAAGAGGAAACGAAACAACGAGGTCATAATGCACAGCAGCACAGGTGAAGAATCAATTTCTGTTTTCATCTTCTGAACTTCATATCCCAAATTAACCCAAGAACATTGCATATCGTCATAACCCAAGGTAATTTTATCGTCAGCACATTGGTGACGAAGAACTAAATGAATTGGTCTTCATCCCTGCCAATAACAATACACAAGACAGCAAGGACGGTACAGGTTCTACAACGACTAGATAACCCAGATTACAAGCCAATCTGCTAGTTCCTAAACATCCTCAAACCGAGACAATCACTCAGGAATGAATCACCTCAATCAGCCCAGTATTCCTGTAAATTCTGATAAACCACACACACATCCAATAATAACGAACCACCCACAATTATGTGTCACACCAAACAATAAGTATCCTCAATAGCCGTTGAACCCAAGTTTCCAAGTTCCAAAACGAAATACGAACGCATAACAAAGAGCCGAAGCTGAGTCTAAGAGTACATAACGGTGAAAAGAAGACTGGGACAACCAAAACTAGAACTAGAGCAAATGAAGTTTGTTTAACTTCTAAGCGCCACTACTCATCTCTCTCTCTTTCTAGCACTTGATCTCCTTCAAGGCGTGGGGGAGGTACAAAAATGTAGGGTCGGCAGCACCGTCCTTGTAGTAAGCAAACACCAAGGTGGCATCATCCTTCATGCTCTCCCCGACGAAACTGCAATGTACAACCAAGTTTGTTAACAAACATTTAATGATGAGGGATACCGATCCATCCCAGGTTAATGAAGCGGGGAGAAGACTTACAATTGGAGGTCACTGAGCTTAGAGAGGAGGAACTTAGTTGCTGGCTCAATGGTTTTCTTAAACTGCACCTGGGCCTCCCCTTCCAAGAGAGGGGTCAAGACCTTGATGTACCTCTTCATGTAGGTAACAAACTGCTTCTTGTCGAAAGCGGGTTGCTCCTGCAAACAATATACACACGGGTATTTCAGATTCCAGTTCATGATGGCTAGGGTTCTAAACCATTTAGAAAGAGGAGAAAGCGCCCCACCTGAAGTCTGAAGGTGTCGACAATATCAACAACCTTAACAGCCTGGTCATCAACACCCTCATCATCACCACCTCCTTCAGCAGAAGGGTTCGCACCAATGTCGACATCGACTGCGCCTTGAATAACCCACTATAAACAAGAATAAAGAATCAAACTTGGACAAATTATTATACCATTCAGCACATCAAGTACCAAGCCTCCCTGCAAAACCGAAATCAAACGAATACCAACCTTTCCATCAACTTCCCACAAAGCTCCATCCAAAAACTCCTTGTAGGGGAATGAGTCAGAGAGAAGCTCATCACCTGTTCATCAGAAAGCACCAATAGCATTAACATCTCACCAATTCAAATGGTAGAAAGAGCTGCAGGATGATAACTCAGTTATCCAAACAACAATTGCAGATTAAAAATTCCCAAGCTTTGCACTTACAATTTTAACACATTAACAAGGCAGACCCATGATTCCAAGAAAACAAGTATGACTGTATGAGAACAACATCATACAAGAGATAACAACTATATACATAAGCATAAATTGGACACAAATAAAGAGGCGATATCAAATCAAAAGTCAGTGGCAGCCGCCGATCTCTCACTACAAACAGAATTAAGAATCACAGATCCACAACGTGAGATTTCAACCTGAACTAATTCGAGCACCGTGGATCCAGCGTGAAAATTCGATATAAACCCTAACAGATCAGAAATTAGAAATCCCGACTCCCATCGCCGATTGGAAACAGATACATAGAGAATCGAGAGAAAAAAAGAGATTCAAGGAGATGAAGCTTACCGGTGACGAGATCTTGATAGACCAACATGGTTGTGCTGCTGCAGAGGCTTCGCTCTCGATTGGATTGAAAGACGAATGAGCAGAAGCCGCTGCAAGCAAAAATAAACCAGAGAGCGAAAGAGGGATTGTGGCTGGCGGACAGCAGGCTATATAAAGCGAGGGTTTTTGGCGTTGTTGGAAAATTACATTATTAGTCCTTTTCCTTCTCGGAAATAACCAGGAAGTCCTTGTCTTTGTTGAACTCGAATACGGGCCGGCACGTGCGAACTAGGGAAAAGTAGCTCTCGGTGGAGCGTGTGGGGACTGGGGAATTTGTTCGTTTTTTCTTCCTTTTTTTGGTACGGGATAAATTGAAAATAGTAATAAGGTGCTCTTTCGAATATCCGTTTGTAGAATTAATTATAATTCCCCGTTGGTTTAATTCTTTATTTATACATCTCACAAATTAATGTAATTTCTGTCAATTTATTACTGTGTGAGGTTTACAGTCGTTTTATACTTAGGGGCGGAGCTATAACTGGTCTAGTGGGCTTCCAACCATTTAAAATTATGTCCAAAATTTCGTATAAACTAGAGCTAAATTACACAAATGTAACAAGAAAGTTAAGTTAGTCTGAAGTTGAAGATTTTCCTATAAGTTAGGTCTTCAATATTTTGAAGGTGACACTTTGATAATTGGTAATTTACCTTACCTTTTTAAAATTCTATTATATTTTTTTAATGTGGCTATGGCTGAACTATTACTCATTTATCTTACATATTATGGTTTCTTAAATTCTTAAATTTCAATATATTTAATTTATCTTTTTAATATGATTGAATAATTACTCATTTAGCTTTTATATCATGATGTCCAAAGTCTTTTAATTCAAATTAGATTAACTAATAACTTGCATATTTTGTTATCTGGAGTAATTTAATCTAAAACCAGATCAATTTAGTTCTTTAATAATACATTTTTGGCATATGATGATTTTTTTTTGAATATTGATAAAAGTAGACATTCATGTCTCAATTTTGAAAATAAAATAGACACAACATTAATGACATGCATTATTAATTTGTTTGTTTCTTTTATAATTTATATTGAATATGTCATGGAAGAAAATTTTAGTTTAGATCTCGTATTGAGTAAAAATAGGATGTGTTACAAGACATTCATTTTGCAATCTTGAAAATAGAATGTGCTACAATAAATTAAGTGGTTGTTTGGAAATTGTGATTTTTTAAATTGATGAATTCTGTCAATGTGTGCATTCTAAATTGATGTTTTGTTTGAATGGTTGTATTTGAAAAATCACTTGTTTGAATGTCTAGATTGTGCTTTTCACATGTGTAAAAAAGTTATATACTTTTTCGGTTTAAGGGCATATTTGCCCTTCATTAACTCATTTCTCCAAGGAGAGAGGAGCAATGGATGAGGCTAATGTTGGAAAAAACAAAAAAAATTGAATGGACAAAAGTGGAATAAAAGATAGACACACTGTCATTCATTTACCATATCAACTTTGAGATTGTCAATCCTTCATTTTGACGGATTAGGCCCTTAAATAAGAAATCCGGGGTACCGCATACCTTAAGTAAGAAAACTCTATCTAGAACTTGAATTGACTGATCTTTCGGACATTATACTATACTCTAACCTATAAAGATCAAAATCTAGGTCTTAATTCTCTAAATCTTATACCCCAAGAACAATTTAATTAGAAACAATAATCAACGGTTATGATTCGTCCAAATATAGGCAAAAAAAGTAATACACCATCTTAGGGTTTTTAGTTTATGATTTAGATGATTAGGACCTAGGGTTCACTCATTAAGGGTTAGGGTATAGTATCATGCCCAAAAATCCTGCTAATTCAAGGTCTAGATAGCGTTTTCATACTCAAGGTATGCGATACCCCGGATTTCACCCGGGGTACCGTAGAAGGCACCATATATATATATATATATATTGTAACTCAATTTAAACCAAAAAATGACTAAATCTTCATTTTACATGTATTAGTTAAATACACCACTCCAAATAACAACACCCCTAAGATACACTATTAATTTTAATTTTTTATCAAGTTTCTAATTTATATTGAACCTGACATCATAAAATTTGTAACAAATTTAACACTTCACAAAAAGTGTGGTTATCCAAATATTAAAAATAAATTTCATTTTTATTATTTTGGTTACTTATATCCCTTTTGAGGGCACCCGCAATGCTATCCGGGCTCCCTCTTTTTTTACAATAAAATTGGGTTTTTTATATTGGGAACTTGTGGATTTTATTACTCAAAGGTTAGAGCAACATCATCTACTCTTAGGTGATCAACAATAAAAACTAGAGGTCTATCTACCCAAACCAAACATTCCTCCCAAAGCGTCATCGAGTGCACCATCATATGAACTGCTGCATTTGCTTCCCTCTTGATATACTTGAACCAACCCCCTCTGAGATCCATCATCATCTGCTTGATATTCCTTATCACAACTCTAGTTTCAGTTTCAATTTGGTTATGGTTGTTCATCTTTTGTACCAAGGATAGGCAATCAATCTCTAAGATAGGATGTGCGACCTGCATAGAAGTCGCTAATTACATCCCCATCTCTGCTGCTCTTGCCTCCACATCCTCTGGTTCCCATTGTCACCAAATACGTTTTGCAGCCGCCAAAATGAACCGACCATCGATGTTGCGTACCACCACTCCCAGACCCGCTCCACCACCAAGAAAGATTGCAGCATTTGTTGTCACATAATGGTGTCCCAACGCAGGTCGCTCCCAGCTCGCATGACTCGAAATAATGATGGGATCTCCTCTACCTCTTGGTGTTGTTTATAGTCTTCCAAAAAGCAATCTTAGTCTCATCAAGTTTGACCTCATTAAACATGTGCGCATTGCGCTCTTTCCATAAAAACCATAACAATACCGCCCATTCCTCTAGCATAGAATCATCCATGACCATAACTAGCCACTCGTAGCAACCACCCCGGGGACGCAACTCAAAGCACGATTTAGCATGTGAATCTCGCCATATCCTGATGCTCCAGGCACATTCCCCAAATCGATACACTTGTGTCTCCCTAAATCATAATAAGGGCATTTATCTCATCTCGTACTTTTGGTGCTTATATGATCGCTCGTGGGTAACAGATCCCGCACAAACCTTCACAAGAATTGCTTGACTTTAGGCTGGACTTGTAAGCCCCATAATATTTTCCAAACCTTGGCTTCACCATGAGGTAAAAGACCTTCATCCGCCCTATAAAGTTGATACCACAGAGCATAGGTATTTGGCGGACTGCCTCCTCCATGTCTGCACTCAAGCAACACACCAACATATTGACATCTCAACTTCCCGTTGCTTCATCAATCAATTCACACACGAGGGCATCTACCGGCAGACCAACAGGAGGAGAAAAAATGCAGCAGTTAGGAGAAGATGGCACCCATATATCACCCCAGATTCTAACTATTCCGCCATCACCAACTCGCCACCGTAGCCCAATGCAGAGAAGTTCTTGTGCCGACAACAAGCTTCGCCAAAGAAAGCTTGGATTATAACCAACAGTAGCATCGAGAATGGACGTTCTCTTGTGGTATTTCGCCTTGAGGATCTGAGCAATGAGAGTCCATGGTCGTTGTAACAAGTTCCATACCTGTTTGGCTAGTAACGACTTGTTAAAACCCCTAAGTTCCCGAAAGCCAAGCCCTCCATCCTCCTTAGGAATCGTTCACTCCTCTCACCTCACCCAATGTGCTCGTCTTTTAGTTCCTCTTTGTTTCCACCAAAAGTTGGTAATAAGGCTGTGGACTTCGTCGATGACTCAATCCGGAACTTTAAACACTAACATGACATAGGTGAGTTGAGATTGAGCTACCAATTTTATTAGCACCTCTCTGGCTGCTGCAGATTAAGTCTTTTCCTTCCAGCCTTTTAGCTTTTTCTTGATTTTTTCCAGTAACCCTGCAAACAGTTCCTTTTTTGACCGTCATGTCGTTGTAGCCAAACCAAGATACTTGTCATGCTTTTCAACAAGGGTCATCCCCAATATGCCACTGTTCACCAGCTTCATATGCGGCTATGTATTGTGACTGAAAGAGACTGCAGACTTCTGGAAATTAACTAGTTGTCCCGACTCCTTCTCATAATCTTTCAGGATACGCTTAGCTCAATACTTTCTTGTTGGGTAGCACGAGTGAAGAAGATACTGTCACCTGCAAAGAACAAGTGAGAGATGGTGGGGCCCCCCCTGAGCTGACTGGATCCCATGTATTTTCTTTTCCTTTACTGCAAGTTCCGTGTATGCTGATAGTCCCTCTGCACAAAGAAGAAAAAGATACGGTGATAGTGGTCGGGGTTATCATCTAAGATTGATGGCCCAAGTTGGGCTTTTATTAATGGATCATCGAGTCTTTATCTAAAGTAGACAAAATAATGGCGGAAAACTCTTTATACTCTGCATTTTCTTATACTTCTAGTAATAGAGAATGTTTACATTGTTAGCGAACTAACCACTTGGCCCCAATAACTCGAGTTGTTGGGAGAGGTTCAATCGTGGATCATATACCACAACACTAACACGCCCCCTCAAACGAAAGCCACTCACAAGGGCTTGAAGTTTGCACAGGTCTGAAGACAAGAATACCATGTGCTTAACAAATGGGGGTCACCGGGAATCGAACACAAGTCCTCTTGGTCACATAAGGCTCTGATACCATGTTAGCGAACTAACCACTTGGCCCCAATAACTCGAGTTGTTGGGAGAGGTTCAATCGTGGATCATATACCACAACACTAACATACATACTATAGAAAAATAATGGTTGAAAACTCTTTATTCCTCAACACGTCCATCCTAATACTAATATAAAGAGGTTCTCTAAGAACAAGGTTAATTTTAAATTTCCAGCCTTCTAAGTAATTTAGGAAGGATATTTTTATCCTTTTAATTATTAAATACCCAAACAGAATACTTAATTACAATGTAAAAAAGGTGTCGTTGGAAACCCTTTCACAACCAATTATTATATAGATTAACTATTTCTTTTGTTATAAGGTTGCGTGTGTTTATATGACTTTTTTATTTAATTTTCTTTTATTATAAGAGTAAATGTTTGAGACAAATTGTTATGAATTTGCTAATTAATTAATTCTTCATTACTTAACTAGACAAATCAAATACTTTCAACTATAACTTTGGATTTGAGGCATAAACATATAAAAATTCAATGTGTTAGTGAGAATTGATAATGGTGCGGAGGTTTATGAAATTAATTATTAGTTTATTCTTCAATTCTTCTTTTACGTAATGGTTTTTTCTTTAAGTGATGAAATGCATATCACAATCTCATCTAGAGAGTTTACGATGGATTTGTTGCATTATGGATTTGGAAGAGTAAATTGTTTGTTTAGCTAATTTTTATGATGGATTTGTCTCACATTTTTGCCTTTCATTATGAAATCCCAAATGAAATATGGGATTTGCAAATCTGTGGGGTCCATGGATTTGGATCTAATTGTGTCAAAACCTTGATGCTGGATTTGGGTGGCAAATCCATCACTCGAATCCCACAAGCAAACGATACTTAGAAGTTCAAAGTTTAAAACTGGTAGCTATATGATTTATTTTAGGTTCTTTTTTTGGCAAACGATAAAAAAAAATTATGAGATCATACCACCATAGATCTAGGTTTGATGTATATATTTTTTTTTACCATAGAAGGAAACCGACAACTTCGTTTGCTTTCTTTTTTTCATAACTTTGCTTGGTTTATATTAGTGAGATGATAATTCTTATCAAAACTTGATTTGACAGTAACATATTATTTTGTTTTGTTATAATTGCGTCGGTGTTATTTGGAGTTTTGAAGTCAATTCATACTATTATTGAGTACTATAAGCATTAAAAATACATTCACCTTGAAGAATCATCTTATTTACGATACCGTGTTCCAATACGATCTTCAAAAAGCCAAGTAAAAGGGTCAGATTCTGGTGCGTAAACTCCTTTAGTTGCAGTTGGTACAAACCTTAATAGCTATAGTTAAGAGATTTTCAATTTCTCGCAAATTTAGCAAACTATATCTCATTCGTTTCAACTCTTATTTTAAACGGGTTCGAAAAACCATATTAATTGTAACTTGCCAAAGAAAAGTTGAAGAAGACTATAATGAGCAATTTCATATGAATTATACAATAATATAAAAGGCAATAGTAGTAAGGTAACAATCTACCTCTACTCTTTATTTATTTTTAACTTCAAGTTCATTCATTAGAGAGAAAACAAATAATGTATCTCTCGGTTTGTATGAGATAAGGATTATTTTGTCTTGTTTTTAACCCACTAAAATATAAGTGTTTCGACTAAATAATGTATCTCAATTGTTGTTATTTTATAATTTCAGGATTAGCTGTGAGTTGTAGAAAACATTTGTATAATCTAAACTGAATTGTTATGTGTCATGAGGAAGCTGGATTTTTTGGAATGATTATCGAGAAACTACTCAGAGATATTGACAAAATGAGAGAACTTTTATCTCCTCATCTCATACAAGCCGAGAGCATGACGTTAAATTTTTATATGAAGCTCACGGTTACAACATCGCAAAGCCCCTGAGTGGGTACACAATTTTGAAGATAATGAAGGATGAAGAAGAGCAATCCCAGACAAAGTTCATGACATGTACTGGGTAAATTTAAGTTCTTGAAAATGGAGTTTTCACAACTCAAAAAGTTTTGCGATTAAATATTTGAGATAGTGAAATGCAAGAGAAGAAGGAAAAGTACGATAATATCAGAAGTAGTGAATTCATTGATGGAGATAATGGTGTTATTGAGATAAAGAAATAGATTATTGATGGTGGATATAGTCATATAGAAATATCTATGATGGAAGAAAATAATAGCGAATGGTTGATAATAATTATGATTTATATGAGATGAAATTCTAACTCCGTAAAAATATGTTTCACATTTTCATACATTATACCATTAAAATGGTTTTCAATGAATTGGAGCAGAAGAAGGAATAAACTATTGATCATGGTACTAAATAAATGATTCGAATAATTACTATTAATTTTTATACTATTGATGTAGTGTATCCGACTAACGGGCGGGCACAACTCTAATTTCCATTTTTTTTATTTTTGAAAATTTCTTTTGGCTTACTGTTTGGTAAATATGAGTCGTTGGATGACTTAATTTACATCCAACGGACAAGAAACACGCAACTAGGTTGGCCATATCCTATTTGTTTTCCTTTTACTGCACAAACAAGTCTTTAACTATTTCACCAACATGTTACACTGATATACCAAATTATGAAGTCCAAAATAGAATCACCATAATTATAAGGAGACAAGAGTCATACATTTATTCTTATATGATTTACTACCTTTTCTCTATTTCATTTTTTCCGTGTTTATCGTTGAACATTTTATTATACCATTGTATTTTTCGCCTTTTATTCTTCAATCGGCGAGAACTGAACTCAAATCTTACATTTTCGAATTCCCTCAACCGAACGATTAATTATAAGCTTCATGGATTCTTCTTCTCCCAACCGTGGCTCTTACGTTGCTGATTCAAATTCTCGCATTAGGAGGTGCTTGATCTGTGGGGATATCATCTCACCCATGATGCGTCCGTGTGTCACCTATTCTTGCTCTCACGTGTTTCATATAGGTAACGCTTTCCATCATTTGTTTTTTAGTCACCTATTCTTCTTATTTGTTCGATGTCTCCCGTATTATCGTGTATATAAACAATACGTATAACCCATTCCGTATTTCGTACTAAGAAACTAACTTTTCTATTGTCAAAATATTTGATAGTTTAATAATTACCAATACTTTTTATGATTATCTAGATTATTTTTTAAATTAAGATTAATGTCAAACATTCAAAAGAAATATTAATATAAAATAACTTGTGATGTTCATATATATTATACGTGCCCATCTATGGTGCATCTCTCTTTTCATCAAATTAATCGCTATTTTGATCCTTGGATCATCTCAAAACGATATGAATCTTCAACCATATAATAATGAAAAACGCGTATTTAAATGAAAATTATTCATAGTTCGCTTGTATATTAAATTTTTTTTTTAACCTTGCTCAATATAACTTCAGAAACTCATTTAATGATCATTATGTTAAAAAAAAAATATGACTGAAAATGCACCGATTAGAGTTCATCCAACGACTCAAAATCTCGAGACGTGAAATCTTTAATTGATCATATTGAAACCAGATTGTGCCGAGTCGATCACCTTTCACTCGCCAAGGCGGACCATCATCTGCCCGCTCTGCCGGTGCATCGACGCCGACACGTGGCGGCAGCTGGATACCGACGCCGGAACCACGTGGCTGCTGCTCGACGCCGACGGCAACTGTTTGCCGGCGAACCCACAAGACCTCAACATCACCGCTTTCATTCTCAATGCACGGCACGTCGTGGAGGCACGAAAGGACGGCTACCATTACAAATCGTGGTTCGATGCCAATGGAGTTCAGCTGTGCCGCATCCGCTAGTTGTTCATGGTGATTCTAATTGTTTCAGGGTTGGGTTTTCAAACAATGTTTGTGATGGTGGTGGAATGGTGGTTTGTGTTTTGTGTCGTGTCGTTGAAATGTATTTTTTTTTAATACATTACTTGTCGTTCGGTTATGTTCTATTTTGACAACTTTAAAGTGATTTTATTAGTTATTTTCGAGTTTAAGAAAGAAAAAGAAGAGTCTAAAGAAGTTTTCACCTAGTTTAGAAGGGTCACGGAGGATAATTTGATATAATGATATTTGTGAGATGATGAGCCTATGTGTTAGTGTTTTGGTAAATGTAATTAGAATTGAGTATTCGAGGTAACTCGAATGACTGAGTGATATTTTTTTTTAGATCTTAGACAAAAGGCTCTCTAAAGTCTTTGATTTTTGGCACTTCAGGCTGGGTAGTGTGTGATTTTCTTGCATCATGTGCTTTCTCTTAGTACATATCTAACCGGGCGAAGGGTGTTCTTTTTGTGTGTGTCTCATGTATTTTGTAACATCTTAGACGAATGTAATCAACTAAGTATAAGAGAAATTCAAGATTCATAAGTAAGAAACTGAATTTAACTGATAAAACATATTTTGGGGTGAAATGGATTAGTTTTTTGTGAGAATTCCAAAGTTAAACACTGTCATTGTGGAGCAATACAAAAAATGGACGACTTTATGGAAGTCACATTGACATGTAATCCTAGGCCAAAACCATGAGGGTATAAATCCAAAGCGGACAATATATTGTCGGGCAAAAAGTTCGGGTTATTACAAGTGGTATCAGAACCTCTTGCCTTTCCTCTTTAATTATGGTGGACAAACCTCAACGAGGATGTTGAGTCTGAAGGGAAGTATGTAACACCTTAGGCGAATACCACATCGACAAAGTACGTGAGAAATTCATGATTCATAAGTAAGAAACCGATCTTAGCTAACAAGACACTTTTTAGGATGAAATGAAGGAGTTCTTGTGAAAACTCGAGAGTTAAACTTGCTCAGAACAATGCAAGGATGAGTGATTTTATAAGAAGTCATCTGGACAGTAATCTAAATGTAATTCCACTTAATTAAAAATAAGATTTAGAAACGATCAATATTCTTTATTTTTTATCACACTCTCGTACCTGCTTGGACTGCTTTCCTCTTTAACTATGTTGGAAAAACCTCAATGAGGACGTTGAGTTCAAAGGGAGGTGTGTAACACCTTATGCGAATACCACATCGACAAAGTACGTAAGAAATTCATGATTCATAATTAAGAAATCGATCTTAACTAACAAGATATTTTTTAGGATGAAATGAAAGAATTTTTATGAGAAATCGAGAGTTAAACTTGCTCGGAGCAATGCAAGATGAATGATTTCATAAGAAGTCACTGGATAGTAATCTAAATTTAATTCAAATTCAAATTAACTAAAAATAAGATTAAGAAACGATTAATATTCTTTTTTATCACACTCTCGTACCTGCTTGGACCGTTTGTGAGTTGTGACCACGAGAGAGAGGGATTTGAGATTTTGGGATTGGGAGGACACGACGCCGTGCGCTGAGACAGTAAAAAGCTTCAAAGGTCAGTCGCCTTGGCGGCGGCCGGCGGTGGAGATAGAGAAGTAGAAGGATGGAAGATCTAAGCGAAGAAGAGAGAAAGGCTCTGAGAGGAAGCAAATTCGCGCCTCTCCCTCCTCCTCCTTCCCGCTCTAACCAGTCCAGGTTTGAATATTCGAACTTTTTCCTTCTTCTTCTTCTTCGAGCTCTCAAAGACTAGGGTTTCTCATATCTGATCGCCGATTGCGCATTTTGGTGTCGTTGACAGGTTAGCGCACCCCGGGGGGCCGTTGAAGACGAACAAAGCCGTGGCGCTCGCCAAGTTCTTGGAGAGAAAGCTTCAGGAGCCTAATGGCTTGGCTTCCATTGATCCCGACCTCGTTGAAATGGCAGTCAAGAATGCCAAAAGTACCGTTTCTTCCGGTAAGTTCCCCTTTTGTCTTTGTCGGTTTGATTCTGTTATTCTGATGATTCGAGTTGGAGATCCGTGTTTTATAGAGCAACAGGAGTTGGAAATTGATTGGAAATAATTGACAGTATGGGATATAGGACTGCATCAATCTAATCTATGTTGGAATTGGCATCAGCTTGGGTTTAGTAATGGGGCTTGGGGTGGGGTTCTTGAGTGATAGAAATGAACATGGTGACTCTGGTTCAGTAGATGAAAGATGATCAATGGTGGAATCTGTTGTTCGGAAACAACTGATATGTCAATTGGAGGGATTTATAACTTGGTTTTGTGCCCTAAAGAGCTTTTTTTCACCAATGGCGGTTTACTGAGGAAGACACAGACGATTTGAATGCCTTTACCTCTCTGTTAGAAGGCAAAAAATGATGAATTGGAGGGATGGTATAACTTGATTTGCTCCCTAAGTACTTACTCATGTCTCATGTGGCCTTTTCATCGTCAACAGCGCGATTTTGTATGAAAGGAAGGCACACTCTGATTTGAAATCCCTACCTTCTCTTCTCGTATCTGTGTGTGTATCAGCTGGAGCTTCGACCTCTGGCAGAGTTGTTCGTCATGTGAGCTCCTTCTGTGACTCTGAGGTAAGTAGTGAATCGATGTTCCTTATTCCATTCGCCAACTCGCCAAGTTTCTGTCTTTCAGAACCCTTGGCAGGAAGGAACCTGGCTTCTGTTTTGAGTCTGTTCCTAATGGTGCGTCGCTGAAACGTTATCTTCCAGGAGGACTCCAGCCAGGAAGGAGATGCTGGGAAAAAGAAGAAACGAAAGCGAAACAAGGAAAAGAAGAAGAACAAGAAGAACAAGAAGGGCGCGAAGAATGTAAACCAGGTTGGCTAATCGTCCTAGCGCAGTGTTGTGGAGAGAATAATGTTTTCTTCACCGAAGATGTTCCTAATATGCGTGGCATGAATCTTGCAGGGATCATTTGGAGAAGGGGGCGGAGAGGGAAGTAATTTGCAGAACAAAGGGAAGAAGGAAAAGAAGAAAAAGAAAAAGAAGCAGAAGAACTAGAAAGGGATGCCACTTCAATGCAATGGCCGCTTTTGTTTTCACTTTTGTTTGCAGAAGAGATGCTCATACGAAGCTCTTCTTTCCCCTGCCAAAATTTTGAGGTAATTTGGTTCGCCTTATATGTTCAACCGAAGAGTTGAGTTTCTAATGACAGAAATTATCCAAGGCATTTGGTGCTTGTGTTGAGGTTGATTAGTTAGATGAACTGAACTTGTATGTCAATTAGATTAGTTTGCAATATAGTTTGTTTGTCTTGAAGCTGAAGGGAAGAATGTGCACACTGATAAACTATACCTAAATACTTTACAAATATAGCTATTATCTGACCGAAGTATAGGGATGACTATTAAACCTGCGATCGTGGATTTAGATCTTCCCCGTCCTGGAATTCTTCATATTGATTGGATGTGGGTTTTGATGGAGATGGAGCGGGTATAGTTTTAAATTTCCCACCCTCAACTCCACCTCCACCCCATACGACTATACGAGTACTCACACCTGTCTCATAAAGAGTAGTTCTTCATATACAAAGTATATATCGACGATATTGTAATCTATCGAGTAATTCAATAAATAATAAATAAATAAATAGTTGAGATGTACCTATCTCATAAAGAGTAGTTCTTCGTATACAAAATTTATATTGATCATATTGCAAAATATCGAGTAATTCAATAAATAATTGAGATGTAATTGAGTAGCCACCGAACCAAACCCTAATTTCCTTTCCTCAATTCGTCCTTCACTCTAAAAAAAAAAACAAAATCCAATAACAAAAGCACAAAAATGCTCATAAAACACAAAACCCTACAAGATTCCGACACAAAAATGCAGAAGATCCAACAACTTAACCAAACAAATGATGGATTAATAGGATTATCCATCAACACTACTTGGTTACCTCCGATTTACTGGAAACCTCCTCCTCCTCCTCCTCCGGCTTAGCTCTCATCATCTCCAATCTTTCCAGATACCCCAAGTTGGTGTGATCTAGCCTCTCCCCAAATATTCTCGACAGCGGAAGCTCCCACTGGGTATTATCCAAGTCCACCACCTCCCTGACCTTGTCGTCCATCTTCGAGAACAAGTCGTCTTCGAAGTGTTAGCGGATAAAACAGCCCACTTAATTATTGAACATGTGTATAGTAGATAGGCCCATTTTACTTTGGTTTTCGGGTCCATGAAGCTCATGCAACGTATGGTGGTCTAGGGTTTCATGGGATGGGTTTCAGCCTCCTTTGTGAGGTTTCTCGGGTTGTATATATAGTGTGAGAGGGGCTGCTGTATCTGAAACGAAACACAGGAGAATAAGAACAGTAGCTGAAGAGTTTTCACTCTTCCGTGGATTAGTCCTGGATACTCCAGGGATACCACGTAAATCTGGTTGTTCGTGTCATCTCAATTCTGTTCAATTCCGTTTAATTCCGATAGATTATCACGAAGAACTCGGAATAGCTTCTGAAGAAGGCGTCTCTGTTGCTTATGATTTTCCAATCGTTATTAATGTCTCCAGCGAACTCTCTTTCGACCACAGTTCCAACCCGTCACTGAATTGCCCAGACAACCTCATCCGCAGAATCATTTTCCTGATCGAGAAGAGCACATCATCGTTCTGTTTCTTCTGCTTCTCGTCACCCTGTTTCGATGATGCCGAGAAATCTGAATGAGGGGATGAAGCCTTATCGACTACTCTATTTTCTGAATTTGTACGAATTTTACTGTGTAAAATTTACTACCTTTGTTTCAAAGTACTTGTTCTTCAATTGCTGTATCTCATCGAACCACTCTCCGTAGTATTTCTCCTCCCATGTGTCGATTTCTTGCACGGCCATCTTGAGATCCGATTCAGGGCAGTCATCGCACTCACCCAACAGCTCCTTGAGGCACTCGGCGTCGGTTTTGATTTTGTCGCCGCCGCCGTATCCGTACTTCCTCGAGGCGATCAAACTCTGCAATCTGACACGAATAAACCATTCCTTCATGATGCGGGCGAGCATGAATTGTTCTCCTGTCAAGTACCTCTTCATCATTGCTACCAAGTCTCCGTCGCTGACAACAGCGTCTTTTTTGTCTACTACTTTGCACGCCGCCGATGACGAGGCGGAGTGGAGTCTGGTGAGCAACGAGGGAGATGCGGAATTGTAAGCAGCAGGCGAAGAAGGTTTAGAAGATTGGGTGGTCGCATTGGATCAAGTTGGTATTCGTTTCTATTGTGATCCCTAAAAATGGCTCGTTACTAAATTAGGATCCGATATACCTAAATATTTGATCACGTTTATGAAATTTCGAAGGATTTTTATGAAATAACAGTGATTGACTTCCACGTTGACTCTAATACAAAATAGGTAAAATGCTCACTTGTAAGTTGTAAGACAAATAATAAGGAAATTAAATCCAAACTACTATCTCAATTCGTAACTAGTCTTTCAGGCCTTGAGAATAAAAGCCCACTTCGCAAAGACTTATCCGCATTGCGAACAATGAATTGATTTAATAGTAAATCACTGGTTTTGAATTTAGAGGTCACAAGTTCGGTTCCCGAAAGTACTAACTAAATCACAAAAAATGGACCTTTTATCACTCTTATAAAAAAAAAACTCATCCACGCCATTCAGTCCAGGAAGGGAAAGGAATAATGGGTTTGAGCGCTTATGAGTAGAGACAATAATAATAGTGAAGTAGTGGTGTGCAATGTCCGGTCTGGATCAAATTCATGATAACTGTGGTCTAATGGTGAAAACGTATTTTAGAACTAAAGATCGGACCACCAATGTAGTGGAGAAAATAACGTCATGCGGCGTTTGGGGATTGCAACAGTACTTTCTTGGTGCCTGGTGGGACGCCGTATTGGGGGGAAGGACGGCGGTGAACAGGACCGACGGAACTATAGGGGTTTTGCCAGTTGACAAACATAACGGCAATGACTTGAGAGCGGATCCCATGACTAAGGGGGGGTCCTTAGTCACTTAACTAAGCCCCTCCTAGCCATTAGATCTGGACACTTCAATCCAATGGTTAAAAAGTGGGAAGGGCTATTTAATTAATGACGGGGGTAGTTTGCGTATTATGAAAAATTACGAAGTATACAAACCGGATTTACAATCAGTACAAACCATACAAACATACGAACAGTGCAAACTAGAGCGACAAAACATACAAACAGATTCACAAACATTACAAACATATGAACTGTACAAACAGTGCAAACTAGAGCGACAAAACATACAAACAGATTCACAAACATTACAAACATATGAACTGTACAAACAATACAAACTAGACCGACAAACAATACAAACCATATAAAAAGAAAAAACAACCGGGTTGACTTTGGAGGTTCCATCCCTATATAGAGGGGCTCCTTTCCGACCATAATCTCTCTCTCTCGGAGAATTCTGCTGGCTTAATTTTTTTTTATTTTATGATTAAAAGTAAAAAAACATACAATTACTATATTGTCCTTCATTAAATTGGATTAATTAGAGCCATTGGATTTTAATGAAGTTGAGGGGTTGAAATTCACTTAGCCATGTGACTAAGGGACCCCCTTAGTCACCTAATCTTAGCCCCAATGACTTGGAACTTGGGAGCGGCGGAGCGAGCGACTGGTGGCTTCCAAGTGGTCGGAAGGGATTGGATCAGGGACAGAGGTTCAAATTTTGAAGCTTGGCACTCCTTTTCCATATATATATTTGAGAACAAGGGCGTAGAAGTACACAATTATTTTCTCCCCTTCTCAGGTTCTTCCAAATGATACATTACAGGAACCAAACACAAGGAAGAAGAATTGATCAATTACATAAAGGAAGAAAGACAGGACCACAAAGGAGGGAATTGAGAAGGGTTCTCAATTCCCCCCTTTCCTTTCACATATTGTACATTCTAAAATGGAACGTTAGCAAGGAAGAAGAAGAAGAAGAAGAAGAGGGGGCGAAATGGGGAACGTACAATCTGCGATTACCGGAGTTACGTGGGTATGAGGGCAAGTATTTGGTTCCGTATGATCCCCATGCATTTCTGTATGTCGGCGTAAACCGGAAGGTTCTGCGAACACGACGGCTTCAGATTCGCTACGGCGGAATCGAGTACCTGAGCAATGTCGCTCGGTGGGAACTGTCGCTCCGTGCATTTCTGCAGAGTACGGTAGGAATAAGGCATGGTTGTTTAGTGTGAGATTCTGGCAGTATGCTATAGAAACGTGGGAGGGGAGAGAAGAGGAATGTCGTCTGTGTACCTGAATCATGAGCAGGGTGGCTACGGATTGAGCTATTAGCTCCGACGGAATCTGTGATTCGTTCAGGTCGGTCGTGTTGTTGGATGGCTTGGCATCCGACGTGTGGTTGGCCACGGCATTGGAAGTCGACTGATTTTGGGATCCTGAGGCATCCTGAACCGGAACCGCGGGGTTAGATGGTGCAGCTAACTGTGCAGCTAACTCATCGGAGGAGATCTGGTTGTTGACATAATCGATGGCTTCCTCGATACTCTCGATGCTGCTTCCTTGCTTGTTAAGAGATGTCACGGCCTGAAATGGGGAAAAGATTTTGACAGCAAATTAGTCACAGTTCTTAGGCATCGGTTTGTGTCTGCGCTTGATCTAATAACCAACTTCTCAATCAAATAAACCTGAATTCCAGGAGTGGACACAAGTTTACTGTATTGTATCTGCATTTTCTATTCTACTTCTTTTTCTATAAAATTGAGGGGTGAAGTAATCATTTCACTCATTTCACTATCATTCACTTATTTTAGTTCCACTACTACGTTTGCTCTCCGGTTGACAGCCTTTCTTCCAGTTTCTCAAACTGAGCTCCTGTCCACTGAGTCGAATGGGCTAAGAATTATACCACAGGTAAAAGAGGCTAGTACCTGCATTGCTGCATCGACCATTATTTGAGCTTTCGACCTTGAAGTTCCGACAATTTCAGCTACATGACCCCCGGAATCTTGGACTTCCTCAACAGGGTGATCGAACGAGCTGTTGTAGTACAAAACAGGCTCGCCGATGGTTATAGCAGGAGTGGCTACTTGATACGTGTTACGCCGTCGTAAGCTAAAAAGCGCAGATGAAAGCTGCATGGAAAATTAAGGATAAGAGAGATTAAGAGTTAAGACCACGTTCCAGGGTATTATACTGAGGAAAAGGAAATAAAGAAATGAGGATGTTCAATCATTAGTTATTTGCCTGGTCATTTATTTCATTCAACTGCAGTAATACGGCAGCATAGTGCTTCTTGAAAGATTCTGAATCTCTGAGATTGCTGCTTTGATTTTCCAGCACGTCCTCGTTCATGCGCTTCAATTCGGATACCACAGCATCCTGTAAGTGAAAAAGAACAAAAATCATCAGCTAATCCTTCAAGAACCCAAAATGCATCATGAAAAGCATTTGAAAGAGTTTGAATGAGTTTCCAATTATGTAGGTACTAAATCAAGAAATTAATATTAGGAACGTGCTTTATGATGGATGGCTGATTACTAGAGATGGGTCCTGTCTACTCTGGTCCAGAATCGAACTGATCGGCACAGTACCAAATTGAAAAATATGGAAAACCCGATGACTTGAATCAAATGAATAGTACATTGGTCTTATTTGGTCTGGTCCAGTTTCAGTTCAGGACTTTTTTCATGGTTTATAAGAGGATCCATGGAACAAAACCAAAGATGTCCTGAATTATAGAATTAATCCGCTCCATTTCCATCCAAGTGCCATTAGGTCTAATGCACTAAAATTCTGCCAGAATCATTGTCCATGCCTAATTATAAGTCAGTTTAGAAATTTAGAAGCAGTTCGTATAACATGGTATACAAATTGATCACAACAAATGGGTGCTAAAACCTGATACTATACCAGGAAGTATAACAATGAAGAAGTTGCCAAAGAAAAAAGAACGAAAACATGCAAAAGATTCACAACTATATGAGCATGGGATACCAACTGGTACAAAAGATCTCTAGTACTACAGATTAGCTGGAAAAGAACACAGACCTTCTTTTCAAGAGCACGGCTTAATTCTGATAGTGCTTGAATATCGACTTCCTTTGCTTGGATGTGTGCATGAATGGAAGGCTGAGCAGTTGCCCCTTGTTGGGGATTAATGGTTTCACCAAATCCACTAGTGATTGGTGTAGCCAGACCTAGAGGAACGCCCTGGTCAAAATAACTTACCATTAGAAAATAATCCGTGTACATATATATTCAACAGTAGTTTCAATAAGAAATTGGTACAGGTAACAGGCATACGTTAATTGTCAAGAAAACAAGAGTCATAGACTACCAGGTTGACGAGTTTCTAACCTGTGAAGGCTGCATGACATGATAATTTGGTGGAGGCCTATGAGGGAAACCATTGGCGTTTTCCAGGCTCTCTGGATGGATTACCTTTGCACGCCCTTCAATTGTTTTCTCCGTAACTGACCCATTTGTTTTGTATTCATTCAAGTTCTCTATGAACTTGTTTAGTGCAAGAACATGTCGGGTAAGAGAGGCAGGCAGATTCTCTGCCGGGTTTAATGGCATGCAATCAATGTCCTGCAGCAGCATAAAGTACAGCACGGAAAAAATCAAATGACTAATACTACTTCAATATTTCTAATTAAAAACAAAAGTGGAAAATTCTAACGCTTCTCAAATTCTGAATAACATAAAAGAAAATTACCATGACAAATTCCACCCCGAGGTCAGGTTGATCAAATTGAACGCAGCACCTATTGTGATCAACAGTTAGCACACTCCCATCATGGATTTCTCTTGTCCTCGGATGAAGTGCAACGACACGCTGCCCAACCGATAAAGGTCTAGCCAGATCTGTTGGAAGTCCTTCCCTAATACCCGCACGAAGTTCACTATAATGTTTCCTAACTGACTCCCGGTATTGATTAAGCTTCTCTTTCTCTTCTTTCAAAAATTGCTCAGAAAATCTCCTCGGTTTACCAAGAGAACTGCATTAAGAAGAAACACCAATAAAGTGATTTACAACCCAGATTTTTATGGAACAATGAAAAACACAGGGCCAAGTGAATTAAAAAAATCGTAACAAATGTACCTCCTTATGACGCCCCACTCCACACGAGTTAATCTTGGGATATGACCCAAACCAACATGATCTAGGTATTCCACAAACTCCCTTTTAGCAAACCAAGGGTAATCAATAGCACTATAGAACCACTCAAAGACAGACCAACGCCTTAGTTCATACCGAGAAAGGCAGTTGCTAAGTTTCTCCTGCAAAGATCAAATACAAGAGCATAAAGTTTAGTAAATAGGATATAGGAGCAACAGCTTCATAAGCAAACATATGCAATCGTCAGAAGAAAAACCTTTAGAATGAGAGCTTGGTCCTCGAATGAAGGGATGGCAACTTTTGGCTGACCATTTTTAATGCCCTCGTGAGTCTTTCTATCTTCGTCAAGCAATGTTTTCGGTGAGCTTACTTTGCGCCGACTCCGTACTTTGGTAGGAAGACTGAACTGGCTTGCGGATGCACCTTGAGCTGTTGAGGGACCTGAATCATTTGATTCTATTCCAGGATCAGCGCTCGAAGAAGTTCGTTCCAGAGGTTTTACAGATCTCTTTTGTTTGACAGGTGGAGCATCATGAGAAGATTTGACTTCATCGACGGAGGTATTCGTATCACAAACAACCTTGAGTGCAAGGACATAAAAAAGCATCAACAAGAGAGCTCAGACAGTGAAATGCACAAAGGAAATCTTGGAAAAAACACACTTTAGTAAAAGCCAAATTATATAACACGGTAGACAAGGGCCGCAACTAACTATCTTGATTCTTGATAAAAAAACTAGGAAAATATAAGGGTAGAAGAACATTTACAAGTTGGAGGATGAACTTACAAATTTGCAGAGTGCAGGCTTCCAAGTAAATTATCAACTAACAGAAAATCATTGAAATCTTAAATTTGAGAAAAGCAGCCTCTACAGTACAACCTATAAACTTCAACAGAAAAGAACCCCAGAGCTGAAGGGACAGTAGCTATATGTAAGACGAGAAAGCTAGATGAATAATCACGGTGAGTCCAACAACTTCATGATTGAAAATGTTGTCTTTTGATGTCACAAACCATCCAATAGAACATCAGTCACAAAGTTTTAAGATCAAAAAGAATTGCGCACCTCAATCTTCTGTGATTCACCCAAGCGAGGACCAATCTGCTGTTCATTTTCGGAAGGCTGCAGGTCATCACCAATTTGCAGGTGTCAAATGCATTGAATATAAAGACAGAGAATGAGACAAGAAGTCAAAGGTTTAGGGGGTGTTGGAAAGCAACAAACAGATGTGACTTAGCATTGCATCAGCTTATACCTTTGGCTGTGGGGGCTTATTCTTCCTTTTACGAGTCCCTGCATTAATTTGAGGGCTTCCCTCCTTTGACTCTGGTAAAGCAACGGCATCACGTACAGCTTTCACGGGTTTATTAGACTTGGAAGGAGTGACTTTAACTCCCGAAGTCGAAGAATTTCCTTTCAACTTAGACTTGACAACATTTCCAGTTGTTCCTTCATCAGCATGCACAAATGATTCTGAAGAAGAAACAAGAATATACATTTAGATAAAATATTGATCCGAACACTGGCTTACTGGTAACAGCAAGTATCCTACCTGTATCCATGGGTCCGTCTGGCAGTCTCAAGGACAAATCTGCAAGAGTTTGCAAGGCATCCAAGGCAATATCTTCACCTAAAAAGGGAGCCAGGAAGATAAGAAAGAAAGAGAGAGGCAAATGAGATTGCACATTTAAAACAGGAGAAAAGAAATTCAAGGCCATATGAAGCATAATATAACCAGAAACTGAAGGAGCAAAAGAATCACAGCGTTAAATTGTTTCTAACTACGTCAAGGGAGACTGAAAGCAATTGTGCACAAGGACTTCAAAGGCTACAGAACAGAACACTATCACAATACACCAGGCACAGAACAAAGATGAAACAAGTTTCCCTTACCTTCTCCAAAGAAAAGTTTTTTGCTCTTCTTCTTGGGAGCCCTATCATAGCAGGACCTTGACAGTTTTGAATTAGCGACTTCTGCATCAAATCTTCCTTTACCAGCACCCAGTTTCTGTCCTTCCTCTGTCCCGCTACAGGCTTCCTTTATCTCATCCAAATGATTATCTACACTTTCTTCTAGTTCTGGTCTCCATCTCTGGTATCCCTTTCCTCTCGAGAATGTTCTATCCCTTGTATAATCTCCGGTGTCAGCTTCTGTACTTCCTAAACTTAGTTCACAACCACTGTCATCCATTTCACTACAGCGAAGCTTTGCACTTGTCATCTCTGAATCAGCGCGCTAAATACAAGTAGACAATCAACATCAATATATCATATATGTGTCCTCCAAGATGAAAAACAATTCCAGAGAAAGCAAAGGACCATCCACTTAAGAAATTACCATTTGTTCGCCATTCTGAACGGGCGAGGAAGAACCTCTTTTCCTGGTAAAAGATTGAGAAACTTGTGGGGGGCCACCTCTTTTTGAGGCCGCCGTAAGTGCAAATGCAAGCCTGTGGGTGACATTATCATCATCATCATCATCAACTGCATTGCCCTTGAACTTCAGACCCTGCCTAATCGGTGAAACATACTTCTCTTCTTTATCTTTGTCATAAGAGTATGAAACTGGGACTCGGGGAGTCCGTTTCCCTACTGCCCAGGGCCTATTTTCTGAAGAAAATTGAGGACAAGAGCAAGTTTGATCATCAGTGACTAGGAAATGGAAAATTAGAAATAGAAGGAAATGACTTCAAATCACTTGAATAAGTTTCTCGTAAACAAGGAACAAGATCCTCCAGCTAATACACTCAAACTATCAACTATAGCATCACAATCACTTAAATACTGCGTTGAAGCCTTATATTTTAATAAAGAGTTCAGCAACATATAATCAGAACCACAAGGATAGAGAGTGGTGAAAGAGAAGGAAGAAAAGTACAATGAAATTCCCACACAAGTCAAATGATATTCTTTACCTGAGCGCCTCTTTTTTAACAAAGACAAGCAACCATAATTTGAGGCAGCTGGCAGGGATTTTGAAAGATCTGCAACTGGTGACCCCTCTGAACCTTTGGTTGTTCGAGCACGTTTTGGGGGTTTGCGAGAAGTACTTGGAGCCTCGTTTACTTCTTCTTCTTCACTCTCGCTGTCTCCCTGCAAGGATATAATCTATATGACCTCTTTCCATGGATACAATCTTAAGAAGTCAATCACATGGAGCCAATATGTAAACTTCAAATGGTCTCTTTTTATTCCAAGAGTGATTGTACACCGTGCAGCGAGCTGTCATTAATACAATTCCTCATAACTCACATTTGAAGCTGCCAAACTTATAGCTATACAATTTTATGAGTTCAATAGACGAACAACAAAATCTAAGCTTTTCTTTGAGTAAGACCCAAAGACACAAAAGACAAATTAGAATTCACTTTCTTGAACTAAATTCAAATTTTACCAGATTCGAGTAGTGATCTGTCATCATCGCTATCAGTCCAGCAGCAGAGGCATAGCCTTTTGGAAGAGATAAATAGGCCTGAAAAGAAATATCATACATATTTACAAACTTCCAAAAAAAAAAATCTTCAATTGCAACTAATAACCTGTTCATTCATTTACATAAGGTAGCCATGCAAAATCAGTTGTCCGTATCATTCAAAAAATCAAAACTGTCTTTGTCAAAAAAAAAAAATCAAAACTGTCACAAGACAGCTTTTCCAGCCAGCTTCAAGAGCAAATTTCATAGTTCATAGATATATGCATACCGTGTTCATGGAGTAAAGGGCTTCTACCATCCCTACAGACCGGCTGCGGACGGCAGCAGCTACCTAACACCACAGGGAGAAAAGAAGGGTACAAAAGAGATTATATAAGGAGAAATGAAATACATTAGATAATCCAAATTTAGTATATAAGAAGTAATATTTTAAGCAAATATGCAATTTCTTCATTAGAAAGTTGCTTCTAACCTTCTCCCAGTCTTTACCATGCTTACGATATGCCTTGTAGAAACGTTCAAGTTCCTCCTTGGTCCATTTGGGCCCCAACTTGCCAGTCCATTTGCGTTTCTGCAGCAGGGAAAAAATGGACGAACACCATAAATGCTTGCAATGCCATAGGCTTCTTCCAGATTAATGTATGAACTTGGGTTGCACATTTAAGGTAATGGTATGGAATTAACTGCAGTGATAGCAACATTACCATACTAAGAAAAAGACTGAACTGACCTTCGGCCTACTTTTGTTGGCATATTCAGCACCATTATTAGTGTTAACCTCATTACCACCTGAAAACCTCTTATTCACACCTTTAGATTTTCTGGATGGAGCCATGGATAACTTCCTTAATTATCTGAACAATAAAAGGAACCATAATATACATTACCAAAATTATTGATGAATTCACAACTCGCAATGGCAAAATTAAAGAAAGATAACATGATAAGGCCATTGTCACACGAGGACCCATGCGCCCCAAGTGGCAGGTGCAGTAATCTGTCAACTTTGCCAATCATGAAGGCCATTTAACACAACTGACGGGTTTACATTTCATAAATAATATTAGAGACTCGGTAGGATATGTTCACAGTTTCAGATAAACTACTAGACGGAACACCATAAGTATGTTAGTGATACATACCCATAGGATCCAAAAATGAAATGTGCCAATTCTCCAATCCGCAGAAAAAGAAAAAGAAACATAGCCATAGATTAATGAACAGCTAATTGCTGGACCACATAGGAGTAGTCAATTAATGATCACTACCAAATACCAGCCCATCCTGCATGTTAAGAATAACACCAACAACCCTAAAACAGATTAGACACTTTGAATAAAGCTACCCAATTAACCAAGCTTTGTAACCAGGCCATGAAATGTCAGCAAACCTAGAACCAAATTGCCAGTTAGTAAACATTACAATTTTCAGAACACAAGCTTCGCCAAATAGATACTGAAAGCACCAAGACGCCAGTTAGTTAAATTAGAAGGTTGTGGGACACTTCAGCAAGAACCCCTATGCTTAAAAGCTGTAATACCAGGCTGCACAAAGATCGATATCAGATCATGCATGCCAGACTAAAACTTTATACTCAGGGAAGAGCAAGATCCGATTTACCAGTACATATAGATACTCATGATAAATGTTAAAATGGAAACAAAGGCAGAAGCACAATTTATGAATTCCTTTCATACCCAAAAACTGACAGAATATGATCCAGGATCACAATGCTAATGCCGTGGTACTGAACAAACTGAACCCCCCCCCCCCCCCCCCCCCCCCCCCCCCCCCCCCCCCCCTCTCCGCCCCCTCAGGAACCCAGCAAGCCAGCAGTCTGTGGATCTAATCTTATTGGAATCAAAATTCTCAAACAAACATGCAATGTTTTATAAACCAAAGCACTGATGCAGAATGAAATTGCGAGAGCTCGTGGCCACCAATATCTCAATTCTCCAGCCGACTTTTCACTGAGAGGAGAAACAAGAGAAACGAAACAGTGGGAAAGCAAAACTTCCAAAAGAAGAGGACTGGAAAACTTGTTGGCGGCAGCCATATCACCCGGAAACAAGAAACCCCGCCGTAACAGCCCATATCCCCACACTGCCAACATTCCTCTACCGAACTATGAACTAACGCAAGAATAACAGGAATAGAAGATGGGGAGATTGAAATTCAAAAGAGCAACGACTCATCCAACTCTAAACTGAGCGCCAATCAGCCAAATTCGACCTAGCTCAATCCTCACAATTCCTCCTTTCGTTCGCCACAACGGAGCCGCGAAATCGAAGCGATTCGAGCTCGTTCTTCCTTTCCCGCTCACCAAACTGAAACGAAGCGGAAGGAGGCGGGAAGAAGCAACAGAACACAGCTTGCGGAGGGGGGGAACTAATTGAGGGGAAGGATTGGCGCAGAAAGAGAAGGAGAATGAACAAAGAGATCAGCTCGGGAAGGGAGAAATTGAACTCACCGATCAAAATCGTCGCCGCAAATTGATTAGAGGAATCGCCACTGTGAACCAGAAGAGAAGAAGAAAGACAGCGGAGAGCAAAGTATAGAGAGAGTCGATCGATCAACGAGAAGAGAGAGAGGCGGATACCAGTGAAGAAGAAAAAGAGGAGATGAATCAAAAAAACAAAACAAAAAATTGGGGGTATAACCGCGAAACTTTAAAAAATAAAATAAAATCGAAATCGAAAATGAAATTTAAAAATAATATATATATATTACTGTATTTCTGGTGAGGGATTATTCGTCTTGTTTTTACTTATACAATTTTTTTTTATTTATTTCTGTTCACACGCTTTATCATTTGAAGGTGTCGATTTGGGCCTCGAGGAATCGTGAGGCCTGCTGGTTAGCTGAATCATCGGTTGGACCACTACAAACGAGAGCCATATATCCAAAGTCCAAACCTGCTTTGTTTGATCTAAGCTGATTGAGCGACAAGGCTGCAATTCGCCACACAACTAAACGGATTAACCGTCCTACTCAAAGTTAAATGCTCCGGGTAAAATTAAATTGATATCAGTTTTAGTTTAATCGAACCAACTGGTCGGTTAGCCGACAGACAATAATAGGTCAAAACAGCCAATTGAAACTACATAAGTTGAAAACAAGTAAATTAGTCCGAGGTATAAATTGACGAGCGCAATTCAAAACTCGCTATAATATTATTTTTTTCACCCTTGTTTTTATTTCACATCCCTTAGCTCGATATATATATACATTTTATTTACGGATATAAACGATTCTATTATTATGAACTCGCTAAAAATGTGAACCGTTAGTCCATAATTGTCAACATTCAATCCAATTATGAAAACAACCTCACTTTCGCCCCCCTCAATCTCATTGGTTAAAAGAAAGTCAACCAAGTAAAGTCCAATGGACCAAACCATCTCAGCTAAGACTCCCCTTCATGCGCCCAGGCCCAACTAGAGACAAGCCCATCCCATTGTGGGAACACACTTTCCACCCGATGACCGGGCCGCAATCCGCTGCTGTCGGGCTCCTTTGTTTTTTCACCTGACCCGCCGTCCCCAATAACTCTGCGCATTTATACGCAGAAAACTTGCCTTACCGACAATACTCAACAAACCCACTGCCGCTCACTCGCTTCATCCTGACCGTTGAATTCCCCGCACTCGGGCTTCGATCTCGTCCGTCCAAACCAGCAGCCACCGAAACAAATTACCCCTCAAGTAGTAGTAACTGACACAATTCCCCTGGCTTTGGTGGTGTCAACTTGTTCGTTGTCTTTCTTTTATTTCCTATATTTTCGTTTTTATTTTTTAATTTGAAACTGATTTGACAGTCGCACTGCTCTCTACTAGTACTACTAGTACCACTGGCACGCGCTTCCCGCGACGTAGTAGTGTGAGAGTTGCCGGTAATGTAGAGCACGCGCCGCCGCATGTGTGTGGGGAACGAAGTAGTGGAGGACGGGCAGGGAAGTAGAGTGGGGACGTGGCAGTTGGTGATTAGTCGTTTGGCTTGGGAAAAAGTCTTGCCCAACTTAATGGTTTTTTGTTTTCGCCTGTGAACCGTCATTAGGCAAAATGCGAGTTACTGTGTACTATTTTGCGGGATCCCCACGATTAAAGCCTTCTCCATTTTGCTGTTTAGTGAACGATACTGTACATAATAAGCTATATTACTACTTCTAAGTCCGGCGGTGTCACGATACGATAGTAGCGTGATCTTGAACCTCCGTAACTTTCTAAAAATATTTGTCGAATGTATGCGTTTTGAATAATTTAGTGTTGTTGTTTTTATATTAGTACGAGAAAAAAAGTCGGTTGTGATTTAACTTAATCAGTGTTCAAGTCCAATTGCCTCGGATTCATGCAGTACGTACCCGAGGAACTTTTTAGATTATAATTAAAAGACGAGACAACAAATTAGTGCTATGGATTAAGAAGTAATGTTGGACTCATAAAACGTAATTTTGTATTAGACGACAACCATGTTACATTAGCCTTTGAAGAATCTCTAAATTGTCACCTAAGCCCATAAACAATATTGAATAGTGAGAATCGCGTTTTCAAAAGGTTGGTGGAGTTGGTTCAATATTTGAATGGAATAATTAATTGTGTATGTAGTGTAGCTATAGGTTAATGGAATCGGTTGTTTTAAAACTATTGACACATATATTGTGTTTTTTGGTAGGTTGAAAGCGATCACGCCCGAGACTCAGGTGCGACCGCTAGGTATTGGTTTTTCAATAAAATCCAGAGGCGGCGCCCGAGACTGGGGCATTGGCGCTTGATATAAAGCGACAGCGGCGGCGCCCTAGACAGAGGCGTTGTCGCTGCCTTCTTCTTCCACTCCAGTATCATATATACTCTACCTTTCCTTCGGTTCTTCACCACCAAAAGAAGTTCCGAAAGAAGCTCTGGTGTTGTTGTCTAGTTGCTGGGAAGATGACTAATAATAGGCAAGAGACGTATTTATTTTTGTAATGTATAATTCAAATGCTATAATGATTTTGTCGAGTTAGTAATTAGTGAGTTTGTTTTTTATGTAGTGGTTTTAGAAGATTTGAACTAGCTGTTCGGTGGAAATTAGAGAAAGTAGAGGACAATTTGGGTGTCCATTTCATTGGTGGTCTAAGTTTTTAGATGACTATTCCATCTAGGGTGAACTATTAGAAACTTTGTGATAATCTAATTCGGAGAAAACGACATAGAGATGAAGCAGTACAAGATAGTGTTGTGATTACAGGTTTCACTTAATGTCTTCCAGAATGGCAGAATGGTGTTTTATGTCATTATGCGATGCCTATTGTCGATGATGATAGCTTGAATGTGTTTTGAAATTTTATGCCACAAAACCCTTATTGTTTGGGTGCTGAGATACATGTTGAGCTCAGTGAGGATCGGGGTGGAGATGAAGAAGACGACTCATGGAGCATGTCATCCGATCATGACTATGATGATGGTGATGACGGAGAGGAGGAAGATGATGATGATGATGATGAGGAGGAGGAGGAGGAGGAGGAGGAGGAGGAGGAGGAGGAGAAGGAAGGAGAACAACCTAATTATCCTCCATGTTTTTACTTGCAGGGTAATGAAGAGGACGACGAATTATCATATGTTGATTCATATGGCGTAATTCCAATGCCTATTGTTGGTGGTTTTGATGGAGAATTCTACTAGGGGCAGATATTTCACTCGAAACAAGCTGCACGGGTGGCGATTAAACACTACGCACTACAACGCAACTTTCAGTATAACGTGGTGGAGTCGTCACCTTCAATCTGGAAGTTCAGATGTTTGAAGCACAAGGAGGACAAATGTCCTTGGATAGTGCGATTTGGATGTCGAGATGTGGGAGGCGATTGGACTATGAGAAAGGCCGAGTTGGTGAATACTTGTAGCAGTACGACTCAACCGATGGATCATCGCCATCTTGAGGTCGACGTTATATATGAGTCCGTGAAACACTTGGTACGTGCCCAACCAAATCTGAGTGTTCTAACTGTGCAGGGCGAGTTGAAAGATAAGTTTAATACGCAAGTTACTTACAAAAAGGCTTGGTATGGGAAACAAAGAGCATTGGAGAAGTTGCATGGGAATTGGGAAGAATCCTACGATTATTTGCAGACATTCTTGCGGGTGGTAAAGAGAAAAATGCCAACATCGGTGGTAAAGAGAAAAATGCCAACATCGGTGGTAAAGAGAATCCTACGACGACCACCGTGTTGTGCCAGTAGGTGGCCGCCAGTACCACACCTCGCTGGCCTCCTGTTCCGTGGAGGCAACTGATCATCTCCCTCCTCCACATCATTCTGATCCTGTGTGCCAAACATCTCATCCCCCTGAGACTGAACCTGCTCATCCGGTGCACCCTCTCGTCGCTGCTGCTCATATGCCCACATCGATGTCCGGAAAACCATATCACCATCTAGACGCTTCCACTCATCTGGGTCCAAATCTGGCACGGTATCACTACCTGATCTCATGTGTCCGCCTCCCATCGTAGCATGTTGCGGTGTATGAAAACTATCTTCCTATGGCTGAAACTGAGAGCTATAACTGGTGCCTGCCTGAAATCCGGTAAACGCGCCCGACGGAAACTGTGGCTGAGAAGGCTGGTGGAACTGGAAGGTAAAAGTAGGTCTGACTGGTTGCAGTGGCTGACGATCTGAGTACCTCACTGGACGAGGTATGTCATGCTGCTCACGTGTCGGACTGGATCACACTACCGTTGTAGTCCTGACCTCTATCAAAGTACGGACGCCTGCACAGAAGGATTGGTCACATAATTACTCCTAAATTTATAACAAATCAATGAAAACTATTCTATAAAACGAAATGTTATATACTAACCACGAATGTCGTGCACTCGTCAAACCACACCTTGTACATATAGAACTGATCTCCATGCTGACGGGTGTGGGCCGGAAGCCATCGAAGGCCACGTGGCACTGCGTCCTGGGTAATCTCGCACCCGTCTCTATATGTAGTGGTGCTGTATGAGGAAATCGCTCCCACGTCAAGATCATCAGCAAGGCGGACCATCCACCAAAGTCACCATCCAGTGAAGAAGATGTTGTCATCTGCAGCGCCGATCTACCCATTTCACGGAACAGGTAGGATAGAACAGCTGCTCCCCAAGCAAACCTCCCCGCTCTGCGCTAATCATCTACCAAAAGTAGGTATTGCAGATGACTGAACCTCCACCGATCGGGGAACAAGACACCTCCCATCTAGGGATGGCAATGGGGCGGGTTTGTCTAAATCATCTCCATCTCCATCTTTAAATATCCAAACTCATACCCGCCCCATACCCATGTGGGGAATGTTTGGCAAACTCATCCCCATACCCGTGGGTTTCTAATTTTCTAATGAAATGCGGCGCAGTGCTCTTCTGTGTTCTAGATCCGCCGCTGCATATTGATGGTAATTAAAAAAAATCATTTTTGTGTCATTTACCCAATCTTTCATAACCTAATAACTTTCCAACAAAGTTTTTGATTTTCTTACAAGTTACAAGTTTAAGACACGAGTGACGGCGAAGGAGGGGATACAGTATTTATCACGCTGGAATCAAAAGAATGATTACTGTCCATTGGTCATTCACAGGACTTTTCTTTTCTACAAGCAAAAAAGGCCATCACTTCCTTTCCTTCTTTTCCCCTCTTTCCGTTTCTTTTATTTTCCTTCCTTTCTCCTCCATGACCATGGAATAGAAAAGTCAAAGCATAAACAAACCCATTCTGTGCCCTCTTTATTCTCTTTCCACGAAAGTAAAGAAAAGGGAAGTGAGTTTCATTCATTAATTAATAGCATCGTCAACATATATTATATATATACAATAGCAACATCATTAACCCCACGTGTCATCTCCACATATTTTGTAGGAATATGATATTTTACGTATTTTAAAACATGCATATGAACACGAATTAATCGATAGTTTAAAACACACATATGATAATCGGTGAAATCAGACAAGTACCATTTCAATAAACAAACATATTCATTGATCGATGGTTTCCTTCATGACTCGCGGGACATATGCAACAGAGCAGCCCTTGCAACACATTATCCCTCATTGTAGTGTCCTGAATCATTGAATAAGTAATCAGATCATATTCCCTCATAAATTTAAACCCTATATTACGAAACCACAAACTCAACACCATCTAAACGAATAAAGACCTTACGTGAGTGAGGATATCGTTATAAACCTCCACCGAAACATGTTTACATTATGTGCTCAAGAAAGGGAGTTAAAGAATCAAAGGATATGTGGTGCCGCACTTCTCATGATCTCAACCACAACCATGTATATAAACAATGTAATTCAAATCATGAATAGAGTCTCTTCACAACATATCAATTTAGATTATTCATATCAATGTCATGTGCATGCTTTGAATGAATCGAATATATGATTCACATCTATAAAGGCGAATGATAAATTCCCATTCAAATTCACCCCATTTACTACTCTAGCATATACTAAAATTGAATGCTTTGATTGCTCTTGTGTGACTTTGACAATATTCTCTATATTTGAATAATGGACGCGTGTTATTATGGTATCAAAACACGCGGTACAATACACGTGTCAGGAGTGTTTGGTTTGCCATACTTGATATGTTACACTATTAACTTATGCCAACTGCATGTCATATACGTGACACATTATTATATTTTTTACAACAATAACAATATTGTTTTTTTTACAACAATAACAATATTGTTTGATGTTGTGACTCCGCACAACAAATTGTTTCGTAAAAGTGAAAATCAAAATGCAAGTGATCACATCTCTAGAGTGCATTTCCAGTTGCTTTGTGTCCTATATATGTTAGACCACATTAGTTTGAATGCATTAAAAACTACAAGTACAATTTTAAATGCTCTCAAACACATCATATAATATAATGCCACCAGAAAATATATGCTATTGGAAAGAAAAAGAAAAAAAACTCAATCTCTCAGATACACAACCTCTTAGGTGTGAATTGTGATTTAGACAACAACGTATCCAACCTATTGGTTTGTTGTTTGTTTTTTGTATGAAAATCATGTTGATCGACCATTATATAACTTACGATGTTATACAGATAAACGAATGGGTCGAAATCCTTACAAACCATACATTGTAATTTTAATACATAGAATTCTCAGTTTCTTACCATCCAACTTACAATACTACAACACAAATACTTGCCAATGCCAAGCCACCCCAAAGATGATTTTGACCGCCAAGACCAAACCTTTCCCAATACAAAAACAACCATCTCGATCATTGGTGCGAAATAGGGTATTTAACCGCCGGGCTGTAAGCAATTGGCTTATGCTTCATTTATGACTAACAACAACAACAACAAAAAATAAACTGTGCTAAATTAATTAATGCAATTTAATCACTTAAATTAAACCATAAAGAAAGGGGATGGCTGAACTAACGGGGGGAATTAACTTAATCACGAAAATTTAAAAACTATAATTACTCAATTAAGCCATGTCGACCATTTTCCACTTTCGTGCCCTTTTGGCGCGTAACCGAACCAACCAACCCAGACGCGCGCGCACTCTCTCTCACACACCCACACTGCTCACTTGGCGAAAAAACAAAAACGAAAAATAAAAAAAGAAAAAGAGAGCAAAGGGGAAAAAGAAAGATCAAAACCATCGCTTTGGCTTTGAAAACTGACACACTGAGAGAGAGAAGGGGGGAGAGAGAGAGAGAGAGAAAGTAGCGAGAGAAACACTGAGAGAGAGAGAGAGAGGGAAGAAAAGCCAAAACACCAAAATCCCAACAACAAACAGTGCTTCCTCTCATCTCGCGTTTGCGTTCTCAGTGTGAAGAAGAGAAAATCAGTGAAGACAAGGATAGAGAGAGAGAGAGAGAGGGAGGAAGAGAAGGAGATGGTGTGTTTCTAGTTTTTTTTACTGTGTTGAAGCTTTCTCTCACTACTTTCTCTGTCTAGGAGTGGAAGGGGGAGAAGAAGGGAGGAAGAAGGAGAAGAGAGCCATTTGATCGGGGATTGTCGGGTCGCGGGTTCGACGGCCGTACAATCCATCTATGCGCCGCGGGGCTCCGCGAATTCCGGGGAGGGGCAACTTTTCGACGAGCATGGAGCAGCGGTACGGACGCGGCCAGGAAGGGGCGCAGTCGGATCCGTCGCCGGAATGGTCGGCGCCGGGGCCGGAAACCGGGCTTGAAGGTTCGTTTCCGTTCGGACCAACCCGCATTTCCCTGTCTTCGCTGCTGGATTTCGTGCGGGAAGAAGAAATGTTGGTTTTGTTTTTTTTTTTTCTTTTCCGTTTACCCCTTTTGATTTTCTGATTTTTTCCCCTTCTTTCTGGGCAATGCAGAGGGACTGTGGCAGTTGGGATTGGGTGGAGAAGGCGAAGCCGGGTACCCGGAAAGACCCGACGAGGCCGATTGTATCTACTACTTGAGGACAGGGTTTTGCGGGTACGGAGCGAGGTGTCGGTTCAACCATCCCCGTGACCGAGCTGCGGTAAGCTTCTCTTCTCTGCTTGATTCTGGTTTGGTAATGGCTGCCGGGGACGCGATCAGTTTCTTTCCAGTCGAATCAGCTGCGATCTCGATTGGGATTGGGCGATGATGGTGTTTGGTTTTGCTCCAATTTTGTTTGGTTGTGGAGTCGGTGCCGACTGCCAAGTGTTCGATCATTTGCCTAGCTGAAGCTGAGTTACTTCGGAAAGTGATCTCTTCTTGTAGCTGACATTTGTGTGTGAATTGATTAGGTGCTGGGAGCTGCTAGGGCTGGAGGAGGGGAGTTCCCTGAGCGAGTGGGCCAGCCTGTGTGTCAGGTAAACCCATTTTGGCTCTTCTTCATAACGTGGATGGTTGATAATGGACAATGCACTAAGTTGTTAAAGTTCTTCAACAGTTTTAGGAATGAACTGAGGAGGATGTTTGGAGCTTTAATGGTTCATATCTGTCTGCATGTTTCCAGTTTGATGTGTTACTGAAATGGTTAAGTTCTAATTGTCATCAAATTTTGCAGTATTATATGAGGACTGGAAGTTGTAAATTTGGCGCTTCTTGCAAATACCACCACCCAAAGCAGGCAATTGGTTCAGATGCTCCTGTGCCTCTGAATTATTATGGTTACCCTCTACGTCCGGTTTGTACATCCTTTTACCTTGATGCTTAATCTGTTGCATTTTTTTCCTTTCATCTCGTGGACGAGTTACAGATTCGATGTCTTGTTTCTTGACTGCGTGAGTGTTGATTGATTTCGCAACAGGGTGAGAAAGAATGTACATACTATATAAAGACAGGGCAGTGCAAGTTTGGTGCTACATGTAAATTTCATCACCCACAGCCAGCCAATGTACAAGTTCAACAGCAGTCACTGCCATCACAAGTAGCGCCTATGGCTACTCCGTTAGCTGCTCCTGCAATGTATCCGCCCATGCAGTCTCCATCAGTTCCCTCATCCCAACAATATGGGGTATTAGTTGCAAGGCCTCCTTTGTTGCAAAATACATATGCACAAGGCCCCTATGGTCCCATGCTCCTGTCTCCAGGCGTGGTTTCCTACCCAAGCTGGAGCCCTTACCCGGTAAGTGGATTTTCTCTTGTTGCCACAAGTTTTTTAATTGTGTTTTCACTATCATTCAATTAAGTTGTGATATCTAATTGTGCAGGGGCCTGTAAGTCCTGTAGCATCTCCTGGTACCCAGTCTGCACTTGGCTCAAGTTCTGTATATGGTATAACTCAACTGTCGCCATCGGCACCTGCCTATACTGGGGCTTATTCACCTCTGCCTTCTTCAACTGGACCTTCAAGTAGTAGCCAAAAGGAGCACACTTTTCCTGAGAGACCTGGTCAACCAGAGTGTCAATACTACATGAAAAATGGCGATTGTAAGTTTGGATCGTCATGTAGATACCATCATCCGCCAGAATTCAGTGCACCAAAACCGAATGTAGCTCTTAGTCCCTTGGGTCTCCCCTTGCGTCCAGTAAGCACTTCTGCAAACTACTTTGTCTTGTGAGACTTGGATCGTGATAAGCTGTTTGTTATCACTGTAGTGTCTGCCTATCTCTTAATATAAACTTATGTTCAACTTGGTTCCTTTTCTTCCAGTTGTGTACACCTGACGATTACGTTCTATATGTCTCTTAAAAGTATGTGAAGCTGTTAAAGTTGCTTTCGATATGTGGCTGCTTTTGTACTATCCAAGTCTTGCTTCATTTCTCTGGAATCTTTCTTCCTCAAATGTTATTATTTCTTCAGCAGTCATATTGCACCTTAAACTGCTTTTTGGTGAATGTTATGCCTTCCATTTTTCACACGTGGCTGTTATTTCCATTTAGTTTGGAATTCTGTATCTGGGTCACACATCATATTCTGGTTCTCTGTTCATGTTGGTAGTAGACCCCTTCTCTCTTAGCTCTAGTATGCACGAGCTAAAGTATCAACTGTTCTTGTGATCAACATTTTTGAAGCTTGTTATCCTTTTGAGACAAGATTTCTTACTATCTGTCTTTCCACTGGTGCATATGATATATTTTGGGGCTTGCCATGGGTATGTCTTAACACTTGGTAGGGAGATTGCACACATATAACGAAAAGAGTATAGAGTGGAGTGTGCATAATGCTGTATACATTGGCTGAGTATGGTCATAGACGTAAGGGGGGTAAGCTATCTACTGCTACTCTGCTTACCCATTCTGTCCTTAGTTGGGGGGGGGGGGGGGGGGGGGGGGGGGGGGGGGCATTCCCAATATCCTGCATATGCATGCTTTACTTGCACTTATGAATTTTTATTTGGGATAATGCTGCAATGGATTTGATGTTTGATTAGATGGGTAGATGAGTTAATGGGAATGGAAGAGGTTTTTTAAGATAACTCGGACAAGTTGTTCTGGGATGCTGGGTACTTCCTGTGATTTTCTCTTTGTGGATTAACTTTAAGTGACTCCGGAGGTCTCAAAGAAGTTAAATTGTTTGATGTTGTCTCTCCTATGAATATGTTCTTGTTTAGGTATTTTAAATGTGCCACAAGCAACCTTATGTTATCAAGAATCTGATCTTTGATGGAATATTTATTGGATCACAATATTATTATTTTTTGAATATGACTTTCTCTATTGGCTTTGATATCTACGTTTTCCTACCCAGCCGTCCAAATCTATGTTCTTCCCAACAAGGATCCAAATTGGATACCTTGTGTATTCCGAACCTCTGTGCCAGCGTTTTGGTGCATTCCTGTCCTTTCTGAACGTCATGTTATGAGCTTATTTTCTAATGGGATCTTGGCTAGTAATAGTAACTAGACATGATTATGTTATTCCTTTTAATAATGATGCTGGCCTCTATGTTAAATGGTACGGCAGGAATTTCCCATCTCCAGAATGCATTGAGCGTGAAACTTCTCTCACATTTTGTTGTCTCTTTGCTGTGCTTTTGACATTTTTTTTTATCGGTCTGTTGATCATAACTATGAAATCTCCTTCTGCCCTGCCTCCCCTTGCTTTTGACTTCAAGCCAATTAATGTGTTCCTTTTTTCTTAATCAGGGGGCCCCTCTTTGCACTCACTACACGCAGCGCGGGCAATGCAAGTTCGGTCCAGCATGCAAATTCGATCATCCAATGGGAATAAGTTACAGCCCATCTGCGTCATCCTTGGCCGATATGCCTGTTGCACCATACCCCGTAGGCTCTTCAATCGCCACCCTTGCTCCATCTTCCTCATCTTCGGAGCTACGCCCTGAACTGACAGGAGGATCTAGCAAGGACTCCTCCAGTAGAATGGCATCATCATCGGTAAACACCTACAGTGGGTTCGTAGGCTCAACTTATTCAAGTGCTCAGCAACCTTCTTCTGGTTCTTTAACTGGCAGCAGCAGCAGTGGCAGTAGCAGCAGCAGCAGCAGTGCTCATGCCTCTAGCTAATTGAAAGGTTATTGCAACTTGCCTGTTCATTCTACCTCAGATCAACATTCATGAAAGCCACTATCTTTTTTTTTTCTTTCGGTCCAAGCTAGCCGTCGACTAGGAAGCAAAAAGGTTCTCGTAATTTTATAGTCCTTGATATGGCCATCTACCCTTTTTCCCCCCTCATCTTTTGAATAAACTATGGCCAAAGTTTAGTGAACTCCCCCAATATATGAGCCTTGCTCCCCCCACCCTCCTTTTTTGTTTGAATAACCATGAGAGGTTACTTGCAGTTCTCTTGTTCCTCTCTCTCATTAGCAGAAAGTCTAAGTCCCAAGGAAAGTTGGGAGGGGATGGTTGGTGTGGAGAATAGTAAGCATATTCTATGTTCTCTTCTTTGTTTCCAAAGATGAACGAAGAATGAGAAACATCACAAGATTCTTCCTTTCACTTCACAGCCTAATGGCTTCCAATTTGTCCAGTGAAAGAAAAAGAAGGAATTGGAAGGGGTTTTCTTGTTCAACCCCCCAGTTTTTTGTTGCAGGGGTTTTAGTGTGAAGGAAAAAAAAAAAAAAGAAATACCAGAAAAAAGACTTGTGGAAAAAAGATGGGAGGCAGAATCTCAATGCTCTCTTTACCTTTTCTTTTGAACACCCATCTTTCTTCCAATGTGATTAGATGCATAGTTGTTCTTATATGTATTGTTCCCCACAATGAAGACCTCTCTTTGTTCCTATCTTTCTGTGACATTGTTATTGGTGAATCCTGTTTATGCATAGTTTACAATGTATACCAAGAATCCCTACCTTCTTTTGATTGTAATAATGAGATGAATTCCTCCCTCTCTCTCTCTATCTCTCTCTCCCACATTTCCTTCATTTCTCATTGAAAAGTGGTTGCATTGAAAGTTACGTGCCTTTATAGATATACCATCTTCTCTTGTCCAGTTGCCACCTCGTGTGCCTCTTACTGTTAAGGTGCAACAAAAAAACAGGGATTCAACGCATGCTTCGTTGGTTGAGTAATCATGTCTTCATCATCAATGTTAACGCGTTCAATTCAGTTCTAAATTTCACAGTGACTGATAAGTTTCTCTGAGATTTTCTGTGACCGCGAGATCTTGTTACTTAGGAGTTGATCCGGTAGCAATGAAGTAAACAATCAAAAGTGTCACTTTTGAAAGGAAGGACTTGTGCAAAATCTGTGTGACCCTATTTTATATAATTATCAATTTATCATACATGCCTTTCTTTCTTTGTTTGTGTTTTGGTATTGTACGGTACACTCCTTCACTTTCACCCCACACGAAAGAAATAAAAGATTGCACTTCAAAAGGAAGGATGGTGACAGCTGCTTGCCTGCCTGCCTATGCGATTTCATTCAAAGCAAACGACAATGTGCCAGAGCAGGAATTAAAAGCAAATTGGTTCGACATTTAATGATATAATAATAATTAAGGCCTAAATTTGAATTGATTTCTTTAGCGACCAAACTCTTGGTTAAAAAAAATATTTTTTTTTAGCGACACTGCTTAGGAAATCATGGGTCGTGCCGTGTGGTCATGGCGTCGCATGGCCTACGTCATCCCCGCCATTTTTCTATTGTGATTTGTAAGTGAGGTGGGGTGGGGTTGGGTTTCCCATTGTCGACAAAAAGTAAGGCAATTGGCCGAAAGACGGACGGAATACCACTTTCTTAATGGAACTTCTGCATAAATTTACACGCTATACCATATACCTTACTGCTCGACATTATTATTATTATTTTGAATCCATGCATGTTAGTTAGGCCATGTTTGGAGGATGTGATTGTCTAAATTCATGTATTTGTTCAATTACTGTATTATGATTTGAGGTATTGATTGAATGTATGTATTAGACAAATCCCTTGTTTGGATGTGTTAAAGATTGTGTATTGGTTGTAAAAAGAAATTACACTTTTTGAGATCAATGACATTAATGCCCTCCCCTTTTTGGATTGAAGAGGGCGTTCAGGTAAAGCTATATGGTTTGGAATGTGGATGTTTTGTTGATGAACCTGAGAATTGATTACAGTTTGATAATAATGTCATTACATATTTCTAATAATAAACCAACAAGTTACATTATTAAAAACAAGCTACAGTTTAATAATAGGACACCTAAAACAAGAGCAGTTCAATTACATATTAAACCATCCCAGCCAACAACACCAGCCAGCAACATCATTAAAAACAAAAGCTACCTTCAGGCTTCTACTAATGCCATTTCAGATTGGCTACAATTATGGAGTGATGCCTTACACATCAGGTTCTCCATTCATACAAAATATATCTTAACCATAATGTAAATTGGCTACAAGATATTCCTACAAAGTTCCTTCATATGCATCAGTTGATGAGACGAAAGAGGAAGGCAAGCTTCTCTTCATCTGTGGGAAGTTGGTAGTACAACTGGGCAATTCTATCCTCCTTGACAAGAATCAAGGCAGCTGATATAACTTGATCTTGTGACAAACCTTCCAACTGTGACAGTTCCTCAAACAAGGTCTCTCTCCTAATCATCAAAGGATCTTCATGGCAAAAGCTATTCGCCATCCTCTCAATGTTCATGTTAGCCTTCTCCATGAGTGGATGTATTTTTACGATTTCAGAAGCCACAACAGCACTGCTAGTTGAACTCCTATCGATCTTTGACCTCTTGTTGCTAACAGATGCATTTGTTGCCTTAGAACCAGCAGGTTTTGGATCCTCCAGCAACTCCCTATGGTTAATACCTTCATTGATCATCTCCTCCAGCACACGTTGGCTTGTTTCATCGTTGAGCATAATGGGGTCTTCACTCATGCCCCTTCGAAAACGAGCCTCCACTTCTGCCTCCATATCAGCTGCAGACCCAGCTTGACTACCAACTGCCCTGTCCTTGCCAAATACTCTGGCAAGCTGGTCATAATACACAAAACTTGTCTTGTTCAGGCCAGAAAAGTGGGAATGGCTTTGCAAAATGACAAAAGTGGAAGGAAGCTGGTCATCAAAGTTGTACATAGGACTGTAAATAGGTAGTTGTAAGATAGAGTAAACTGTTACCTTAACCCAGTTCTTAAAAACATCATCATCAGCAACAATGATCTTCTTAGATTCATCCCATCCAAACCCACTGCAGCTCCCATTCTGGACGTCATATATGGCATTGTACTTATTCTTGAACCAACGGTGCCTTTATCTCACATTCAAGTTAAATCCTGGAATTTTTTTCACCATCATAGCTTCAAGCTTCTTGAAACCCCCATTCTTCAAGTTCCCAGACTCAACCTGCCTAGATTGAACCAGGTCCAGCATGCACTCGATGAAGACAACATCATGCTTCTCCGTCCATTTGTTGTACTCCCTCAACCTTCCTTGTGCAACATCATTCATTTCACCATCAGCAACTTCATTTTCGGCCATTCTCCAGTTGTTACGCTGCAGCCAGATCAAGAACAATTAAGTTAAACGTGAGTAATGAACAAAAAGAATGAACACACCAGCACCATTATGAAAACCTGCAAAAACAAATCTAGTAATAGGAACTAACCAGGAAGGCAGTATAACAGCCTGCAAAATGGAAGATATTATTTGAGTCCCTGAACAGCCCACTAACCCCTTTTTATGCAGAAGTAACATTGAATACAACCAACAACCGAATAACAACTCATCATAAATGAGCATATCCTTCTGTAATCTTTCATATACTGTTTAACCACTTATGCAATCATAAATGAGACCACCCACACACAGTACTTTCAACACATCCTCCATAAAGACAGCAACATTAGGTTCAAATCAAATTACATCATCATCATTCAGTTAGCCACTTAATAGGATAGCCACAAAAGGGGAATTACAAAAGACCACTTAAATCAACTAGTGATCCAAGTCCTAACAGCCCATAACTATTCGATCATCTCAGCCCATCCTCCATCAACTAGTAATCCAAAACACAGCAGCACCATAACTATTCGATCATCTCATCCCATCCTAAATCAACTAGTAATCCAACTCCTAGCAGCCCATAACTCTTGAGCCAAATTTTGTCTAAAATCTGACCACTCGACTGTAGGTTGAATATGGAGTATCAGATCCTCGTCCACATCTTCTGTTTCTTCATCTGGGTCTTCATCAACGTACAAACGCTCAAACACATCAGCACCATTCTCTCCACGAATAAAGTTGTGCAACAGATAACAGGCATTGACGATTTTTGTGACCATTTTGGTTGAAAACCAAGTGGTTTCTCTCAATATTGCCCAACGCATCTTCAGTATGCCAAAAGCTCGTTCTACACCATTCCTTGCTGTTGAATGCCTCATATTAAAAATTTCTTCAGGACTTCTTGGTCGTCTACCACCCCACTCTTTTAGATGATAACGTTGACCTCGAAAAGGAGATAGGAACCCTTCGCAATTGCTGTAACCAGCATCACATAAGTAGTAGTAACCTGTCGAGAAAGCATTATTACACCATAAGTCAAATTGAAAACACCATGAACTTCCAACTTATGTAGACAAGAAAGCATTTTAACAAACCTCTAGGAACCTTCAAACCATTGGGCCTAATAAGTGCATCTCTCAAAACCCTCCCATCATGAGCCGACCCCTCCCAACCAGCCAAACAATAAATGAACTCCATATTTTGATCAACAACACCTAGGACATTCATTCCAATCGTTCCCTTACGATTACGGTATCTTTCTTGATTCTCTTTCGTTGCACGTACATTGACAATTGTACCATCTAGAGCCCCTAGGCAATTCTGTAAGAAAAGCATCAGGGACTATCAAATGCATCAAGGAACATAACATTCATATACTTGGTAACAAAATCAGAAGAAAATACCTTGAAGTGCTTCCATTTCGGATCGTCAGAATTGTGGAGAACCGGCTTGGGTTTACGAAGTAGGATAGAGTGAAGTTTCAAAACCGAACGCAGGACCAATTTGATCACCCTACAAATTGTTTCTCCTGAACGGCGGAAGGTAGCTTGCAGTTGACGATTCTTCTCATTATGGGCTATGGTGTAGAGGAAGATCGCAACCATTTCATCTATCTCAATGTTCCAACTACACCTAAGTCCTCCCTCATCTCTAAGAAGCATACAAAGCTTCTGAAAAGTCCTACAATTCATTCGAACAAGCATGGTGCAAGATATGTCGCCATGAGAAACGATACACCGCATAAAAGAATTCCTAGCTAATTGTCTAGCAATTGGTGTCTCCCAAGATGAAACATGTTCTACGGCCTGCTCTTGTTCAGATTCTAATGCCTCATAATATCGTAGAAGGAGATTGATGAAATTGAACAAGAGCTCCAAATATGCGGACACTGCCGCAATGACGGCTTTTTTCCTCTGTTTGGGGCACCTTGCCATAACCTACAAATGGATGTCAAGTTACAAAATCGAAAAGATGAAGGATTACATTGGACAATCACAAATGGGAACTGAGTAGGATTGAGGTACATACCTGTTTGTTTTAACCAACTACGACCGAGCTCCTTTACGGATATACCTGTTCGATTGCAGCCCTTGCACTTTGATTCCCGGCAAGTCGTCTGATGTCAGGATGTACAAAAGGAGGCCGGCGACGAGGCGTTGATGATAAGAAGAGGTTTCCAGGTCCGTTAACCTAGATGAGGCCGGCGACGAGGCAGGCTATTGTCAAACCAGGGTTTTTTTTTGTTCTTTCTCGTTTTCTATTGTCAAACCAGGCCTCGAATGTGAGGAGAGATAAGAAGATGCTGGCAAGGACAAATTGTGGAATAAATGAAATTTATAGGGACACTAATGGAACAAAAAAGCCAGCCACAATACTTGGTTCACAATCTCACATATTTGTAGAGATTGGTAAATCATTCAAAATGAGGGATTATATAAGGGCCCCCAAAAGTAAATACAAGTATTCAATCTCTAATTGAAACAAAAAAACGACTGAATCCCATGATTTCATGTATTGATTAAATACATCAATGAAAATCACATCCTCCAAACATGGCCTTAATTAAGCTTGCGAAATTGTTAATACATATGAGAGATTACATATTTGAATTTATCGATCACGTCAATTTTTCGGAAATACGATTTTTATTTTTATAAGAAGGGGTAGGGCTGAGAAACGGTGCGGTCTGTTCCCGACTAGACCATATATACGGTCTATGGTCCAGACCGAGAGATTGAAGTATATACCATAGACCAGACCACAAACTATACGGTCCGGTCCAGACCACGCCTGTGCGGCAGTGGCGGATCCAGGGGGTGGCCACCCCGGGCCCCGGCCCAGCCCTCCTCTGGATCCATAGTTAATATAGACCTTATGAATTTTTTGATTTTAGATATCCGGGTCGTACAATAAGATTGGGTATAATTAGAAAAATGATTCAGATGAACATATTCAAAATCACTACTTTAAATTAGCTTATAAATTCTAACCCCAAAGGTTATTCGTCTAAACAAACAATGAAACCTAAAAATTCAAAAAGTATAAAACGTAAAAGACTAATACATATATGAGGTTTGTTACCTTGAAAATTTACTAGAGTAGCTAGCGGATATAGGGATGGAAACACAATGCAAATTGATTAGTAGATTGATTTGTCTAGTGTTGATGCTCCTCGTTTCAACAGCTAATACGAAGAGAACCTTTTCAACAATGAAACATGTGAAAATTGATTTGCGCAACAAAATGAGCTATGGATTTCTAGTCGATTGCTCAAGTATTTTATTTGAAGAGTGTATACTATTGGTATGGATGTGGACTCTTTTATTAATGCATTCGCTAAATTAAAATACCGTCGTGTACAATTTACATTGTAAAAAAATTATAATCATAATATTTTTTTACTATTCTCATTTTCTAATGAAATGCGGCCCAGTGCACTTCTGTGTTCTGGATCCGCCGCTGCTGTGCGGTCTGGTTCGGTCTGGTCTGGTCCAGATAGAACACACTCAACGAAAAGTGAATAATTTGTTTAGTCAACCACACAAAAATTGAACCAACAACCAAGAAAAATAATTGTTATTTTTCTTAACACATTAATCCTAACATGCATGAATAATTTTGATACCCTAAATCTTAGTACATAACAAAGACACAAAGTAAAAGCATCCCAACTTGCACCATAACGTCATAAACATTAACATAATGTCATATGAAGACACAATTATCTCTATTCTCTTGTTAAATGTGGTTGTGAATGAAGGAGGATGAGATTCACAAAACTAAAGGTGAGACTTGGGTGTCGTTGTGGGAGTTGGGAGAATGGTCGAATGGGCTGTTAACACGTCTTGACAAGTCGGTTGGGTCCATGGTTTGGGTTCGGTAAACCGCGGTCTAGATCAAACCAGACCAAAAGATCAAACATAAAATAATACAAATCATGGACCAGACCAGACCATATTTAACGGTCTACGATCTGGACCAAACTGTGCGGTACGGTTTGAACCACGATTTTTCTAATGGTCTGGTCTATTTTCCCAACTCGGGATATTATGCTATGTGAATCCATGAATCCATAGCAAACAAACAAACAAAAAATCCAAAATTATGGATTTTTCTACATGTGAATTGTATACGTAAACAAAACAGTTACGTTGAAGTGATAATCATAATCTATAGTTAAAATGAGTGACAAACTCCATTTTCCATTAAAAAAGGGATTGTCTGGTTGGGGAGGGATTGTTTGATTTAGGGTTTAGGAAATAAATTGTGTTGAGGTAAATATGTCAATTTGGTGTATTTTAGGGTGATAAAATTTGAATTTTAGTACGACAAATAGGAATTCAAAATTTTTTTTCACAAACTTTCCTAAAAATTCTGATGACACGAAAAACAATCATGATCGTCGACTTAAGCATTCACTTCCACAATAATTTAACCCCAAAACCACGCGCGCAAAATGTTTCATTCCCTCTCACGTTTTACTTACAAAAGAACTACATAATCATATGGCAGCGAGATTAACTAGAAAGCAAGACCCGAGAAGACCGGGATGAAGAACCCTAGCACTAGCATGCACGTGAATATATAAAACTCTATATATATATTAGCGTACGACTCATAACTCAACTGGAACACATAAATACTTCATAATCATAAAATCATAATTAGAACAACGAGTAGCCAAAATCCACCGACTCGCCGCCGTAACTCGTCCCCGAACCATACGACTGACTCGCCGCCGCCAGCCCGCCGTAACACGCCGCCCCACTGCCGTCACCATTCTGCTCATCATAACGACGATCGCCAGGGCTCGAGTACAGCGGATTCATCATGTTCCCGCCCTCCATGCATGCGTCATCCACCCTCATCGTCCGGCAGCTGTTGATCACCGCCGACAGGTCCCCGGAATCGTACCCGTCCCACGACGGCGACCACGACTCCTCCCCGCCAAAAGCAAGCCCCGCGTTACCAAACGACGGCGTTTTGGGCTGCCCGTTGTTGCTGCTGGAAGAGGAGGATCCCGACCCCGAGGAAGGCGGGCGGAGGCAGTTATCCGGTACGATGCAGCCCAGGTACCCGGAATTGGACTCGTCCACGTCAGCGGCGGGGAACAAGCAGGAGAAATCGTGATCCCCGGCTGGCGGCGGCGGGCTGCGATCCGGTGCGGGCGGGCTATTATCGTACTTGGGTGCGGGGTAGTTGATGAGGAACGGGTGGTGGTGATGTGGCGGCGGTGGCATGAATGTAATTTGGTGGGGGTCGTAGGGAGATAAGAGGGAATGGAAGTTGTTGTGATTATTATTATTATTATTGGGCTGGGCGTAGACGAAGTTGGTGCGGGCCTGGGTTCCCTTCATGGACAAGGCGGCCCGGTCGTAGGCCAGGGCGGCCTCCTGGGCCGTGTCGAAGGTGCCGAGCCAGTGCCGCTCTTTCGTGGTCGGGTCGCGGATCTCGGCGGCGTAGCGGCCCCAGGGGCGGCGGCGGACGCCCAGGAAGCGGCCCGGCTCGGCCTGCTTGTTGCGGCGGCCTCGGCGCTCCGTGGCGGGAGGGGAGGACGACGACGTGGCGGGGTTTCGTTGGAGGATGGTGAAGGTTCCGCCGGAGGCGGCGGCGGCGGGGGAGGTGGTGGTGTGGAGGTGGAAGGGTTGTTGATCGTGTTTGGAGGCGGCGGTGGACATGGTTTGAGAGTGATGATGAGAAGGAATGGTAATGGGTAGTGTTTGGTTTGTGAAACTATGGTGTAGAGAGAGTGGACAAAGGTAATGAGATGTGAGTAAGGGAGTGAAGTGAAGTGAGGTTGGAATAGGTGGAAGGAGGGATAGGTTGGGGGTTTTTAAAGGGAGGAATGGGTTGGGGTTTTAGAGGAGATCTTGTGAGTCAAAAAAGATAGGAGAGAGAAGGAGCTCATGAAGTGATTCTTTGTAATTGTTTATGAATATAGTATGGTAGGAGTAGAATACATATATGGTGGTAGCTTCATTCTTGTAGAATGAGATGAAAAGGACAACATGCACTTTTATATATATATATATCCTTCTTTCTTATGGCTAAGATGTGATTTCAAGTGGCAAATTGGTTGGTTAAGTTGAAAGTTAACGGTGTCTTATGAGCCCTATCTTAGGTATAATGATTTCTTTTTAACGAGGTGCATTATTTATTGAATATTTAACCAATATTATTGTTAGATGAGAATCTCATCACCATTAATTTATATGAATAACGAGAATAGATAATTAGAAATGTTCTTATAAAATTATTGACCCAAATTGCTGTAAGTGAATTTTGACACATAATTGGTCAATTTGAACCTTTTGAACAACCATATGTGAATATTGAATTGTTGACGAGACGGAAAGTTATACGAAAGATCTTATTATTTCCCCAAATGTAATCTCGGTTTTCAAATGTAATTGAGTGGCATTGCTAATTAGCAAGATCGAGGTTGGGTGGGATATGATAAAAGTTATAATGATTAAGCTGAAGAACACATAGATGAAGATGAGAGAACTATGAATATTGGGAGCTCAAGAAAGAAAGCCCTTCGAACATAAAAACATCATCATTCCTTTAGCTAGTTCTAGGCTGAAAATCGTGAGCTCTTCTGCCCTACACTAATGCATCTTAGACCTGACCCCAAAAAGGGGTCGCATCAGAAGTTTATTGTTCAACACTCTAAGCTAGGGTTTTAACCGACAAAGTAAACTGTATGTAAAATTGAACCATGTGAGATAACTAACTAACATGAGGTAAATTAGAAGCTATAAAAAGCATTGTATGTGGCACGTCATGTTCACGTGCAAAAACCAAGTAGACATATATAGCTAGCTAGCCAACCCTATCTAGCTAAGCTACTTCATTCACTCGATCGAGGCTATATGTATATAGTTAGGGTTAGGGTTAGGGTTATAGGGATGTGGAGGGGCAATATCAATTACTTACTGCCAAAGAACAAATGGGTGAGGTGGTGATCAGGAATGTCAAAGTAGCTAATCACGATTAGAGAGCCCTCTTAATTATATTAGCCCCCTAGCCTTAGCTAGCTATAGTAGGTTGCCCATGATTAGACCAAACTCCAAGTCATAGTGATTTGGAGTCTGACAATCTCATTCGTTGATCAATAATACCCTTGGAATTCTAGTTAGAAGGAAAATGATCGACCTCTCCAGATAGTTGACTGGTTGGCCCTGACGTAATTACTGTTAGAACATGATTCCGTCACTAAAATGAAAAAAATGTTCGACTTATTCTATCACGCAATCCATCGGTTGACTATCACCTTATCAATGTGGAGTGAGATTCCATAATTAGAAAAGTTTTAGTAATAAACAAGACACATGAACCATTTAATTCAGTTTATTGTCAATGAAAAACTCAATAAATAACCACCTATTTTTTTTGTTTATCAATATAAAATTTGTGTAAATAAGTTATCGTTGTTTTTTTAGCTTCGTGAAGAAGAACAAATCCACCATAACTAACGTTTAATAATAGATTTGTTGACGATAACGATATGTTTCACTACAAATTATGGGCGCTGAACATTTTGTTCTCCAAAGCTGGTCATCTTGCACAACATAGTTGTAGATCGGAACAAGCAACAAGTCTGTTAGGTTAGCATCTTTCACTTGAAGCGGTCGACCTATATGACAAGATGATTGACATGATATAACAAATTTTTTGGTGTAGGCATGACGCCTTGAATTCAGTCGACATGGAAACTAAGAGGTCGGCCTATGGTTCTTTGGTCAACCTTCATAATGTTATAGAACACAAAGTCAATACATTTGGTTGGTTTAGGCATCTCCTCTTGAACTCACTCGACCCGTGAAAGTGAGCGATCAACCATTGTAAAACTTGTCAATCACATGCCATATAAATCACTACATCGGTCGACTAAATTTTGCGATCGGTCGAACGAATTGTGCTCAGACTCCAAACCACTATGATTTATAATTTTTACAAACTTACCATAGCCATTATGTATCCATTTGATTAAACACTCTTTATGTTTTGATTTCCATTTATCTGGGGTACAAATGTATCTAGACTCTATAGTTAGGAACTAAGATTTGACGAAATGAGTCATCACGAATTAGTATATTAATCATCTCTTGTGGGGATGGTGTGGTGGATTGGATTTTACTTCCTAATGGCTATACCCGATAAGACCACAAGAAGAAGATAACCGAGTTGGTTTTTGGGGGAGTGCAATTCTTCCTAGAGAGACTCGAAAACATTTGAATAACGATGTTCTTCTAAATTGGCGTTTTGTGCACAATTTTGTCTTTGCATTTGCTTGCCCCAAACGATAAAACCACTTCTTCTTCTTCTTCTTCTAAGTTCGTGGGCACATGTGGGAACCCGCGTTTTATGCAAACCCATATGGAGGAATGATCAATATGTAATTTGGATGGGTCTCCAGGTTTTCAACGGGGGCAGTTGCATTGCCATTTTATCTCTTAACTAAACCTAAACAAATGCTAGTTGCACCCAAAACATGAAACATTGTGTACTAATCAACTGGGTTAAGTCATACTATGATGATGTTGAGCTAGTTGGTTCGAATTTGATAAGATCTGTACTTTGTACTTTTCTCATATTGTTTAATGTAGAAGTAGCAATAATGAAGAAAAAATATCTTATCCTATTACGAGTAGTACCATTAATCTTGTCAAGTTTTCAAAATTGAATATTTTTAATTCCAAGTCTATTATTAACAAAATCGAGGAGTAGCAATATTTTCATAGATTGGTGAGTTGGTATATCTATGTCGCTTATAAACTGAATGAAATGTCGAAAAACCGTTATTGTATGAAAATAAGTCATATCAAGAATCAATAACTTAATTTAGTGTAGGAGAATAACATTTTTGTTTTACACTGGACAGTAAGTTTCAGTATGTAGTGCTAGGGAAGACTGACATAAGATCTACATTATTAAGCCCCTAATCCACTTACACAAACACATGAATTCCTTAAGTGCTAATTAGTTTAATTCATAAATTAGTATAGGCTCTTTCTTTCTATCATGTTCTGTGTGTTATAGAAGCTGCAGCTCCACACATAAAGAGAGGACCAGGACAAGAGCATATACATACTTGATTAATAATTACTAGTTAATTATGAATAAAAAATTTAACCCATGTCATTAAAGTCAAAAGCTCATTTCCTTGTTTTCCCATGTTTGTCATCTTCTGCTACTTCACAAGTCACATGGTAGCATTGTGGAAGCAAAACCAAAGTCTTTGCTCTGTGAGTACTATGGTCAACAGATTGTCTAATTATTTATCCTAATTACTAATTCCCAAGAGGGACACTTGTACTATAGATTAATAACTAGTACTCAAGGTTCACTGGAATAAGTTTTTTTTTTTTTTAATATAATCCTTTGATGTAGAGTCGTTGATAACCAATTTCGCTACTTATTTTACTCTTTAGTTAAATCTCTATGAAGGGAACAAGTCCCATTAAGATCGAAAGAGTCAATGACGTCCAATAAGTGTGCAAATGATCGCTACTTCTCCGTCTTCTCTCAATCTGACCATCTAACAAACCAATTATGCAAGCTCAAATGAGTGACAATTATTCTCAATGTTTTCAAGTTTCAACAAGTACTTACTACATGTTAGACCGGTTCCTGAAAATGTAATCGAAATCGCGACATGTCATATAATTTTGTTATAAATTGAAGTACTCAACCACTTTAAAAGGAAAAAACTTTATGTACATAAAAACTTGTTAATGACCCACACATGTGGCAAAAAGAGTGTTCCAGGAAACCTGCACTTTTGAAGGACTTCTATTCTACATATGGTCAGCTCTCCTTTTCAAGAAATTCAGAAAATATGTTGATCAACAACACACAACAACAACAAAAAAGCAAATTATAATTCCCTTCTATGGGTCTCAGTCAGTCAGCCTCTCATCATCAGTACTAAGAAAGCTTGGGACAGACATCTCATGATTCTCCAAAAAGTGAGAAGAAAAAGGGTTTCAGTTCTTCTGTGGAGAGTCAAAAGGGGCAATTAGGAATGAAAGGTGGATTGTTTGTCTTTGTCATGTCATCAAGTAGTTGATTAATTAAACTAATTAACTAAACTAAAACCCTTCTTTAGTTAATGGGCTCCCAAATCCAAGCAGCAGCACGAGGCAGGCAATAACACTATAGGGTAGGAATATTGAACTTCTCATAAGTGGGGTCATTAGAGTGGTTAATTAAGTAGTTTTGATTAACTAGCCATTTTGGCAGATACTTAACTTAGTTGATGGATGACTAGAAAGGGAAGAGTTTTCCTTTTTTTTTTTTTTTTGTTACATGAATTGCCATCGGGAAAGGCATAACCTAATCTGCTAATCATCACACATGAAATAAAGATGCACTAGACAGACACTGTTGTGTAACAGTGGTCTATTATCTATCTCAAATTTTAGGTTTTACTATTCACGTTCTGTATCATATACGCTCAAAGTAAATATTACCCGCATCGGAAAAGCCATAACCTAATCATCGTAATTCTTACCCATGAGAGATTTTAAAAGCAAAATGTTTTGCAAAGTTTTTGATCAACCACTACTTTAGAGTTGCGAAACTTCGGCTACCTCTTTGCATTATTTTTACAATCGTGTACTCTGCTCTGTATACTAACAACTACAGACAGTACCGTACAAGTTTTATACAAGGAGGTGAGCTAAAAATTCTGGGCAGACAACCCTTGCACTCTATCAATTGCTTCAACCTTTCCACAAATTCCACGCTTGTGTAACTCTTCTTCTCGTATAATCGTCGACATCTTTCTCTCTGTATCTCGTTGATTACCAAGTTCCATATGAGTCTGCCAGCTTTGCAATTTTCAAACACTGTAACGACATCTTCCAACCCTTCCTGCCAGCTTCCAGTAGGCAATTGAGATGATGATTATCGACTTGCCTTCACTTTGACGAGCGAATCAACTTGTTTAGTAAATAGTAAACCGTATCTAGTCAGACCTTTGTAAAAATGTCTGCAAACTGATCGTATGTTCTAACATACTTCAATTTTGATCATGGTATGATCCTCTCTAGTTACATGCACGTACATCTATCTCAATGTGCTTCGATCTCTCATGATAAACTCTCTGTAATCTAGGTAACATACATGTTATCATAGTAGGCCACCGTTGGCGTAACCAGCTTCACATCCATTTCTTGTGACAAACCCTTACCATCATAATCTAACATACTTCACTTTGATGAACGAATCAACTTCATGAAAACAAAAAACAAAAAAAAAATTGAAAACTGTTCAACCTTGCTAGCTCTTATGTTCCCTGCATCACAAGCTTATATTGTTTTACCCTAACTTGTAGAATTATACGTACAAGACTGTAGGTCACTACCATACCATGACAAAACGCTATCTAGAACTAATTAAGTTATAATTTATATTGTGTGGTGGTTTGATTAGGGTCATAGAATCCATGAACACCTTGACTCTTCCACTAAGATTTGAAAAGGGTACTTATTAATTATTAAAAATAAATAAATTATGATATTGGATTCATTGGATCGGTATTGATCAACAGTTTCATTTTCGCCTTTTTTTTTTCCTTCTCTGGTTCACCAGACACTACGTACCCACTTGGATTTGTTTCCATACATTCAAAATGTTCTCACGTGGGCTAGAATCTCCCATTTTCTTTCTTATGGGTTTCTCGTAATTTCAATTAATCTTTAGGGTTTGGGGGACAATTTACTAGTGTATGTTTGGAGGTAGTTGTTTTGAGGAATTTTACAATGCTATATAGTATTGGTGCTATATGTTTTTTGTTTTTATGGTACAACTTGAAATTGTACCTTTAACGTTGTGGTATAACTTCAGATTGTACCTATACTTTTTGTACAAATTCTTTTATGGTACAACTTGAACTTGTATCTTTATGTGATGGTACAACTTCAAGTTGTAAAGTTGTATTATTAGAAGTTATACCATCACATAAAGATACAAATTCTTTTATGGAACAGCTTAAACTTATACATTTAATGTTATGGTACATTAAAGCACCAATATTATATAGCATAGTAGTAGTGCTCGTTGTTCTGGCCTAGATTAAGGTTATGCTTTTGAAGAAGAGTTTAGAGGAAGGAGAGGACAGATGGACTCCAGCCAAAGGGGTAGCAGTAAGATTTTAGTGGGATAGAAGTAGAACTGTTTTTTTTTTTTTTTGGGTAGTCCATAGATTGAGGGAGACATTTTGATTTTCATGAAATTAAATGGGAAAGGAAGTATTTATTTGAAAGTTAAGATATTGGGTCAAAACTCAAAACGATGAGATAACAAACACTACTTGTAAATTGAAATTTCAGTTGTTATCAAATTGGTAGTGATAGCGCACTTTGATTGTGTTTATTTGAGGTTATTTTTTCAGAAATCAAGAGAACATGACATGTATCTGTCCTAGGGCGGACCTAGTTCATGGAGAGATCTATCAAACAACACACCTTTGTATGAGATTTCAATGAAAATGTTGTATTTCGTTATTAAAACAAATTTGAAATTAGGATCTCTGACACATCTCAAAAAATTATAATGACACATATGTTGTAATTACAAGTAGAGAAATAATCTTTTTCTTACTATGAAGTTAATAGAAATTGATATAGGAAATCATCTTAGTGACCAATTTATCACAAATTATTGGGCTGTATGCGTTGAAAAAATATATAAGTTTCAAATAAGTAAAACATTTATTTTACAGACCTCTCATAATATAAAAAATTTGTTTCTCAAGGTGAAAATAATGAAATTGCGTATTTTTTTATTTATTTTATTAACCTTTTATTTTTATCGACCGAGACACCTCTAAAAAAGTTCTTGGTTCTCCACTGTATCTGTGAACGTATAAGTTAAACCTAAATGTTTCGTTTTAACGTCTGTTTGAAGAGTATGAGTCAAATGGATAGTTCAAGATCTTCAATCATCCACATAGTCATGCATGTTACGTGATGCATGGTAGGATATCAAACTCATTTCTTAAGCTCTCACAACAACTTATATTCACATGAGTTAGTTATTGGTACGAGAATTAGATATGGCAGGTGTCTGAACCATGACAATCTTCATATTGAGTTAAGTGCAAGATACGGCGAATCTTAAATCAATGTAACGAACTTTCTTTCCGGAGAATTGTGTAATGCTCTCTATATATTGAATTGAATGTGAGAAGTTATAGTGACTGAATAGTTCCTGTGAACAATATGGTGTACCATGGGGATATGGACATATGGTCGTGACGATATATGTATATTTGGCTTTTTCAGTTTCCATAATGGGTTGTTTCTGGTCATGGAATTTACCATAACCAGGGGAAAAGGGTCAGTCAAGGGGGTTGTCTAAAAGAGTGTGTAGAGGGGAGCCTGGTGATGATGAGCTAGCTAGATGTAGTTGGATCTGGAAAGGGATAGTTAGGGCTGAAGGGAGGGAAGGAGGAGCCTTTTAAAGAACATACTAGACATCAGTTTGGTTTGCTTGAAATGGTTGGGATTGTGGTTGAGAAAAGAAGAAGAAAAAAATGACCCATATGTTGCTTTTTTGGAGTCAAAGTGATGAATTGGAAATTGGATGGAGACAGTGTAGAAGTAGTACTAAATATTGTAGGGATGGGGGGTCCCTTGCTAAGGGTACAAGATTGTGACATTCAACAACTATTTAGAACTTTGCATATCAAGCATGTAGGTGTTTATTTTTTTAATTTACTATATGTGACGATAATTAAATTTTTCGGTGTGAGTGATGATCACGTAAAAGACGATAAATAATTGATCATATATGGTATTACTATCGGGGTTCAAACATGTAACGACAACGTTTGGAAATATGACGACAAGTCACAAAACCACATACACGTGGACTCATCAATGCCTATTACTAGTTTTTTTTTTTTTAATGTTATGAATGACTTGATATTACTAGTTACCTGTAGATCAACTATCATTCTTTATAAGATTGCTCGAAGTCGAGACAAAACATAACAATCAAATACTCTAATATTATATGAACAACCCAATCATTACAATAACACAAGTTATTAAGAGATGTGTGAGAATTAATCTTGCCACCATTTTCGCATAATGATGTCCAAAACAATTTCATCCCATTTTGATCCAGGTTTATCGAGGAACTTACCAAATGGGAAAAAAAGGACAAAAGGAGATCAAAGTTCAAGGGAGCCAAACTACTACTGTGGTCTGTAGTTGTTGCTGCTGCTCATGTTGGTATTTTGAGTCAGACTTGGAATTTCTGCACATTCTCCAAAAACAGCCGACCCACTTTAGGTACTTATTTAATTTTCTGGCAATCAAATTTGTTGCTTCCTTTTCTCTTCAAAAGAAGTCCCTGGTTTTAGGGAGGGCAAAAGTTGGGGAGATAATAAAGGTTAGAAATTAGGGTCTTGGGTTCATAAATAGTTGAATGGGTGGCAAATTACTTGACTGATTAGGAGGTTTGAAAGGTTAATGAATGAGGATTAACAATTTAATTAATGGGATAATGATTTTGAGAAATGAAAATGGTGGTCACATGCACAGAGTTAAGTAAGATGGCTCCCTAATCATACTTTTAATTTTTATTGGGTTGGTTTTATATTTATGGTGTGTCTTTTCAGTCAAAACCCACATTCGTGGGTTCCTGATCCATGCAATCATGGTGCAACAAATGTGCACGAATTGGTCTTTTCTATTTTTATTTCCGTTTAAATGAGTGATCATGTCCTAAGTAAACTTTCTGGGAATGGGTGATGGTTATGTTAATCCAAATGAAAATGTTGTCTGCCCCCCTTTGACAATAATATCTGTAATCTAATTATATGATCAAATGTATAAATGATACTCTTTGATAAGGATTGTGTATGCTTATATTTTTTGGTTAGGTGCTATTTATGAGATGCAAATATGGAATTTCTAGGTTCAATACTAGTAGTATTATCACCGTACAAAGTCTTTATTCACATATAACTATAAATGAGGTAGTCTAAGCAATATCACAGTCAAGACTTTATCTAATGAGAACTGAGTTTTTTTAAGAACATTCACCTTAAAACTAATTCTTTTAGAGTGACTTGCGATATGTTCTCATAACCTAAAGTACATCTGTACTCACCAAACTGTCGTTCTTAATTTATTTTGAGAAATAATAGCTCACAAGATCGTCACAGATTAGGTTAGTCTTGATGTAGCTCATTACATGTTGAGCAGTAGTAATTAATCATAATTAATCATGTTTGATTAATTGTGGTATCAGTTTGTTATTTTCCCTTATGGGCTACGTTTTACCCTAGTTACTTGACAAAGGGTATATATATTAGTCTTTGGTTGATCAACCTTTGTAACTTTGACGGCACAGCCATTGTTTGCTGGAGCTTAGTGAAAACCCTATCTGAGAGCTTGCTCTCAGTGGATTAGTCCTGTTCTATTGAACAAGGATACCACGTAAATCTCGTGTCCGTTATTTCCACGTTTTACTTCTTTTCATGGTATCAGAGCAGTGATCCATATCTGCGATCATGACTAAAGACGAGGAACCTCAGGCGGTAAAGGAATTGCGGTTGATTCTGAGACTATTCCGCATCACTCACCGTTTTACCTGCATCCCTCGGAAAACCCCGGCCAGCTGTTTGGTAGTGATCTACTCTCTGATTTGAACTATGGGGAGTGGGTCAATGACATGACCGAGACGCTTATTGCGAATAAAAAGATGAACTTTGTTGATGGTTCGCTACCCCGATCTGTCGCGGATACTAGGGCCAAGCAGGATGCTTGGGATCAGTGCGACGCGATGGTAAAAGGGTGGTTGAAGACAACTATGACCAAGGAGGTTCGAAACAGTGTGCGCGCGGCCAAGACAGCGTGTGAAATATGGATGGACCTCCGACAACGTTTTGGGGCCAGTTCGGCAATGAGAGCCTATGAGCTTCGCCGTCAGATCGTCTCTCTTCGGCAAGAAAAGTCTTCTATTTTCGGGATTCTATACTAAGCTCAGAACTTATTGGGATGAGTACCAATCGGTTAGTATAAATCCTCGTTGCGTATGTGGGAATTGCACCTGTGATGTTGGGAAGCAACTACGTGAGCAGCAGGAGGCCGAGAGACTCAATGATTTCCTTCTTGGCTTGGACGACAATTTTGCAGTAGTGCGTAGCCAAATCCTAAGTGTGCGGCCCACCCCCACTTTGGGCGAGGCGTACCAACAAGTAGCGGCTGAAGAACAGCAGCGGCAAATCACTGCTGGTCGTCGTCCCACTATAGAGGTCGTCGCCTTCCAAGTACACAACGAGAAGGATCGCGAATCCGAGGAACGAGTGCGCTGCACCAACTGCAATAAACTTGGCCATCTGAAGGAGCAGTGTTTCCGTCTCATTGGCTATCCGCCCGACTTCGGGAAAAATAGACCCGGAGGCGGAAGGAAACAGAAGGGTGAACCATCTTCTCGAGCTGCACACGTTGAAACGGAGGATAGCCCCATTCCAGGGCTCACGTCGTCCCAGTTCGCACAGCTTAAGCAATTCTTCTCGGCACCTACACCGTCGACACCTGACCCGACCGCACACATGGCTGGTAATTCTATTGATCTTAGTGAATGGCTTATTGACTCTGGCTATAATGAGCATATAGTCAGTGATATTCGTTGGTTTGATAAGATTCATAGCTCGCATAGTCTTGCAACTGTTCGAATTCCTAATGTCAAATGCATTCCGGTTGAGGGAATTGGTTCGG